ACAGCAGCGTCACCACAACAGCCTTTCCATCTGTGTGGCTCAGTGAAGCCAGCGTTTGATTCCTTAAACACAGCCAGGTCCTCTCAAGTCCACTCTCTTCCCCCATTATTGGTGGTGTCAGCCGCATTAAGATTGTGAAATCCACCACTTGGAGAAAGGTTTGCCCCCCCCCCCCGACCCCCGTCTGAGGGTGTCCACTTGCAGGACTGGGTTATAATGATAATAAAAATCCTTGTATTTGATATAGCGCTTTATCACGTCATTGAATGTCTCAGAGCGTTTGACTGAATATATTGTAAAGTCGAGTGACGGTGTATTTTGTAGGCGAAATATACATAAGGCACTTTCTTTCTAAACTTCTTGGCTGCACAAGCGTTTTGAAAGGAAGTGAAGTGAAGAGGGGAGGGAGCTGTGGGTTGTGCAACTGGTAAACAGCCTATAAAGGGCCCCCATTAAATCCACTGGCTGTGCCATCAACCGAGCCTTGCCCCACGTGGGGTGGGGTGGGATGGGGTGGTGGTGTGACGAATTTTAAGATGTTTAGTGTATTTTTCTAATGACAGCACGCAAAGGCACATTATACCCAGCATGTGTTCTTGTCTTCAGCATAAGTTCTTGTCCTCTGCGTGTGTTTGTGTGTGTGTGTGTGTGTGTGTTTGTACGTGCGCCAGAACCACTGTTTCCGTTCCGTGAGGGCAGCCTTACAACATCAGACTTTCACAGCAGAGTAGAAGGCCATTCAGCCCAGTGTGCTTCTACATGCCAGTGCATCCTCTGTGCCATCTCTCTCTCTCGCTCTCCCCCTCCTTCATTGCCCTCTCCCTCACTTCCCCTCCCTTGGTGCTGTCTCCCTCCCCCATCCTGGAGTGGAGTCCTGTAGCTCAGTGGTTAGAGCATTCGCTTTGCAAGTGAGAGACCTGAGTTCAATTCCAGGCAGAGGGCGAAACCTTGGGCAAGTTTCCATACTCCACACAGAGCCTAATAATAATCCCTCCAAAACCAAAAACAATAATAAATTGGTCATTTTCAATCTACGACTGTTTGTGGGACATTGCTGTGCGCAATTGGCTGCCGCGTTCGCCCACAAATATACAGTCAATTCACTTTACAGTGTGTTCTGTGAAGCGCTTTGGGACGTCCTTCTGACGTGAAAAGTACTATATCAAATGCAAGGATTATTATTATTATCCTCCCTCCCCACTCCTCCCTCCCCCTCCCTCAGGGCCCTCTCCCGCCCCCTCTCAGTGCTCTCTGCCTCACTTCCCCTCTCGGACCCAGCACTGTTCCACTACCCAGCTTGAAGTGAATATGCACTCAGCACTCAGTGTTGAAGTTAACTCCAGTACTTCATGTGAATTTATTGTCTCGTCTCCAACCTGATCATCGATACATCAGCAGTGCTATTTCTCTGGTTCAGTCTCTCTGTCTGTTGTTCTCGACTCTGGGTTTCAGCTCCTTGGGACATCCTCCCGACATGAAAGGTGCTATACGAATGCAATCTTGTTGTTGTTAGACAGCTGTGAGTTTAAGCATTTGTGAGCGTGTGGAGTCCTGTAGCTCAGTGGTGAGAGCACTCGCCTCGCAAGCGAGAGAACACGGTTCGATTCCTGGTAGGGTGAAATGTTGGGCAAGTTTCCGTAGTACACACGCCGCTATTTATCTAGCAGTAAGTAGGAACCCGGTTGTTCGTCGATTGTCCGGGGTTAATAATCTCTAAAAAAAATATAATAATTTGGTCACTCAATCCATGACTGTTTGTGGGACACTGCTGTGCGCAATTGGCTGCTGCGTTTCACTCACAAATATACAGTCAATTCACTTTAGAGTTTATTCTGTGAAGCGCTTTGAGACATCTAGAAAATGTGAAAAGCGCTATATCAAATTCAAGGATTATTATTAAGACCCACATCAGAAGTTTGAGCTCATTGTCTATGTCGTCACCGCATCCTGGACCATCTGTGGTGGTCTCTAGTCCGGTTCCTGAGTCAGACGGGTCCGCAGTGCTCCAGGGCACCGCTCAAGCCTAAGTAAGACAAGATAGACCAAAAAAAACACTCCTGAGGGAATTCTACGTTATCAGAGTTGCTGTTTTCCAAATGAGGTGTGATATTGAGAGCTGTTAAATGGTGCATGTTAAACATCCTGGGACATTGGAAAGAGGAGGGAGTTTCTCCCAGTGGACTGGACAAATAACAGTTTAACATAGGAATAGTTTGATTCCACACGCAGAGATATCCCTCTCCCCCTCCCGCCCCCCCGCCACACACACGCAGAGATACCCCTCACTCCCCCACACCCTGGACCCTGGCCAGCATTCCTCCAGATAATTTAGATATTCACTTTATGGCTGTTTGAGGGACTATGCTGTGCGCATAATGGTTGCTGTTTACCTACAAAATACACAGTCTTGACAGTAATTGCTGTAAAGTGCTTTAAGATCTTTTAGCATGTCAGGCTGAGGATCAGATACAAGGAGCAGAGTTTATTTAGCGCTGGTGTGCTGGCAATATTGTGGGTGAACAATTTTGTAACTGCGACCAGTTGGGCAATGTCTCATTGTGAAATTAACGGTCACTGTGGGGGTGAAGGGATCTGTGTGTTTGTGTGTGGGGGGATTCTGTGTTTGATGGAGGGTGGAGGGATTTCTGTGTGTGGGGGGAATCTGTGTTTGTGGGGGAGCAGTGGAGGGAGCTATGTATTTGGGAGAGGGTGAGGGTCATCTGTGTGTGTATGTGAGGTGAAGGGTATGTGTGAGGGGTGAGGGGACCTCTGCGTGTGGAATCAAACTATTCCTATGTTAAACTGTTATTTGTCCAGAGATTCAAATCCCTCCACTTTCTTGGCCCACACACTTCACCAATCTGTTGCAGTCCCACACGGCCCAGTGCATGTTCCCGTCTCCACCATTGACGGCCGAGCTTTTAGCCATTATATCTCCCCCCAATCTGGAACTCTTTTGCTAAGTCCCTCTGCCTTGTACCCTCTCTGTCTTCAAAACCCTTCTAAAAACCTACCACTTCCGCTCGGAGATGCTATCCTTCATGAGGGGTAACGTCTCTGAACTGATAACTTTTACACAGGAAAGGACGTTGAAACACTTTATAGGGACGGTGTAAAATGCAGAGCAAGTAGAACTGGGATGGGGGAAGGTGACCAGAACCTTGGTGTAAGAGATGAATGCTGGAGGTTGGGAAGGTTGAAGTGTGAATTCCTGTGGGTCCACTTAGAGGTTGATAAAATTAGCTGGTTTATTGGGATTAGGATTGATGGTTTCTTTGGAGGACCGCGCTCTGACACTAACATAAAGGGTTGAGTGACCTATTACTGTGATAGATTTCCTTGGTTCTATTATTCAGTAGTTTTTGTGCTGCAATAGAGGCAGGGAGCTTCCCGGAGCTCAGGGAATGATCAAACACACTTGGCTCCAGGCCTCTGTTCCACTGGGCCCACTCACCATGGTGAGTCACTTGACATCTATTCGTCAACTATTTTCCTGCTAGTTTAGGCCCTTCATGCTGAGAGGCGCTACCTATTATTCTGCTTTGCGGTCTGATGTACAATTCACAAATGTATAATTCTTCTTGCTGAAAGTTGGAGGGGGGGGGGGTGTAAGGTTTCTTCCCCATCCTCGCCCAGCAGTGGTCTGTGTGAAACTGGCAATCTTTCATTGTCCAAGGAGCCCAACACTCATCCTTCAAGAATTCCCACCCCATCGTCCTCCCATTACAGCACTGAGCTGATTCTTAAATGAGTCATTGTGTCCTGGCCTCAACTATGCTTCCCTGTAAACCCGTTCCAGCTGTTCATTCCCTTCTGTAAAGAAATACATTGACGTCAGCCTGGCTTCGTTGGTAGAACTCTTGTCTGACTCAGACGGCTGGGGGTTCAATCTCCATGTCGGGACTTGAATTCACAGTGTAGGTTGACACTCCTGTGCAGTAGTGGGGGAGTACTGTATTGTCGGAAGTGCCATCCTTCGGATAACATTAAATAGGTTCCGTCTGCTTGTTTCAAGTGGATGGTAAAGATGATACAATTGTATTGAAAAGGAGAAGGGAAATTCTTCCCGTGTTGTGGCCAAAAATCTCCCAGATAAAATTGATCGTTAACTACTGTTTGTAGGATATGGCTGTCTGCAAATTGGCTGCCACAGTTGGCTACAAATACACAGTCACTACACTTTACAGAAAAACTCTGAAATGCTTTGAGATGTTTTGACTTTATAAGTGCTAAATAAAATACAAGGATAATTTTCATAAATATTGTACTCTCCTGTGTATGTTCCTGAATTCGCCCTTCACATAAAGCTGAACTTGTGATCTCTTGGCACATCTGATGCCTATTTCTTCATGGGTCTGCAGGTCACTAATGAGTTCCCTGAAAGTGTGCAGAGTGAAGCAGAGGTTCAGAACCACTTTTCAACGATAGACTTAACATCTGATAGAGCGTCAGCATCTTAAGTGGCCAAGTGAGTGACCAAATTATTATTATTTTAGGATTTTTTTTGAAAGGATTATTTACACTATCCGCCAATCGACTAACAGCTGGGTTCCTACTTACTGCTAGCAAACAGAGGCGTGTGGAGTACGAAAACTTGCCTAAGGTTTCACCCTGCCCGGGAATCGAAGCTCTCGCTTGCGAGGCAAGTGCACTAACCAATGCCAATTTTGAATTGGTAAACGGGGTAATAATCCCTTCAATAATTAAATAAATAATAATGATAATTTGGTCACTCAATCCACGACTGTTTGTGGGATACTGCTGTGCACAATTGGCTGTCGCGTTTCACCCACAAAGTATACAATTAAATCACTTTACAGTGTATTCTGTGAAGCGCTTTGAGACATCTCCAAGACGTGATAAGGCATGATATATGCAAGGATTATTATTATAACGCAATACAGGACTCTTGTCGTGGCACAGTGGTGCTCAGTGCTAGTATTGCTTACTGCTAACTATCTTGTGCATTGCGCTCTCTCCGCTCTGCAGGTGCCGACGCGATGGGCGAGCGTCGCAGTCGAAACCTCCTAGTCCAGTTGGGCCCCAAGATGCAGGCCTATCCCGAGGAGCTGATCCGGCAGCGTCGCTCGTATGATGGGCTGGCTGAGTACCTGATCCGCTGGAATGTGCTGACTGTGGACAACAGCAACAGCGGCAGCGGGAGTGGCGGGGGCAGCGGGAGCAATGGCAGCCACAGCTCATCCAGCGACAACAAGGTGGAGAACATCCTGATGTGGATGTCAGTGGAGGATGTGTACGCCAACTGTCCCACACTGCTGGGCAAGCGCAAGCTGGAGAGCCAGCGGCCCAAGGAGGAGCAGGAGCCTAGCGCAGGGTCATGCCCCTCCGGCCCAGACTCCGACGTTACCTTCGATGATGTGGAGCTCCTGGACATGAAGGAGGATGTGAAGCTGCTGGTGGAGAGGGCCCGGCGGCAGATGTCCCGGAAATGCGGGGCTGACTCCTCGCTCAATATCTCACACACCATCCATGTGCTGAGTGCCTATGCCAGTATTGGTTCTCTGGTTGGAGTCTTCAAGGAGACTGGAGCCCTGGATGTGCTAATGGAGTTGCTCTGCAACAAAGAGACGCAAACACGGCGGAGCGCTGGCAAGATGCTTCGCGCTCTTGCTTCCCACGACGCAGGTAAGGATAGAGCCCGAGGGTGATGAGGGTCGGTGCGCGAAGACCTCTGAGCAAAAAATGTGGCCGAGCCTTCAGCCATTGCACTCCTCCCTTTTTCCATCTCTAGAACATTACCTGTTTTCCTCCCTCTGTTTACCTATCAGTAAGTAGGAACCTAGTTTTTAGTCAATTAGTGGATCACTTTCCTGGGATAATAATCCCTTCAAATCAAAATTTAAAAAAAATAACAATTTGGTCACACACTTCACGACTGTCTGTGGGACGCTGCTGTGCGCGATTGGCTGCCACATTTTGCCCACAAAATATACAGTCAATTTGCTTTACAGTTTATTCTTTACAGTTATGCTTTGAGACGTCTCAATAACGTGATAAGGCGCTATATCAAATGCAAGAATTATTATTCCCTATGTCACCCCTTTGAGGGTTTCAAGCCCCACAATTGGTCCTTCACTTTGTGATTGTATTTGGGACCTTGCCCTGTGCAAAGTGGCTGCCAGATTTACCATCAAATGAAAACTCACTGAACTTGAGAGCAATTTAGATGTCAGGCTGGCCCAGTTGGTAGACCGCTTGCTTCTGAGTCAGATGGTTGTGGATTCAAGGCCATTTTGAACTCAGTCCAGGCTGACACTTCAGTACAGTGCTGGGAGAACACTGTATTGTCATAAGTGCCATCCTTCGAATGAAACATTAAACCAAAGCCCTGTCTGCTTGTTCAGATGGATGTTAAAGATCCCATGGAAATATTTGAAAAGTTGTTTGAAAAGTTTCTCCTGATGTCCGAGCTAACAATCCCCAGATAACATCGGTTGTTCACTTAATAATAATAATAATCCGTGCATTTCATTTGATATAGCTCCTTATCATGTTGTTGAGATGTCTCAAAGCACCTCACAGAATATATTGTAAAGTGAATTGACTGTATTTTGTGGGCGAAATTTCATGGCTGTTTATGGGACCTTGCTTTGCGTGAAACTTGGCTGTTACTGCCACTGTACTTTAGTATATTCTGTGAAGGTCTTTGAAGCGTCCTCCTGACTTGGAGGATGCAAGGATCTGGAATGGGAAGAAAGGGTGAAAGAAATAAAAGGTTAATTCCTTTTTGACATATTAGGTGCTCGTCATAAAAAATGCAAGTTCTTTTCTCCCTCCTGACTTTCTATCATTTTCCAATCTTACACATTATTCCTGGTAGATGTGCATTGCTCAGTGTAACTTTGATTGCATGCCTATGTATCTCTTATATGTTCTTTAAGAGCCTGAAATGCAGCTTTTCTGTCTAGAGTTCAGACTCTATAGAGACGATTGAGAGGGGACATGATATGGGTGTTTAAGATTATGAATGGATTTGATAAGCTAGATGATTGTTTAGCTATTTCCATTTGTTGGTGAATTCAAAAGCAGATGGTATAAATATGATAGGCAGTGTTGGAACTAATAGGGAGATTAGGAGGAACTTCTCCACAAAGAGGGTACTGAGAATGTGGAAATTGCCTCTACTGCTGGAAGCTGTCGTTGAAGCAAATAGCATAAATGTATTTAAGAGAAAGCTTGATTCATACATGAGGGGAAACAGAATAGAGAGGCATACGAGAGAGGTATCGGACTGGTGGGAGCTTGTGTGGAGTATAATAACAATCCTTACATTTAATATAGCACCTTTCACTTCGGGTTTTGCGGTAAGAGTTGGACTAGTTGGATGAATCTTTCAAAGAGCCGGTACAGGCACGATGGGCTGAATGGCCTCCTTCTGTCCTGTAAGATTCTATTATTCTATACTGCATGTATTTTGTGTGCGAAACTAGCAGCCAATTTCAGCACACAAACAGTTATGAAGTGAATGATTAATTTCAGTTGGGAGATCGTTGAAACTCGATTCTCCTTTTGAATAACAAGGAGTGCCATGGGTTTTAACATCCACCTGAACAGGCAGACTTGGTTTAACATCTCAACTTAAGGATGGCATCTCCAACAATCCATCACAACCCCCAGCACTGCGTTGGAGTGTCAGCTTAGACTATGAAATCCAAGTACTAACTTGCAGCTTGAACTCACAGGCTTCTGACTCAGACACAAGAGTGTTACCAACTGAGCTACATGTACACCGGAGCGAATTAGTTGGGCTGAATGGTCTGTTTCCATCCATATTACTCTATGTAACTCTATGAATGGGGATGAAATTGCAGAAGGACGTATGGATTAATGTGCATCCCACACACACTATTCACTCGTGCGCTCCCTTTGTGTTTACAGTCCTTTGCTTATGAATCACTGCTGCTGGGGCGTTTACTAACACACCAGATGCTGGAAAGATATGGCTCCTTGTGTGTCATGAGGTCTCTTTCCTGAAAGGAGACAGATTGCTGAGAGTCTTTGTGCTAAAGCACTGTTGATTATTAATTTGTGTGGCTCAAAGTTTTGCAGTTGTATCAGACCCCTCTGCTGGCCTGCACTGGAGGGTCTGGAGTCAAACCTCTCTTTCCCTTCCCCTTTGAACAGAAAGTGCTAAATTTGATTGAAAACAGATTAATTTATGGAAACCTAATTATAACAATTATTAATAATTAGTGGACTTCAGGGGCACTAATAGCTCAAGAGTTATAAATGGTGTGGAAAAAATGGCTGACTTTTGGGTTGTCTGGTTGCTACTGATGGCGCTATGCAAATATAATCTTGTTGTTGTTGATGTCACTTCCTGCGCATTCATAACATAACATAACATAACATGTTGACTGGAATTAGCAATTTTTTAGTGCATGAAGCCAGTTCATCAGCACTGGAGGCTGGGCATGCTGTGCTTCTTGTTAGCACAGCTTCACAGTATATCACTGTAAACGCCAGGCAACAACAACAAATTTACACTTATATAGCACAATGGGAGGACATCCCAAGGTGCTGGACAGTCCTGGGTTTTCACCTGAGCTGGAAGGGGGAAGATGACAGAAAGCGCGGTTAAAGAGGAAAGTTTTGAGATGGACCTTGAAAGGGGAGAAGAGAAACCATTGGAGGAAACAAAGTGAAGGCGGTGGGTCAAGTAAGATTGGAACCAGAAGAGTGATCTTACAGAGGTAGATGAGGAAGGAGAGGTGATCGAACAATAGTCTGGGGTGTCAAAAGCAGCGGCGAGGTTGAGGAGGACAAGGAGGCAAAGAGAGCCTTGGTCGCAGATAGAGAAAGGACGTCATTGGTAACTTTGACGGGACCCGTCTCTGTGCCATGAGCAAGGTAGAAACCAGACTCGATGGGATTCAGTAGGGATTAGTAGAAGCGCAGTTCAGTGGCGACAATGCATTTCTGGACTTTGAATAGGGAGGCAAGTTTGGAGATCAGCAAGCAATTGGAGAGTTAGGAAGAGGGTGATGACGATGGTTTTAAAGGGGATGGTGCAGGAACTGAAGGACAGGTTGACTTTATTTACCAGCAGGGGCAGAGGAGTGGCAATTAGGTGGTCAGTAGATGGGTGGGGAGGGCAAGGGAACGGGTGTTAGATTTATGTGGGTTGTTAGGGTGGCGGGAGGTGCGGAGAAATGGGTGTCAAAGCGTGCAGGGTAGGAGCAACGATGGAAGACACGGGTAGAAGGTGGTGTGGTGGTTGGGAGGGAGGAGGGTAGATGTAGCCACACAATTATATCTGCTTTGAGTGTGAGGAAGTCCATGATCTCCTCACGTTTGGAATCATAAGTAAGAATGGAGGGGCTTGAGAGAGGGGGAACATTGGAGGTCATGATTGAAAAGAGGAGCTTGAGATTGTCGGCTTCCAGGATAACCTTGGACTAGAAAGAGAGAGAGAGAGACAGTATTTTTGGAGGTGGTGGAACCAGATGGTTGTGAACCATGAGGCCATCTAGTAAACTTATGCAGATGACTAGTAAGCTAGCTCGTAAATATAAATAACTAGTAAACAATCACGAGGGAACCTTTGGCTTTTCCTCCTCCCTACCTCAGGGAGGGTTGAGGACAGTTTGTCTCTGTTGTTCAGTGACAGGGCAGTATTATCTGTCTGCCACTCTCTCTCTCTCTTTTCCCCCACTCTCTCTCTCTCTCTCTCTCTCTGCCTCCCACCGTCTCTCTCTGTGCCTGTTTTGTGATTTTTGCAGCTATCGGTTCAAAAGCAACACCCAAAAATCTTGTGCAACCGAGGCATGTTACCAGCCTTTAAAATATGTTAAAGGATTATAGGAATGAGTGTGTGAACAGAGTCAGCCCTGGAATCTGACATGTGGCTTTCTAGAGGCAAACGGTTTACAGTATGAGTCACTGGAACAAGCTGAAGATCTTGCAGTTAAACGCTGTCAGACTCTTTTCCCCCTGTTTCTCCACACATTGCGAGGACAACTATATCTGGGCAGTAATTGTTTGTGGCAGCTCATTGGGATTAATGAGTCATGTTAACAACTGTTGGATAATATTTTACCAGAAGCACAGCTTCTCTGATGGACCTTTGCACTGTGAATTACGCTGCTCAAATCCAGGCATCTCGTCAGCTCCATTCTGTGCTCCAGATAAGGGACATTCTAAGTCTTTTTCCAAATGCCCTCCAGTTTTCTCCCCATTGCTCACTGCCTCTCCCCCCGCCCGCCTCCCCCCCCCCCACCATTGATTTGCCAAGCTTTTCCTTGGACATTCAGATGATTTATGCTGTGGCTGTAACTTGCCAGCGACAGACAGACATCCTTTTGAGTTCTGATGCAACAGCAGCTCTGCATTGCAGCATTGCAGCACGTGGCCATGCTTGTTTCAAATTGCGTTAAATGTGCTCTCAGTGCAGGAGGAGGCCATTCAGCCCATCGATCCAATAAATCTTATGTCACCTCTAATTCCATTAGCCTACTTCCACATCCTTTAGTATCATTACTTACCAAATACTGTAGACAGATCTTTCTCACTCTCCCACTCCCTCTTGTTCTGAGTCTCTGTCTCTGAGTCCCTCTCAATCTATAATACAGTCTTGCTCTGTCTCTGTCTCTCTTGTTGTATGTGTGTGTCTCTCTCTCTCATACACTGTGTGCATCTCTCCCTCTATCTCTCTAGCACTATCCCCCCCCACACTTCACTGCAAATAACTGTAGAGATGGCAGGAAGAGAAACATATGCTTTTTGGGTGCCTCTGCCTGTGCCCCACTTTTTCTGCCTCAGAAGTCAGAAGCACACTCGTGACAGTGGTCCAACAGTAAGGTGAGCAGTGTCATAGGCTGCAGTATACTAGAATAGAGAGTGGATATTACAAGATAATAATAATCCTTGCATTTGACATAGCTCCTTATCACTTCGTTGAGACAAACCACTTCACAGAATAGATTGTAAAGTGCACAGAGTAGTCTGTATTTTGTGCACAACAGTGTCCCACAAACAGTCATGGATTGAGTGACCAATTTTCTTTTTTTGGAGGGTTTATTACCACCAGAAAATGATCTGCCAATTGTTTAAAAACTGAGTTTCTACTGACTGCTAAGTAAATAGACGTGTTGGAGTAAGGAAATTTGCCGAAGGTTTCACCCTGCCTGGGAATCAAACCCAGGTCCTCTCACTTGCAAGGCAAGTGTGCCGATCACTACGTTACGGGACTCTACAAATGCTGTATTAATACAATACCTTCTTGATCTGACTGAGAAGTATTGGATCTCAGGCATCCGGATAATGCAAAATACTAATAAAAGCAATTGGGTAAGAACAGATAGCTCCAGTGGAGAAGTCATCACAGCACAAACATAAAGAGCCCATGGCCGCAAATCCTGACAGCACAGAAACATGCCATTGACCCTATCAAGTCTGCGCTGTTTCCCCCCCCACCCAACATTCACCAATTACACATTTAATTTTCCTCTTTTAAAAGAATTTCCAGACTGCTTCAATACTAATATTAATCCTTGTATTATAAATCTGTGCTCCTGAGAAATTTTATTCAGACCGACCGGTTGTGAAGTCTGGGCAAAGCAGTGAGATGGGTTTGTAGTAATCAACTATAAGGGAGGCAGGGCTCCAGCCTACACCGACATATTACTGAGCACCCTGGAGGCACAGTTGGCCTCATGATGGGCTCACCTATTTGCCAAAAACTCACACGACAATCTGGATGAAGTAGTTTGCGCTGAGTAAAACCGGCATTGGATTTGGATTTCTAGAACATTAAGGTGACTGGCACCTCATAAGCTGTCGCGTAAAGCTCCTCACAGCACACTGAAGGCAGATGTCTGTCATGTAGCTGATAAGGAATCTCTGAAGCTTGGGGTGACAGCTGCTGCACCTTGGGACGTCCTCCTGACATGGAAGGCGCTATATAAATGCAATTTGTTGCTGGAGATGTTAGCTGGTCCCAGGTTCACGAACTTGCGTTCACATTTCCAAGGCTTGGAATCCACCTTGATGGGTTTGCAGAGAGAGGAGCAACTGCTGCTTAAGCTCTGCACTTCCATTGGTGGAACCGTCGCTCAAAGGGAAGGAATGTGTGTCTGAGCTGTGGGAAGGAGTATAGTTGCAACATTCTCACACATTTCATGCTGAGCTGTGTTGCTCACCAGGAAGCTCATAGGGAGTTCCTGGTACCTTCAATCCACCTAGTACACTCTGCGGTCCTCAAGCTTTGACTGTTGCCAGCCTGTGTCAAAAATTCTCTGGAATTAGGTAAGCGAGGTGTGTCCCTCCAGGTTTCCATTTCAGACACAGGGAAATTTCCGTGTGTAACTGGCATACATATGTGGCATTCTCAATGTAGTTTGGATACTCTTAGGTACGGTGATGGTTTTGTACATGTGTCAGACACCTAGCGTGAGACCAGAAAATATCTCTTAACACAGAGCGTAGTGGGTATATGGAACGCACTGACCCAAAAGATTACTGAGGCAAAATCAATTGGGATATTTGAAAGGAAGGTAGATGGATCCTTGGGGGAGTGAGGATATTAAGGGGAATTCAAAAAAGATAGGGAAAGGATAATTTTGTTTTTATGTGATGTGAGGTGGACTCAAGAATACAGTGCAGAGTGATCGGGGGGTGGGGTTTATAGGGCAGGGTGAAGGAGGAGAGTAGAATGCAGAATGATTGGGTGGGGGTTTACAGGGAGAAGGAATCGGGGCAGGATGTGGAAGGAGCTGTGATATGAGGCGCGTGTGTTGTGTTTCAGGGAGCCGGGCCTACGTTCTCCTGTCGCTCAGTCAGCAAGATGGGATCGAACAGCACATGGACTTTGACAATCGCTATACGCTGCTCGAGCTGTTCGCGGAGACCACATCCTCAGAGGAGCACGGCATCTCATTTGAAGGCATTCATCTTCCCCAGGTACAGTCCTGCCTGGCATCTTAATGCTGACCCCCTTTGACTGATTGTCCACATGTGCTGTTCATGGTGTAACCATCGTCCAAGCTCCCTCCGTTGGAGTGCTGTATCCTAATCCAATTTCCCTGCTCTTTCCTCCTCCATGTCTGTTCAAGGGGAGTTTTGGCAGTTTCTCCTCTGAGCGAGGGGGCCTTGGTGGACTCCCCTCAGTGTTCAGGAAAAAGCTAGTTTCTTCATTGTCTCCTCATAAGTAAAACCTCTCACCCCTGGAATTGTGCTAGTGTATCTTTTCTTAGGCCTTGACATCCTTTCGAGGACACAATACGCCCAACTGCTGCCTAACTAATGATTAATATAGACTTAGCATTACCCCTTTTGTTCTTGTATTCTGTGACACTTCTTATAAAAACACTCAGATGTTAAACACTCTTTAGCATTCCATCAGCTTCTTTTACAGCTTTGTCAACTTGTCCTCCCACCTTTAAAGATTTGTTTTCTAGGTTTCTCTAATCTTCCACTCCTTTTAGAGTTTTGCCATTTAATAAGTACTAGCTGTACCCGTTGCAGCTTCGCTTGCAACCAAAGGATCCAATATGGAATGTAGATTGACACACAGACAGACATTTCATCTTTATCTATACTCAGCCTGGATAACTCCTGTGGGAGATCTCCTTTTGGGTTGATAGGAGATACCCGAAAACAAATATACCCATGTCATTCCTAGTTTCAAGACCTCTTTGATGAGGTATAAATCATGTCTCTACATCAATTGGTCAATGAGATCCTTCTTGAAGCGCAGACAGACATTGTCGTTTTATTAGTATAGATAATATATATAAAGATAGAAGAGATTTCCTCAGGCTACTTACAGTCCTCTTCACAGTACGCTACACGCCTTATTTTTGTGTAATTTTTTCCCTCGTCGGTAAAAACTAAGCTGAAACACTAATTTAGTATCTTTGTCATTTCTTCATCCACCACAACCAGACTTCCCTTTAGGTTTCTAAAGGACCTTCCTTTCTGTTAACCATTGTTTTGTTTTGTATAAAATTCTTTAGTATTTTTCTCTGTTACCTGCTAGGCTGCCTTCAAAGCCTTATTACTTTCTTAATAGGGTTTCTAATTTGTTTTGTTCCATTCTATATTTTATATACTTTTTCTAAAACTTCCATTTTTTTGTTTTTACTGCTGCCTGTTATGTTTGTCTGTCTGAGCAAGTGTGCATTAAAGCTACTGTTGGAAAAAGAATAGGCAGTTTCTCTCAGTGTCCTGGCCACCAATCCTCCAGATAATTTTGCCTACAAAATACACAGTCAATCCACTTTACAGTGTATCCTGTGATCCGTTTTGAGACATCTCAATGACTTGATAAGGCACTCTATCAAATGCAAGGATTATTATTATTATAAATTGATTGGTTCACTTCATGGGTGTTTGTGGGAAATTGCTGTGCTCAAATTGTCTGCTGTGTTTGCCTACAAAAACAGTCACAACACTTGACGATATTGTAAGGCTTGTTGAGACTTTTTTGTTGCTATATCAAATGTGAAGATTATTCTAATCCTTATAATTTTAAAAAAGTTGTGTTGGATATTATGTCCACAATATTGAAACATCTCAAAGTGCTTCACAGTAATTACTGTCAAGTGTAATAATTACTGTGGTGTAGTGATTGTGTATCTGTAAGTGAACATGGCAATCGAGGGACAAAAGACAATTTATTCTAAATGTTGTAGCGTCCTTAAAGTCTTCAGTGCCTCTTCCGAAGGACACCATCTCTGACAATGCTGCACTTTCTCAATACTGCCCTGGAGAGTCAGGTTAGATGGTAAACTCAAAGTTCCCAATGTGGGGCTTAAACCCAGGACCTTCTGACTCAGAGGCAAGAGTGTAATTCATTAAACCAAGCTAGTACAAATTTATGGGTCTACTTCTTGTCAGCCTAGCTCAGTTAGTAGCACTCTCGTCTCTGAGTCAGAAGCTTGTGTATTCAAGTCCCACGTTGGGACTTTGAATTCACATAGACTAGGCTACCACTCCAATGCATTGCTGGGGGAGTGCTACATTGTCAGAGGTCTTTCAGATCAAACATCACACAGACGACCTGTCTGCCAGTTCAGATGGACTTTAAAGATCCCATGGCACTATTTGAAACGATAATAACATAAGAATTGCTTGATAAAAAAACACCAAAGTCCATCCAGTTTGGGTTCTACCATCTTGGCAACCGTATGCAGATTTCATGTCCCAAACTGTGTGCTGTATCCCACAATATTATTTCCTAAACTAAATCCATCTAATTTGCTATCTAATAAGACTTTTGTGAGATGTTTTAGTCAACAATCCCCCTCGATACTAGTGGTTATTCTGTTTTGGCTATTTGTGAGATATTGCTGTTTGCAAATTGGCTTCTGGATTCTCCAACAAATACACAGTCACTAACTACACTGTACAGTAAGTCTTATGAAGCACTTTGAGGTATCATTTTGTAGCAAATGCTGGGATTATTAATAATAATAATAATGATTATCATTGTTTTCAGATTCCCGGGAAGCTGCTGTTCTCTTTGGTAAAGAGGTACCTATGTGTGACCTCCCTGATGGATAAGCTGAACAACAGTGGTCAGGAGGCAGGTGGGGAGCGGCAGGACTGCAACGCTCCACACGTGCCGGAGCAGACTCGCATCCTGCGGGAGTTTGAGTTCACCTTGGCCATGGCCAATCTGATCTCAGAGCTGGTCAGGGTGATGGGCTGGGACCGCAACAGGCACCCGGAGCCTGGGGAGAGCGAGATGCCCAGGAATGTCAAGTCCATTTTCCAGCCCCGCAGTCTGTCCATCAGCAGTGTACTAGCTCCCCAGCCCCGCAAAAAGTCGGCCGCCACATACAAGACCCGCTCCAACTTCTCCAGTCGCAGCAGTTATGTGGAGTATGTGCAGGAGAACCTGAAGGCCGGTATGACGGTCAAAATGCTGGAAGATTATGAGCAGGTCAATGCTGGCGACGAGGGAGAGTTCAGGTTCAGCAACGACGGGACCCCCCCAGTGCAGGTCAGAACCCACCATCAACAACAACAACAAAATTACATTTGTAAAGTGCCTTTCACATTGGGAGAACATCCCAAGGTGCTGAACAGTCAGGGAGCAGAACCCGAGCGACTGGGGGGCAGGGTTGGGATGAGGGAGGGCAGAGGGGTTAGCAGAGCGGCTGAAGGCATGATTGAAAAGGTGGGTCTTAAGTTGTGCCTTGAAGGAGGATGGGAGGGAGCGAGGCCAACAGATTGTGGGATGGAGCTCCAAAGGGTGGAGCCAGAGAGCCTGAAAATCCAGCCGCCTATCTTAAGGCGGGTCGGGCAGGAGACATGCAGCAAGCCGGAGCCTGCTGAATGGAGGGAGCGGACAGTTTGATAGTGGTTCATCAGGTCAGAGAGGTAGTAGGGGGAAAAGCCATGGAGGGTCTTGAAATTGAGGACAAGGATTTTGAATTCTTCCTCTGAGGGATTGGGAGCCAGTTGAACTGGGCGAGGGTGGGGGTGATGGGGTCACGGGGCCTGGTGCAGGAGAGGACACGAGCTGGATGATCTGCGGTTTGTGGAGGGGAGAGTTGGGGAGGCCGACAACGAGGGAGTTTCCGTAGTCAAGCCTTGAGGTGACGAATGAGTGTATGAGGGTTTCGGCAGTCTGAGCGGTGTGGCAGAGTCGGGCAATGTTGCGGAGGTGGGGGAAGGCAGAGCGGGTCATAGCACGGATATGGGAGAGAAAGGACAGTTGAAGGTCAAACAAGATACCCAGGTTCCTCACTGGCTTGGTGAGGTGGAGTGTGCATTCCTGGATGGTAATGCTGCCAGTGCCTGATGTGCGGAAGTGCTAGTGCGAGCCAATCAGAAGGGCCTCGGTCTTGCACTTTACAGTGTATTATATGAAGCGCTTTGAGAGATCTCGATGACGGGAAAAGGCAGTATATCAAATGCAAGGATTAGGATTATTGAAAAGAGACAGTTTATCGAGTTTTATGGAGCTAAATGGGATTGAGGAAGTAAGGCCAGAATAAGGGTGCACGACTTGGGGCACAAGTTCAGGGGTGTGTGAAGGGCCAATTTAGGACAAACACCAAGAAATATTTCTTTACACCGGAGGCATTGAGAGTTGGAATAGGTTAACAGTAAAAAAGAAGGGAAGCCAGGACACGATTTATTTAGCCGACTGTTGAATGCTGTAATTGGAGGGCATTGGTTTGGAAGAAGTTAATTCCAGTGAGATGATTTGACACTAGAGTAAATCAGACCACAACACTGCGTGAAACCATGGGGCACCGGAACTGCAACAACCCATTCCGGAAGCTGAGTGGTTTACAGTTTACAAGTTGCTATGTTTCCAAAGATTGTATCAGCCTGCGGTTCATGGAGTCCAGCCCGGTGTGTGTGTGTGTGTGTGTGTGCGTGTCTGTCTGTCTCTATGTATATATCTTTGTGTTTCTTTGTGCGTGTCTCTCATTTATATGTGTATATGTGTGTCTCTGTTGTATCTCTCTGTCTTGCTCTGTGTGTGTGTATGTATATATATGTATATGTGTGTATGTGAATATGAATATGTTCGCCCACAAAATATAGTCAATTCAGTATATCTGTGAAGCTCTTTGAGATGTCTCAATGGAGTGATAAACCCTATATTAAATGCAAGGATTATTATTATTTGTATATATAATATATATATGTCTATGTGTGGTATTGGGCCTTTCCTTAGAGGGTTAGGATCAGGTTTGAAGTACTTTGTTCCAAGTGACAATTGAGGCTGACTCCGATCTGAGCAGCAAAACCACGAAGGGATAATGGGGAAAGAGCTGTTAAGTGGATAAATAAGAAGGGATGATTTAGTAACAGGTACCAATAGAACAGACTCAATGCACTGAATGGTTTCCTTCTGTGCTGAAAATATCTATTTCACTTCTCTTTCCTATTTCCAGGTTTTCTGGCACCAGTTGAATAGAACGTACTGGGTTCACTGGCACATGATTGAGATCATAGAGGATGGATGGAATGGGCAGGTGGACAAAGAGTCGCAGGAGAAAGCCTCGTCCCTGACTGAGAACCTCAAACTCACCACAGGTTAGTGAGGCCTTTATCAAGAACTCGCACCCAATTGTAAGTGGGTTTACGTCCCTCCCAGTGACGTGTTCCTGCCCCACTCCAGGGAAAGAAGGAAAGAAGGGAAAGAAGAACTACATACTCACTGGTCTTCCCAACTTTTCCAGATGTATCCCCGCCCCACCCCAGAAGCCTCTGCCTCACTCTCTTTCCCTCTAACTAACTCTTTTTCTCTCTCTTTCTCTCTCTCTCTTGTGTCTCTCTCGACAAGTCTTTCTCTCTCCCCCTGTCTCTTTTGCTCTTTCTCTCCTGTTGAGTCTCTCGCACCCTCCAAATCGTTGTGTGTGTGTAATTCCTCTCTATCTCTCTCTTCCCTATATTTATTTTTTCATTTATTTGTTGGAGACTCTCCGAGTCTCTTTGTTTCTCTGTCTTTCTTTCTCTTTGTTTTTCTGTCTCTCAGTCTCTCTGGGTCCTTGTTTCTCTATATCTGCCTCTGTCTATCTATCCCTGTTTATCTCTCTCCCAATCTCTGTTGCTCTCTTTCCTAACACTGTATTTGTAAGAATATTAATGACTTGTTTGTTGTTTCACACCCACACTATGACTTAATCACTGACCTGGAAAACATGTGAGTCAATACATTTTTGTTTTCTGCCGGCTTGTGGATATGTGTCGGGCAAGTGTCCAGCTTCCAGTGATGTCAGTGCATTGTTGTGAAGTTGTGGCTTGAATTGCCGAGCGGGAGGCTGACCAGTGTCTGTAGCCGGCGTAGTCACGTGTGTGCTGTACAGATTTTTTACCACAGAGGAGATTCACCAAGACGATTCCAAGGGCGTGAGACGTCAGTGAAAACAACCCGTCTCTCCTCATAGCTAACGCAGAAACCAACACTAAATTGTATTGACTTTTCAGTAACTCCAGGTTTTACCAGGAGAGAATCCACTCTAACTGTTCTTTGTGCTCTTCAGTCACCCAGACGTTTTTCCACAAGCCGCCTGGCGGGCTGTACTCGCTGCCTTACTTGTCGGACAATGTTGCCGAGGACTCCTCCACACTCAGCCGTGCCGAGTGGTGGGAGGTACTTTTCTTCATCAAGAAGCTGGAACCAAAACAACAGCAGGAAGCTGTGGACATCATCCACCAAAGCCTCGAGGAGCAGGTCAGTGTCAGACCTTTAAAATCCACACCCAAGGCCCCCATTCCCCACTGCAGACCTCCAGACAGACTGGAAAGATCTCTGGGTCAAAGGTCAGTTTGTGCTGCGTCTCTGAGCACAGGGAGGGCAACAATTGGCCTCATTGACCCAGAGTTAGGAAGGAAACAAAATCAGCCAGGTTCTCCCTCCTCACTGATGCTTTACATTGCAGCTTTGACTCCCCCCCCCCCCCCCCCCCCAACACACACAGAAGTGCATGTTCGGATACAGAGTTGACACACACATACAATACACACGGATGGTTGAAGTGTGGATATTGGGGTGTGCGGATGTAAGACATACAGATTGTCAGCATGTGGATAGACGGCAGACAGACAGTTGGCATGCACATATTGGGTGTATGGATGCAAGAGGCACAGATATTTGATGTGTGTAAATTGGGTGTGTGGTTACACAGTATAGTCGGCATGTGGATATTGGACATGTGGGTACAAGGCACACAAGTAGTCAGTGTGGATCCACAGCATTTTACTGTTTTAACATTTAGGTATACTGAAGTCTGTACCAGATAATGGACTGAGTTTCAAAGAGGGATGATGCACCAGGGCTAATGTGGGTGCCACTTTGATTCGCTGTAGGTCTCTGTGATGGACGAGAGTGCCTTGATTCAGTTGACGGTCCCTGTGGAATTGGCCCAGAAGCTGCTGCAGTTTGTGGGCCCACATTGCCCGGCTGCATACCTGACCGACCTGGAAAGCTCCCACGTGTACATCAAACACTACCTGAGGAGGAGGGGTCTGGGGCTGGACCACCTCAGCGGAACACTAGCCGGGGCTGAGTATGGCTCGCCTCCTGGCACTGCCGGCTCCTCCTCTTCCTCTTCCACCTCGTCTGCCTCCTTATCAAAAGAAACCAAGAAAGAGATCCCGCCGGACCCCACCAGCCCTGGCCTGAGCTCAGGAAGGACCGACACCGCACAGGCACCTGAGATGGGTCGGATGGAAGAGCTGGAGCTGCCTGATGATCTGGAAGAGAAGTTGAAAGGTAGAGTGGGTGCACGCTGTGACCGTTACAGCAATAATCCTCGCCTTGGATACAGCGTCTATAATGTCAAGCATGTTTCACGCTTGCCTCGCCTCGCCAGTGAGAGGAGTCGGGTTCAATTCCTAGGCAGGCTGAAACCTTAGGCAAGTTTCCGTACTCCACATGCCTCTGCTTACCTAGCAATAATACAAACCTGGTTGTTAGTTGATTGGCGGATCGCTTTCCAGGGGTAATAATCCCTCCGGAAAACAATTGGTCATTCAATCCACAACTGTTTGTGGGACACTGGTGTGCGCAATTGGCTGCCATGCTTCACCCACAAAATACAGAGTCAATCTACATTTATTCTGCGAAACGCTTGAGATGATTATTATTTCATTATTATTAACTCATATTGCTTCACAGGTAATTGTACATGTACAATTGACAGTTTATTTTATTTGCGCTCAGCAAGATTCCCCTACACTACTGGGAAGTGTGTGGCTAATTATCTGAAGGATCTTTTGCCAATACAAATTCCCTTTTCTTTCTCAATGACATTGCTGAATCTTTAACTTCTCTCAGAACAAGCAGATGAGGCAAGTTCTGTATAATATGGCATTTGAAAGAACAGGCTCTCTAGGGAAACGTTAGAAGCAGAAAGTGTTGATTCTTTCAAGAACAAATTAGATAGATTTTTGTGAGGAGGTCGGAGAGATAGGGAGGTGCCAGGGACTGAATGGATTTGAACACGTGTGAGGATTTTGAAGTCGATCCATTCGATGATGGGGAGCCATGATGCGAGGCAGCAGGTATTGCCACATGTCACGGAGTTTGGTATTTTATACCTAATCCCCCAGGCACTGGAGTCGGGAGGTTTCAAGGTGGGAGGACAAAACTAGTATCTCATTTATATTAACAAATTAAAATACATACTACTAGAAATAAATTTGAAAGATTTACTGGCCACAAGCATACAATTTTACAACACCCCAAAGCCTTAAATTAAGTGAGTGTAATACATAAATAATAATAATATTAATCCTTGCGTTTGATATAGCGCTTTTCACGTCGGGAGGACGTTCCAAAGCGCTTCACGGAACACACTGTAAAGTGAATTGACTGTATATTTGTGGGCGAACACGGCAGCCAATTGCGCACAGCAATGTCCCACAAACAGTCGTAGATTGAAAATGACCAATAGTATTATTGTTTTTTGGGTTTTGGAGGGATTATTATTAGGCTCTGTGTGGAGTAAGGAAACTTGCCCAAGGTTTCGCCCTCTGCCTGGAATTGAACTCAGGTTTCTCGCTTGCAAAGCGAGTGCTCTAACCACTGAGCTACAGGCACTTATAGATTGAGCCGGGTGGGCAAACTGACAAACTTTTTCTTCAAAGTCCCTCCAAGATACAAATGCAGGTATATGTCACTTTGAAATCTCTTTGAAGTCGCTATTTGACAGCAATTCTCTTTAATGTGCTTACGTGAGACCTTTCTGTATTATTGGCTAATGTATCAAACGCAAGCTTTTGTGTTGTTATGTTAGCTGCTATTCAGTTAAGTGGTTCTTAATGGGGAATGTCTTTCTAATAGAGTTCAGTTGCCCCAAGGTGAGTGGTCGTAAGACCAGCCTGGAGAAGATCGGGGAGGTAGTGGAGATGATGAAGAAATCCAGCTCGGACATCAGCTTTCAGGTGGCTGGCTTCAGGTTCATCACCAAGATGTTAGAGGAAGACAGCTCGCGGGACAAGTTGTCTCTAAAGGTAGACTCCGGCCTGAACCACAGGGACAAACTCATCAAAGCTGTGGTGGAGCAGCTGAGCAGCCTGGCCAGGGAGAAGGTGTTAGTTGTCACGTGTTTCCGGCTGCTTTACATCCTGATGCAGAGGTACGACTGGAGGGTGCTCTTTGCCACCGAGGGAGGTATCAAGGCCGTGCTGTCATGTATGCAGGAACATAGGAACTCTGCCCTTGTCCAGCAAGCGGCTCTGGCTGTAAGTCTTGTACCCGCAGCACTGACTCTCCATGAGGCTGCTTTTATTTATTACTTCCTTGAGACGAACCTTGAAGGAGGCAAAGGAGGGGAAAGGCAGAGAGGCTCTGGATGGAGATCCAGAGGGTGGGTGCAGAAAGGCTAAAGGCCTGACCTATGGTGAAGCAAGCAGGGTGGGGGACATGGAGCAGGCCAGTACCAGGTTGGTAAGATTTTAGGAGGTCACGACGGGTGGGGCAAAACTGTGGAAGGCTTTAAAGGAGAGGACAAAGATGTTAAACTGGATCCTCTGTGGGATTGGGAGCCAGTGAAGCCGGGCGAGGATGGGGGTGATTGGTTCATAGTGTGGGAGAGGACATGAGCTGCAGAGTTCAAATAAACTGCAGCTTGTGGAGGGAAAAGTTGGGAAGACCGGTGAGTATGGAGTTCCTTTTTCCCTTCTTTCCCTCTTTTCCTGATTCCACATCTCTCCTCCCTCTCCCACCCCCTATTTCTCCTCCCATCCCTCAGTTTGTCTCTTCTCCCCCCACCCCCCCTTCTTCCTCTGCACTCAATCCTCCCCTTCCCTCTTGACCTCTTTGCTTTCGTATTCTACAGAGGGGAATCAGCAGCTGAAATTGGTTTCCGGGAAAGCGGACTGGAGGCTGGGGCAAGGGCATTGGGCTTGTTTAAGAAAAGACTTGATTACCTGCTGTAATGGAAAGACAGTTGGGTGGGTATTCTAAGAGGTCAAAATGGACCAAAGGGTCTTGTTCATCCAGTGAATGTTTACTTCTGCAGACGCTGAAGATCCTGACGGGAGCCAGCAAGTACGACATGCGGAGTAAGAGTGTGCGGCCGCACCTCGCTGAGGCAGATGCACAGATCATCCTGGAGATCTTCGCCAGCATCGGCTCAGCCTCCACCCACGATTCCAAGGGACTGCTCAGCATGATCCCAGCCGCCGTGGAAAAGATGATGAACACCTCAGGGTGAGGATGGTCAGCAGGGTATCAGTCACGCGTGTAGCAGCATCCAAATTAAACCACAAACATTTACACATACGCATTGAAATTTCCCCAAGGTCTCCGTTGCTCACTTAAACCTGGAGGGTATTATTTGCTGGATGACAAAGAGCCAAGGCTTGGAGACCTCAGAGTACGTGTTAGGTATTGCTGGAGTTTAACCAGCGAAAGCCCGTAGCTCACCTTTGTGAACAGTGATTGGCAAGTTCCTGCTGCTTATCACTAAATCACATGCTACAATTAAATCTACTTCTCAATTCTTGTTCTTGAATCCCTCAAGGAGAGGGAAGGATGTGTGGTGGTGAGGTTGATGACATACAGCTTCTGTTATAGTTTTGCACATTTGGCTTTTTAAAGGGGGAATGATACTTTTAAGCATGATGATGGGTTTCCACATGTACCAGAAACCCCTCTGACAAAAAAAATTCTAAGCTGCTGTAATTTGTGTTAATTCCCAGCTGTACTCTGTTCACACCTCGTTCAAGGTCAGTCTTAAGAACTATCTCTTTGAGCGCACATTTGGTCATTTTTCCCTACCCAGCCCTCCAGCTTCCACGCCCTACTTGGATACCTAACCCGACTTACCAAGCACCTTGGGGCATCCTCCCAATGTGAAAGGCGCTAGTAAGTGTAAACTTGTTGTAAAGCTACCTCCTCCACTCCTGCTCTTCTCTCTTCAGGTGCTCGTCAGCAGTGCAGGATGGCCTCCTGGTGGTCATCATGCTCGTCTCCAACCATAAGAGCCTGGCTGAGCTGCTGGTTTCTTGTAACATCTGCCCCATCTTGTACAGCTGCATTGGGACTGGCAGCCGCTCCACAGGCAGCCTCCAGCAGATGCTGGCCATCATGGCCCTCAGCAACATCTCCCTGAATCACAAGCTGTCCACCGGCATTGAGAACAAAGGTGCGTCGTCTTAAATATCTGTGATGTTTCTCCTGTTCACCTTCCTCGGCTCCCAACCCCCGGCTTGAGTGCCTATCCCACACTGCGAAGCGCTTCTGAGATGTGGTCCTGATGTAAAAGGCTCTGGAAAAAATTATATTGTATTTGCTGTTAGAATTGTAGAATCTGAAAACTTTACAGTTTAGGGATTATTGCCCCCGGAAAGTGATTCGCCAGTCGACTAACAACCGGGTTCCTACTTACTGCTAGGTAAGCAGAGGCATGTGGAGTAAGGAAACTTGCCTAAGGTTTCGCCCCACCTGGGAATCAAACCTCACTTATGAGGCGAGTGCGCTAACCATTACACCACAGGACTCCACACCTGCCTTAGTTACCTGCCAGGAGAGTGAATTGGCTGATGTGAAAAAAAAATGTGTTTTAGAATCAAAGGAGGCCTTAAATCTGAAGGATGCGGAGCTAAAGATGCTGTTGGTGAGTCTGAAGGAGCGGAATGGTACGAAAGAGATCATCCTGTCACTGGAACGCTGGGTTTGTGACGAGACGACTGGGCTGGAGACTCAGATTGCCGACATCATGACGGACAAGGAAGCCTTCCAGTCCTTGGTGCAAGGCTTGAACCAGTTCCGCTCCGAGAAGTTGGTGCAGCAAGCCATCATTCGGTACGTGTCTGAGCGAGGGCTGTGAGGAATCCAGCCCTGGCACCATTCAGTATACGTTAAGAGTGGGTCGCCCTTTGTCCATTGTTGCAGTCAGTTGGCAGGAATAGTGTGTGGTAGGTGGTAGAATCATATGTTTTGCAGTGCAGAAGGTGGTCATTCGCCCTATCGTTCCTGATTAACTGTCTTAAAGAGAGATATCTTTATAGCTCTACTCCACCAGCCCTTTCTGCCTCACCCCACACACCTTTATATTTTTCTTTTCAAATATTTGTCCAGTTTGCGAGCTAGTTTGGCCCTGTTTGTCACGTTCTGCAGAGTATTATTCTGCCCAAAGACTGAGAACAAAATAAAAACACATTCAAAGAGGGCAGAAGGAGGGCATTGGTCCTTCAAGAGTATCAGTCACGTGATTCATGGGATTCTCAAACTCCATATAGGGTGTCGATCTGTCTCTCTAACCCATAGCATTTCAGTCTACTCCACAGTTCTGACTTCCTCCTGGTAGATTGTACAGCATAGCAACAGGCCATTTGGCCCAACTAGTCTGTGCCAATGTTTATAATCCATATGAGTCTCCATTTATTCCTTCCTCCCTTTCGTACCCTTCTATTCCCTTCTTCCTCACATGTATATCTCGCTTCCTCTTAAATGCATCTACACAACCTGCTTCAACCACCGCTTCGGGGCAACGAGTTCCACATTCTCACTGCCTACTCTGCATGAAGAAGTTTCTCCTAAATTCTTCTGTATGAGAGGCTGTAGGAGAGATTTGAAAAGTTTGGAATTGATTTCACTGGAGCAGAGAACACTAAAGGGGCGAGGTTTTCAATGATGAATAGTTTTGATAGGTTAAACCGAAGGAGTCTGTACAACTCTTCACAAGAGCAGGTTGGATGAAGTTTAAAGTTAAAAGCTGTCCGTTGATCTCATTCCCAGGTTTTAGAAGTTATTTCTAATGCGTGTATGTGTTTTCCTCCCAGGATTTTGAACAAGTTTTTAGACAACTATCAGGAGGACCTGCTGCCCTGGCATGAGAGCATTGAACCGTGTCTCTCCTCAATGACAGCGTTCAGCAACGACCGAGAGGTGAGGCCAGGATGTTCACGTTAGATGTCACAGCGTGGAGGGAACTGCAAGAATCAGTTAGCACTGTGTGATCAGAGGTGCAGCCCTTCAGTGCTGCTTAGTTTCCTATTGTTTTTCCTCTCCTGCTCACTACTAGTGCCCCAGCGAAGAGGATATGTTGGAAACGGGCTCCATCTCCAAAAATAATAATAATAATTTGGTCAATCAATCACGGCTGTTTATGTTGTGCTAATTGGCTGCCGCGATCCGCCTAAAAAATATACAGTATATTCTGTGAAGCTCATTGAGACGTCTCAATGACGTGATGAGGCGATATATCAAATGCAAGGATTATTATCTTTATTTTATGGGGGAGGGGTGGGTAGGAGAAGACTGGAGATGGTCACCGCTAATGAAGGTTTCCCATTTTCTCCTGGTGTCCTCCATATTGATCGTTCAGGCATAATATGCCTGTGTGTGAGACCTGTGTCTGACTGCAAACACTGACTTCAGTCACTACACTTTTCTGTGAAGTGTTTTCACATTATAAATATTGCATCAAAGCAAAGATTGTTACATATTATAATCCAACCTCCGTGTCTTCTCTCTCTCTCTCTCTCTCTCTCTCTCTTCTCTCCCCCTCCCCCATCCCCCTGCGGCCTCCAGGTGCTGCAGGATTTTATCCGGTTTCTGTATGGATTGGCCACCGTCAACAAAGACTATGCTGTGGTCATGTGCCGGCTCGGATCCAAGGAAACCCTGAGCAAAGCCCTGGACAAGCACAGTGCCACCCTACCGCTGGCTGCGGAACTGCGTGACCTGGTCGGCGATTGTGAGAAGTACGCCAGCCTGTACAAGAAGATGACCACCAGCATCCTGGCTGGATGTATACAGGTGTGTATGTGGGTCAGGGTGGCAGCAGGGAGGGGGCATGGTACGTCTGCCCACAAAGTCCAGTTAATCCAAAACTCCGCTGCCCGCGTACTCACCCGCACTAAACTCCGTACCCCCATCACACCAATTCTAGCCAGGCTCCCTATCACCAAACGGATCGATTTCAAGATCCTCACGCTTGTCTTCAAATCCCTTCATTCCCTGGGACCTCCTTACCTCTCCGACCTGCTTACTCCCTAACCCACTACCCGTTGCCTCTGCTCAACTGGCTCTGGCCTCTGTCCATTGTTGGCTGTGTTTCCAGCCACTACTCTTCGAAATTTTGGAAAATTCTCCCCCAATCCCTCCGCTTTGCCCTCTCCTTCCGCATTTTGAGTTTGCGCCTGAAGATCTTCCTCTTCAACTGTGTTTACGGTCACCTCCCCACTCCCTCAGGCTCAGTCATTGTCAAGCGCACTGAGACGCTACCTTGCATGAGGAACGCTATGTAACTGCAAACTGTTGTCTGGTGAGAGGAGTTCGAGGAAACTTTTCTTGGTCCCATCCTCCTTCCTTCATTCCAGCCACAGGATTTCGTCATTTTGAAATCCTCTATCAGGTGACTGCTTAGCTTCTTCAGCTTAACTGAAAAAACAGTCCAAAAAGCTGTTCAGCCAATAAGTCTACTCTTTCCACAGGCACGTAACCTTGCCCCTGACATTGGCACCCCAGCATTCTGTCCCCACACAGGGAAGGGTGAGCATTGATGCTGCTGATCGCTCCTACAATCATAGAATGAATGTTCAGCCCATTGAGTCTGCACTGGTATTGTTCCACTCATGAGCCACCGAATCCAATCCTGTTCTCCTGCTCTCTCCCCAAACTGTAATATTCCTCCTCTTAAAGCATCTGTCACATTCCCTTTTAAAAGAATTGATGGACTCTTTTAAGTTTAGAGGCAGAGAATTTGTCATTCCATCAGACGGTTTTCCTGAGCTCTCTGTGAGTTTTGTTGTGTTCAAACCTCTGGGACTCTACCCTACGTGAGTGGTGCTGTATAAATACGAGTTGTTGTTGGTCACTGTCTTGCTGAGCTGCCACCAACAGGGTTTTGTTGCTTCTTTGCAGATGGTTTTGGGACAAATCGAAGAACACAGACGCAGCCACCAGCCAATCAATATCCCTTTCTTTCATGTGTTCCTGAGGAATCTCTGTCAAGGTCTGTCCGAGCGGCTCAATGATAACAGACTCGATCACGGCAAGTTTTATACAGTGTGGGGCTAAAAGAGGCTGTCACTTTCTTTCCACCTTAATTGCTTGCTTAAAACGTGAAGTTACAGCTCAAATACTCCTGTTTGCTTTTGCCATTGGTGTCAGGTACTCTCAGTACTTGTGTCAAACCTCAGTGTAATGATTGCTCAGCTTAAGATGCCTTTAGAGCCTCCTGGAGTGATCTCTTATCGTTGAAAGATAAATAATAATAATAATAATAATATGTAATAATGGGTAGGTGGTCCTGGCTGCACAAGCAGGAGTCCTGTAGCTCAGTGGTTAGAGCACTCGCTTTGCAAGCGAGAGACCTGAGTTCAATTCCAGGCAGAGGGCGAAACCTTGGGCAAGTTTCCTTACTCCACACAGAGCCTAATAATAATCCCTCCAAAAACCAAAAACAATAATAAATTGGTCATTTTCAATCTACGACTGTTTGTGGGACATTGCTGTGCGCAATTGGCTGCCGCGTTCGCCCACATATATACAGTCAATTCACTTTACAGTGTGTTCTGTGAAGCGCTTTGGGACATTCTCCCGACGTGAAAAGCGCTATATCAAATGCAAGGATTATTATTATTAAGCAGCAGTAAGCTGTCTTAAATTGTTTTGCAGAATTTATTGTAAAGTGTAATTACTGTATTTGCGGGTGATCAGTGTAGACAATTTGCGCAGAGCAGAAATAGACAAGAAGATTGACTAATTTTATCACCAAGACATCAAGAGAAACTCCTTTCTCTTTTCATTTAGTGTCATGGGATCTTTCATTTTCTTTTAACCCTTTCATCCGGGTACTGCTCAAGTCCACTTTCTTTCAGCTCGCAATAACTCCTGCCTCTGTCACTATCTTGCCTCTTGAAAGCCTCATCACATCTTTGTCACCTTCATACTTGACTTTTCCAACACCCTGCTCTCTGGCCTCCTGGGCTCTGTCCTCAGAACCCTAGAACTCTGCAGCCTGTTCCCTCTCCCTCACAGACTTCACAAACCCACCACCTCCTATCCTCACACAGTTTCCCTGGCTCCTAGTGGATCAACTTGAAGATCTTTCTCCTCAACTTCAAATGTCCATGGCTTTGCACCACTTCTGTGATGTCCTGCAAACTACTCCTCTGGCCACTCCTTCTTCTTCATTAACTCCAGCTTGCTTAATGCCTCCCATCCACTTAGCAAGCCAATAATGGGAGAGCATTCAGCCAATTTGCCTCTATTTGGAGGTCTCTCCCGTAATCCCTCTGACTTGTTCCTTAACTCTCTGCTGTAGAGTCCTGTAGCTCAGTGGTTAGAGCATTCGCTTTGCTTGTGAGAGACCTGTGGTTCGATTCCAGGCAGGGTGAAACCTTGGGCAAGTTTCTTTACTCCACAAGCCTGATAATAATCCCTCAAAAAAATACAATAATAAATTGGTCATTTCAATTCACAACTGTTTGTGGGACACTGCTGTGCACAATTGGCTGCTGCATTTCGCCCACAAATATACAGTTAATTCACTTTACAGTCTATTCTGTGAAGCGCTTTGAGACATCTAGAAGATGTGAAAAGCGCAATATCAAATGCAAGGATTATTATTATTGTATTTAGATCTCATCTGAAGATCTACACTTTGAGCTTTTGGGGCCCTTCCATTTATTCCCTTCCCCTCCCCTCCTAATTCCCTCCTCTCCTAATTCCCTCTCTGCTTGAGGGCTTTGCGACATTTTACCAACATGAAAGGTGTTGTATAAATTGAAATTTTTGTTGCTTCCTGAAAAATGGCTTGAAAATTAAAGCTGAATTTGAGAATTTTCCATAATTCTGCACCATCTTAAATTTTAAGGATAAGGCTGGGTGGAATTACAGGCCTCTGGATAAGCAATCAAATTGCATTTGATACAGTGCCTTTCATGTCGGAAGGACGTCTCAAAAGTGCTTCACAGGATGTTCTGTAAAGTGAAATGACTGTAGGTGGATCTCAAAACAGTGCCCATCATCCAGCTCCCGACTATTTGCGTTTCATTACAAAATAGTGTCCCATAGCATTGTGGTTAGCGCGTTTGCCTCAGAAGCGAGAGGACCTGGGTTTGATTCCAAGGTGGGGTGAAATCTTAAGCAAGTTTCCTTACTCTACTCGGTGTAAGTAGGAACCTAACTGTTAGTCGATTGAAGAATCACTTTCCGGGCGTACTAATCCCGCCAAAAAGAAAAAGAAAAATTAAGTCACTTGGTCCATGACTGTTTGTGAGACACTGCTGTGCACAATTGGCTGCCACCTTTTGCCCACAAAATACACAGTCGATCCATTTAGTATATTCTGTGAAGAGCTTTGAGACATCTCAATGATGTGATAAGGTGCTATAAAATGAAAGATGTGAAACAGAGGTGTGAAATGTTCACTGCCTGAATTGATTTACAGCGAATCAACTTCAAAATCCTCTTCCTGATCTTCAAATCCCTTTCAGTCTTTCTCCTCCCTAGCTCTGCAACTTTCCCAACCCAACTCTCTCACCTGAGCCCTCTGCTCCTCTGACTCTGGTTTAATGTTAATTCCTCAACTTTTCTATTTCACAGTCAGTGGCCAAACCCTCAGCTATATCTCCCTCCCTCTGAAATTCTTTAAAATATCCCTTTGCCTTGTGTTTTCAAAACCCCTTCTAGAAATGTATCTCTTTCACCATATCTTTGGTCCCTCAAATTCCAAATCCTCTCCTCCCTGATCGGTGATCCTTATCTAAAGGGATATTCCTTTTACAGCCACTTCCTCATAGGATGAATATCTTCTATGTAAAGGGATATTCCTTTGCACCATCTATCTCATAGGATGAATCTCTCCTATGTAAAGGGATATTCCTTTGCTGTATAAATACAAATTGTAGATGCTCATAAAACATTTGAGCTTAAATTATGTGGCTTCAGATATGTGACCATAGAGTTTTACCTTTCCCTCTCCCACCACTGCCAATTATTCTGTGGTTTTCATGGGCTTTTGTGTTCAATCCTACGCCTGCTATTTTCATGCCATTAAAGGGTTGACAAGGTTTCAAATGGTTGGGATGGAGGTGGGGTGGTTTCCTCTCAATTTAAAACTGTTTACTGTTGCTTGCAGGTTCCGGCGTGGAGTTGAAAGAGGACAAGTGCTGGGAAAAGATCGAGGTCTCCTCCAATCACCACAGAACCAGCAAGTTGACAGACAAGAACCCCAAGTCGTACTGGGAATCCAATGGCAGCACAGGGTCCCATTACATCAACATCTACATGCACAAAGGGGTGGTGATCAGGTACATCTGAGCAGAGAGGAAACTGGAGGACCTATTGATAGTTGCACTAGTGTCCTAGAATAGTGTGTGCACTGCATTGCAATTACAAATCTAACTTGACCCTCCAGGGAAGTACTAGGAGGATTTGTTGGGCTTTGTCCTTCAGATAGATATTAAACCAAGGTCCAATCTGCCTATTGAGATGGACAGGTTACAGATCCCACAACACTATTAGAAAAGAGAAGAGAGTTTCTCCCAGTGACTCAGCAAACAAGCCTTAGATAAGATAAGTTGGTCCTTCACTTCATGGCTGTTTGTAGGACCTTACTGTGTGGAAATGGCTGTTTGCTTACAAAATCATAGCCACTATTCAATCCACAACTGTTTGTGGGACACTGCTGTGTGCAATTGGTTGCTCCGTTTTGCCAAAAAAATATACAGTCAATTCACTTTACAATATATTCTGTGAAGCACTTTGAGACATCTCTTTAAGGCGCTATATCAAATGCAAGGATGATTATTATTATTACCATTCTGAGACTTAATTGCTGTGAAGCACTTTGGGATGTTCTGTATTACAAGTGTTGGGTTCAAAGGTGCATGGAACTATCAAACATCCACTATGAAACTTCAGTGCCTGTTGTAGTGGAAGAGAAACTTGTCCTCCAATCCCTTATGTTGGAACATCTCAAGGTGCTTTATAGTTTTTGGTCACCACGACAGGAATGGAATCCTAGTGTTGGAGAAGGTACGATAGCTGTCTGAATTAAAGCTCTGGGAATTAGCATCTGATCTTATAAGAGAGATGGTAAAGGTTGGCAATGTTTTGATTGGAGAAGAGGAAATTTGAGGGGAGATCCTATTAGTCTTTCAGATCCTAAAGGGTGCAGATACAATAAACTCTGACACCGTATTCAGTATGGACTAAAGATACATAACAGGTGGTCATTGTCAGCCATACTTCGGAGGAGAAGTTAAACCTAGGTGGACATCAATGGACCAATTGGTTATTCGTTTTATGGCTGTTTGTGGAACATTGCTGTGCACAAATTAGCTGCTACGTCAGCCTACAAACACGTGGCGTCTTCTCTTGTGTTGCAGACAGCTGACCCTGCTGGTCGCCAGTGAAGACTCCAGTTACATGCCAGCTCGCGTTGTGGTCATGGGTGGGGACGATCCCAGCAATATCAATACGGAGCTAAACACCGTGAGTGACTGCTAGACCAGCTACTCAGCCAGGCTAAGTGAAGGAATCAATGCAGTCAGTCTCTGCTTTGTTCAGTCAATGCTCAACACATTCTGTACTCTCTCTCTCTTACTCTGTAATTAATAATCTTTCAGAGTTTCTTTGCCGCAAACTGTAGTTGCCTATCAATGCTTTGTGGAGTCCTGTAGCTCAGTGGTTAGAGCACTCGCTTTGCAAGTGAGAGACCTGAGTTCAATTCCAGGCAGGAAAACAATAATAAAGTCATTTTCAATCTACGACGTATTGGCTGCCGCGTTCGCCCACAAATAAGTCAATACAGTGTGAAGCGCTTAGGGACGTCCTCTCCCGACGTGAAAAGCGCTATATCAAATGCAAGGATTATTATTATTATTATTATTATTTTAAAAGGGAATCAGATAGATAGAATACACGTGGGAGAAGAAAAGACCAGGTAGCTCACGTGGAGAAAAACACCAGTGCAGAGTGGATGGCCTCATTTCTGTGGTGGAGTATTCAGTCAACATGCTGTAAAACTCTCAATGGGTTAATTTCTGATTCTTTGCCTTGGCTCGTCCACCATGTCAGTACAGGAGGAGAACCAGGGTTTGAGCCTATTGTGTCCTCCCCTCGACGGTACACACTCTGCTACTTTCATGAGCCAATCTAATTCCATTCTTCTGCTCGCTCCACCACATTTTTTAAAGCTTTTTTTTCTTCTAAATTCCTTCTGAAGGAATTTCTGGACTCTGCTTCACCTGTGTCTGTGGCAGAGAATTCCACCTTCCAACCCACTGTGTGCAAAGGAATGTCTTTTAACTTCACCCACAAAATATAGAGTCAGTACACTTTGCAGTGTGTTCTGCGAAGCGCTTTGAGACGTCTCAAAGATGTGACAAGGCGCTATATCAAATGCAAGGATTATTATTATAACTATCCCTTTAATTATTTTTGGCATTATCTTCAATTTGTGTCTTCTCATGACTGACTCTTCGACCAGTGGAAATAACCTATTACTATTAATTCGATTGTAACCCCATTCGTAATCTTCAAGATCTCTATTAGGACACCCTTAACCTTCTCAACTCCTAGTCGGAATTGGAGCCCAATTGTAGACTTCACCCACAACCTTCCCATCTTTCTGGGAGAGATGCAGGTGCATACACATACACAGGGTCATATGACAGGACTCTTATAGGAGCTTGTAGAAAAACTAATATTCCCCCATTCCCTCACATCTTCCGTATTAGCACCTTGTTCTGCCCTACTCTGTGCCGACATTCCCTCTCACCCTCTCTGCCTGCTGGGCCTAGCAGCTCAGGCAGCCCTTGCCTCCGCTGATCTCTCGGAACTCTATGTATACATAGATATAATCTTCAGAGGATGGAGATACAGTAAAACTCACATAAGTCTGAGCTGTATAAATTGTATAATAGCCTAATTCGTACATCTATCCAAGTCCCGTTCAGGAGTTTATATTCTTTGCAAGTTTGACATAACTCATACTTTGCATAAGTAATATTAAATGTAGGGTCTCAAACTGATACAACTTATGAGGTTTACAGTAGCTTGATTGCCCCTGAAGGAGAGAACTTGGTGTGGAAAAGCTTGAATGGCATTGTAGTTCTATGACTTGTTTAACAGCTGGTGTTGGAGTGATACTTCACATCCTTCTGGTCTATGGTTTCCTGTGCTCTAACCTCTTTCTGCCCCTTTCCTCTAGGTGAATGTAGCGCCCACTGCCAACCGTGTCTTACTGCTTGAGAATATGACACGCTACTGGTCCATTATCCAGATCCGTATCAAACGCTGCCAGCAGGTAGGGGATTGTGCATACTGGGAGTGATACTGAGTGTGAAATCAATGCACAAAGCAGCGAGTTGAAGAGAAGATTTAATAGGGATGTTCAAAATTATGAGGGCATTTGATAGAGTAAATAAGAAGAAACTGTTCCCACTGGCGGGTGGAACGGTAACCAGAGCACACAGATTTAAGGTAATTGAGAAAAGAACCAGAGGGGAGATTAGGAGAAATGTTTTTACGCAGCAAGTTGTTACGATCTTGATGCACTGCCTGAAAGTGTGGTGGAAGCAGATTCAATAATAACTATCAAAAGGGAATTAGACAGGTACTTGAAAATAATAAAAAACTGCAAGGCTTTGGGGAGTGGGAGTGATTGGGTAGCTCTTTCAAAGAGCTGGCACAGGCACGAAGGGCCACATGGCCGCCTCCTGTGCTGTAAGATTCTATGGTTTTATGAAATCACTGCACAAACCTACAACCCAAAAAATTCCACCTTGCCTCAGCGGTTGCAGTGTTGCCTCAAGGTTCAAGGCCCGGGTCTGGACTTGGAGCTCACAGTCCAGGTTTGACTTTCCAGTGATTACTTGTAAAGGTATTTGAGATGTTTCTACATGGTAGTTGTTGACCATATGCACTGGATCAGAGTAACGTCTTCTGCTCATTGCACCAGGGCGGGATTGACACACGTGTGCATGGATTTGAAGTTCTGGGCCCAAAGCCGACCTTCTGGCCAGTTTTTAAGGAGCAGCTTTGCTGCCGGACATACCTGTTCTACACAACCAAGGCCCACACCTGGTGTCAGGAGATCCTGGAGGACCGGATGCAACTGCTGCAGCTTTTCAATAAGTAGGTGATCCTCCCTGGCTGTGCTGGGGGGGAGGTGTGGGTGGGAGCAATGTGCCTGGGATGTGTGGCCGTACCTGGGGTGTGGAGCTGAACCTGGCCCAGTGAATAGGACTCTCGCCTCTGAGTTGGAAGATTGTGGGTTCAAGCCCCACATTGAAACTTTGAGCTCACAATCTAGGGTGACGCTCACTTTTAAATTTCACTAATAATAATAATAATATTATTAAATTGAAATCCATCCAACCCCCATCTCGTGCAAACCCTTGACTGTCCAGCGCCTTGACACTTCCTCCCCATGTGAAAGGTGCTATATAAATGCTATTTGTTATTGTTATGTATGCTGTATTGTTTGAGATGCCGCCTTGCAAGCGAGAAGACCCAGGTTCGATTCCCGGGTGGGGCGAAGCTTTAGGCAAGTTTCCTTACTCTGCATGCCTCCGTTTACCTAGCAGTAAGTAAGAACCTGGTTGTTAGACGATTGATGGATTACTTTCCAGGGGTAATAATCCCCCCACCCCCTAAAAAAACATTTTTAGCTCTCAATTCACAAATGTTTGTGGGACACTGGCGTGTTTCGCCCACAAACTACACAGTCAAACCACTTACAGTACAAGCCCTATGAGACGTGATAAGGTGCTATATCAAAATGCAAGGATTATATGATATAAATTGTAATTTCCATGTTTCCGTGACCCAGAAATGTATTCTTCCTCCTCTTTTCGCAGGTTAAACAGCGCTCTGCGGCACGAGCAGATGTTTGCCGATCGCTTCCTACCGGATGCTGAGGCATCCGAGGCTCTGGGAAGGACCTGCTGGGAAGCTCTGATCAACCCCATCGTACAGAGTATCACCACTTTGGGTACGAACCGCATGGCACCAGTGTGAGAGCTGTGGGAGCTCAGCAGATATCATTATAAAAGCAGAGATGTAACCTTAAAATTAGAATCCCAGAGCACTGCTTATGACAGCACAGCCAGCCTGGCTCATCGGCAGGATTTGGAAGGGCAGACCAGCAACTGGGGGCAGGGAAATCTCCCACTCAGCTCCTGTTAACCTTGCAAGCCAAAGCCCTAATGGGGTATTTGAAGTGTTTCTACCTGATAGTTGTTGACAAGCAGCTGGACAAGCAGCAATATTTATTGGATGTCAGGTAAAATCATGAACATTGTTCACATGTAGCAAGTAACATTTTTCACCAGGCTGGCCGCCCCATTTTTGTATCTGAATCCCAGTGACGATAAGGGCAGCAAGAAGTTGTTCGTCGTCTGTCCATTCTCTTCGTTCAGTAGGCTCCGGCCTGGTCCATGTCCCCTGCCCTTGGTGGTTGCTCGTTCAGCCTTTCTGCCCCCGCCCTTTGGAACTTCATCCCACAGTCTGTTCGCCTCACCCCCTCCTTGCCTCCTTCAAGGCCTGTCTCAAGACCCTCCTCTTTGACTATGCCTTTAGTCACCCTCTTATCCCCACCCTCCCTCCCCTCCATCCCTCCTGATCCCAACTCCCAATTCAGGTCCAAATCCCTGAGCGTTCAGTGCATTGGAACGTCCTCAAGATGAGAAAGGCACTGTATAATTGTAATTTGTTGTTGTCTGGATATGCTGTACTCTATTGTAATTGCAATGAGTGGAGCCTCTGCTCACTTGGTCTCTTCACCTTTTCACTTCTAACTCGTCCTCATTGCTGTCTGGCAGGTAACGCTGATCCCAGCCCCCTGACCTGGCTGCTAACTGAATACCTGGAGAATTCCGATAACTCCAAGCGTGGTAAAGGCCGGGCCGTCATCTTCAACTCCCGGGTGCGACGCCTCTGCCACCTCCTGGTCCACGTCGACACCAGCCGCAACGAGGTGGAGGAGCTAAAACCAGCCATCAAATCCGGTAAGTACCCAGGTCCTGAACGGCCGGTTTAACCCTGAAAGAGCCAAAGGTGTTATGTGGGTTGTTTGAGGTGTCGTTATTTGGATTAAGTGTTAAACAACAACAACAAAATTACATTTGTAAAGCGCCTTTCATGTCGGGAGGACGTCCCAAGGCGCTGAACAGACATGGACTCGAGCTGAGGGTCAGGGTGGGGGGGTGGAGGGTAGGGGAGGAAGCAGGGAGATCGAAAGCATGGTTGAAGAGGATGGTCTTGAAGGTGGCGAGGGAAGGAGGCCAGAACCCGCTGAGCAGAGGGAGCGGACAGGGAAATAGGGGGTTAGGAGGTCAGAGGGATAGGGGGGAGCAAGACCATGGAGGGCTTTTAAAGTGAAGACCAGGATCTTGAACTGTATTCTCTGTGAGATGGGAAGCCAGTAGAGTTGGGCAAGGATGGGGGTGATAAGGTTGCGGAGCCGAGTGAGGGAGAGGAAACGGGCTGCAAGTTCTGGATGATCTGCAGCCTGTGGAGGTAGGAGTTGGGGAGGCCGACAAGCAGTGAGTTTGCATTGTCGAGTCTCAATGTAATGAAGGCATGTATGAGGGTTTCCAGTGTGAGACAGTGGCAGAGTTGGGTGATGTTGCAGAGGTGGGGGAAGGCAGAGCGAGTCATGGTGCAGATGTGGGGTAGAAAGGAGAGTTGAGGGTTAAACAAGACCCCAAGGTTCCGGACTGGCTTAGTAAGATGGAGTGTGCAACCATGGATGGTGATGCTGTCAGCGCCTGAGGTGAGGAGGCGCTGACGGGAGCCAATTAGGAGAGCCTCGGTCTTGTTGATGTTCAACTGAAGAAAGTTAGCTTTCCTCCAAGACTTGATGTCTGACAGACATTCTGTCAGCACAGCAGTGGTCCTGGAGTCAAGAGTGGAGGCAGAGAGATAGAGTTGGGTGTCATCCGCATACATGTGGAAGTTGACCCCATGTCTGCAGATGATGTTACCAAGAGGGAGCATATAGATGTTGAAGAGGAGGGGACCAAGGACAGAGCCTGAAGAATGCTGCACGAGACGTCCGGGGGCTAGAGGAGAAGTCGTTTGAGGAGAAACTGCCCCATCTGTTCAGATGGATGTTATCAATCCTGCAATGCTCTTGGCCAATACCCCACAATGGGTTCCAAGTGGCTGATCTCAGAGCTCTACCTGTCTTCACTATTCCACTTCTTTCACCACTCATTTTCTGTGCATAAAGTCGAATGGGTTATAGGCTGCCAGTTACAGTAATCCCACAAACATGAGATAAATGACAAGTTATGAGGAGAATTAATTGGCCAGCGCACCAGAAGAAGAACACCCTTTGCTTTTCCAATATTGTCACAGGAACATTTATCTGAACAGCCTCATCCAAAGGATGACATCTCTGTCATCACAGCCCTTGCCCTAGTATTGCTTTGGAGTGACAGTCAAATCTGTGAGATCAAAGTCCTGATCTGGAGCTTGAATCCACAACCTTCTGACCCTGAGATTAGTGTATTACCGGCTGAGTAAGATTGACTTCAGTAGGGGATTGAAGATTGACTTCAGTAAAGATCAGTACAAGTGCCAGGTGGATGGCAATGGTCTGTCTGCTCTGGTTCTCAATATTGCAAGCACGAGGACCTGGGTTTCATTCCTGGGTTGGGCGAAGCGTTCAGCTGGTTTCCTTACTCCACATGCCTCTGTTTACCAGCAGTAAGTAGGAATCCGGTTTGTAGTCAATTGGCGGATCGCTTTTCCGGGGGTATTAATCTCTCCAAAAATAAAAAAATAAAAATTTGGTCACTCAATCCACGACCGTTTATGGAACACTGCTGTGCGCATTTCAAATACACTGCTGTGTGCATTTCACCCACAAAATACACAGTCAGTTCACTTTATAGTTTATATATTCTGTGAAGTGCTTTGAGAGGTCTCAACAATGTGATAAGGCACTAATGCAAGGATTATTATTGTTATAATATAAGTGTTCATGGCCAAATAGAATTAAAACCCAGCCTGTGTTAGTGAAGCACTGGATAACAATTCTGGAGGGTGGAGGCTAGTTAAAGTCAATTGGGACATCCTCAGTTTGAGACCATGTCTGTAATCACTGTGACGTTTGCATTGCAGATGGCAAAGACAAATCAAAAGACGGTGGCAGCAGTAGCACATCCGGGAAAGGGCAACCCAGGAGCAAGCCGGGCAGTATTGCTGGCATAGCTCAGTGCTGGCATGCAGTGGTGCAGCAACAGGTGAGCATTGCCCAATGGTAGCCCAGCAGGGGAACGAGCACCAGCATAAACACAATGGGAGAAAAAGCAGAGCAATGGGATTGAAATAAATAGCTCTAGTGCGGGAACTATTAACAATATGAACACAACAATAATAATGATGATTAATAATAATACATTGTTATTATTAATTAATATAGATAATTATTTGGGGAGGACAAGTTTGCAGGGCTATGGGGAGAGAGCGGGGGAGTTGGATTAATTTGGATAGCTTTTTTCAAAGAGCTGGCACAGACATGATGGGCCGAATGGCCTCCTTCTGTACTGTATAATTCTATGATTCTATGAATATTGATAATAATCCTTGCATTTGATATAGCGCCTTATCAGGTTGTTGAGATGACTCAAGGCTCTTCACAGGATAAAGTGAAATATATTTTGTGGGCGAAATTGAATAATATTTAAGTTATTAAATTTATTCAATAAATTATTATTATAATAATACAAATTGAATGTGGCACTGTAAAACAAATGTAGTTCCTATAACCCTCAGAGCAGTTGGTACTGATAAAATTATTCAAAAATGGCTTGAGCAAAATACCAGATGAACAAAAAATATATAAAGTGGCAGTGTTAATGGTCTGACTGACCCGTCAATGAAAAACATTTGGGAAAACATTTAATACGTTACGTAGAGAAATACAGCAGCTAATCTGTACCACCCTTAAACAACATTGAGATGAGCAGCCAACTTATTTGAATTTGAGGATCAATTTGGATGAGGAGGGAATGCTAAGACAGGACAACTGGGACACCTCTTCCCCCGGGATTGTGAATGTGAATGTGTTTAGATTGTGTTTGAAAGTTAATTGTACAATATTTTCTTCCCGTCAGGTGAAACACTTCCTTGACGGCGCGTGGAACTCAACGGACTTTGTTCAACGCTACAGAAACATGTACCTGAGGCTTAAGAACGCCATGGAGGAGTTGTTCGGCCAGCAGACGGCCTTTGTCTTGGCGCTCCGCAAAGGCTTCTCGGGGGGTCTCTTACAGCTCTCCCATCTCACTGCCATGCACGTAAGTCCCTGCGTCAACTCCTTCCCGTCCCAGTCCCAATCCCTGCTCGTGTCTCAGCCGCAACCCTCCCCCTGCCCATGTCCCAGCCCCCCCCCTGCTCATGTCCCAGTCCGAACCCCTGCCCGTGTGTCCAAGAGCCAGCACCCCTTCTCCCTGCTGACCAAGGGTATCTCTCCCAGGTGAGCGAGAGGTTTGCACAGTACATTGATCAGCGGATCCAGGAGAGCGGGGCAGACGCCAGCAGTGTGGAAACGCTGAACCAGTTGCAGCAGTTCTTGGAACCGATGCTGTTCTTCTCAGGCCTGGAACTGGCCAACATCTTCGAACATTTCTACAGGTACTCGTTCCGATGGTGATACTTGCTCCGAGCTGACAGTAATCAGAGCCTCCAGCATAGAGTCCCGAGTCAGTCGCGCACTCTGGCCCTTCATACAAACCGTCTTGTCACATGGTTGGTCAGTCGCGTAACATTTAAAGGGAATTGTTTCAGCAGTCGAAGAGGAATCATTTCTATCGTGCACAGTCACTATGCTTGCAATAATTAGCCGTGAAGTGCTTTAAGACATTTTTCTTTGGTGAGCCAAGTATCTGACATGCACGGAAACCTATCACCATGCATTAGAGTATCCAAACCCAATTGAGAATTCCATGCATCCCATCTACACATGGAAATTCCAGAGATAGATTATTGGAATGCGCATTCCCTCCCTGGAGGGACACATCCTGCTTGCTTAATTCCTGAAAGTATTAAGCGCAGGCTGGCAAGAGCTAAGGCTTGTGGACCCCAGTGTGTGCATTGGGGTAACTGCTAGAGTCTCTCTTTGCCTGATGATACAGGTAACCAGCTTAAAACTGCATAGCTTGGCATTGAGAGGCAAGTTTATCCACTGCTTGTCCAACCAGGAGCTGAGTTGGATGACTCCCTGCCCCCAGAGACTGGTCTGCCCTTCCAGGTCCTGCTGATGAGCCAGGCTGACTATGCTGTCATCAGCTGTGCCCTGGGATACTGAGGACCCTCCTGGCTCAGGAACCAGACCCAAGACCGTCACAGAGGGCTGGCTTGATTCTGACATTCCATTGCCAACATTTCACCTTGGAAGCCAGTTCAGCTCCAAGGAGACCCCGTTTACCTCTGCTGGCTCTCCCTCATCCCAACCCTGTCCCTGCCCCCCCCCACACTCGGGTGCTGATCCCTGACTGTTCAGCCCCTTGGGACGTCCTCCCAACATGAAAAGCGCTTTACAAATGTAATGTTGCTGTTGTTTAAGACATCTTAGACAATATAGGTATTGCACCAAATGCAAGGATTGTTAGAAACCAAAAGTGCATGGAAGTCGTTTTACAATAAAATTAACTGAGCAATCTGACGTGTTGGTTCGCATATTTAGGTACTACCTGGGAGACCGGCTGCTGGGACAGGGGAAAGTGTGGCTGGAGCGAGCCATCATCGACCAGATCGGCAGCTGCTTCCCCGGCAGGTTCCCGCAGCAGATGCTGAAAAACCTGAGCGAGTCCAATGAGCTGCAACAGGAATTCCACCTGTACCGGCTTCAACAGCTCGACAAGAAACTGGAGAACATGGACGATGAGGTGAGTTCTGTGAGCTATTCCAGTGACGTGAGGGAGCTCAGTGCTGTGACATAACATAGGAAGAGGAGTAGGCCATTCAACCCCTCGAGCATATCTGTACCTCAACTCCATTTACCTACCTTTGCTACATTTCTGTTCATACCCTGACCTAACAAATATCTATCCATCTCAGTCTTGAAGATGTGAATGGATCCAGCATCCACAGCCTTTTGGGGGAGAGACTTCCAGATTTCTACTACCCTTTGGGTGAAAAACTGCCTCCTAATTTCACTCCTAAATGGCTTTATTCTTAAGATTATGCCCCCTTGTTCTCAATTCCCCATCAGAGGAAATAGTTTCACCGTATCTACCCTATAGAATCCCTTTATTATCTTAAGTCAAGTTTATACAACCTGTCCCCACAATTTAACCCTTTAAACCCTGGTATAATTCTGGTGAATACCCAGTGACATGAGGGAGGTGTGTGCTGTGACATGATCCAGTGATGTGAAGGCGGTGTGTGCTGCGATCAGTGATGTGAGGGAGGTGTGTGCTGTGATCTGACCTGGCTGTATGAAGCAACTTGTGGAGTGAAGGTGTGAGATATGGCCTGTTGTTTAGGTGATGGAGGAGGTGGAGATGCCGCTGGCAGAGCCGGAGACGGAGCTGGCGGTGCTGGTCCTATCCCCGCGCTGCTGGTCTATCTCTCTCTGCCACCTGGAGAACCCGGCCCGCTACTTCCCACCGGACCTCAGTGACTTCCTGGAGGAATTCTCCGATTTCTACACTTCCAGTGAGTATAGAAGGTGTTGTGGATAAGTTTGTGTAAAATCCATTATAACACTGGTTTGGGTCCATAAAAATAAATAATAATTGCATTTGATTTTTTGGGGGTCAGCCACCACATGTGGAAACTGATCACCATGTTTAAGAGTATTTTCTAAATGGTGAGAAACTATGACTGTGGAAGAGCAAAGGGATTTGGGTATCCACGTACACAAATCATCAAAAACAAGCTCACAGGTACTAAAAGTTATCAGAAAGGCTAATGGGCTGTTGGCCTTTATCTCAAGGGGACTGGAATATAAAGAAGAGAAGATGCTGCTTCAACTATATAGAGAATGGTCAGACCCCATCTGGAGTACTGGGTTCAGTTTTGGGCACCACACCTCAGGGAAGATATATTGGCTCTGGAGGGGATGCAATGTAGATTCACCAGAATGATACCAGAGCTTAAAGGGTTAAATTATGGGGACAGGTTACATAAACTTGGTCTCTATTCCCTTGAGTTTAGAAGGTTGAGGGATGATCTGATTGAGGTTTTTAAAATAAAAGAGGGATTTGATAGGATAGATACCGAGAAACTATTTCCTCTGGTGGGGGAATCCAGCACAAGGGGGCATAATCTTAAAATTAGAGTTAGGCCATTTAGGAGTGAAATTAGGAGGCAGTTTTTCACCCAAAGAGCAGTGGAAATCTGGAACTCTCTCCCAAAAGGCTGAGGATGCTGAGGCAAGGGCAGGTAATTAGACTTGAGGTACAGATCAGCCATGATCTTATAGAATGACGGAACAGGCACAAGGCTGAATGACCTACTCCGTTTCTGTTTTGGGATGCATGGTGATGGGTTTCTGTATGTGTCAGACACCTGCTGACCTTAAAAAAAACAAATGCAAGGATTACTATTCATTATTATGGACCCATATAGCACTAAACATCTCACTAAAGCACTTTAACAGGATACACTGTAAAGTGCAATGACTGTGTATTTGCAGGCGAAAGCAGCAGCCAATTTACAACCAGCAGTGTCCCAAAAACAACCAAGAAATGAATGACCCATTTTATCTGGTGGACTTATAACAGCCACCCTGCAGAGAGAAACTATTCCACTGCTTAGTGAGCCAGTAATGTCAATTTAAGATCATCTGCAAAAACACAAAAGGAGAGTGTTTTACACAGAGAGCTATTGTGTGGAACACCCGACCAGAAACATTGGTGGAAGCAAAAAGCTTTTAAGAAGGAATTAGATTGTTGTATTAGAAAAGTGTGTGCCAGCCTGTCCCAGTGGTAGAATTCTCGCCTCTGCATCAGAAAGTTGTGAGTTCAAATTCCATGTCGGGACTTAAACTCACAGTCTACGATGACACTCCCAATGCATTGCTGGAGGTGTATTGCATTGTCGGAGGTGTTGTCTTCAGATGAGACATTAAACTGAGGTCCCGTCTGCCTGTTCAGGTGGACATTAATGATCCATTGGCACTATTCGGAAAGAGAAGGAAGTTTCTCCTGGTTTCAAGGCCAACAATCTCGTAAATAAAATTGGTCATTTGTTTCATTGCTGTTTGTGGGACATTGTTGTGTGCAGTTGTACTGTCGCATTTGCCTACAAATACACAGTCACTCCATTTCACAGGAAATCCTTTTAGACTGCCTTCCGACGTGCTGAGGCGCTGTAACAAAGCAAGGGGAAAAAACGGATTGTATGTCTATGTACTAACAGCTTTCAATGAGCCAGCACAAGTTTGATGGGTATAATGGCCTCCTGTGCTGAGATTGTAAGCGCCACATTATCCGAAACAAATCAGTGTAATCCACATCACAACAAAGGCCATATCTGCCACACTCCCACCACATGTAGCTCAGTGGTTAGAGCACTCGCTTTGCAAGCGAGAGACCCGAGTTCAATTCCCGGCCGAGCGAAACCTTGGGCAAGTTTCCTTACTCCACACCCCTAATAATAATCCCTCCAAAAACCAAAAACAATAATAAATTGGTCATTTTCAATCTACGACTGTTTGTGGGATATTGCTGTGTGCAATTGGCTGCCGAGTTCGCCCACAAATATACAGTCAATTCACTTTACAGTGCATTCTGTGAAGAGCTTTGGGACGTCCTCCCGACGTGAAAAGCGCTATATCAAATGCAAGGATTATTATTATTATTAATCGATTTAAAGATCCTCACCTGATTTTCAAATGCCTTGCCCAACTACCTCTGCGCTCTCCTCAGACTCCTCAAATTTCCCATCTGCTGTGTAACCTCCCATGTCCTCTACCTTCGGATGTCAAGCTTTCAGCCACACACTCTCCTCTCTCTTTCTCTCTCTCAAATTCCTCCTCAATTCATTCTGCCTAACATCTGCCCTCCTATCCCTGTCTTCAAAAGTGCCCGATAATTTTTCTCTGTGACTGTGCCTCCCCACCCCCCTCCGCACCCGCTCAGTGATTCATACCATCCTTTGTGGAACGCTTCAAGCTGCTCTCCTACGTGGAAGCCCAATGCAGTTTATAATGTAAAATTTCTAATGTTTGAAAGTTTTAGTTGGACTCTGACTCCTGTCTCCTCCTCTCTCCCCCACCCACTCTCCCCAGGTCAGAGCGTGTATGGCTTCAGCAGCACTAAGCCCCGGCGGTTGCAGTGGACGTGGCTCGGACACGCCGTGCTGTCCTACGGATCCCTAACGCTGCACGTCTCCACACTGCAGATGTACATCCTGCTGCTGTTTAACCAGCAGGAAGTAAGGCAGCCACTGGGCCAGAGGGGTGGGGGGGGGGGGGCACTGTGAAGGGGGGGGTGAGATGACAGTGTGGGTGCGCGGACGGAGAGGGAGGGGTGGAGGCAGGAAAGTGTGTGTTCTTTCTTATCAAGACTGTATTGGTACTCGCTCTCACGGTTGAATAAGCTCAGTACACAGTTACTGTCGTCTGCGTGTAAGGTGCTCTGAAACGCTCCATCACATGAAGGTGTACTGTAAAAATGCAAGTTATTTTTGCGTGTGCATGTGTGAGACCTTTCATCAGAACTGTTTAAGAGTTTAACGCCTTGTTCACTCTGGGCTCTCCCCTCTTGTCAGGAAATTGCCGTGGAGACCATCTTACGTTTGACAGGGTTGTCCTTGGTTCTGGTCCAGCACGCACTCAAGCCTCTGATCGAAGAGGACGGTATCCTCTCTCACACACAGACTGAGCAGAGTCAGTTCAAAGGTAGGTATGCCCGCCCAGCACTGCAACCAGCTCCTCAAGCTTCATCCGTCCATCTTACTCACTATTGAGAGCACTGTCTGGCAAACTTCCGACTCGCTGCTTTTCCAGCTGGTACCACCCTTCCTATCGGGGCTTAGGTTTGCAGGGTTAACAGAAACCAAGAGGAAAGATCCCTGCCTCCAGTTACTGGTCTGTCATTGGTGCACTGGAGTGTTGCACACCTGCCTGACTCAGGACCTGGCCCATAGAACCGTGGAAATTTACAGCACAGAAGAAGGCCATTCGGCCATTGGGTCTGTGCCTGCTGCTTTAAGAGAAAACCTTTCAGTCTCATTTTACTTTCCTCAAACCCCTGTTGTTGACTCACTTTTAAATATTTGTTGAGTTCCCTTTTGAAAGCGAATGTGGATTCTGCCTTAAGCACTGCAGGGTATTCCATATCCTAATTACTCTGTGTGTGAAAAACTTCCTCCTAACCTCCTCATGTGCTCATTTACTAACTATTAAATTGTTGTCCTCCAGTCACTGACTCATAGACCAGTGGAAGTAATCTCTCCCTATTGACTATCAAATATAGGGTTGCAATCCTGAGATTTTGGGAGCAACAACAACAACTTGAATTTATATAGCGCTGCTCAAGCAGAGTAGAGTCCCAGAGCACTATTACAATACACAATCCAGGCATCCCATATGGGAATGGTGCTCTCAAATTCCTGGGATTGTAACCTTCATTCAAAACTCCTCAACCTTCTTTGTTCCCAACGGAAAAAATTCCAGATCGACCAGTCTCTGCTCACAGGTCAAACCAATCATTCCTGGTATCATCATCAACAACAAAATTACATTTATAGAATGCCTTTCACATCGGGAGGATGTCCCAAAGCACTGAACAGTCGGGTGTCAGGGCCCGAGCATGGGGGAGGGCTGGTGTAGGGGTGAGGGAAGGCAGAGAGGTGGGAGGGTGACCGAAGGCATGCTCTAAGAGAAGGGTACTGATACCTGCCTTGAAGGAGGTAAGGAAGGAAGTGAGGTGAAGAGACCGTGAGATGGAGTTCCAGAGTGTGGGGGCAGAGAAGCTGAAAGCCCGGCCACCGATGATAGGGTGGGTCAGGCAGGAGACATGGAGCAGGCCAGAGCCCACTGAACGGAGGGAGCGGGCAGGTTGGTAGGGAGTCAGCAGGTCAGAGAGGTAGGAGGGGTAAGGCCATGGATGGCCTTAAAGGTGAGGATGAGGATCTTGAACTCGATCCTCTGGGGGATGGGGAGCCAGTGGAGTTGGGTGAGGGTGGGAGTGATGGGGTCACGGAGCCTGGTGCGTGAGAGTACACAATCTGCAACTTGTGAAGGGAAGAGTTGGGAAGGCCGATAAGGAGGGAGTTCCTGTAATCGAGCCTTGTAATCATCCTAGTAAATCTCCTCTGCATCTCCCAGAACAGTAGTTGTTGGCCATTACCAAAAGGTCGGCCAACAAAATAAAACTTCTTGATTGAATATTTCTTGATTGATGCCATGAATCAAGAAATAATCAATCAAAAAAAAATACATTTTCTATCGAACCCCAATTTACCTAGACTCGTGTGAATGTTCAGGGGATCGCTTCTTAACTGTCCTACTGGCCACGGGCCACAGTATGGCCACTATTACCCTAGAGATGACTGACTCGATTCTGACATTCTAATGTACAGCAGCTTGGTTTAAAGCATGTTTTGAGAACTTTTGCAGGAAGGGCCCAGTGCCCGAGTACAGCAAAACTCACATAAGTCGTATCATTCGGGACCATAACATTTACTATGACTTGCACAAAGTCTGAGTTGAAAGCAAACTAGAAGTCGTAGAAAATCCGATTTAACTTTCAAAAGGGAACTGGATGTTTACTTAAAAAGAAAGCTTTGCAAGGCTATGGGGAAAGAGGGGGGGGAGTGGTATTAATTAGGTAGCTCTTTCAAAGAGCCATCACAAGCACAATGGGCCAAACGGCCTCGTTGTATGCTGTACGATTCTGTAATTCTATCAGTAATCTACACTGCATGTGCTATACACATATTGTTGTTGTTTAGAGCTGTGAGACTGGGCAAATGGTGCGATATTAGACGAGCGAAACACTCACTCTGTTTTACCTGCAGCGGTCCTGAGGCTGAACGGTGAAGCATTGGAAAGAGGTTCGGTGGTTAGTCAGTGCTACACACTGCTGCCGAAGCAAACTTACCTGAACGTGGATGAAGATGCTGCCAGTGCTCTGGATCGCAAGAGGAATGTTATCTACTGCATCATTGTGCAGATCATGAAGTCCGAGAAAGAACTGCACATCGACAACCTGGTCTTCAAGGTAACAAACCACCTTTGGATTCGTCTGTAAAAATAAACATAGAGTGGTGAATATAGGTTAACCACATGTACTTATTATTATATTATAGCGTCTCGCAGAGTTTGACACCATGCGAGGGAGAAGAAAGACGTGACCATAAGTGCAGGCAAAGCATTTAAGTCTTCTGTGGGATTTAAAGATCGATAAAGAGCTGGCGAGGCGGAGGGATTGAGACAGGGAGTTCCAGAGGTTAGGAAAGTAGTCACTGAAGGCACAGACACTGATGGTGGAGTGAGGGATTGGGGAACATTCAGCAGGTCTATGCCCACTGAGCAAAGTGGATGCGCAGTGGAGTGGGGTACAAGCAGGTCCGAGAGATAGGGTGGTGCTGGGGCGAGAAGGTATTTGTAGGTGAGGATCTTGCAATTGATCATTAGGGAGATAGGAGGCCAGTGGAGCCTGGCAAGGATTGAAGTCCGGAGTTTGGTGCAGGTGGGGATGCGGGCAACGGAGATTTGAGATGAATGAGCTTACAGTCACCTCCTCCCTCACACTGACTCGACGTCAGGCTTTGCCGCTGTTAGGCACTCTGAGACTCTGCCCCGCTTTATAACTGCAAGTTGTTGTTTTGAGTGAATTCCCCTTTTAAAAGGAAATTAGCCAAATATTTGAAAAACGTATCAACAAACACCAGCACTTGACATAATTACCTGTGAAGCACTTTGAAATGTTTTGAAGTTTTTAGAAGCTGTATCAGTACAATAAAAAATTGCATTTGTATAGTGTCTCACGTCGGGAGGACGTCTCAAAGCGCTGGACAGTCAGGGATTTAGACCCGAGCAGGGTGATTGGAATCAGGGAGGGTAGAGGGTAGAAGGGTGGCCGAAGGCGTGGTCGAAGAGAAGGGTCGTGAGGCGTGCCTTGAAGGAGGCAAGCGAGGGATCGAGGCAAAGGGACTGGAATGGAGTTCCAAAGGTTGGGGGCAAAGAGGCTGAAGGCCCAACTGCTGATGTGGGGCGGTCCGTTTCAACTGCGCCTTTGGTCACCCTCTCCCTTGCCTCCTTCAAGGGCCGTCGCACGACCCTTCTCTTCGACCACGCTTTCAGTCACCCTCCAACCCCACCCTCACTGCCCTCCAAACCCACCCTCCGTGCCCTCCACCCCTCCTGATCCCAACCCCCAGCTCGGGTACAAATCCCTGACGGTCCAGTGCCTTAAGACCTCCTCCCGACGTGAAAGGCGCTATACAAATGTAATTTGTTGTTGTGTCATTTTGTGAGGCTATTGCTTGACTTGGCTGATCCGTTTGCAGGTGATTGACAGGTGTCAGAGTCAGGAGACCAGTGCTGCCCAGCGGTTCCTCCAGTTCAGCTGCAGCAACATGGACGTGCTGTGCTGCATCATGCACCTCATCAACGAAGGCTACGTTAGGCGAAACGAGGATAACCCGCACATCCTGGAGTACGTGCTGGAGGACCCCATCACCCCACGGAAGGGACAGGCGCACATAATGTTCCGAAAGCCGGGGTCAAAGGGCTCGGAATCAAACAATGGCAAAGAGAATTTATCAGTATTTAGGTAACCCCGTCATACGGCTCTCAGCCTCCGTTCTACTCCGGCACTATCGGCAATTTTAAGTTCTTTTTGTAATTGACTTTAACCTTTTAGTTGCACACACTCCCACACGCACCCACCCACACCCCCACACACCGCCTCTCCCCCACGCAATCCTCCCCCACCACACGCACAACCCTCCTCCCCCTCCCCACATACACACAATGGAGGCTTGAAATTCCTCTCAGCCTGCAAGGCCGTGTTGTCTTCAGATTTCCATCTGGGAGTTTCCTGTCCCACCTTAAGTTGGAAGTTGGTTGATCCTGTTCTTTTGAAAGAACCACGGAAAACCGTCTTCCAAACTGAGACTGGTTTTAACAATTTGTTGCCGTTCTAATTTGCCACAGTAAGCTTGAAGAGCACATGGCCTGGGTTTGAGGCTGAGGCTTGGTGGAGATTGGAGCCTCTCAGAACTGTATGGCTGGCAGGCTGGGGTTGGGACCTGCAGCCACTTTGGCTTTTATTTAAACTAAAAAAAAAAGCACCTTTGTTTTGTCCTGTTTTTGCGGGTTTGAAGCAGTTTGTTCATAACTGCTTGATATAAGGAGGAGATGGAGAGCAGTGCCACACTGACCCAGCAAGGTTCATACCCATGCTTACCCCACAATTGTGGAGAGGCTCTGGTGGGGGAGATACCTATTTAAAATTAACAGGCAACCGATATCCCAAAGTCATTGAAGGACAAAACAGGGCAGTCTTTTTGCCATCTCCAGTAGCTCTCCCTGTGTTGCACTTGTGGGTGGACACTCCCCAACCTGTGATTAACCACAGCTGCTCTTTTCTCTTCAAGGAAATCGATCGGGTAAACTGGTTTGGGATGGGGTGTGGGGTTAGCAAATCAGCCTCAGCTGTCTTTGCACAACATTTATTATCTTCCACTCGCGCACACACACACCAATTTCTAGAGGCGCGTTTATAGATTGAGATGATCCACTGGTCTGTAGAAACTAAGCTAGTTTCATTTAGGTTATGAAATGAGAGTAATCAAGTCATCTCTTGTGAATTGAAGTGGACAGTAGACTCCTCTTACTGTATCTCACTTGATCTTCCTCTTCCTCCCACCCACACCCCAGGAGGGCTAGGATACACAGACTGAAAGGTGACAGGTTTGGGATTCTCTGGGGCTGTCTGAATTTAGCTGCTCTCAGCCAGGACAGGGTTTGAGGTTGTTACTTGTTAGCCTAGAGTTAAGACGGGATAGGACGAGGGTTCCCTGCTCCTGATCGCTAGCGAGCTTTCCCCTCCTCCACCCTTTTGCTGGAAGCTGCGTGAATGTGGACATTGGGTAAAGGATAAGATTGGGCTCAATTATCAACTATGATTCCCCACACTGAGGGCAGGGAATCATTCCATTAACCCTGCAAGCCACAACCCTAATAGGTAGGGTGGACCTAGATGGTCAAGCAGTGGGAAAACTTGTCAGACAGTGCTCTCAATGGTAAGCTGTGCAGTTTTAGCTGGTTAGACTCCAGCAGTTACGCCAACGCCCTCTGGGGTCCCCATGCTATGGCTCTTGCCAACCTGCGCCTAATACTTTTCTGAATCTCTGGTTGTAGGTGGGATGTATGGAAATCTCAGTTTCTTTTGGATGCTCTTATGTATGGTGATGGGGTCCACATGTGTCAGACACCTGGCTGACCAAACTCCACTCCTCCCCACCCCAATGCCGAGGAAAAGGCAAGTCTCTCCTCAAAGCTCAGCATGGGAGAAATGATCAGTAGGAATGAGAGAGGTACCACAAAGGTTCCTGAGGGATGGTTGCCAAGGATAAGGAAAAAGGGAGCAGAAGAAGATGTGGCGAGCAAGATGACAGTTAGACCCCAACCCCAACCCCACCCCCACGCTCGCACACACATATACACACACACACACATCCCTGACTGTAACTCTGGGAACATGACACTGTAGCTTCAGCCATGAGCTGCAGCTGATACAGAGGGAATAGTTATCAGGCCACAGTCCTGTTGTGGGTTTGGGTTTGCCACTGAGCTGTGTTGTGTGAGAGTCTGGAGTTTGCAGTCAGTGTTGCAAAATCAGGCTTATTTTAGGAGCTGAACAGAAAAGTGCGTTTTACGCAGACCATGATTGTACCTGATCATTAAAACAGCTTCGTGTGAACTCGTGTCCTCTACGTTGCTGATTGACTTGATGTCTGTACCAGCAGCTCGGCCTAGATTGTCTCGTATGAACCAATACTGTAATAAAATGTTCTTTACAAATTTCTGTTCATCTTAATCGCCCTCTTTTTGGTTTTGTTTAGTCATCGGGAACACCTCAGGCGGGTAATGTCCGACTCAGGTCCCTCTATCTCCGGTCAGTCTGTCTCCAAACTCACAGACTTTCTTTCTCCCTCCCCCCCTCTCCCCCACCTAAATCAATTCATTATTCAGCAGTGTTGTAACCAGCTAGTAAGTGGCAAGAGGGTCAGTGGAGAGAATGGTGTGGGTAGTGCTGTCTGGGGTTGCTTCATATGTAAGCCCAGCCCTGAGCAGACAGACAGTCTAACCCAGCTCTGAGCAAACAGACCGTCTAACCCAGCTCTGAGCAGACCCAGCACAGGGAGGCCTTGGCCATTATTGCTGCCTCAGGGTTTGATGTAGGTTAGCTCCGGGTGTGGTTAGACCAGAAAATATTCTTCATTCAGGTGGGATCTCTTCTGCCCCCTCCTCTCCACCTCTTCTCCCCTTTATTCCCCTTTCTTTTCTTCTCTCTGATTCCGAATCATCAAAAACTAATGAAACGTACCGCACCTGACACAGCTTAAAATCTCTTCGTAAAATTAAGGACCTCGACACATCACCTGTGAGTGAATGTGGACGTGGGCTTGTCCTTTCCAACAAACAGTGGTCCACAGTGGTGGGGAGGGGTGGAAGGCCAGTAGCCCACAAACAAGACTGCACGTTTGCAGTCAGATTTAAAGCAACAGAAAAACGTTCACATGTCGCCTACTTTCATTTTTAAATAGCAAAAAAATGTTGGCATCAAGAAGGTTCAGAAGCTTGAATTAATATTTGACAAACAGTTTTAAAATGTGGGGAAGGAGCAGGAGAAATGGGGATGGAATCAATAGCAACATGGTATCAGCATAGGCTGAATGGGTCCATATGGTGTCTCTCTCACTCCCGAAACTGCAATTTCTACAATTTGTAATCAATGATTTCTATGATTAAAAGTGCGTGAATTTTATGATTCTTAACAGTGATTTCTATGATTCTAAGGCTGAGATTTTGACAATTCAATGGATGTGATTTCCATGTTGCTAAAGCTATGATTGCTATGATTCTGAGGCTGTGATTTGCAGAATTCTAAACGTTGGGATTTCTGTGATTGAAAGATCTGTGAATTTATGATGCTAACGCATGTGATTTCCGTGATCCTAAGTCTGTGATTCCTGCAAATCTGAGTTTGCGTTACCACAATTGCAGAGATAATATTAAAAAGATTGTGTGTGTGCGGGGGGAGGTGGAGGTGGGGGGTGCTTTGTATCCAGCCATAAATGCCCAATAGACTGGCTATTGCAATGTGTGTGAGGTGTTTGAATACTGCACTATATGCAATGCTCCTAGGGTTCCTGTAGCGCAGTGGTTAGTACATTCGCCTCAGAAGTGACAGGACCTGGATTTGATTCCCAGGGCAGGGCGAAACGTTAGGCAAGTTTCCTTACACTACACGCCTCTGTTAACCTAGCAGTAAATAAGAATCTGGTTATTAGTTGATTAGCAAATTGCTTTTCCGGGGGGGTAATAATCCATCCAAAAAATATAATAATAATAATAATGTGGTCACTCAACCTACAACAGTTTGTGGGACGCCGCTGTGCGCAATTGGCTGTCGTGATTTAGCCACAAAATTCACAGTAAGTTCACTTTGCAGTATGTTCTGTGAAGCACTTTGAGAATGTCTCGATGATGTGACAAGGCACTATATCAAATGCGAGGATTGTAATAGGGTTAAAACTGGTTCTTTTTATTTCTCCCCCCTTTGTGGTTTCACCCTAAGCTTTGACTGCAGCACAACTGGGGGGTGGCAGAGCTCGGAGTGTGGAGTGCTGGAGACCGTGCTCCTGTCCATGGGCCGGACAATGAGCCAGGAGGAGGTGCAGCAGCTGATGAGTCAGACGGTGCTGCGCGTGGCGGACACGCTCAGCGTATCCGCAGACATAGCCCAGAACCTGCTCATCCACAGCAAGTGGAACGTGGACCTCCTGGTACAGCGCTATGCGGAGGACCCCGATACACTGTTGCTGGCAGCGGGGCTACAGGTCCGCAACCCCCAGGCCCCCAGCAACCCTGTCACACAGTGCCCCGTCTGCCTCAACCAGCTGCCTGAGGACAGCGAGCCCAATCCCACCCTCTGCTGCCTTCACTACTGTTGTCGGGTAAGGTGGCTTGGCTGTGAATTGAATCCTGGTGTACTGAGATTCATAGCTGGTCGGGTTTGCGGGGGGAAACAACACAAGGTGAAGAAGGAGACAATCTGATATCTCTAGGTGTTTACATTTAGTGAATCTACAGGTGGAAGCCTCTAGCGTAGTGGTTAGAGCACTCGCCTCGCAAGTGAGAGGACCCGGGTTTGATATCCGGCAGGGCGAAACCTTAGGCAAGTTTCCTTACTCCACACGCCTCTGGTTACCTAGCAGTGAGTAGGAATCCGGTTGTTAGTTGATCCGCTGATCGCTGTCCAGGGTAATAATTCCTCAAAAAAAATTTGATCGCTGAATCCACAATTATTTATGTGCAATTGCTTTACGCAATTGGCTGCCACATTTCATCCGTAGAATATACGGTCAATTTACTTTATAATGTATTCTGTGAAGCGCTTTAAGACTTCTCAACAACATGATCAAGCGCTATATCAAATGCAAGGATTATTATTCTAGTGAATGGACTGAAGAATGGTCCAATTGGTCGCTTTCTTGCGCTATGGGTCAGAAGGTTCTGCGTTGATACCCTACGTCGGGGTTTTGAGCTCACAGTGCAGTGATGGGGGTGGGGCTGCATTGTCAGAGGTGCTGTCCTTCAGATGAGAAGTTAAACCGAGGCCCTATCTGCTTGTTCAGGTGGTCGTAAACAACAAATTAGTTTCTCCCAGTGTCTTGGTCAAAAATCCCCCAAATAAAATTTATCACTCACTTTGTGGATGTATGTGGGTCCTTGCTGTACACAAATTGTCTGCCATGTTTTTAAACAAAAGACAGTCACTGTACATGATAATAATTACCTGTGAAGAGCTTTGAGATGTTTTGAGATAAGGTACTAGAAAAATGCATTGAATTTATTATTATTAATAATAATCCTTACATTTGATACAGCACCTGTCACATCAGGAGGATGTCTCAAAGCGCTTCACAGGATATACTGTACAGTAAAGTGTAGTAACTGTGTTCCTTGTGGGTGAACTCGACAGCCAATTGGCACACAGCAATGTCCCACAAACAGCCGTAAAGTGAGTAACCAATTTTATTTGGGGGATTGTTGACCAGGACACCGGGAGAGAGAATCTCCCTTCTCTAAGTTTGTGTGGAGTGGTTTCAATTTGTTCACTATACCCATGGGTATTGCTTCTGAACAGCTCAGAGGCCTTGTGTTTAGTGAAAATTGAGAGGAGACAAAAGTTTAGTCCATTCATTCGCGGAGATCTGTAGCTCAGTAGTTAGAGCACTCGCCTGGCAAGCGAGAGGACCTGGGTTTGATTCCTGGGCAGGGCGAAACATTGGGCAAGTTTCCTTATTCCACACACCTCTGTTTACTTAGCAGTAAGAAGGAACCCAGTTATTAGTTGAATGGTGGATCGCTTTTTCTGGGATAATAATCCCTTCACAAAAATGAAAAATATTTGTATTTTTAATATAATATTAATTTGGTCACTCAATCCATGACTGTTTGTGGGACACCACTGCGTGCAATTGGCTGCCATGTATTGCAAGAATTATTATTATTAATTTGTCCATAAAATATTTATCCAAAAGCTTGTCCACCTGTCTGTAAACTCTGCCTGTTTTGTGGGTTCTGAACCTGCGATGTAATGTGAGTCTTGTGTGCTGGCTATTATCTGCTGTCTCCTGTTTTCACGCCTTCTCCCTTTCCCTCCCCTCTGCCCGCAGTCCTGCTGGAAGGAATACCTCACCACGCGGATCGAGCAGAACCTGGTGCTCAACTGCACGTGCCCCATCTCCGACTGCCCCGCACAGCCCACCCATCAGTTCATCTCCTCCATTATATCTGACAGAGAGACTGTGGCCAAGGTAAGCCCTGGCTCAATGGGTCATCCATGTCTGTGTCTTTCTGTAAACTCTGACTGTGTAAACTCTGCGACTGTCTCTGTGTCTGTCTCTTGCAGCTTCCTCTTGTCTCTTGTCTCGGTGTGTGCACCCGCATTTGTATTTGTGTATATGTGTGTTCATCCTGGGGTTAATCAGGGGTTAAGTGAGATCTCTGTGGATTATCAAGGGTTAAGTGAGGTCTCTGTTTGGGTAACTAGGGATGAGGGAGATCTCTGGGGATTTCTGTAGGGCTACCCTGATGTCTTTTCTCCTCTCAGTACTCCAAGACGCTGCTCCGAGGCTATGTGGAATGCTGCTCGAACCTGACGTGGTGCACAAACCCACAGGGCTGTGATCAGATCGTGTGTAAGGAGGGAATCGGCAGCGTGGGCACCTGCTCCAAATGCTGCTGGTCCTCCTGCTTCTCCTGTAACTTCCCCGAGGTCAGTGCTGTCTCTCAGGCTCTCTCTCCCTCTCTTTCCTTGCACGGCGCAAATCAGCTACCACATTTGTGTGTCTGGCACACTTTCCTGCTGCTTGTCCACCTAGGACCATCCTACCCATGGGCTTTGTCTTGCAGGGTTAACAAGAGCTGAGTGGGATGACTCTCTGTCCCAGGGACTGGTCTGCCTTTCCAGGTCCTGCTGTTGAGCCATCAGCGGTGACCTGGAATACTGTGTACTGTGAAGCGCTGTGAGATATTTTGACTTGCGAAGCTACAGTACCAATTGCAAGAAGTATTATTATTACAATCATCTTCCTGCAGTCCTAGTCCCCCGCCCATTCCTTCCACTCTGCAAACTAAGATGTGCTCCACTTCCTCCACCCCACCACCATCTTTGGATGAGTCTTCAACCACTTTGCTCTCTGAAACTCGCCCTCTATGTCTCTCCCCTTTTCTGCTTTCAAAACGCTTCAAAAAACCCATCTACAGAAAAAATCTCATAAATCTTATCTTTATAAATCGTATGACCACCTAAGTCAACGTGCACCAAAGGCCCATTCAGTTTCTTACCAAAACCATTCAGATTTATTTGCACTAGTATTTTATAAGGTAAATAATCCCCTATCTCATAACGCCTGCATCGAAATGCGGTAAATGGTCTGACATATCGCCGCATCTGCCCTTACAGGTTGCATTGAAGTACGCATGCGGAGTGTAGGTTATTAATTAAATCAGATCGCCCTCTGGTATCTTTGCCTGTTGCGTGTGAGGATTGTTAGGGCAGTGGGTGTGGGTGCAGTAACCTATGTAACTTGTTTGTCTCACATTCCCTCCCGGGTTCTGGGCGTGTCACAGGCTCACTATCCCGCCAGCTGCAGCCACATGTCCCAGTGGATGGACGACGGTGGTTATTATGAGGGGATGACGGTGGAGGCACAGAGCAAGCACCTGGCCAAGCTGATCTCCAAGCGCTGCCCGAGCTGCCACGCTCAGATAGAGAAGAACGAGGGATGTCTACAGTGAGTCACCTTCCACAACAACAATATAACAAGTTACATTTGTGTAGCACCTTTCACGATGGGAGGAAGTCCCAGAACGCTGGATAGTTAAGGATCCACACCCGAGTTAGGAGTCGGCATCAGATGGGATGGAGGCCAGAGAGTCAGAGCCCTAAACAGCAGCTGCAGTTCGTCTGCTCTTCCCACTTAGAAATTCCTGAAGCATCGAGTGGGAATGAGCCCGAGACCAATTCAGTCCAGGGGATTGTTGCAGTCTTTCCTCTGTGGGTTTTTACTGACAGTCAATGTCCACCTGCCCACCGGTGGGGGTGGGGAGCTCAGTCAAGGTAAATTAAATTAACCTATCCGGGGTAGTGGGGGAGAGAAAAACAGTCACGCATGGGAGGGGGGACACTCAAAGGAGGGGGAACCGTCACTCGGGAGGGGAGGTTATCTGTAAGCTGTCATTGTGACTTTCCTCACTCTTTGCAGTATGACGTGTGCGAAGTGCAACCACGGGTTTTGCTGGCGATGTCTGAAGCCGTGGAAACCTACACACAAAGATTACTACAACTGCTCAGCCATGGTGAGACTTGTGCAAACATTTCCTTGTGGACCTGCAACTCATTGTGTAATAGGCACTGACAGCATCAGCATCCAAGGCTGCACTCTCCACCTCTCAAAGCCAGTCAGGAACCTCGGGGTTCTGTTCGACCCTGAGCTGTCCTTTCTTCCTCATATCTGCGTCACAACTGGCACCGCCTTCCATTACCTCCGAAACATCGCCAGACTACGGCACTACCTCACCCCTCACGCTGCTGAAACTCTGGTCCACGTCTTTATTACCTCAAGGCTGGACTATGGGAACTCTCTCCTCGCCGGCCTTCCCGGCACCTCCCTCCACAAGCTGCAGGTCATTCAGAACTCTGCAGCTCGTGTACTGTCCCGCACCAGGCTTCGTGACCACATCACTCCCACCCTCGCTCGCCTCCACTGGCTCCCCATCCCCCAGAGGATCGAATTCAAGATCTTCATTCTCACCTACAAGGCCATTCACGGCCTCGCTCCCTCCTACCTCTCTGACCTACTATCCCCCTACTTACCTGCCCATACCCTCTGTTCCTCTGACTCCAGTCTGCTCCACAACCCCCGCCCTACCATCGGTGGCCGGGCTTCCAGCCTCTCAGCCCCAGGCTCTGGAACTCTATCCCCCAGTGCCTTCACCTTGCTTCCTCCCTTTCCTCCTTCAAGGCCAGTCTCAAGACCTTTCTCTTCAACCGTGCCTTCAGCTCCCCTCTCGACTCTCTACCCCCACCTGGCTCCCTCCCTTCCCTCCCCTCACCCTGACCATTTCCCCCCTGCTCGGGTCCCGACCCAATTGTCCAGCGCCTTGGGACGTCCTCCCAACATGAAAGGCGCTCTATAAATGAAATCTTGTTGTTGTTGTTGTAATAGTCTAAGCTGACATTCCAATGCATTGCTGGGGTGTGCTGCATTGTCGGAGGTGATGTCCTTCAGAAGAGACATTAAACCAAGGTGCCATCTGCCTGTTCAGGTGGATGTTAAAGATCCCATGGCACTATTTGAAGGGATTTTCTCCAAGTGCCCAGGCCAATAATCCCCCAAATAAAATTGGTCACTCACTTCATGGCTATTTATGGGACATTGTTGTGCATAAATTGGCTGCTGTGTTCAGAAACAGAATGCACAGTCGCCTGGATTAATCAGTCGCTCATTTCATGACTTTGTGGCACTTTGCTGTATGAAATATGGCTGTTGCATTGCCTGGCAACTGCAGTCACTACATTTGATAGTAATTACCTACAAAGCATCGAGCTGGAAGCTCCCTGTGGAATGAGGGTTCCAGGTGTATCCCTCACTGCCCATGGCGTGTGTTTAGGGGGTTAAGTGCTGTGAACAATTATTTGGGGGCTCAGAGTTGGAGTCCCTTCGTGTGGGGGTTAGCACCTTCGCCTCGCGAGTAAGAGGACCCGGGTTCAATTCCCGGGCGGGACGAAACCTTTGGCTTGCTTCCTTACTCCACACACCAGCAGTAAGTAGGAACCCGTTTTTAGTCAATAGGCAGATCACTTTCCAGGAGTAATAATCCCTTCAAAAAAATGGAAAATATTTTTAATGTAATAATAATTTGGTCGCTCAATCCATTACTGTTTGTGGGACACTGCTGTGCCCTTTACAATATATTTTGTGAAGCGCTGTGAGACATCTCAACCACGTGATAAGACGCTATATGAAATGCGAGGATTATTATTGTAATGAATTGCTGATGTTTGTGCTGTGTCACACAGGTCAGTAAAGCTGCGAGACAGGAGAAGAGGTTTCACGATTACAATGACAGATGCACTTTTCACCATCAGGCACGGGTGAGTGAGCAACTGGAAGGGGGGCCTGGGGTGAGGGAGGGGGGACCCAGGTGGGGGAAGGGGCCAGGAACAATCCTGCTGTATCATTTGATTTCCTTGTTTCATCACATGTGCGAGGTGTGAAAGCTGAACTTTTATTCTGTTGGTTGCAGGATTTTGCGATTAATTTGGAGGGGAAGGTGGCTGGGGTTAACGAAGCGTTGCAGATGAAATGTTTGACGTTTGTTATCGATGCCTGTAAAATGCTGGCGCAGTCCCACAAGGTGAGGTTAAAGTGGCTGCTCTATCTATTCATTACCCCCGCAGAGATTACTGGCCGACTGACTCCAGCTGTAGGGTTTCTTATTCCCTGGCCTTAAATAGCCAAGTGAGCAAAACTGTAACAGAAGCTGTATGTCATTAGCCACATCTCCCTCCCTCCCTCCCCTTGTCGGATTCACAAAGGAAGATGGAGCATTGGGAAGTAGATTTATCGAAGGATGTGATTTAGTGAAGGGTGGACCTGGCTGGACAAGCAGTAGGAAACTTACAGTCACTGTTCGCAAATGTGAGCAACGGGCTTTAGTTGCTTAAACTCCAGCAATATCCAACGTACACTCTGAGGTCCCTAAGCCTTGGCTCCTGCCAACCTGGGCCTGATACTTCCCTAGGATTTGGTGAAAAGGATTTGCCCCTCCATCGAATCCTACAGCCAGAAGGAGGTCATTCGGCCCACCATGCCTGTGCCGGCTTTTTGAAACAGCTACTCAACTAGTCCCACACCCCCGCTCTTATCCCGTAGCCCCCTTTTTTTTCCTTTTCAAGTATATATCCAATTCCCTTTTGAAAGTTATTATTGAATCTGCTTCCACCAACCTTTCAGGCAGATTCCAGATCGTGAACAATGTTCACTCCTTTCTAGGTAAACGGAAAGTCCCACCACATCTAGATGTGGAACTCTCAATGATTTAGTTTGGTTAATCTTAAAAATAGATTTCTACATGGCAGACACCTGGCTATCCAAACAAATGCAGCCAAAAGTGCTGATGGCCTGTGCTAGATTGAACTCGTTGGGCTGAATGGATTTCTCCAGTTTATTAAATCCTTAAGTAACCAAAGGGTTACAGAAGTCGAGGTGAAACTGTGCTCTGGTCAGGCCACACCTGAAGTCTTGCGTACTCCACTCCAGTCTGGTCAAATGGTGGGGTGGGGTGTGTCCAGACTCCAGAGGCAATGCAGAGAAGAGAAACCAGATTGATAATGATTATAATTATAATAATCCTTGCATTTGATATAGCGCCTTATGTCTTCAAGATGTCTCAAAATATACATCTCAAAAAATACTATAAAGTGAATTGACTGTATATTGTGTAAGCGAAATGCTCTAGCCAATTGTGCACAGGTCATAATCCTTCATTTGATGCCTTATTACGTCACTGAGATATCTCCAAGCGCTTCACAGAATATATTGTTAAATGGATTAACTGTATTTTGTGAGTCAAACAAAATACAACAAGAACAAAATTACATTTATAGAGCGCCTTTCACGTCGGGAGGATGTCCCAAAGCGCTGAACAGTCAGGTGTCGGGGCCTGAGCATGGGGGAGGGGTGGTGTAGGGGTGAGGGAAGGCAGAGTGGTGGGAGGGAGACCAAAGGCACGATCGAAGAGAAGGGTCTTGAGACCGGCCTGAAGAAGGCAAGGGAGGAAGTGAGGCGAAAGGACCGTGGGATTAAGTTCCAGAGTGTGGGTTAGTGTGAGAGTTGGGCAAGAGGGGGAGGAGTTCAGAGGACTCCAGGGCAGCGGACAGTGGAAAATAAAATAAATTCTAAAATTAGCAACATTTCTAACCCCCGTGAAATACATTGTGCTTTGGGCTTCATTTTCAATTCGACTCAAAAAACGATCAGGTGCGATAGCGCCACCTGGTTGGTCTCTGGTTGGAGATGCCTGGTCTAGGCTGACACTCCAGTGCAGTGTTGGGGGTGGGGGAATGCTGCATTGTCGGAGGTGCTGTCTTTCAGGTTAAGACGTTAAACTGAGGTTCTGTCTGCGTATTCTGGGACGCTATCCTGCGTGAGAAGCGCTATATAAATGCAAGTTGTTGTTGTATTCAGCTGGACATGAAAGATCCATCCTATGGCGCTACTCGAAAAGAGAAAGGAGTTTCTCTTGGGGCCCTGGCCAATAATCGCTTAGATAAATGATTGGTTGTTCATTTCCTGGCTTTTTGTGAGACACTGCTGTGTCACTTTACAATAAGTTCTATGAGACTCTTTAAGGCTTGATAAGGTGCTCTACTAAATTCAAAACAGAATATATTCAAAAAATGTATATGAGGGATAACTGCGGGATGGCCCAGAAAGGATTTCTTTGCACACAGGATATTAACTGGTTACCAGGGAGGGTGGTTGAGGCTGGATTTATAATATAAAACAGTTCCAGCGGTTTATTTCGCTCTGTAAAGGAATCCTGTGGAAGGCCTTATTCACTCAAACTTCTGAGCTGTGGGCTATGAGCTGGATGGAGACGGGCCAGAGTTGAGCTGAGCACCTGAATGCATTGGTGTCTTCTCACTCTCTGTCGTCGTATGTGCAGGTGCTGGCCTATTCCTGTGTGTACAGTTACTATAATCAGGACACGGAAAAGATGGACATCATGGAGCAGCAGACAGAGAACCTGGAGCTGCACACCAACGCTCTTCAGATCCTCCTAGGTTAGTCTGACCCTCGCAGTGAGGAGACGTGATCCCGAGGGATTCTGGCCTCCACTGACCCCCCGTCACCTCCACTGTACCCCGGTCGCCCCCCACTATACCCTGGTCACCCCCCACTATACCCCGGTCACCTCCACTATACCCCCGTCACCCCCCACTATACCCTAGTCACCCCCCACTAGACTGCTGCAAACTCCACTATACCCCCATCAGGATTGGTGTGTGCTGGGGGTGTAGAGGGTTGGTGTGCGCTGGGGGTGTAGAGGGTTGGTGTGTGCTGGGGGTGTGAAGAGATGGTGTGTGCTGGGGGGTGTGAGGAGTTGGTGTGTGCTGGGGGGTGTGAAGGGTTGGTGTGTGCTGGGGGGTGTGAAGGGTTGGTGTGTGCTGGGGGGTGTGAAGGGTTGGTGTGTGCTGGGGGGTGTGAAGGGTTGGTGTGTGCTGGGGGGTGTGAAGGGTTGGTGTGTAATGATATCTTGTGTGTGTCTCAGAGGAGACCTTGTTGCAGTGCACAGACCTGGCCTCCTGTATCCGTCTCCTGAAGCCGGAGCACCTGAACACGGGCCTGGAGCTGATCCGGAGGATATTGGAGCGATTGCTCGCAATCCTGCAACACTCCACACAGGTACCAGCCACACCGCCTGGCGGGACAGCAGAGCAGGAAGAGTTAATCTGATGTGTACAGGGTGTCCAGAAAGTCCTGTTCAACCCGTTTTTTTTTCTAGTGCACTGACCAACTACTGAAACAAGTGGAATGATGATAATTGTACTTAGAAGTACTTAACTGCATTCAGTACAAGTGTTTAACTGAATTTAGACATCCAGAGAATCGGTGTGAGTGATCTCCATCATTTTCATGCCATGTTCGGTGTAATATCTCCGTGACGAGGAGTGACGAGGCCAAATGCATCTCTGACAGCTTGTTATCAGATGATTAACTCACTGAAACACCAGATGAAACTTCTTTCTTTGTTTCTCTTTCCCAACAGCATTGCGGGATTGTTCACGTCCAACATTCTTCAGAACATTCTCGCACCAACTGTGTACAATACTGTGATTTATTTAGAATAGAAATATAAGAAAGCACATACCCTTGTGACAATCCATCTTGTCCCCTACTCCACTGTATCACTCACTGGTTCTTTCTCTCCTATTTAACTTGTTTTTTGTCCAAGCCCATGTCTACTCTAGATTCCAGTGGCTTTTAGTTTCTGTATTGAAAGTTTATGGGCAAGGAGCAGGGAATGGGATTAGAGTAGAGCATTCCAATGGAGGCATGAGCGCCAGCATAGACACGATGGGGAAAAGAGCAAATGAATGGCATCTGAAATAGGTAGGCTCAATAGGCCAACTGGCTTCCTACATTCACATCTTAAGTGTTTCTAGCAGTAGGCCATTGATCCCTACCAGTCCAATGTTCCAAAATAATTATTTGTCTCATTGGATAATAACCCTGTTACCTTTTCATTTATAGGAACTTGTCCAGATGCTCTACAAACCCCTTGCTGAGGCATGTTGCACATCCTGGATTAGTGGTTTGTTGCAGCCTGTTTTGTATTGGGGGCCACTTGTCATTATGTGACCCAATGAGGTCCAGTGGGTGTAGTGCTCTGATGGGCCCTTTGTTACGACACTGTAAATCAGAGAATCAATAGGTAGAATGAGTCAGTGCAGGGCTCCCGGGCATGGCTGCCTGGGGTTTACACAGGGAGCTGGCATTTTGAGTGAGTTTTGATCACCACATTGGAACTCAGATTTATCTCTGGGGCGCTGGTTGTTGTTATTCTTTGTTATATTTTGGACTGAATTGATTTGGACTGAATTGGACTGAATCCTTCTGCAACGGAGCGTGGCTCAAGTCTTCTTTGTTTCTGCATGTGTCTCATTACATGAAATAATAATACAGAATCTGCTATTTCAGGATTTCAGAGTGGGGTTTCAGCCAAAGCAAGGAGCGGATCAGAATGAAGTTCACCCCGCAGACCTGTCAAACACAGTGCCGGCTGATCCGACCAAAGAGTAAGTCCAATAATGAGTAGGGGAACCCTGCTAGAGCATGGGCCATACCAGGGTTTTTGATACTTCGTTGTGTTACTCAGGGAACAGTCTGCCCAACCCAAACCCCAATTTATCCCATCATCTCCCAACCCCAAGCCCATCAACCTCAAAGCCATTCCATCAACTCCAACTCCCATCCATCAACTCCCAATCACTATCACTCAATTCAATCCTAACCCTAAATCCAATCCCAAACCATTGTCTAATCCATAACCTACCCCCATTTCATCTGAGATACTCTCACACACACAGAAATCACAAATTGTTTTAGGCATCTTGTCCTCACATATTCTATTCTATAGATGAATCCTTGGTGAGTAAAACACCAAGATCAGAAAGATCTACACTTCTCATCAGTACAAAGCCATATTGTCTAGTTCTGAAAGCTCCATTAATAATGGCTGTGGTGCCATTACTGACAGTTGATCATTTTGAGGAAATTATTGCACAATTGTTCTGAGTCTTGGCTGGGAGTGGGGGGAGAGATGGAGATCAGTTGCCTGTCCTGGGGCCTTTCTCAGCTGTTCGCATCCAAACTTCTCTTCTGAAATGCCGGGGTGTTAACATAGATGTATTACTTCACGGTTAAGGTGAGGTTCCAGCGTTAGTGTTTGGTTTGGAGACTTTTGTTTCAAACACTGATATTGCGCAGCCAGGCTGGTGTTAATTTTCAATTGTTTCTAAAACAGCAATAGAGAAGATAAGAGCTTCTGCTTTTCATCTTTTCTCTTGCCTTTTTAGAGAGTTCTTGTGTATTGGTCAGGAATAGGCAAGCCCGTGTATGTAAAGTCCCCTCTTGTCTGAAAAGCACCACAGATCACATAACACACTGCCTATAGCCTGGGAACAAATATCTTGTGCTGCTTTACCCACAGAGTAAAGTCGGGGAGTCAAACGGAGGAAGATGATGGAGAGAATGAGGAAGACTATGAGGAAGAAGATGATGAGTATGTGCCAGAGTGGCAGGACACGTATGACGAGGATGAAGATATTGATGAGGAGGATTTTTCAGATGACGCTTCAGAGAACTTGGAGAGAGATTTCTTTTACCTCGAGGATGGCGATGTTTATGACTGAAAGAGTTGAGATTTTTTTATATATATATATTCTGAATAAGTGGACGAATCAAATTAAATGTAATTGGCAGCAGTGAATGAGAGAATCCTAGTGCACATGGAACAATCGAGAACCTATTTTCTTTTATTGCGCCATTGCTGGTTATAACTGGCTTCATTTTTCCCCCCTCTTCGTTTTACAGAAGAAGCTTTTTTTCATGTTAAAGGTTCACATTTTATGGAGAGAATTCTGCTCGTCTCTTATTTTTACTTTCTTTAATTATAATTGACATTCTCGCTTTCTAGTAAACGAGATGCAGACGAGCAGAGGGAGAGAAAGATGGGCACAAACAGACAGATACAGGGAGACAGTCACAGACGCTGGGCAGAATTGGTTTGGGCAGATGTGCAACTGTATTGAGCAGAAAAGAGGAGCAGCTAGTCGAAGCTTATATTGTTCACATATAATGTTCTATCTTTCTGAATAATTCAAGTTATCCAAGTTAAAATAATAAAACACATTCTTCTAAATTGCGGGGTCGGGATCATTCTTCCTCCCGATTAAGGTGGATTTAATGCCCGTACATCTTGCACCCATTCGTGTGGGAGAAAATGCCGTTTTTGTGAGTTTTTAGAGGTGTCTGAGTTAGTATCTGCCTGTTTGTATTTCACACACACAGTCATTACACTTTTAGAAGGATATGGGAAGTCCTGCAGCGCATTGTTTAGAGATTCCCAGGCAGCCGAAACCTTACACACGTTTCCTTACTCCACACGCCTCTGTTTACCTAGCAGTAAATGGGAATCCGGTTGTTTGTCGATTGGTGGATTATTTTCTGGCGATAATAATTCCTCCAAATAAATAATTTGGTCACTCAATCCACCACTGTCTGTGGAACACTGCTGTGTGCAGTTGGCTGCCGCGTTTCGCCCACAAAATATAGTCAATTCTCTTTACAGTATATTCTGTGAAGAGCTTTGAGACATCTCGAAGACATGATAAGGCACTGCATCAAATGGAAGAATTTTCCTCAATGATCTGTGCCACGTTTTGAGGCAGAGAGACCCTGGTTCTGCTGGCTTGATTGCTAATAGAGGACAGACAATAACCACACTTGAAAAATATTTTTGTATTTGAAATCACAAGTGCAGGCTCCAGATTAATCCTTATTTCCTTCTTTAGTTAGTCACAGTGTCACTCAGGTGCTTGCAGTTGCTTGGAATCTGGAAATACTGTTGTAAGATCCTCTCCACTGTCTCTTCTGCGTAGTCCTCCACGTGAAAGTCACTGCCATTCTCCGCTCCCCGGATCATTGCTGACAGCACTGTGTAAGACAGCAATAGGCTCACACACCCCTCTTCACACAATCATGCCCACCCCCTCTTTGAACTTCCATCCACTTGCTCTGCCTCTTTGCACACTCATCTGTCCTGATTCCCACACCTTGCTTCGAACATGCATGAACCCTGATTCACATCCCCCAGCTTTGCACATTCAAGCTCTGATTCCCACACTTTGCTTCACACATGCGTGCACCCTCATTCACACAATCCATTTTGCAAACTCCTGCGCCCTGATTCCCACATTCACCTCGATTAGATGCTGACCGGAACAGACACAGGATCCGCTTGTTCAGTGCTACGCCTCTTCCGATCTCATAGCCGACTCCTAGGGACGGCTGTGTCACCTCAGCCACAATCACTGTTCAGCAAAGACACTGTTACACTCACGATGGTGGAAATACAGTACAAGCACCAAATGAACATGCAATGAAAATCAACATTGGGTGGTGGTGGGGGAGGGGGGGGGGAAGGGATGCACTGCAGTGTGATCGACTATTGGGCACTGAGTGCAGCTCTGCCACCTCCAGCACAGTTATTCCTCACAGGTACTCAGGGACGCTACCCTGCCTGAGGGGTGTAATGTAAATGCAAGTTGTTGTTCTTTTTATCTTACAAACACCTGCAATGACCACAAAACATCACTCCATTAACACACATTACAGTAAAACCATTTGTAATATTCTGACCTGATGAAATGTTATAAATTATATAATGTTATTGAAAATGCGATGAAAAATACAGCAAGGTGGTAAAACAACAACTTGCATTTATATAGTGCCCTTCACATGAGGTAGCATCGTTTAACAATGGCAGAGCTTGACACGGAGCTGGGGAGGGGAGGTGACTATTCATGTGGTCAAAGAGGACAGATCCTCATGTGCAATCTGAAGACGGGCAAGGAGGAGGCAAAGTGGAGGGATTTTTTTTATGTGTCTCTCGGATTTGGTTTACAAAATATAGTCACCGTAATATACAGGGAAACTCACCATCAGCTTCATGCAGCCAGTCCAAGTCCCGGTCGTGGATATATTTATCTCCTGTCTTCAGCTCCTCACCTGTGGGCAAAGCAGATTAATTTACCTAAAACTTTCATGATTAAAGTGTTCAGATAAGAAAGTATAAAAGGTTGACAAAAGTCCCTTAAATCTGCTGTGAGCCAAGAAGCCACCGGAATTCTACTGTGGGTTTTTCCGCTCATTGTTTTTTTTAATGCTGGTAAACTTCAAAAACATCTCAAAGCACTTCACAGCAATCATTGTCAAGTGTAGTAACTGTCTGTAGCAAACATAGCTGCCATTTAATGCTTAGGTAGTCCCACAAACAGATTTGAATGAGCAATAAAGATTACTGGCCAGGATACAGGCAGCCTGGTTCAGTCAGTAACACTCTCGCCTCTGAGCCAGAAGGAAGTCCCACATCGGGTCTTTGAATGCACATTGTCTAACCTGAGGTCAGACTCCAATGTAGTGCTTGGAGAGTCCTACATTGCCGGAGGTATCATCTTTTGAATGAGACGTTAAACTGAGGCCCTGTTTGTGGCTATTCCGGTGGACATTACGATCCCACGGCACAATTTGACAAGGGAAGGGAGTCTCTCCTGGTGTTCTGGCCAACAATCCCCCAAATTCAATTAGCCACTCACTCCATTGCTGTTTGCAGGATACTACTGTGTGCAAAATTGGCTACCGCATTTATCCACAAAATACATAAACTTTACAATAATTTTTTTAAGTGCTTTGAGACATCTGAACGATATAAGGCGCTATATCAAATGCAACGGTTGTTATTATAAACTTCCTTCTCTTTTCAAATAATAATAATAATCCTTGCATTTGATATAGCGCTTTTCATGTCTTCTCGACGTCTCAAAGAGCTTCACAGAATATGCTGTAAAGTGAATTGACCGTATATTTGTGGGCGAAATGCGGCAGCCAATCGCGCACAGCAGTGACCCACAAACAGCTGTGGATTGAAAATGACCAATTTATTATTTTTTGTTGTTTTGGAGGGATTATTATTAGGCGTGTGGAGTAAGGAAACTTGCCCAAGGTTTAGTTATTGTGTTGTCAAATTCTAACATCCACTTGAATGTAATGTCTTGCTCTGACAAACCGGCTGGATTGTCAACCGGGACTGTATCCTCGGGTTCTGGGGACAGTCTGAGGATCAGATTTTTTTGTCCCTGGGGCCAAATTTGCCGTGTCTTGAATTCGACAACAACCTGCAAGAACCATAACATTCCAAAACAGATACACTTGTCAGAGAAATAGCCATCAATCCAACAAGCTTCTCCAGCGACCGCCAGCATCAGAAATTAATAATAATCATTGCATTTGGTACGACCCGTCGTCACGTCGCTGAGATGTCTCAAAGCGCTTCACAGGTTACAATGTAAAGTGGATTGATTCTGTATTTTGTGGGTGAAACACAACAGACAAATGTGCACAGCAATGTCCCTCAAACCGCCTGTGGAGTCAGTGACCAATTTTATTTGGGGGACTGTCGGCCAGGACACCAGGAGAGGGAAACTCACTCCTCGTTTCAAATAGCGCCGCGGGATCTTTTAACTTGTGGCGAATTCAATCNTTTTTTTGTGTACGTGTGTCCGGATTTGGTTTACAAAATCTGCTGCTGACCCTATGAACCCCACGTGCAGCTATAACCCACAATTTTCTGACCAGGTGTGGGGGAGGGATGCGCTGCTGACACCCCGACTTGACAAGAGAGAGGACAAAACCAACGCGGGAAATAAAAGCAATGACCTTGTTCCAGCAAGTGCACGCCGCCAACATGCTCTGTGAGAACTTGGCCGAACGTCTTTAAGCAGCTGATGATCCTGTGGTAGATTTCCACGTCCTGCCGCCCGCCCCTGATGCTCCCGCAGAAGTAAATCTTCAAACCCATGGTCGCTCCCCGCCTCAGCAAACTCCACCTCTACCAAGATGGCGGCGATGTCTGCCCCTACCAAGATGGCGGCGATGTCTGCCTCTGCCACGAAGGCGGCGATGCCTGCCTCTACCAAGATGGCGGCGATGCCTGTCTCTACCAAGATGGCGGCGATGCCTGCCTCTACCAAGATGGCGGCGATTCCTGCCTTTTTGCTAAGATTTTTCAGATCTGTGATTATAATTCCCACATTTATTTAATGTGCTTTAATAATAAACTTTTTCTTTAATAAGAAAAAGTAAATGTTTGCTGGTGGGAGGATCGGGCGCACCGTTCCAATGTCGGCAGTAGGGTTTGAATGTCAACGGTCGGAGAGCGAGTTTTGCAGGAAACTTCCGCCGGAACAATACTCTCAGAGAATGTTCTCCACCCGGAGCCGAGTCCGCGGTGACACACGGCGGCAGATACGAAATGGAGGAAAAGCTCGAAGCCCCGAACACGGAGAGCGGGAAGAGGCCGCGGCCCGAGACAGGGGAGAGGCCGCGGCCCGAGACAGGGGAGAGGCCGGGGGTGGAGACGGGGGAGAGGCCGGGGGTAGAGACAGGGGAGAGGCCGCGGCCCGAGACAGGGGAGAGGGGGGGAGGGGGAGGGGCAGAGACAGGGGAGAGGGCGGGGGTAGAGACAGGGGAGAGGCCGGGGCAGAGACAGGGGAGAGGCCGGGGGTAGAGACGGGGAGGGGGGGGAGGGGGAGAGGCCGGGGTGGAGACAGGGGAGAGGCCGAGGGCAGAGACAGGGGAGAGGCCGCGGCCCGAGACAGGGGAGAGGCCGCGGCCCGAGACAGGGGAGAGGCCGCGGCCCGAGACAGGGGAGAGGTCGGGGGTAGAGACAGGGGAGAGGCCGCGGCCCGAGACAGGGGAGAGGCCGGGGGTAGAGACAGGGGAGAGGTCGGGGGCAGAGACAGGGGAGAGGCCGGGGATAGAGACGGGGGAGAGGTCGGGGGCAGAGAGCGGGGACACCGCTAAGGTTCAGGAAGGGAATGAGGAACCGGAGAGAGAGTCCAACGGCTTGGAGTGCCGAGAGGCAGCTGAACCGGTGTGTCCGGGGAAACGCTCGGAGGCCGAGGTGTCGGTGCTGTTCGCGGGACCGGTGTCTCGGGACGGCTGTTGCCGTCTGGTCTGCGAGATCGTCAAACACGTCCTGTACCAGAGACAGCAGATGCCGCTGCCCTATGAACAGTTGCCGTTTTTCACCAGGAGAGCGAACGAGGCGGTGAGTCCAACTCATTCAAACATAGAAACTTTCAAGTATAGGTGTTGTGGGTGAGGTCTCCTTGAGGCTGAACTGAATCCCCGGTGACATGTCTGGTATCGGAATGGTGTCGGCCCTCTCTGCGGGTCTCCAGTCCGGTTCTGACCAACAAAAAACTGCGCCCTTTATTATTACTCCCACTTTTGTTTAGTTGTTAACCTCATTAGTCAGTCCTGATACTGAGCCTGAAGATTACAGGTCGAACATCATATTGGGATTTGCATTCATATAGTCCGTTTTGCTGACGTTGCAATGCAGTGGTGGGGGAGAGCCCATTATCTGTGTTATAAATCCCACTCATCCATTGTTGAAGGTAGTCACAACATGTTACAGCACAGAAAGTCCATTTCACCTATTCAGCCTATATTGCTGTATTTCACGAGTCGGCTCCTGTTCACTTTGCATATCCTTTTAAGCACATATCCTGCTGGGGGGGGCGGGGGGTGTAAATGAGCTGAGCTGGCTCCAAGGTGGCATTGTAATGTTGAAGGCAAGTGTCTGTGGTAGTCCGAGTCGCCTGTGCCACGTGGGTCACAGTATTCCAGAGTGCTGGATGACAGACCAGCCAGCTTGGCTTGGATATTGGTACCGTCATGTAGCCTGATGTCCTCTAAAACCCTGTTTTCTCCCAGGTGGATGGTGGGCTGATGCCGCGGTCAAGGAGGAATGAACAGAGTGACCGTAAGAAGTACCAGCGAGCCCTGTCAGATCTGGATGAAGTTTTTCAGAACTTGGAAGCGGTGTTTGGGTTGACCGTGGTTCCCAGAGTTCACATCCTGCTGGGTGGTAGCGTGGTCCGTCCTAAGGAGCTTTACGAGGTGAACATGGAGAGGGTGGCCCTCGGGCACAGAGAGAAGAGCCTGGAGACACTTTCATGCATTCGCAAACTCTTTCACACCCTCTTTGTGGAGGATGTGCTGAATGAGCTGAGGTCATTGCCACTGATGAATATGCTGCTCTTGGTAGAGGGACACAGGGATTCTGGGATACAGTGGTTCCGACCCAAATTGAATTACCGAGTCCCGGAACGCTGCAAAAAGCTGGTGATCAGCCTGTCCTGCAGTCCCGGGAGCTGCAGCCCCACTGGTGAACAGACAAACCATTCTGATAGTAGTGATTACATCTGGTTTCAAGCACCAATCATAATCAAGGGATTCTACGCATGAGCTCAACGACTCAGATGAGAGCTTTATATGTTTAGCTTTTTATTGTGTAGTGACTAGGCTTGCATCTAATTGTTTTTTTTTAAAATGTCTGTGTGTTGGGAAGTATGTGGGCTTCATAATTACCTCACAGTAAAACTATTCTATGAGATTTGTGTTCAACTCTCCCTGTGCCCAGTTGCCTCAATGCAGGTTTTGCATGGCACAGGTTTCTGGTACAGTGGGATTTGCTGAGAGGTATGAATGCCTAAGTTTCGGATCTTTCCTTTCACTTGGTTTGTTGCTGAGCCATATGGCGGAGGACATCAGGTTTCAGCTCTGGTTTGTTCCACCAGCTGATCTCCGCCAGGCTATTGGCTGTGAGTGCCACAATTAGCCATGGCTATCCTGTTCCTTTTGTATATTGACATTCTGCTGCAAACTGAACACATGTGAGTGGCTGCAATACCTTCCAGTCCAATATCATGCTGACATTCAATATGGAACATGACAAATGGCTACTTGGGATATTACTGAAGGGAACCTATGGAACTGTACCTCAAGGTAGAATCGCCTATTAAGGACATGCACAGATGTATACAGATATAGAAAGATTTAATGCACCTGCTGTGTACTGTGGAGTTAAAACAGCTTATATTTATATGAAATGCATCAAATTAGTGAATCTTTACGATGTGGAGCATCCCCCATCCTCCTGTTAGGCATGGGGTGATGGCTTCTAATCCGGTGCTTACAAATCAATATATTTTTAAAAATGAAAATAATTTCAAAACTCAAATAATAAATTTACAATGATGGAAGTTGCTGCCCCGGGGTCTGTTGTTCCACTTACTGCTCAAAGGGCTTTGAAAGTTGTACTTATTAATTTTGTTTTGACACAGTCTGTGGTGAGGATGCTCTGACACTGAACCTGATAAACGATGGGAAGAAAGCTCACTGCTCGACTAGCCAATTCATTTCTATTTAAATAAATAATGGCACATGATGTTCAGTCAATTTATTGGCAAACAGGCACATTACATTGCCTACATAGTATCTAAATTTAAAAATGATGAACTAGAATAATAGGGTAACACTTTCAGTACATTTTTCTAAACTTGTTTTGGCTACATTAGTTTTAAACAGAGAGCAGAGGGTATTCCGGCTGTGTTGAATGAATGCAGTCTATTTCACGTCACACAGCAGTGCCACCCCTCTCAGGATCCAGTGGTCGGGTGGCTGGTTGGTTTTCAGGCAGAGGGTGGTGATGAAAGTAAGATCTGTTCGTTGTGGTTTCTTGTAGACTGGGCTGATATACAGTTTGGGATCCTTGGGTGCTGTGGAGTTGATGGCAAACACGTGTACGACAGGCAGTAGAGTAAAGAGAACTTTGTTGATGGATTCAGTAAGCCGGGTGTTTCTCCTATCCCAGCCCCCTCCATCCAGGTACAGGCCGTAGATGTAGACTCCCTCCTATCAACCAAACAAGCAGTGCCAAATTACTAAAACGCTGAAAGATTTGCAACATTCACAGTTATATACAGACTAAAGCTTTCCAGGATTTCATTACCACAATGCAGGAAAAAGAGAATCAATGACCACAGCTGATTTGGGGAGTCTGTTACCATTTAACAAGTAATGTCCAATCTAATTACTGCTCAAGTCTTCTAATTTTAAACTGATGTCCAAGTCAAACAACCTAGTTTTACATTTACCTCATCCAGGCCTTCAACATTTTAGTATTTTAAAGAGATGACATAGGCTCCAACTTGATCTTTTATTTGGTGGAAACCAGTTTAACTTTGAACTTCTCCTTTTCATTCTGCAGCCCTAAATAATGCTGATTCCTTTCTCAACTTTTACCTCTAGTTTGGTCTGACCAATAAGTGGGAAACAGCCTATCAGCATTCACCCAACAAATCCTTTCATAATCTTGAACATCTATCACATCTCCTCTCCATCCAACTGTAATAATAACTGTAACCACTCATCCCTGGTAACATACTTGCAAATTAACATACCAGCCACAACAATAAATATAGTACTTCATATTTTACACTTCAGACAGTGCTGTACCTTTTGGGAGCTGACCTGAGCTCGGGTTCAGCAGAGTTGAACCAGTGGATCAATGCTTATTGCACATGCCAGCTATGGGAAACAAGACAGCTTGTGACAGATAAGGGCCAATTTGGTCAAGCAGCTCCAACCGATCTCCGTGGCCAAGCTTTCAGCGACTAACGTCTGCCTTCTACCCCTATACCTCTCCTCATCCTTGTTGATCTTTAAATCCTTCCTAAAAGCCTATCTCTTCGTCTATGCATTTGGTCATTTCCCCCTTGCTTGGCATCTGATTTGTCTTTATAAATTGCTCTGAGTTATTTTCCTACGTGAAAGGTACTACATAAATGCACGTTGCTGTTGACAAAAGTGGCTACGTGTGGTGAAGGAACTTTGCAGTAAGGGACATGTGTACGTGCACTGCAGAGGCATATGTGCGGTGTAGAATCCCAGATATCTTTATATTTTTCCTTTCAGCTATTTAAAAACAGCCATCATCACTCCTATCCTTGAAACATCCTCCCTGGACTCATCCCTGCTTTCAAATTTCCGCCCTATCTACAACCTTCCTTTCCTTTCCAAGGTCCTGGAACATAACATAACATGTAGGAGCAGGAGTAGGCCATTCGGCCCTTCGAGCCTGCCCCGCCATTCAATCATGGCTGATCTTCTAATCTAACTCCAGCTAATAACCTGACCCTGCCTTATCCCCATATCCCTTAATCCCTTTTGCAATAAGAAATCTATCTCAGTCTTGAATATGTTCAAGGACTGAGGGTCAACAGCAGTGAGTTCCATACATTCACCACCCTTTGAGTGAAGAAGTTCTTCCTCAACTCAGTGTGAAAGGGCTGCCTCTGATTTTAAGGTTGTGGCCCCTGGTTTTAGTTTCTCCAACCAGGGGAAACAATCTCCCACTATCTACTCTATCATGCCCTTTGAAGATCTTATAGGTCTCTATAAAATCCCCTCTAATCTATATTCTAGAGAATATCGGCCCAAATTGATCAGCCTATCTTCGTAACTCATCCCCTTCATCCCTGGCACTAACCTAGTAAATCTACGCTGCACCCCTTCCAAGGCAGGTACATCCTTCCTTAAATGAGACCAAAACTGGACACAGTATTCCAGGTGTGGTCTCAGAAGAGCCCTATACAGTTGCAGCAAGACTTCCCTACTCTATATATACTCTAATCCTTTCATAATGAATGCTAACATACCGTTCGCCTTCCTGATTGTTTGCTGCACCTGCAGACTAACTTTCTGTGATTGGTGTACAAGGACACCCAAGTCCCTCTGGACGCTAACACATTCTAATCTCTCCCCTTCTAAAAAATAACCCGCTCTACTGTTTTTGCTACGTAGGTGGATGACTTCGCACTTCCCTACATTATACTTCATCTGCCACCTACCTGCCCAATCACCTAACCTATCTATGTCTCGCTGCATTTTTTTAATGTCGTCCTCTGTGTTGGCACTTCCTCCTAGTTTTGTGTCATCCGCGAATTTAGATATATTAGCTTCGATGTCCTCATCTAGATCGTTGATGTAGATGGTAAATAGCTGAGGCCCAAGGACTGATCCTTGTGGCACTCCACTAGTCACATCCCGCCAATCCGAAAAGGACCCATTTATCCCTACTCTTTGTTTCCTACCCGTTAACCATTCCCCAATCCACGTTAATATGCTCCCCCAATTCCATGGGCCCTTATCTTTTGGACTAACCTTTTATGCGGCACCTTATCGAATGCCTTCTGGAAGTCCAAATAGACCACATCCACTGATTCACCCTTATCTAGTTTACTGGAAATGTCCTCAAAAAACTCTATGAGATTTGTCAAACATGACTTCCCTTTTGTAAAGCCATGTTGACTTGGCCTAATTATATTGTGCTCCCCTAAATACCGCACTACCACATCCTTAATCAACGATTCTAAAAAAAAATCCTATCATTGATGTGAGACTAACAGGCCTATAGTTCCCCATCTTTTCCTTTCCACCTTTTTTAAATAGTGGTGTGACATTTGCGATCTTCCAATCCATGGGGACTGTTCCAGAATCCAAGGAATTTTGGAAGATCAGACATAAGGCCTCCACTAGCTCAGAAGCTACCTCTTTTAAAACCCTGGGATGCAAGCCATCCGGACCACGGGATTTGTCACTTTGTAGTGCTAACAGTTTCCCTAGCACCAATTCTCTACTAATGAAAATTTCCCTAAGTTGCTCCCTGTCCTTATCCCTTTGGTGCATCTCTATTGTTGTGTCTTCTAGGGTGAAGATAGATGCAAAGTACCCATTTAGGGACTCTGCCATGTCCTTGTACCCCATTACAACTTCTCCCGTCGCTGACTGAAGTGGACCTACATTTACCCTCACTAGCCTATTCCTCTTAATATATTTGTAAAAACTTTTACAATTAGACTTAATGTTCCCAGCTAGCTTACCCTCATACTCCTTTTTCTCGCTCTTAATGAGNTTTTTAGTTTTATTTTGCTGGTTTCTAAAACTCTCCCAATCTTCAGATTTGCCACTTTTCTTGGCAGTTTTATAAGCCTTTTCTTTTAATTTGATGCTTTCCCTAACTGCTCTAGTTAGCCACGGATGAATTGCTTTCCCTGTGGTGCTCTTATTCCGCAAGGGAATATGCGACTGCTGAGAATTTTGTACTCATCCTTAAATATTTGCCACTGTTGGTCTACATTTTTACCCCTTAATCTTATTCTCCAGTCTATTTTACCTAAATCTTTCCTCATACCTACAAAATTAGCCCTATTTAAATTCAGAATACTTGCCTCAGATTTAACTATATCCCTCTCTAACTTAATGCAGAATTCAATCATATTGTGATCACTCTGTCCTAGAGGATTCTTAATACCTACACTGCCAACTAGCCCTGTTTTGTTACACAAAACAAGGTCTAGGATGGCCTGTCCCCAGTTGGTTCCTCGGCATGCTGCTTTAGAAAGTTATCTCTCATACACTCAATGAACTCTTCTTCTGACCTACTTTTGCCGATTTGGTTTTCCCAATCTATGTGGAGATTGAAATCACCCACTATTATCGCTTTACCTTCCCTACATGGCTCCATTGATTTCTTGATTGATACCCTGTGCTATATTGTGATCACTGTTTGGGGGTCTATAAACCACTCCCATTAATATTTTCTGCCCTTTATTATTTTTCATTTCCACCCATATTGTCTCGACCTCCTGGTCATTCGATTTCAGATCTTTCCTCTCCACTGATTTTATCTTTTATTTTCTTTTATTTTATCCCTGATTAACAGGGCTACCTCCCCACCTCTTTTCCCACAGTGCCTATCTTTCCTGTAAACTGAGATCCCTGGAATATTTAACTCCCACCCTAGATCTCCTTGTAACCATATTTCAGTGATGGCTACTAGATCGTACCCATATGTGTCTATCTGTGCTTTTAGTTCATCAGTTTTATTCTGAATGCTTCGCGCATTCAGATATAAAATTTTATATAACAAACGAGTCGTTTCTTTCCAGCTTCACTCCTTCCTCTCCCGCCACTCCCTTCACTAACAACTAGATTACATTTATATCGCTCCTTTCACGTTGGGAGGATGTCCCAAGGCGCTGGACAGAGTACAGCATTTCAGACCCGAGCTGGGGTCAGGGTGGGAGAAGGGAGGGGAGGGGAAGGGGAGTGACCGATGAGGGGCTTGAGGCGAGACTTGAAGGAGGCTAAGGAGGGGGCGAGGATGGAATTCCAGAGGTTGGGGGCAGAGTGACTGAAGGCTCTCTCGCCAATGGTGGGGCGGGGCATGTGGAGCAGGCCGGAGCCGGCTGAGCAGAGGGAACGGGTGGGTTGGTAGGGGGTTAGGAGGTTGCAGAGGTAGGGTGGGGCGAGGCCATGGAGGGCTTTGTATGTGAGGACCAGGATCTTGAACTGGATCCTCTGAAGGATAGGGAGCCAATGGAGTCGGGCGAGAGTGGGGTAGATGGGGTCACGGAGTTTGGTGCGGGAGAGGACGAACCCCTCCAATCGGGTTTCCATGCCGCCCACAGCACAGAAACTGATCCACAGAAACAGCTTTGGTCAAAGTAACAAATTACATTTTGTCCATCTGTGACCAGGGCTCCCTCTGCCTTCTCGTCCTCCTTGACCTCTCTGCTGCCTTTGATACCGTTGACCACTCTATCCTCCTCCATCGCCTCTCCTCTCACTCCAATCTTCATGGTTCTGTCCTTGAATGATTCAGATCCTACTTCTCACACCATCTCCACTTCATCTCCATAAACGGCTTCTCTAGCCCCCGCACCGTCTTGTGCGGCATTCCTCAGGGCTCTGGCCTTGGTCAATATCTATATGCTCCCTCTTGGTGACATCATCCGCAGACTTGGGGACACCAAACTCTCTCTGCCTCCACCCTCGACTCCAGGACCACTGCTGTCTGACAGAATGTCTGTCAGACATCAAATCCTGGATGAGAGCTAACTTTCTACATTTGAATGTCAACAAGACCAAGTCTTTCCACACCTCAGGTACTGATAGCATCACCATCCAACGATGCACACTCCACCTCACTGAGCCAGTCCGGAACCTTGGCGTTTTGTTTGAGGTGTCTCATCACCCCCATCCTCGCCTGGCTCCATTGACTCCTCATCCAGAGGATAGAATTCAAAATCCTTGTCCTCACCTTCAAGGCCCTCCATGGCCTTGCCTCTCCCTACCTCTGCGACCTGCTGACCCCATATCAACCTGTCCGTTCCCTTCGCTCAGCAGGTTCTGGCCTGCTCCGCAACCCCCGCCGAGCCCACCCCAGTGTCAGTGGTCGGGCCTTCAGCCCCCACCCTATGAAACTCCATCCCACATTCCTTTCGCTTCGCTCCCTCTTTTGCCTCCTTCAAGATGCATCTCAAAACCCTCCTCTTCAAGGACTGAGCCTTTGGCCACAATCCTACCCTCGCCAATCCCGACTCCCAGCTCAGGTCTAAATCCCTGACTGTCCAAATGTAATTTGTATTGTATCCAATTCCCTTTTGAAAGCTGTTATGGTTTCACTTTACCCAGCTAAATTGGTCATAAATTGATTTTCAACATATCTTCTATTATTTTAACAATTTGTGCACCTGAAAGATTAATTGGATTTCAATATAATCAGCCTCGGGTGGTGGAGGCAGAGTCCATTGTAGTTTTTAAGAGGGAATTAGACAACATTCTAAAAAGGGGCTTAAAAGGGTATGGGGTTAAGGTGGTGGGACTGAATTGATCTCCTTGTTCTTTTTGCTGGTGCAGACAGACTCAATGAGCTGAATGGCCTTGTTTGTCAGATACTTGCTGCCTCAGTAAAAGTGTGCGTTTCAGATGCTTGTTCATGTGAATCTCAAACAAGCATGTGGGTTTTCAGCTCTCCAAGCCCAGGTGATCTTTGAATCTATTACATGCTGTTTCTAAGGCTGTGGAAGTGTTTTAATTCAATCTTTTCTCAATTCTTGGGATCCAGAACATTGTAAACAATGATTTTAGTGTTTACAATCTTACTCAAAACACCTCAATTCTGCATCTGTCTACATATTAAAGACAGTATAGAATCAAACGAGAGCCACTGGACAGATAAAAATGCTTGAATTGTACCGTGGAAGTTACTCACTGATCAATGAAATTCAGAGTATAAATTTGGCGGTACAGAAATCACATTCTTACAATTAGCAAATTCTGCTGCTTTAGTTTAATCAACTCGTAAACTAAAAACTTATGAATGTGACACCCATTCTCTTAGTGTGCTTGCGCTATTATACCACCCAGCATTTCTTATTTCCAGTGTTGACAATTCTCCTGGAGACTACATACCGAAGGTGCTGCTTTGATCTCTTCTCTGTTCAGTTTCAGTACCTCGTTGTGTAAAGTGACAGTGTCCAGAGCCCAGCCCTTGTGTGCTCTTGTCACTTCCTGTCTCATGGCTGTCAGGAACCCTGTGCGGAGAATGAATTGGACACGTTGTGGTTTCACCTCTGCTCACTCAATTCCAATCATACTGTCCACCGCCAGATCCGGCTGGACTATGTCAAAATCTACTGCTCTGCTTTTAGCTCAGCTATTGATCTTTTTCCAAGATCATCTTGGAGGCTAAGGACAATCCCAGGCGCTTCATAATAACAATACTTGCATTTGATATAGGACTTTATCACATCATAGAATATAATGTAAAGTGAATTGACTATGTATTCTGTGAGTGAAACGCAGCAACCAATTACACACAGCAGTGTCTCACGAACAGTCGTGGATCGGGTGGCCAAATTTCTTTTGGGTGCTGTGTTCACCTTCAAAATACAATCAATACACTTTTAAGTATATCCTATAAAACGCTTTTGAGATATTCTCTCACAAGAAAAGTACTGTATCCAAATGTAAGAATTAATTAATTTTAAAACAAACCTGTTAATGTACTTAACAAGTGAATGCTAATGAACTTTGTTTACAATTCACATAATTATTCATAGATTCATAGAATGTTACGGCACAGAAGGAGGCCATTCGGCCCATCGAGTCTGTGCCGGCTCTTTGACAGAGCAAGTCACTTTCGCTAACCCCAATCACCAGCTTTCTCCCCATAACCCTGCAAACCCGTCTTCCCCAGATACCTATCCAGTTCTCTCTTAAAAGCTGTTATCGAATCGGACTTCACTACCCTTTCAGGCAGATCATTCCAAATTCGAACAACTCTCTGAGTGAAAAAAATTCTTCTAACCTCCCCTCTGCTTCTTTTGGTAGATATCTTAAGACTGTGACCACGGGTTACAGACACACCTACCAGCGGAAACAGCTTGTCCTTACCTAGCCTGTCGAAACCTTTCATGATCTTGAAGACCTCTGTCAGGTCCCCGCGTAACCTTCTCTGCTCTAATGGGAAAAGTCCTAACTTCTCCAGCCTGTCCTCATAGCTAAGGTTCCCCATTCCTGGTATCATTCTCGTGAATCTCCTCTGCACCCTTTCCAGTGCCTTAATGTCCTTCCTGAAGTAAGGTGCCCAGAACTGGACGCAGTACTCCAGCTGAGGTCTAACCAGTGTTTTGTATAGATTAACCATAACCTCCCTACTCTATGCCCCTACTAATAAAGCTCAGTACACCAAATGCCTTTTTTACTGCCTTATCTACCTGCCCCACTACCTTTAATGATTCGCTTACTTGAACACCCAGATCTCTCTGTACGTTCATCTCCCTTAAGATTGAGCTACCAAGTCTATATTGCCTCTTATCATTTTTCCTACCTTATGACTGAAACGATAAGAAACTATTTTTATTCCCGACATTGTGTCTTTCACCTGTCAAAGACTAAAGAACCTCACAGAAATAATGTCCCACTAATATTCTGCTTTAACTCAGGTGACATCACCTGAGCATTGGCTGCAGAAGTTCTAATTCCTGCTTACCAAACACCACTTTTTAACTAAAAATAAATGACTTTATGAAAGCTTTTAATTTAAGATATTTGGAAACATAATTGTGCCTTTTACTACATATTTGTAATGTTTTTTTAAAATCCATACTACGTCTACTTTAATGTGTCAAAAGTGTATCTGTTTTGTTATTCAATAGTGTGCTCTTGCTTACAGTACATACCCTGAGGATTAAAGAATCCAGTCATCCAAAATGTGTATGGTCTTCCGTCAAAGATCCAGCTAGAAAACTGGGAGTTTCTCTCCAGGAGCTCAGTGAACCAGAATCCCAGTGTGCTGGAGTCCCAGGATATCTTCTTCCACAGGTTCGCCACACGAGCATCATACATATTGTCTAGGAGATCCCTTAAGTTCTGCAATGCAAAACATGAAAGTATTTACACTTACGTAGAATCGGACTCTGCCAATGCATTTACATTTATGCGCATGACACCAAACTCTTATCTCTTTGCTTCCACCCTTGACTTCAACGTTGATAAGACGGAGGCCCTCCTGGCTCGTGTCAGTGCCTCCTACCTCGGACACTGACAGCATCACCATTCATGAATGCACACTTCACTCAAGAGTCAGTACGGAACCTTAGAGTCCTGTTCAAGCCTCAACTGTTCTTAAACTACACATCCGTGCTTTGTGTCTTCTCTCGTACCAAGCTTTGTGAACAGATCATCCCCCATCCTCGCCCAGCTCCACTGGTTTCCCATCCCACAGAGGATCGAGTTTAAAATCCTGGTCCTCACTTTTAAAGCCCTCCACGGTCTTGTTCCTGCCTACCTCTAAGGCCTATTAACACCAAACCAACTTATCTACTCGCTCCGCTCGGTGGGCACAGGTCTGCTTCATGTCCCCCCGCCACTTATCACTCCAGGGGAAAAGAGCTCAGTGATGAGTTAATCAGAGTGGTATACGCATATGTACAAATACATAAATAAATACAGCCAGGATATTGACAGCATGATGATTTAAGTGGTAGTGACAAGTTAATCCAGGGTCAAGTTAACAGGAGTTTATATTACAGACTCCATTCCAACCCTTGAAATAAACAAACCCCAGTGCTAACCCTTCCTACCTTGTTCAGAACTTCCAAAGCTGCACTAATTATGCAAAATGAATGTATTTTGTGCTAGGCTGTTTCAAGAAGATTTGAAGAGCAATGGAGTGTCTCACTCATTTTCAAATCCCTTAATTCCTTCACACTTCCCTACCTGTCCTACCTATCCCACCCCACCACCCACTGCCTCCACTCGACTGGCTCTGGCCTCCTATTTATCCCACATGTCTTGCCTTCAGCCACTACGCCCAGACACTCTGGAACTCTCTCCCTCAATCCCACCGCCTAGCCCCCTCCCTCCCCACCTTCAAATCCTACTGCCTAGCCCCCTCCTTCACCACCTTCAAATCCCACCGCCTAGCCCCCTCCCTCCCCACCTTCAAATCCTACTGCTAGCCCCCTCCATCTCCACCTTCAAATTCCACTTAAAGACTTTCCTTTACTGTCACCTTCCCCACTCCCATTGGTTTCTTGTCAAGACTCTGCCACTGTGAAGCTCTCCGGGTCACTATCCCGCACGAAGGGCGCTATATAAATGCAAATTGTTGTTGCCTTTGCGACAAGTAATCCCACCAGTGTATCAGGTGACCATCATGAACTTGCTGAGAACCCAATTACAAGTTTAGTGGAACCTCTCTATTTTCTCTTCCCTTGTACTTGATTGCTATATAGTTCAGGCACCCTGAGATCCGCCAGCAGCATCACATTGCTCAAGGTCCAACTGATGTTATCAGCAGAGCCAGATGCAAAGGCTGGGTCACCAAAAATCCCAAGAATAGCCAGCAAAAAATATCAATTTTAATTACCTTTCCTAGAAATGTAGAGCGCTCTGGGCAGGCATTATGTCATGTAAGCAATAAGCACCGGTTGGCGCCACAGCTGAGTGACACTGACCTCACTCATTATGATGGTGCCGTCTATCGCCAGCTTCAGGTCACTCAGACTGGACCTCACTCGTGTAATAACCTTTTGCATTCGGTCAATTTCCTGTCGTAGGAAAATATTCATGGAATTCAAGATTCCCATCTTCATGAGTTGACTTTTTACCTATCACAAGAGAAAGAGCCTATAAATAACCAGGCTATGATTACTTTTCTACACCAGAGACAGAGGCAATAAACTCATTTTGAATCTGCTGCCAACAGATCAAAGACACCAAACTGCCTTTCGAAGCACAACAGCTGAAGCATGATTACCCACAAAGGACATGAGGCCACAAGGGTGCTGATCTGAGCAGAACTCAGAGAACAGAGGATATACTCACTTCATTTGACCTGTTTAATACCTACCTGACAATGCTTAAAACAGAAGTAAATAAAGACTCCAAAACTATCTTAAAGGGTTTCCTCATGGGCCAGTACAACATTAAAATCAGAATAGAACATTTTAATTGCAGTGTGCAAGGAGGTTATCACTGGTATTTTCCTAACAGGATTATTGATGAAAAGCCAGAATTGTGCAGCAACTTTATTTTGAAGTTACCACACCACAAGTTAATAAGTTCCACAAAAGACAATTTTATGTAAGCATTTACAGAGCCTCAGAATTGTATCCCGCTAGCACTAACAGTACTCACAGATAGAAAGGGTTAATTGGACAATTCAACAACTGAACTCAAATTATCTGGGAAGATGGTGTTAGGTTTATTGAAATCATCCAATTATACAGAACAGGATCAGTGTCTAAAAGCATGACCACTGACTGAGCTGGGAGATGGATTGCAGCAATGTACTTGGAGACTGAATGTGCAATCTTAACAAATCTCACATATAGCTTTATTTGGCACAACTCAATAACTTCTCACCAAGACTAGTAGTTCAATTTCTAACAAGAGTATAATCTATGTTTAGTTTTTTTCCATTCCTTTGGATGAGACATTAAACTGAGGTCCCATCTGCCTGTTCAACAAATTCCCCAAATAAAATTGGTCACTCACTCCACTGCTGTTTGTGGGACATTACTGTGTGCAAATGACACTGCTGCCTGGGCACCTGGGCTGGGTGGAGGAGCTGAGGGGGGTGAGGGTGGGGAGGAGAAAGATGACATTTGCATATTTACCTCATGTGCCACATAGTTTTTGGGCAGCTTTCTCAGCATATCATCTGCCAGTCTGTAGACAGTGGTCTCTCGGGTTTCTCCTCCTCCTCCTCCACTCTCCTTTGGTTGGATATTGGTGATTGTGTTGAGAACTTCAGCTGCAGTGTTGCTCTGGTACCTGAATGAACGGCAGAAAATAAGTGAAAAACATGAAGAAAAAAGGGAAGGTAGGAACAGGCTCATTCATTAGCTGCTTATCTTTAGATTTTCTTGTTCAGTTTGAATGTACAGGTGATTAAAGGATGAATCTAAGAAAGGATGGATTGAATTGCTGAAACTAATGGCTTGCCCTCCACAAACGGCTTCTCCTCCAGCCCACGCAAAGTCTTGTGCGCTGTTCCTCAGGGCTCTGTCCTCGGTCCTCTCTTCAACATGTACATGCTCCCACTTGGCAACATTATCTGCAGACATGGAGTCAAGTTTCACAGCCTTGCTCCTTCCTATCTCTGTGACCAACTAACCCCATATCAACCTGTCCTCTCTCTCCGCTCAGCAGGACACAGCCTGCTCCATGTCCTCCGCCTAACCATCAGCAGTCGGGCCTTCAGTCGCTCTGCCCCACCCTTTGGAACTCCATCCCACAGTACCTTCGCCTTGTTCTCTCCCTTGCCTCCTTTAAGGAAAGTCTTAACCGAACGTGCCTTCAGCCATCTTCCTATGCCTACTCTCCCTGCCCTCCACCCGCCTGATCCCAACCCCGATTGGGTACAAATCCGACTGTTCAGCGCTTGGGACGTCCTCCAAACATGAAAGGGGCTTTACAAATATAATTTGCTATTGTTGCTCGCTGGACTCATCAGCTTTTTTCTTCACAGGCTATCCAGAGCTCTGCAGCCATTGTCCTCACTCATTAGACTCTGCGATCTTATCACTCCATGTTTGCTCAGGTCCATCTCCTAATGGATCAAATTGAAGATCCTCTCTCTCACCTTCAAAACCCTCCACGGTCTCGCCTACCCTACCTTCGCAATCCTTTAAGCCTAAAATCTCGGGTGCTCCCTTCGCTCAATAAACACTGGCCTGCGACTTCACTCTCTGGAGCTCCATCCCTGAGTCCCTCTGACTTACTCGGCCCCTCACCTCATACAAACGTCCGTCTCAAGCATATCTCTTTGACCATGCTTTTGGTTATCTTTCTCCTAATTCCTTCGACTTCCACCCCCAGCTCATATGCCAGCAGTATTAAGCATCTTGAAATGTTCTCATACAATGTATATTGTATTCACTTTCACTTGTCTCTCTAACTTTTCATTGAGAAGTGAATGCATTTCTGTTTCCAGAATGACATCAGTGCCACTTCGACTGACTGCTGAGGGAGAAACTGAAGCTTAGTATACTTGACTCTGTCATGCACGTCAGCTTGAAGTTGTGATTTCAAGCACTACATTGAGCTCACAGTCAGGGATGGCTACCTTGCGGCCCGTGTGACTATTTTATGCAGTTTCTTTTGGTGCCCTGCTCAACAATCCTGCAGATAAATTGCTCATTTTCATGGCTATTTCTGGGGCACTGCTGTGTGTAATTTGGCTGCCGCATCTATCTACACAATCTATCCACTTAATTGCAATTACCAGTGAAGCACTTTGAGACATTTCAATGTTATAAGCACTACATCAAATTATACCTATATCAAATAGCAAGGATTATTATTATTCCACACTCTCTGAGGCACGTGATAAGGATTAATTATCTTTATCTGTGGTGCACAGATCAGAAACAGAACTGAACAATGTACTAGGAATTAACAGAAGGACACTGGACATGTAATCTATAGTCCTCACAACACACATTAGCGGTTGTGCAGACTGTAAAACATACACATGACAGTGGCAGTAAAAAATGCACATGATAGAAATACCTTGACAAGAGCACAAGACTTAATTTACAAGGAATTATTGTACAAGAAAAAGGCAAACACACTGCAGGCCGAGCATTAACATGTCCTAACTGTAACCATCTCCTTACTCACGTGATGTCAGCATTAGGGTGGAGGCCAAACACCTCAGGGGTGTCAACAACAGGCAGGGTCTGAATATATTCCAAATAACTCTCCACATTGCTACACACTGGAATGATGTAACCAGTGTAAAAACTGAATGTGGACTCGAACATCCTTTCACTGAACCACACCTGTGCCACAAACAGATAAAACATATCATACGGTATGGTAGAAAGCCAAATATGCACACTAATTGGGATCAGCATTGTTGTGGATATGAAATTAGTCAATATAAAGTCTGTTTGTGTATCTTAAAAATAGTACATCTCTCTGCTCATGTACCTCTGTGTATGTGTGTTGGTGTGTCTTTCTTGATGTTTGTGTGTCTATCTCTCTATCCTCCAGAATTCTCCAGCTCATTCTACTCATACAATCTCTTGACATTGGAGTTCGATTTTACTTCTGCATCTGAACCAGTTTGAGGCTTTCACAACCTAATAGAGATAATGGTTGTGGAAGGGTAGGAAGATGGATCCTACTCGATGTCAAGAGGAATTACAAGGAATAGGTTACGGATGTGTGGCAAACGGTTGTCCAGCATGAGGTGAAGCGAGCGTGAGTAAGTGGTGGTGTACTATAGATATTTGATTATTTGGGATTAGGAAGCCATACATTATCTGGCAGGAGGAAGGGGCTGGCCAACAATATCAACAAATCATAGAATTAGTAAGAATATATGTGTCAAAGAGGGCCCCCAGTTTAATGGGCTCCACAACAGCAGACAGACAAGTACACATTCATCTCAGGGAGGGGTGCGAGAGGGTTAGGGTTTGGGGTCAGATGAATCTGGAATGATGGTTGTGATTGGGAGAGGGTGGAACCCATAACCCCTGGGAGCAGGGAGATACTTCTAGCCACCAAGATCACCAATATGAGGGCTGAGGTCAGTCCACTTAGATGTTTACTCATTAACTCTTAGGAATATCAAGAATAGGATCCTGGAACCTGAGGCAGTGGCAACCAGCACTGAAATGATGGATGTCATGAGCGAAATGCGACCAGTTTGAGGGTTTCAAACCAACTGGAGATACTGGTTCCAGAAGTGTAGGATGATGGATCCTACTTGTTGTCAAGAGGTATTACAAGGCACAGCCAAGGACACATCTATGCCTGCACTAATGCATAAATCCTCTTGGTGATATGCTCCAGGAATGTGACACAAGGTGATTGCATGTATGTGTTGTAGACCACCAGGTAAAAATAGGGAGAATGCCAAGAAATTATTCAGTTGAGGACAAGGGGAAAAAAATGTCTTGGTGGGCATTTTCAATCTCCCTAACAATGAAGTGTCCTGGAGGTGTCTAATCCCAACACAGAAAGGCTGTATGCAGATGCCTTTAACAAAAGCTTTGATGGCAGGCTGGTGAGTGTTCGCAATGGCAAGTTGTCCAGGTTTAGCTGGTTAAACTCCAGCAGTATTCCAATGCACAGTCTGGCAGCACCAATGCTTGGCTTTAACTAACCTACACCTATTGCTTTCCAGGATTAAGTGAGTGTTGGGGAGGGATGTCCAAATGCAAATGCATTTGAGGATCTCTAAGTAGTTTGGTTTGGATACTCTTAAACATGGTGTTGGGATTCGCTGTATATCATATACCCGGCTGCCCCAAAACAACGTGTCTCTGACTGAAGTACTGTGATCAGGACAGGGACCGCATGCCTGGGATTACTGTGGTCACCTGGCTGAAGAACTGGACTCCCAAGACCTCCATAAACGGTGACTTGATTCTGACATACCATTGTCAAAGCTAACAATGGAAGTTGTTAACTCAATTCTAGACAGTTTGAACAAGTGATTACTGTGGTGTGGAATATTTCAGAGTGTAGTTACCTTGGCAAAGCAGTTGAGAAGACGTTTGTCAAAGTCGTCTGTAACACGTCCTCCATATTGAACTTCTCCAATCATGTAGCGCACAGTGCTCCATGACACCCCCTACAGGAAAGTAAATAGAAGAGGAATCCAATAAGAGTTCAGTGTATTCAGAGTCTCATTGAATGTTACTGCCCTTTGGATAATCAAAGAATATAATTTTAAGCACAACTCTGCAAGAAGCTGCACGTTCTTAATTGAGCCATAAAATAAAAAGAATCAGGTGTCCTGTAAAATAGACTTTAAATGTTAGACTTTAAAAATCCTTGGTTTTATATCTAGAAATGTAGAATCCGAAAGAAGTAATCTTAGTTAGGGTACAGTAGTCTTCAGTAGTCTTTTGAAATCTATTACAGTAAAACTTGCATAAGTCGTTCCTTTATAAAAAGTATAATCGCCTAAGTCATACATCCACCTGAGTACCATTCAGTTTCCTATCAAATCATTTAAGTTTTCTTTGCACTAGTCATATTAATCACCTCCTAACTCGTAATGCCACTCCTATAACCTCCATTACTCGTACTCTTACCGGCTGCATTGAATCACAGAAAATTATGTCCTTACTCATCAACACATGCACACACACTGTCCGGTTGCATTGAATCGTAGGAAAAGGCGTCTTAATCCACTTACATTTTCCGCAATTCAACGTAACAGTGATGAAGTACCGCATGCGCACTTAGTGGTTGCATTGAATTAAGCATGTACAGTGTAAATTATGATTAAATTGGATTTTATATGCCTTATACAAGTTTGCTTGCAACTCGGTCTTCATGCAAATCATATTAAATGTTATGGTCCTGAATAATGCAACATTTGTGACATATTGCATAAATATATAAAAGCAATACAAAAGGTGCAGTGTAAATTTATAATAATCATCATCCTTGCGTTTGGTATAACGTTGTATGATGATAACGGGGGCTGAGGGTTTTCTTGATAATTCAGTTTTTTTTTAACCAGACCAGAGAAATTCAAGGGCTGGTTTGATAGAGGTCTTCAAGATTATAAAGGGTAAATAGTAATAGTTACCTTCTTTTTGTCACACTCATCCAAATGGTTCTGTATGAACTGAACGCTAGCAGTAAAATCGGAAGAGTTAAACTCGTATGGAATATTCCAACCCAAAGGACCAAACTTGCGCCGTTCCTAGAATTGAATAAAAAGTAGAAGCATTTCATGACCTCACTACATTCATACTTGTACATAGACCAGGCCAGTTATTTAATAAATGTAAGCAGCACAAGAGGTAGTACAGAATATTCAAATCCTAGAAACTGGACTTTCCTGATGGCTCAATGCTATATTGTCCTAGCAGTGCTGGATGGGTCAGTGTTAGAGGGAGTTCCTCTGCCTCTAACTTAGCTGTGAGGTCTGGGTGAGACAGTGAAGAGGGAGTTTGCAGCACTCTTGCTTCTGAGTCAGAAGATTGTGGGTTGAAGTCCCACGTTGGGTCTTGAGATCATACAGTAATGTGAGAGACCTGTCCTTTATAGGTGCTTATCACTCATTGGACATCTGACAAACGGAGGTATGAGTCCTTACTAAAATGAACAGCAAGAACTGTTTGCAAGCCATTTCGTGAGTAGCACAAATCAGCATGAAAGTCTGATGCCACCAACATCCTGCCCACAGCCTGGATATAAAGCCTTAACCTTTAAACAGTGATTCTACTGGTTGCGAGAGTGGAACTTCTGCAGCAGCTGCTTATTTTTTCGCATAACAATCAAGATGGCTACAAAGCACTGAATATATGGTACATGAGCATGTATTCTTGAACCCGGACTCCAGCTAACAACTTCCAACAGCTGTCATCCTAAATTTTAAAGTTTCTCCAATGGACACTGCCTCCAGCATGGTAGGACAACAACAAAATTACATTTATAGAAGGCCTTTCACGTCGGGAGGACATTCCAAGGCGCTGGACAGTCAGGAGTCAGGACCTGAGCATGGGGGAGGGGTGAGGGAAGGCAGAGAGGTGGGAGGGCGACCGAAGGCACGATCAAAGAGGAGGGTCGAGATCGGCCTTGTAAAAGACAAGGGAGGAAGCGAGACAAAGGGACCGTGGGATGGAGTTCCGGAGTGTGGGGGCAGAGAGGCTGAAAGCTCGGCCACCGATGTTTGCGCGGGTCGGGCGGGAGACCTGGAGCAGGCCGGACGGAGCCCACTGAACGGAGGGAGTGGGCAGGTTGGAAGGGAGTCAGCAGGTCAAAGAGGTAGGAGGGGGCAAGGCCACGGATGGCCTTGAAAGTGAGAACGAGGATCTTGAATTCGAGATAGTAGAAGCTATTCAGGACAATTTGTGAATTGACTGCTTTACCTGGACAGTGGTGTGGAGGAAAGCGACTGCATATAGTAGTGGCTTCCACATGGGCAGGTTACTGTACTCGATCAGGTCCTGATTAAGGCCGACAAATGTTCTCTTCAGCCCTGCACGCACACCCTGAGGGGGCTCGTTGGTGAACTTGATTGATGTCTGTAAACAATGACAGCATTGGCTACAGATTTGCAAAATCTTAATCATCATAAGATCACAAGATTGAGTAAAGACTCTTTGACCATTTGGTCTAATCCTCCCTTGTTCTATATTCTTAGTGGTTTTGAAAGTATTGTTCTGTGTTTATTTTCTCATTTGCATTTAAAATGTTATCAACCTCTAAGAAAGTCTCTTCTGAGGTGTTTCTTTTCAAGACTTTTCTTTTTTAAGAGCTCTTATTTTGTCTAATCGTGCTTAAAGCTCATTTCTCTAAGACTGGGGATGATTGCTCTCATCTGTATTTAACTTTAGGGCCCGACAGCCAGAAAAGTGTGCAATACTCTAGGTGCAGCCTGACCAGAGCACTATATAGCTTGAACATCTGGGGAGCTGAACTCAACTGGTTTGGCAATCCTAATGGCAATCCTATCTGCCTTGTTTATTAATAATAATAATAATCCTTGCATTTGATATAGCGCTTTTCACGTCTTCTAGACGTACCAAAGCGCTTCACAGATTATACTGTAAAGTGAATTGACTGTATATTTGTGGGCGAACACGGCAGCCAATTGCGCACAGCAATGTCCCACAAACAGTCAGAGATTGAAAATGACCAATTTATTATTGTTTTTTGCTTTGGAGGGAATATTATTAGGCGTGTGGAGTAATAATAATAATAATAATCCTTGCATTTGATATAGCGCTTTTCACGTCGGGAGGACGTCCCAAAGCGCTTCACAGAACACACTGTAAAGTGAATTGACTGTATACTTGTGGGCGAACGCGGCAGCCAATTACACACAGCAGTGTCCCACAAACAGTCGTAGATTGAAAATGACCAATTTATTATTGTTTTTGGTTTTGGAGGGATTATTATTAGGCTCTGTGTGGAGTAAGGAAACTTGCCCAAGGTTTCGCCCTCTGCCTGGAATTGAACTCAGGTCTCTCACTTGAAAAGCGAGTGCTCTAACCACTGAGCTACAAGACTCCACAGTTTTGAGACTTATTGCTGTCTCAAAACTGTTTTGATATGATCCACGACGAGTAAACTAACAACCCTCGATTTCTTTCTGTTTCCCTCTTGACAATAAATAATAATAATCCTTGCATTTGATATAGTGCCTTATGTTGTTGAGACGTCTCAAAGCTCTTCACACAGTATATTGTAAAGTGGATTGACTGTGTATTTTTGTGGGCGAAATGCGACAGCCAATTGAGCACAGCAGTGTCACACAAACAGTCAATTAAATTCTATCCCCTCCATGGAGTACATTTCTATTCTTACATCATATATATAGTACCTTGTATTGTACCTTGTATCTGTATTGAAGAAAGCTCTTTCAGCCTAATAATTCCTGAGTACCCACCCTACAATCTTCCCATTACAACATCCAACTGCTTTTAAAGGAGTCCAGTGTTTTGGCCTCAACCACCCCTTCTGATAAAACATTCCAGTTGCTATTTCCCTTATGTGTAAAGGAATTCTTCCTGAAATTATTCTTCACAAACCTGAACTTGTCTGTCTTGTCTTTTTATCTTGGCATATCTAAGACAGTTTATTTCACGTTACTCAATAATTACTAACCTGTAGCAGTGTGATTGGGAATTTGGGGTGTGGCTCTGTGGTGATCCAGACTCGGAACATTTCATTCATATTCTCACTTGTCAGTAAAGTATCCAGAAGTTCATCCAGGAAATCCAAACCTAAGTGGCAGTTTTGTAATAAAACCCATCCACCCTGAGGAGCGAGAAATACCATTCAGTTTATGAAGCGCAGAAAATCTAATGTTCTACATATACCAATAACCTATCCCATTATGGTGGCTGTAGACCAATATCCAGTGGTCAAAGACTGACAGAGAGACTAAGAAAGTGAAGCAGCAACTAACTGGCTATGAGGTAAACAAAAACACTCCTTGGCTTCAGAAGGTATTGGGCTTAGTATTCAGTTGCCCTGCCCACAAGTGTAGTTAACAGGTCAAATAAAATTGCAGCAGTTTCTCTTCAATCACATTCTGCTCAAAAATTTCAATCCTCCTATACTCATGTGGTTGTTGTATCTCCGTCTGCTTCATTGTGTGGTCACTGTGAGGTATGGTACTGCTGTACTCTCTGTAGCCAGAAATGTGGTGCCTTACTGGTGGCCATCTTGTAAAAATATACTTTCAAAACACTGATTTGTCAATTCAGAGAATGTTAGTTACATTTAACATTTTATAAGTTTAACTTACCTAAAGATGTTTCAGAACACTGTGAGGAAAAGTGAGGAGGAAGAAAAAATAAGGGATCTATTGTTGGTTGATTGGTCAAAAATGGTGATCTTTGGAAATTCCACGATGAAAGATTATTATTTTTAGTTTGATGCTGACACTGAGTGAAAAGCATGGACAAACACTCTTTAAAGTCCTTCTACTCAGTGAGCAAAACATTGAGCCAAAATCTTCATAAAGAAAAATAGAAATTGACCCACTGAGTATATAAATAGCTCACTTCTATATAAGTAGTTCATTCTTCATCTTGAAGAATCCTTGAATCTAAAGCATCCATTCACTAAACTTTCACTGACCTGGTTCATAAACATGTTCAAAAGCTTTCTGGCACAAAAAACAATCACTACACACTTTAAGAAATCTTCCCGATGTAAAAGGTGCTATACCAAATTAATTAATATCTATGCCTTGCCTCTTTGAGAAATATTCATTTACACCTACTCTCTGCTTTCTATTCCTCAGCCAGCTGTTTATCTAGGTCCACTACTTCCCAGTTTAGGATAGATTTCACTGACCTGGTTCATAAACAAGTTCAACAGCTTTCTGGCGTGTACTCCTTGCCCCTGGCCCATTGATATGGCCCTGCAATCTGTAGAAAATATATCAGTTCCTATTTAAATTTTAGACATCACGCACATATTGAGTGCAGTTAAAGATACACTGATAATCTATTATTCTGAAGATTTTAACAGTTTTTTCATGTCTTAGTTATTCAAAATTATACAAAAATACATTTTAAAAAATCTTCAGCTTGTGGTAAAATCATGAGGGCTACTGAATGAGATTAGTACAGGGCAGGGAAGGATGAATGAATTGGGGGAGAGGTATCATTTTTGCACTTGCCAGGCACCTGTTAAAGGCTGTTCTGGTCAGGGATTGGATTCAGGTACCTAGATGTTTTCACTCTAATGCTGAACACTGAAACTTCCAGGAGAAACTTCCTTCTCTTTTTGAATTGCACCCCAGAGCCTTGTTCTGAATGGTTATTGTCCCACTGCCTGATTTTGAGCCTGCTAGAAACTAACACTCAAAAAGCGGAATATTGCACCGTTACCGTTTGATTTGCCCCAAAACAAAATACAAAAGTCAGAAGTCCTGACTTCTTTACTCCACTAACGTTTGTACACTGCAATTTCTACCACTATATGTCTACATCCATACCAATGAGGAGCTTCTTGGCCAATGCTTCAATCTGATTGCTGGGATCAGACCCCATGGAAAGGAAGCAGATCAGAGGGGTGCGAGTGTCACTCTCTTGCCAGGTTGCTTCCAGGTTTAGAATCACTGGTTCTGCGTACCTCACGCCCATTGCATCACCAATGTAATTCCGAGCTTGTGAAAGTGTTCGATCAGGACACCACGATCTGTAATGCAAAGAAGGAATTAAAAAACTCCTTTGAAAATACCAGAGTGAAGATTAAATCCTCAATGACTAGGGGATTCAGAGCCATGAATCTCTAAAATTAGCAACACAGGAAGATGAGGCCATACAAAATGCCAATGGGGTCCTGGGGTTTATATGCAGAGGGATTGAGTATAAACATGAGGAGGTATTGCTGAATTAATATAAAATCTTGGTTAGTCCACATTTGTAGTAGTGTCCAATTCTGGTTGCAACACTGCAAAAATGATATAGTAGAGATGGAGAGAGTAAAACGTAGGTTTATAGAATCATAGAAATCTAGAGCACAGAAGAGGCCATTCGGCCATCGAGGCTGCACCAGCTCTCAGAGAAAGTAGTTCTTTCATTCGCACTGTTCAGCATTATCCTCATAAGCTTCTATCTTTCTTATACCTGTCTAGTTCCCTCTTGAAACCCATATTGGATTATACCCTTACTTGGCATATTGGCATATATATTGGACATATTCTCTATACCCTTACTTGGCAGAGAATTCAACATCCCAACAACTCTCTGAAAAAAATTGCTTAAACTCTCCTTTTGTTCTTCTTGTGACTATTTGACATTCCAGTGCAGTGGTGGGGATATGCTGCACTGCTGTAGGTGCCGTCCTTCAGATGACATTAACCCAAGGTCCTTTCAGCCTGTTCAGATGGACATCAAAGATCCCATGGTGCTATTTGAAAAGAGAAGGGAGTTTCTCCCAGTGTCCTGGCCAACAATCTCCCAAATAAAATTGCTCATTCACTTCATAGCTGTTTGTGGGACATTGTGAAATCCTGTAGCTCAGTGGTTAGAGCAGTCCCCTCGCAAGCGAGAGACCTGGGTTTAATTCCCAACAGGGCGAAATGTTGAGCAAGATTCCTTACTCCACATCCCTCTGTTTACCTAGCAGTAAGTAGGAACTCGGTTGTTAGTCGATTGGCGGATCACTTTCCATCAATAATAATTCTTTCAAAAAGAAATAATAAATTGGTCACTCAATCCACAACTGTTTGTGGGATGCTGCTGTGCGCAATTGGCTGCCGCTTTCAATCACAAAATATTCAGTGAATTCACTTTACAGTATATTCTGTGAAACGCTTTGAGATGTCTTGAAGACACTATATCAAATGCAAGGATTATTATTATTGCTATGCGCAAATTGACAGCTGCTTTTACCTACAAAAAACAGTCACTATACTACACACTTTAAGAAATTCTCCCGATGTAAAAGGTACTATACCAAATTAATTAATCTATGTCTTGCTTCTTTGAGAAATATTCATTTACACCTACTCTCTGCTTTCTATTCCTCAGCCAGCTGTTTATCTAGGTCCATTACTTCACAGTTTGATACAAATTCACATCCATTGTTCATAAATTGTATAAGACTTAAAGGCTAAGTCATACAAGTTCATAGGATCATAGAATCTTACAGCATAGAAGGCCACTTGGCTCATCATATCTGTGCTGGCTCTTTGAAAGAGCTATCCAACCAGTCCAACTGCCCCGCTCTAACCACATAGCCCTGCACACTTTTCCTTTTTAAATACCTATCTAATTCTCTTTTGAAAGCTACTTTTGAATCTGCTTCCACCACCCTTTCAGGCAGTGATTGTAGCAACTCTCTGGGTAAAAAAAATTCTCCTGTCTCCTCTGCTTCTTTTGTCAATTATCTTAAATCCGCATCCTCTGGTTACCAACTCACTCACCCGAGGAAAAACGTTTCTCCCTATCTCCTCTGTAAAACCCCTCATAATTTTGAATACCTCTATTAAATCTCTCCTTAACCTTCTCTGCTCTAAGAATAATCCTAGTCTCTCTAGTCTCTCCATATGCTCTAAGAATAATCCTAGTCTCTCTAGTCTCTCCATATAATTGAAGTCACTCACCCCTGGTATCATTCATCCTTTCTATCCTAAGTGCAATATTTTATGTAGATCTGTGGTGATATTTGCCACTTTACAGAAACAGGGTGCAGCTCACCTGATAAGTAACAGCTTGCTGAATGAATCCAAAGCATCAGTGTATCCATTTGGAATCACTGTTTCTTCTGGAGCATCTGATTCAAACCAGGCCTTCCAAACTTTATCATTCTTAGCTATCTGGAAACGCATTCAAAAGCACAAATTCAGCCTTTCTCGATTAGAAATTGATCATTTAGAAATATTGTTAGAAAAAAGAATTACAGCAGAGAAAAGGATCATTTGGCTCATTGTGTCTGTGCTGGTGGTAGCTCACTCACTCACGTTATTTCATCTATTCCCATTCTCCTGCTCTTTACCCACCACATATAATTTTATTTTATTTATGTAATCAATTCTCTTTTAAAATGCTACTCTGAATCCAGCTTGTGTTAATTCAGTGGTAAAGTGCTCTATATTCTGAACCTACACTTTTTCTTGATCATTCTTAAATTATGCCCTTCTGCGAATATAGGAACAGGAGTTGGCCATTTAGCCCTCGAGCCTCATTCTATTAGATCTTCTAACCCTTTCAAAACCATTCAGAAATGTAAACCTCTGTTAGTTCCTCTTAGCCTTAATTATTTAAGTAAAAAAAGCTTCATAGCAATAACCTCTCATTCTTGGGATCATCCTAGTAACTTTCCACTGTACCCTTTCCGTGGCTGTGATGCCTTTTCTATAATTGAGTGTCCAAACAGATCCAACATTTGAATTGCAGTCCTGCTATTGCTTGTGGAAATTCAACAATGCTCTGGATTCAAAGTTCTTGTTTTATTTTTGCAATTACCTATTTCATTTATTCACTCACCTCATGCCCTCTATCATAAATTATCTTACTATTAATGGCTGCCAACAATCAGAGACATTGGTGGAAATTGCACAGAATTGGTCTATTTAATCACAAAGGGTGAATGATTAGAATTCTCCTCCCCCAAAGATTACTAATCTGAAATCACTGCTTCTCACCCATACAAACTCTCTGGATCATTCGTTACATGCTAATAATTTTTAATATATGAGAGTTGATAGATATGATACTGGCCATTTTTGAGATCGTCACACAAATTTTCAAAACAGAGAACTTGCCATGGAAAATACTGCCATGTCTGAACTTGAATGTTTGCATCTTATGGATGTACCACTGTGGTTAACACTGAACAACAGATGATGCTACATACAGTACCTGGGTCAGTATCTCTGCAAACTGTGAAAGTTTGCTTAGTTCCACCAGGTTCAGCCAAGTCATATCAAGAACCCAACGGAAAGGTTTGGTTGGACAGGCTTTCAGGTCAAGGGCTGCTCCACCTGCATAAGGACACAAGTCTATCTTTAATAGAGGGTGTAAGGGGTGTTACACAGAAACATCTAGGCTGTTACTGGAGAAGCACTGTATTGTTGGATATAACATGAGGTGAGACATTAAACCAAGCTCCATGTGCCTGTTCAAGTGTATGGAAAAGATCCCATAACATTATTCAAATAAAGAAATTTCTCCTTTCTGGCCAACAATCCTCAATAATAATAATAATAATCCTTGCATTTGATATAGCGCTTTTCACGTCGGGAGGACGTCCCAAAGCGCTTCACAGAATAGACTGTAAAGTGAATTGACTGTATATTTGTGGGCAAACGCGGCAGCCAATTGCGCACAGCAGTGTCTCACAAACAGTCGTAGATTGAAAATGACCAATTTATTATTGTTTTGGATTTTGGAGGGAGTATTATTAGGCGTGTGGAGTAAGGAAACTTGCCCAAGGTTTCGCCCTGTCTGGAATTGAACTCAGGTCTCTCGCTTGCAAAGCGAGTGCTCTAACTACTGAGCTACAGGACTCAATCTAAACTGGTCATTTATCCCCTGGCTGTTTGTGGGAAATGGTTGCTTCATTTACCTCCAAATTCAGTCCCTGCACTTGACAGCAGTTATATATGAAGCACTTTGTGACAGCTATATCAAAAGCATAGATTATTATTCAGTCAGCCTGGCTCACTCTCATTTCTGAGTCAGAAGGTTGTAGGTTTAAGCCCCATGTAAGGACTTGGAATCAGATAGTCTAAGATGACGTTCCATTGTAGTGCTGGATGGGGGGGTTTAGCATTGTCAGAAGTCCAGTCCTTCGGATGAGACGTTAGACCGAGGTCCCGCCTGCTGGTTCAGGTGGTAGTTAAATATCCCATGGCGCTATTCGGAAACAGAATTGGCAACTCTTTTGAGGGTTACCTTTAATGAGGGTCTGAAACTCGCTGTGCTTTATGTAGCCTCTCTCCAAGTTAATCTTCAGTGGCAGCAGCAAAGTGAAAAGGAACTTGTGATTTTCATAAAGACCACGTACTGTGTATACAAACACCTCGAAGGTCAAGTGTTCAATGATATTTCGGATTCTCTTTACTGGAACAGGAGACTTTTTCGATCTGCATGAGAAAATCCAGACACATGGATAAAATCAGGATTAGCAAGTATTACATTTAAACATTTAAACATCTGCTCTGTTACTGTCAAAAGAGCAGCAGGATGGCTGAGCTGGAGATGGAAGCCCTGCATCTATTGAATTAATAGTACAGCAGCGAACTCAAGAAGGTGATTTATAATAATAAAAATAATCCTTGCTTTTGATATGGCGCTTTTCACGTCTTCTCGACGTCTCAAAGCACTTCACAGAATAGACTGTAAAGTGAATTAACTGTATATTTGTGGGCGAAATGCTGCAACCAATTGCGCACAGCAGTGTCCCACAAACAGTCGTGGATTGAAGTGACCAATTTATTGTTGTTTTTTTTCTTGAGGGATTATTATCAGGAGTGTGGAGTAAGGAAACTTGCCCAAGGTTCCACCCTACCGGGAATTGAACCCAGGTCTCTCACTTGCAAGCGAGTGCTCTAACCACTGAGCTGCAGAACTCCACTTTATATTTAAGTAGGCTGACATAACCAGTCATAAACAGAAAATATGTTGTCTCCTCTTCCACATTCCCAAGTCTTGTTGAAGTCTATCCACAACAACATGATAAGCAACAAGACAACTGTACATCATGCTGGATGTTATATTTGGGTAGTTTAATGTCAGTGACACTCAGATTTACTTGGGAGATGAGAAATTCTTGCCAAATGGAGCTACAATGTAAGAAGACTCCATACTCTTTGGTCACATACCCATTTAGAGTCATGGCAATAGAAACCAGCACCAATGTAATTTATGGTCACGTGTAAACCTCTGCCTTTTACCATTACCATTCCCTGACTCCTACTCCATCTTGCTGTCAGAAGGAGTGTTAGGCAATATGGTTAGGAGCTGGAATTGCACCACTCCTTAGTGTATGGATGCACTCCATAACTACTGTTGTCTTTTATACCCAGTATGGCTGGGACAGGCTGGCCACAAATTTTAAGGAAAAGTCCACTTTCTACCTGTAGAATAGCCTTTCTTTCCCATATTTCATCTTGTTGCAGGGAAAATTATCCATGAGTAAATGCTGACTGGTAAATTACACAGACTTGAGAATGGAGTCCTGTAGCTCAGTGGTTAGAGTATTCGCTTTGCAAGCAAGACACCTGGGTTCAATTCCAGGCAGGGCGAAACCTTGGGCAAGTTTCCTTACTCCACACGCCTAATAATAATCCCTCCAAAACAAAAACAATAATAAATTGGTCATTTTCAATCCACGACTATTTGTGGGACACAAATGTACAGTCAATTCACTTTACAGTCTATTCTGTGAATCTCTTTGAGACGTCGAGAAGACGTGAAAAGCGCTATATCAAATGCAAGGATTATTATTATTATTATTATAATGTACTGTACATGTATCTCTGATGTGCTAACCCATGTGTCAAACACAGTGAAGATAGTCTAAAATATTGTAACTTCTAATGAGATTCTGTAATAAAGAATGGAATCATAAATGGGGATTCCATCCGTATATCACACAATATCTTTGGGTATCTCATTTTAAAAATAAACTGTATTGGATACACTTACACATTGGGATACTTTGTTTCCTTACTGCCTAAGGACAGTCACCATTTGATCATTTGGCATCTGACAAGCGCGAGTTTGAGACGTCACTAGGTGAATGGCAGATACGAGGAACCCCCTGTGACTTTCCTGGTGAGAATGCATTGCCATCATCTTCCTGCCCGAAGCTCAGACATACATCCCTTCCCATTGAGTGATGGTTCCTCCATTTGGAGGTGTGGAGCTTGAGCAGCAGCTGCTTATCTCTCTGAGTAACTATCAAGGTGGATTCCAAGCGCTGGATGTACGGACGTGTGTACATGAACTCAAGACTCCAGGTAATGCCCAAGGCACCAGCTGCTTAATCCAGGTTTTTAAGTGAGCAATTTGGGCAAATAGCTGTGCCCACTGTGATACCAACTCCACCTCCAGGGTACTCAGCGAAAGGTCAGTATAGGATGGAGCCCTCCTTCCCTGCATCTACTTCTCGAGTTTGCCACAAATTCACCTCACCGCTTGATCCTAGATTTTGCAAACGGAGGAAGCCTCTATGCTGCATCCCTAGGATCCATAAAGGAGACCACAAGTCTCATATGCCACAAGTTTGACCTGCATTGGGACCTTGATGACCTTAAAGAGAGACGAGCATGACTATAATGTCCTTCGCCCCTTCTCTGCATGGACTGTGTCCAAGTAAGCATTGGTGTCCAGACATTGGTGGAATGGCTCCCCGAAAGGCCTCAGGATGGTCAGGTAAAATGGGGGTGCAGATTCATGGGGGTACCAATTCGGAATAAAACCTCTGTGCATTTAAAAACTTTGTCGGGGCTTAAATAGAACTCGGCTACACAGGGTACATATCAATGTCCATGTCTACTACAACCCCCAGGTACCGATAAGAATGAATAATTGGCACTCATGCCCCTTGTACCTTCCAATCAATACCCTCAATGTCTTGTCTTGAGCCTTGCAGAACCATGATTACGTAGTTAAGAGCACCCATCATCGTTTCCCACTGGGTGGCCCAGTATTCAAGACAGTGAGGTCAGCGCAAAAGGTCCCCATGTGAGTTCGCCAGCAGCACAGTATTGTTCTAACAAACTGATGTGTATGTCCATACGCAAGGGGACGTTAAACGTATGCTTGTGTAGTGAGTTCTACAGCTCAGTCATTAGAGCACTCGTCTCGCAAGCGAGAGACCTGGGTTCAATTCCCAAGCAAGACAAAACGTTGGGCAAGTTTCCTTACTCCACATGCCTCTGTTTATCTAGTAGTAAGTAGGAACCCGGTTGTTAATTGATTGGTGGATTGCTTTACCGGTGGTAATAACCATTTTTAAAAAAAAAAATTAAAATTAATTGGTCATGCGATCCACGACTGTGGGACACTCCTGTGTGCAATTGGCTGCCGCGTTTCGCCCACAACATATGCAGGCAATTCACTTTGTAGTATATTCTGTGAAGTACTTTGAGATGTCTTGAAGACGTGATAAGGCGCTATATCAAAATGCAAGGATTATTATTACCCACCTGGCCATGGAGAGATCAAAGATTTTCAAGAACTGTGCCAGGGAGGTCTGGTACATGACATTGACCATGCTCATCTCTGTGATGAGGAAATACAGGATACTGCCACGAGTGGCAGCAGGACGGTACTCCTCCTGCGCCATGTTAATCTTCATCTCCGTCTCTGCTGCTACATGCAGCTTCTCACTCACTTCAGTTGCTGTAGACTTTGTTACTTGTAGAACTCCAATCAGAGATTCATCATCCACTAGGGAACCTGAATGAATAGAAGACATTCAAAACAGATGAATAAAGAGGATTATGAACAGTATTCTTTAAATTTAACTGATCTTTGCAAGAGTCATACTAACCTGGCAAATGGCATAGACTAGAAAACAATGTTATGGATGTTAAAATTTTATCTTTATCTGTTTACTGTGAAACATTATAGTGAGTCGCCAGAACCCAGTATGTGGCTGTACGTAATGATTGTGGGTGAGCTTTCAGCTATCCTGCCCTCGCTCTTTAGAACCCCATCCCAGAAATTCCACTGACTTACCACCTCCCACCCCACTTTTAAAGCCTCAAGATGTGCCTTTTTTTTTACTGCACTTTCAGACATCTTTCCCCCACCCTCAACTCCTCCCAAGTGCCCAACCAGCTCTTTAAAGTACGTTAAGACGTCCTCCCGACATGACAGGTGCTACATAAATGTAAATTGTAATTACAATGACCGACATTCGGTGTGTGACTGGTACCCAGTGTGTGATCCTGTATCTAGTGAGCGCCCGATACCTATTACATGACAAGTAATTAGTGAGTGACTGGTAGCCAGTGCAAGGCCAATATAATCATGTGTTCACCTTTGGTGCTGCTGAGCTTATAGAGCAGATTTTTCTCCAAGTCCTTCATTTTGCGTTTATTGGCAGTGACCTCCTCTATGAGCTGCACACGTTCTGCTTCTAGCTCCTGTCAGTTAGAAAGACTATTGAAAGAGACTGTATGGAGCCTTGATCAGACCCCATGTGAAGTACTGCATTCATTTTTGGGCACCGCATCTCAGGAAGGATATATTGGCTCTGGAGGGGTTGCAGGGTAGATTCACCAGAATGATATCAGGGCTTAAAGGGTTAAATTTAGAGGCCAGGTTGCATAAACTTGGTCTCTATTTCACTGAGTTTAGAAGGTTGTGGGGTGATCTGATTGAGGTTTTTAAAATAATGAAGGGAATTGATAGGTTAGATACAGAGAAACTGTTTCCTCTGGTGGGGGAATCCAGAACAAGGGGGCATATGGAGTCCTGTAGCTCAGTGGTTAGAGCACTCGCTTTGCAAGCGAGAGACCTGAGTTCAATTCCAGGCCGAGCGAAACCTTGGGCAAGTTTCCTTACTCCACACACCTAATAATAATCCCTCCAAAACCAAAAACAATAATAAATTGGTCATTTTCAATCTACGACTGTTTGTGGGACATTGCTGTACGCAATTGGCTGCCGCGTTTGCCCACAAATATACAGTCAATTCACTTTACAGTGTGTTCTGTGAAGCGCTTTGGGACGTCCTCCCGACGTGAAAAGCGCTATATCAAATGCAGGGATTATTATTATTATTATAATCTTAAATCGAGAGCTAGGCCGTTTAGGAGTGAAATTAGGAATCAGTTTGTCAACAAAAGGGTAGTGGAAATCTGGAACTCTCTTCCCTCAAAAGGCTGTGGATGCTGGATCCATTCACATTTTCAAGACTGAGGTGGATATTTGTTAGGTCAGGGCATTAAGGGATATGGGGAAAGGGTGGGTAATTGAAGTTAAGGTACAGGTCAGTCATGATCTTACAAAATGGCAGAACAGGCTTGAGAGGCTGAAGTGTTTCAAAACTACTATTTGAGAGTTCTACATATGTATTGTTTATCTGTGTCGATTGCACAATCTCTCCCCAGAGGGAGAAATCCTGTTTGCCTGATCCTGGAGAATTTAGGTGCAAGAGCCTAGATTTGGGGATCCCAGATGTAGTACTGCTGGAGTTTAATCTATTAACCATTTACATTACTATTCCAAACGTTGGCACCCTGCTGTTGTTTCAAAACGTAGTGTTATCTTGTTATACGTTTTCTCCATGGCAAAATAATTACTTGCTCATTGTTGTTTTGTGGATGTGTTTGCTATGTCCTAACATTCACAGAATTTCTAATCTTATTTGGTAAACAACAAATTGCATTTACAATGCCAATGCCCTTCATGTAGGGTAATGTCTCTAAGTTATTCACAGCAGCCGAGCAGAGGAAAAGGGGAAGGAGGAAGAGACCATAGGGTTTAAAGATGGGTAGAGCAGGAGTGAGGCAGTGGGATAGAGGCAGGGAGTTTGAGGAACAGATATTAAACTATGAAGGAGGCAAAAATCTGTGAGAAACACTAAAATGTTGCACATGGAAAATGTGTTAATGCAGAAAGGTGCAATAAGGATTCAGTCTCAAATACACAATCTCTATCTCTGAGCCCTGTGAGGTGCTAACGTTACCTGCTTCTCAGTAAGGATTACTCTGCCCAGCAGCTGGTTCTCCAGACCCTTCATAGTCACAGTGAAGTCGATCATTGATGTTTTGGCACTAATCTCTGGAGTGTAGGCAGGGTTTGGTAATTTTGTGGTAATGTAGAACATGAATCCAGCCATTACATCAACCTCTTTATCTCCCACTTTTACCTACAAAATAAATNAAAAAACACGTTTGATTGATACCTTTACCTTTTATAGTGCAAAGGGCTCTCTAGTTGTTCTAGTCTACCTGAGCTTATAAAGTTAGTGCTTGACTGCTTTCTGACTTAGTGTGTCAGAGAGCCCATTACGGACAGTTCCCTCCTTGACGTAGTTCTAATCAATGACCCAAATACTATTCCGGGAGTAGAAGTAGTTCATCCACTAGGTACCTGTGCTCCCAGCTCAATAACATTCAGTTTATTTGGGGAAACAGCACAGACACACAACCAAACTTCAGTATATAAATTCAGATAGGGGTTTGAGGGATAATCTAGGTGATTTAGACAGGAAAGACATTATTGAAGGACAAATCATTTGAGTATAAATGGACATCGTACAAAGCCATAATGCAAACCATGCAGGACAAGTGCATACCTAATTAAACCAGAGGAAAACTAAATAAAAATGCTCCAAATGGATTAACAGGAAAATATATATTTAAGATAAAAAAGGAAAATTTACAAAGCTTGTATGGAAAAAGGAGAGGGTGACCATTGTCCCAAATTTAGACCACAGAAAGAGGATGAAAAAAAAATTAGTGGACCACAGAAAGAATAGGAAAAAAAACATAAGAGCAAGTACTAAACAAATTGCCAAAAGCTTCTTTTAATATTATAATAGTAATAGTAGTCCAGGAAGACGTTAAAACCCTAAGGGGGTCACAAAGGTTTTTTTTGTATCAGGAAGGATATTTAAAAAGATGCCTCTCAACTTTGTTTGAGCTCCAGGACTTCTAATAGGCTGAAGTTCTAGATATTTTTAGATGGGTTCAAAGGGCTGAAAACCAACACATGACTTGGGATGAATAAACTATATTCCAAGGTACTTAGGGAGACAGACTGTAGATTTACGTAGCAATGACAGACACTATGAGGGAGTCAGCACTGAGAAAGTTCCAACAGACTGGAAGCAAGCAATTATGGTTCCCATATTTAAACAAGGTAATAATCATAATCATTGCATTTTATATAATGTCTTATCACGTCGTTGGGATGTCTCAAAGTGCTTCACAGAATATATTGTAAGGTGGAGTGACTGTGTATTTTGTGGGCAAAACTGGCATCTGGCAATTACACACCCATTAGCATGACTTCAATAAATGCAAAACTTTTAAGACATCTCAACGACATGATAAGTCACTGTATTAAATGCAAGCATTATTATTATAGTGCCTCTCCATAGAATCAGTTCACCTTATAGGTGGATCCCTGTTTGATGAAGTTTTTCTCCAGCACGTTGTCCAGTGCGGGGTCAAGCTCTTCCCGCACATCTTCCAGAAGCAGTGGGTGCCCGAGTGACAAAGCATCCTCCAAGTGATTACGGAAATACTTGTGATTCAATGTTGTAACCTATGAAATTAAAGAAATATCAGTAAAATCCCAGCCTCCACTAACCTGCACTGCATTATCCTGCGAAAGGAATTGAAACCATTTTGCAAAATCCTAGCTCGCTACTTCAATGATTTAAAGAATGTTATGAAACTGCATTTTTACACTGCTTTATAGTGCTATACTGCTTTACACTGAAAAGAGTCAACTAATTTTACAACTAAATACTGTCAAGTGTATGAAGTATACTTGTTTTTGTAGGCATACAAGGCTGTCAGTTGCACGTAGCAAGGTTCCAATAACATCCATGAGGTGAAGGTCCTATCAGTAGGGTTGTTGCCCGGAAAACAAACTGCCTTCTCTTTCTGAATTGTACCACTGAAATACAGATTCTCTCCATCTGTAAAAAGAGGTTGCCCCTCAACCTCTTTTTTCGGAGGTCAGCCGGGAGTCTGACAAACGCAGACACCCATCACCATGCTTAAGAGTATTCAAACCACATTAAGAGTTCCATACATGCCACCTACAACACCAACAAAACAAAATTATATTTGGAAAGCGCCTTTCACATCAGGAAGACGTCCCAATGTAAACATGAAAATTCCCGTATCTGGAATGGCAGGCGCACTCCCTCCCGGAGGGACACATCCCCATTACCTATTTCTGGAAAGTATTAGCGGGAGGTTGGCAAGAGCCATATTTTGGGCACTCTAGAGAGTGCGTTGGGGCATTGTTGGGAGGTTAACCTGCTTGCTATTGAGAGTACTGTCCGGGAAGCTTCACGTTGTTCATCTAGGTAGGGCTATCCTATCTGCTGAAGTAGCAGCTTGCAGGGTTAACAGGAAATGAATGGGGAGAATCCATGCCCCCAGTCACTGGTCTGCCCTTCCAAGCCCTATCAGTGAGCCAGGCTGTCATCAGCAGTGCCCTGGAGTACTGGGGATCTGCATGCCCTTTGGTGGCATCGTTCCTTCGGCATGGGGTTCAAATCTACGTGTATGTAGATGACACCCAACTCTATTTCTCTACCCTTGTCTCTACCCTTGATTCTGCTGTTCTGACCAAATGTCTGTCAAACATCCAATCCTGGATGAATTCCAAACTTGCAACAGCTCAAATTCGACAAAACTGAGGTACTCCTGCTCTGCTCCTATCAGCATCTTCTCATCTCTGGTGCAGACTGCATTGATCTATCTGCATGGGTTCTCACAGATCCTCACAGAGCTGGTGCAGAGTCTCAGTGTCTTGTTACCTACCACCCTATCTCCAACTTCCCTTTCCTCTCCAAGGTCTTGGAACGAATCATTGCTTCCCAACTTCACTCCTTCCTCTCCTGCCACTCCCTTCACAAACCCCTCCAATCGGGTTTCCATGCCGCCCACAGCACAGAAACAGCCCTGGTCAAAGTGACAAATGACATTCTTACATCTGCAACCAGGGCTCCCTCTGCCTCCTTGTCCTCCTTGACATCTCTGCTGCCTTCGACACCGCTGACCACTCTATCCTCATCCACGTCTATCCTCTCACCTCAACCTTCATGGCTCTGTGCTTGAATGGGTCAGATCGTACCTCTCACACTGCCTCCACTTCACCTCGACAAACCCCTGCACCGTCTCATGCTGCGTTCCTCAGAGCTCTGATCCTGGTCCCCTCCTCTTCAATATCTATACGCTCCCTCTTGGTGACATCATCCGCAGACATGGGGCCAACGTTCACATGTATTCAGATAACACCCAACTGTACCTCTCTGTCTCCACCCTTGATTCCAGGACTACTACTGTCCTAACAGAATGTCTGTCAGACATCAAGTCCTGGATGAGAGCTAACTTTCTTCAGTGGAACATCAACAAGTCTGAGGCTCTCCTAATTGGCTCCCGTCAGCGCCTCCTCACCTCAGGCGCTGACAACATCACCATCCATGGATGCACAATCCACCTTACTAAGCTGGTCTGGAACCTTGCCGTCTTGTTTGACCCTCAACTACCCTTTCTACCCCACATGCGCCATGATCCGCTCTACCTTCCCCCACCTGCCCTGCAACATCGCCCCGGCTCCGTCACTGTCTCACACTGCAGTCCGCTGAAACCTTCATAGAAGCAAGCATTCATTACATCAAGGCTTGACTATACAAATTCCCTTGTCGTCCATCACACAAAGGATATAGTACAAGATCCTGATCCTCACCTTCAAAGTCCTCCATGGTCTTGCTCCACCCTACCTCTGCGACCTCCTAATCTCTTACCATCCTGCCCACTCCCTCCGCTCAGCAGGCTCCAGCCTGCTTCAGATCCCCCGCCTCACTCGCCCCACCATTGGCGGGCCTCACTCTGCCCCCACCCTCAGGAACTCCATCCCGCAGTCCCTCCGCTTCGCCCCTTCCCTTACCTCCTTCAAGACCCCTCTTCGACCATGCTTTCGATCATCCTGCTTTCCCCCCTGCCCTCCACCCTCCCCAATACCAACTTCCAGCTCGGGTCTGATTGTCCAGGGCCTTGGGACATCCTCCCAACGTGAAATGTGCTATACAAATGTAATTTTGTTGTTTTTGTTTGATGGACAATTGTCCTTGAAACCCTATGCCTAGTTCTGCTTTCCCTCACCTCTGCAATATGACTGGCCTCCACCTCTCCTCCCAGACTGCTAAGACCTACATGCAAGCCTTCATACTTTTACGCCAACGTCCTGCTCACTAGACTTCCCAGTTTCTCCTTACTCAAGCTGCAAACTATCTAGAATTCTGCAGCACATGTCCTTCCCACAATAAGCTCTACAAGCCCATCACTACTCTCAATCTTGCTTGGATCCTCTACCTCCCCATCCCCCAACAAACTAAATTCAAATTTGCTTCTTTAGTTCAAAATTACTCCTTGGCTCAGAGCCTCTGTAACCTTCTATAACCCTACTGCCGTAGCTGCTCCCTCTGCTAAGCAAATACCAACCTGGTTTATGTAGCCCATTCACTGGAAGCCACAGGATGTTGTTCACCTACAACTCTAAAGGGCACTTGAGAAAAACTGATGTTATTGGTTATCAAGGAATCCTTTTTCCTTGGTCAGCCAGCTGTCTGATACATGCAGAAATCCATCACCATGCTTAAGAGTATCCACACCAGAATTCCATGCATCCTACCTACACATGAAATTCCAGAGACAGATTGTTGGAATGAAATGCACACTCTCTCCCTGGAGGGTCACATCTTGCTTATCTAATTCCAGAAAGAGCCAGGCTTGGGGACACCAGAGTATGCGTTGGGTTACTGCTGGAGTCTAACCACCTAAAACACTTTTGTTTCAAGGGAAACAATTTATAGATCCAAATATCAATTTGAGAAAGTATGTGCATCCAACCTGTAATTCATTATGCTGCTCCTTATTCTTGATCCAGATTTTGCCCTGAGTCTGAGGGTCTATGAGGAGCGGGTATCGAGTTGCTTTGGTAACAATGATGCCATTCTGGACTGATAGGTCATCTCCTGGTAAACCCTGCAGGTTCCACTCACTGATCTGAGGATCAGAAACACATCAGCTGACTGAGAATCTTGGAACAAGACTGACTACTACAGCGCTATCAAAACCTTAGAACAATAACAAAATGTTTGGATGAGGATCTTGAAACAAAAACTAGAACGCAATTATGTTCTAGAATTTTTTTTTATTTCAAAATGATTTAAAAAATCTAGGCAGGCCAAATAATTTAACAAGTGGTCCATACTGTACAGTGCTTTTTATATCAGTGAGGATTTTATTTTTAAAAATCTTGCATTTGATATAGCAAGCTTCATGTCAGTACATTGCATATACAGGATATGTAATTGTAATTCGCATCAGCCAATATATGCAAAGCGATGTCCCATAACAGCCATCACGTGAACTACCACTGAGAGAAACTCCATTCTCTTTTTAAAAACAGTCTTGGGATCTTTAATGTCCACCTAAACAGGCTGATGGTTTAATGTCTCATCCAAAGGATGGTACCTCCAACTAACCAGGAAATTATAATTATTTACTTTTATTCACCTCTCTATTTTAGCCCAGAATTTCCATGAGACCGATATCCTGGCATTGTGTTTTGCATGTGCTACTACTTCCCTTCCCAGTTCTCTCTTAGCTCCCCTAACCTCTCTTCCAAATAGTAATTATGAGAGTGGATGAGTTGCATTTTGTTGAAAGTTTAATGTTTCTTTTGGCTGGTAAAAGTTTCCTCTAGGATTCAAGATTTCTGGAAAATTAAATCTTTCCAGTAATAAACAATTGGAATTTTCACTCATTCTATTTGGCAGAGGCACAAGACCACCCCTCACTCCCCCAAAACAGTTCTAGCCGCCAAGGTAATGGAGAATATGAAATTACATCAAAGTTGTGAAGGAGGTACTGTATAAATGAATAACAATGTATACTGGAAATTAGGTTATCTTAATTCATTTGATGATCATTGCTTAGGGAGTAAATTCACTTGATGACTCACATACTTAATCAGTAACTTAAATCTGACATAAATCAGACCCAGTCTCACCGTAGGCTGGTCCACCAAAAAGGAAATGAGGTTCAAGCTATCTGTGTAGGGAATCTTCCTTTTTTGTAGCTCTGGTTCCCAAATTGATTTCATCAGGATATCTCTGAATGTTTGGTTGAAAGGGCCACTGTATGATAGAAATGCAGTAGCCAGGAGCACATCACCCACCAGTCTGGAATATAAGAGATACCAAAATTGAGTAGACAACAACAATAAAATTACATTTATATAGCCTTTCACATCGGGAGGATATCCTAAGGCGCGGGACAGTTAAAAGCTTGCACCCGAGCTGGGGGATGGAATCAAGAGGGGTGGAGGGAAGAGTGGTCAAAGGCACAGTCAAAAAGGAAGGTCTTGAGACAAGCCTTGAAGGAGGCAAGGGAGAGGGCGAAGTGGATGGAGTTCCAGAGGATGGGGGCAAAAAAGCTGAAGGGAGTATCAGAAAAAAACTTGCAAGGGATATTAAAGGTAACAGTAAACATTTTTATAAATATATTATGAGAAAGAGCATGGTAAAGGGGAATGTGGGCCCACTAAAGACAGATGTAGGTGAGACTATAATGGATAATAAGGAAATGGCAGTCTTGTTAAATTAATACTTTGTATCCATTTTCACAGTAGAGCACAAAATACCAGTGGTACAAGAGAACCTAAAATTAAGTCAAAGAGAAGTACTTATTGGATTTAACATAAATAAAAAAAAACAGTAATGGAGAAAATAATGCGACCAAAGATAAATTTCCAGCACCAACATTCTCACCCGCACTAAACTCCGTACCTCCATTACCCCAGTCCTTGAACAAACTCCATTGGCTACCTGTCAGTGCGGATCGACTTCAAGATCCTCACTCTTGTATTTTAATCCCTTCACACCCTGGCAGCCCCCCCTATCTCTCCAACCTGCTCTCTCTCTACTACCCACTCGTCCCACTCGACTGGCTTCAGTGCTATATAAATGCAAGTTGCTGCTGTTGTTTCTGCCCGAGGGTATCAAAAGAAATAGGGGAGGAAATTGCAGATGCATTAGTCATAATTTTTCAAAGCTCTCTATATTCAAGAATTGTGCCTTTGGATTGGAAAATTGCAAATGTCACTCTCTTATTTAAGAAGGGAGAGAGGGAGAAAACAGGTAACTACATCTTAACATCAGTTGTGGGGAAGTTACTTGAATCTGTCATCAGGTACAGACTGATTGAGCATTTGGAAAAGTATGAGCTGATCAAAGAGTCAGCATGGATCACTAACATGGTGGATATGAGAATGTCTATGGATGTCATCTATATGGACTTCCAGAAACTTATCCCAGTTTATCTAATCGCTCCATGTAGTCCAGTCTCTCCATCTCCTCAATCATTTTGCTTGCCCTATTCTATATTCTCTTAATCGCTGCAATATCCCTTTTATATTACACTGACCAGAACTGCACACAGTATTCCTAGTGCAGTCTCACCAATGATTTATAAAGTGTCAGGATTACCCCACTATTTCGGCTCTATTTTGCCCTTTTAATACAGCCCAGCTTTACTGCCTTAGTCACTGCTATCGAGTACTGCTGAGATAACTTCAATTTATTATTAATTGGGATCCCCAGGTCCTTTTCATTTTCCGTAAAGCTTATTTTCTTACCATTTATATAATAGTTCCTTCCTAGATTTTTTGCCCCCATGTGAAGCACTTTGCATTTGTGACAAGGCTTAGTAATTGGTTGGGAAGCAGGAAACAGAGAGTAGGGATATAGGGAATGTTCTCTGATTGACAGCATGTGGCAGGTGGTGTTTCCCAGGGATATGCACTGGGGCCTCAGGTTTTCACCATATGTATATGTGTGTATATATATATATATAAAAATGACTTGGATGAAGGAATAGAGTGTTGTATATCCAAATTTGCCGATACACATACCTGTTTATCTGTGCTTTAAACTCCTTGCACTGATCTGTCCATCTGATTTTCTCCCCACTCAGACCATCTATCAGTGCTGATGCTGCTTGCATCTTTGCTCTACATGATTCTGCATCGTGTAACAGATCCTGAAAAGACGTAACAACATGATTCTGTTTCTATTCTTCCCAGAGTGCCTATAACAATCTCTGAAAGAGCTATTCCCTATTCCCCTGTCCTTTCCCCACATCCTTTATTTTAAAATATTAGTCCAATTCATTTTTAAAAGCCATTGTAGGTTCTGCTTCTGCAGCAAGTTATACAGTAAACCTTGTCTTATCTTTATAAATTGCATAATCACCTAAATCATACATGCACCTGAACTCATTCAGTTTCCTACCACTTAGGGATTTCTTTACACTAGTTGTATTAATGATCTCCTAACTCGCTGCTCCCCTACACTCCATTACTACTACGCTTACCAGCTGCATTGAATCGCGGGAAATGACATCCTGACCCGCCTGCGGAGTAAGGAATCTTGCCTAAGGTTTTGCCCCTCCCCGGGAATCGAACCTGAATCCTCTCGCTTTGCAAACCAAGCTCGCTAACCAATACGCTACGGAACTCCATATAGTGTAGTGGTTTAAATTGGATTTTATATGATTTATACAAGTTTGCCTGCAACTCAGACATTGCGCAAGTCATATTAAATGTTATGCTCCCGACTGATATGACGTATGTGAGTTTTACTGTATATATAAACTGCTTTCCAGATTCTCAGTTATCTCAACAAGTTTCAATTTACTTTGAAATGGGATATTTAAATCTCCAATTGTTTCTGCTAGATAGTACTGCACAGCCTCACATTCAACCCCTTCACGCGCCCCTTCGAACTCCTAGATGACTTGATAACGGTTAATAAGCATCCTCGAATCACAATGGCTCAGTTTTGATGGTAATTAAACCCATCCACTCTTCAGGGAACAACAAAACAACTACTTGCACTTATATAGCACCCTCCATTCAGGGTAGCGCCTCAGAGCACTTAACAGTGACAGAGCCTGACTCCGATCTGGAGGTGGGGAGATGACTGTAAGCATGGTCGAAAAGGAAGGTTTCCAGCATAGGAGAGTGAGGGGGCAAGGTGGAAGGATTGAGGGAGAGTGTTCCAGAACTTCAGGGCATAGTGACTGAAAGCCCAACCTCCAATGGTAGAGTGGAGGGAGTGAGGGACAAGCAGAAGGCCTATGCCAGTCGAGCAGAGGCGCCGGGTGGTGGATTGGGGAGTGAGGAAGTTGGAGAAGTAGTATGGCTTCCGTCTTGTCCACATTCAGCTGCAGGAAGCTTGCACTCATCCAAGCCCTGATGTCTGCCAGACAAGCTGATAGAATATTGCGGACATGGAGTCGATGCTGGAGAAGGCAAAGTAGATTTGTGTGTCATTCCCATACATATGGAAGTTTGCAGATGACATCGCCCAGAGGGAGCGTACAGATGAGAAAAAGAAGAGGGCCAAGGATGGAGTCTGGGGTATTCCTCAGGTCACCGGGCGGGGGCGGGAGGAAAAACCATTTGCCGAGATGAAGTGGAGGAAGTTGGTTAAGTAGGTCTCGTACCATGCGAGTGCGGTCCCACTAAGGTGGATGAGGGAGGAGGCAGTGGAGGAGGATGGTGTGGTCGACTGAGTCGAATGCGGCAGAGAGATCCAGGAGCACGAGGAGGCAGAGGGAGACCTGGTCACAGATAGAGAGGATGTTGTTTGTGACTTTGACTGTGCTGTGGGCAGGGCGGAAACCGGACTGCAGGGACTTGAGGAGGGAGTGGAGGGAGAGGTGTGACCGAAGATGACAAGCAACTTTAATTGCAATATCTGTACAGTGGCCACCTATCATGGACAGACCAGGGCCAAGAATTCCTTGACACTTGGCAGTCACATTAAATGGGGCATTTATGCACTGAGAGCCTAATTCTACAAGGAGTACACTTTGAGACATCTTCACGACATGAAAGGCATTATTATAAATGTAAATTGTGTTGTGTGCAACACACTGGAAGTGATATCAGGACAAACCCTACACGTTAGATGACTATTTTACAAACCACACTTACAACCTGGTCAATCAGTCATTGGGCCCAGCCAATAATGAGGTTTCTCTGCATTGGTTTGCAGCAAATTCATTCAACAAGCAAAATCTAAAAATTGCTTTAATATTTAAATAATTAATTTAATATATAAAACTCCCAGGCAAGTAGCTAGGATTTCAGTTCTGATACTAGTTAGTAGTGATACTGAAAGTTAATTATTCATTGGATAGTGTGTTTCCATCATTGTGACTTACCATTTTCTCCTTCATGGCAGCATCAAACTTCGCCTGAACTTTATCCAACTCTGCCTGTTTTTCATCCAGCTGTGCCTGAGCAGCATCCAGCTCTGCCATTGCCCTTCCAAGGCGGTTCTCTTGTATGGCCAAATTAGCCTAAAGAGCATCAGAGTATAGTCAGTGTAACAGCTATGCTTTTGTCTAATTCTCATAGGTAAAATAATTCAAATAATAGTGATTAGTTGATGCCAAGCTTGAGTTTTAAAAGCCTGTACATTGTTGGAAGTAAGAAAAGACCGAGGGAGATAGGACATTCAAAAGTCTCGTTCTGGTTCTGGAAAATAATGAATTAGAATAGGAACAATGGGGTCTTATCTTATGGTGACTTCCCTTTATGAGACACAATGAAAAGAAATGATCAGCATAAGATAACCCTCAATATATATATTCATCCAAGTAATTTATTTATATATACAGTGAAAACCTGAGGGCCCAGTACATATTGATTTCAACGCAGTCTTTCAAAAAGGACCCAGAGTGCATCAGCTGGTGTATTTGGATTGCCTCTGTGTAATCATCAAACAGAACCAAGACACATAAATAAACATTACTACTAAATATTCGATTAAAACATTTCATAGAAGATAGCCATTAATTGGTCATTTGACATCCGACAAGCATAGAATTTGAGCCCTCACTGGGTGATTACCTTTAGAGGCAGGACTTCCTTGTTAATCCCAAAGAAGGCAGCCATAGCCTGAGTCCACGCCAGTAAGCCTGCTACATTCCCACAGACTTTTTTAGCATTCTCGAATGTGTAATCTTCCATTATGAAATATGGTTGGAGCAGCTCCACCATTTCTTCATTGATATTATCCTTCGGGAATGTCTGGAGTGCCTGGAGAAAGCCAGTGCCACTCAAAACCTGATAGAGTGCAAAAGCCCATTGTTACATTGGGTTCATAAAGATTGAAAAGTAAAAATGAAAAACATTACAATTTTACACGTACAACGTGGTTTGAATTTTCCTGAAAGCAAACAATGGAGTTCAAGGGTACCATTCCATCATTTTCAAAAAAATCTGGTTACTCAAACCGATGAGGCCTCAATAGGCTCGATTTAAACATTAGAGACTATTCACCAGTCCCACAGACTCTTTTACTTTAAAATTTTATTTAAAGAAGGAAAAAAGGTTACAGAAGCTAGTAATACAATATTCTCTAAGAATGTTCAGAAGATTTTTATTGAAGTATCCTATAAATGAAGACTTTATAAATAAATTGAACCCTAATAAGATTTTTAATTATATATTAATGAGATTTTTAAAAAATCTAGAACAAGGGGGCAAGGACAGAAGAGAGAAAGTTCTGACTGAATTACTTTTCCAGGGAGCAATGAATACTGTATGTGGAATGGATGAACTAAGGAGGTGGTGGAGCAGTACAGAATTCGAGAGAGAATTAGGTAGATTCAGTAGAATGCCAAAACGCCAGGATCAACAAGCTAACTCATCGATTGTCCACTTTTCTACATTATGCTTTTATGTGGAAATGATAATACTGTTTACCAAGAAAACAATGGAATATTAAAATAAAGTGACTCACCTTCAAAGACTCACCCCAAGATGGTTTAACACAGGGTTTCTCAGGGTCCATGGTGATTGTTTCCATTTTCTTTTGAAAGAGAATCAGGACACAGTCGAGAATCCTCATGATCAAGTGAGGTGGCTTGGCCAGTTTACGCACAGTGGCAATGTCAGCTGGTTTGATGGTCTGGAACACAAAACACAATGTGTTCACTGTAATTAAAATGATACAATCTGTTCACTTAACAGAAGTAAGTGCGGGCAGTTTGTATTTCTCACCTCCCCGACAAATGGTTTGGATTAAACCATTTTGCAACATTGGTATTATGACAAGGAATTTCCCCGATTTAATCACTGGCTTATGCTAAGTGGTACAACAGCAGTGCCCCAGCATCTTAATATGACTATAAAGTACTTTGGTCAGCAGGAGTTAAGTGCAGAAACACATCACCATGCCTAAGAATCTCCAAACCAGACTGAGAATTCTGTGCATGCCACCTACACATAGAAATTCCTGTGTTTGGAATGGAATGCACTCTCTCCCTGGAAAGTGCATGCTGCTTACCGAATTCCAGAGAGCATTAGGTGCAGGTTGACAAGAGCCAAGGCTTGTAATGCACAGAGTGTGATTTGTGGTACAGCCCCTCATAACTCGGACACATATCCGTGTCCACTGAGCAATGTTTAATAATGGAGAGGAATGTCCATTTAATACACAAGACTGTTCATTCCAAATGTTCGTTCTTTTACTTATTTCTTTTAAAATCTGTGCAGATAGATTCCTGAGTTAAAGTATGATCTTTGGATTTGGAATTAAAAGCTTATTTGCAGTTGGAAAAGGAACAGGTGAGACCATTGATATATTTTTATTTCATGGAGGCTGAAGAGTAATTTATTGTTGTTAATATTTTATTGTTGGACTGAACTTGCCCGTACCCTTGCGCTCTATAAATGAAATCTTGTTGTTGTTGTTGTTGATCACTTGTAGCCATGTTATCAGCACACATCACAGAAAAGGCTCAGAAGGATCAACGCCAGAGGTTATTGAAATTAATTGTGACCACGAAAGAGGCCACTGACAACATTCAGTAGAGATAAGCCAGATAAAATCCAAAACACATAGCAATAATATAAACAGTAATATTCCTTGGATTTGAAGTGATGCCTTATCAGCCAAAACATCTGAAAGTGCTTCACAGTGTTTCTGTAGTATGACTGCACTTGCAGGCAAACTCAGCAGCCAATTTGCATCCAGCAGTGTCCTACAAGGAGTTCTGAAGTGAATGACCAATTTTATCTGCTTGTAAGCAAATCAAAACATAATTTGGAATAAATTCACCAGGAATATGTTTTAAAAATGTAACTTCAAAGTTCTTAAGAATAACTGAAAATCTTATCTCCATCTTCAAGCAATTCTAGTTAATGCATTGGAATGATTTCTGAGATGTTTAAATGCCAACAATTTGCACTTAAATAGTGCCTATCACCCAGGGTAGCTTCCCAGAGTGCTTGACAATATGAACCGGGGGGGGGGGGGGGAGGTGAACATAGGCATGTTTGAAGATTTTTTAAAAATGTTTTAATTTTTTTTTAAAGTTTAGGAACTCACATTCAGGGCAGCTTCGGCTGCTTCCAATGCCGGTTTGGCAGCTAACAGTTTCTCCTCTGCTACAATCTTTTCCGATTCTATTTCATCCACAATCTTCTGGGCTTTTTCTTTCACCAGCAGGACTTCATTTTTTACCATCTCTGCTGCCTGGGCACTCACCGTCACTTCTCCCAGCACCTGCAGCACACACAGCACATTGATAGTGGTGCAGCAAATAGGTGTTTAATGGATACTCAAAATGACGTTTCTGCATTACTGCCAGGTAAATTGCAGCCAAAATTAATTTTAATCCCACATAAATTCTCACTCAGGCCCATGAATTGGATGGGTAAACATGCCACTGTGGGCCAGGATTTTTCCTACTCAGCTGCTAATAACACCCTAACGGATAGATCAGAAGAGCAGTTCATCCTCCGAGAATACCCACCCCCTGCCTCCAAGTCGTCTAACCCAGCATCAAGCTGTTGTTTAACTGAGTGCAGCTCCTGGCGTCAACCACCCTTCCTAGTTGTAGTTGTTAATTACCCTCTGAGAAAAGAAGAAAAATGGTATTTGTCCTAAAAATGCCCTTTGTAACCTAATCCTACATCTGTTATACTGCTATGTTGGGACATTTGATAGTGTTGTTCTATGTTTACTTTTTCAATCTGATTTAAAATGTTATACACCAAGATCCTCTCTCCTTTCAAGACTGAAGAGCTCAAGTCTAATCTCATTACTAGCAATCATCTTCCCTGCTCTCCTTTGCACTTCCTCTAGGATACAAGAAGCCCTTATGTCGCAGAAAAATGTATGCAGTTCTCTGGGTGCAGCCTGACCAGACCAGTATAGCTTGAGTATGACATCTGGGGATTTGAACTCAATTGATTTGGCAATATAGACCAGCATCTGTCTTGTTTGTCTTGTTTATTATTGTCAGGCATGTCACCTTGGAGCCAGTTAAACTCCAAGGAGACCCCCCCCTCCCCAGGAGAATAGGATAGTTAGCAAATAAAGTAGATATCTGCACATTAATAAATTCACTGCTTGTGTAAGTGGTGCAGAACAATCTGATATATTTCCCAGTTGTGGAATACTGCATTACACAGACACCCGGTATCTGTGAGTATCTATACTGCACTCCCTGACCATAAATGTTACACTTTTGTGTTATTTTCTCTCTGCATGTTGTCTGTCCATTTCCTATTTAGCTAGTTTGTTTACAAATCTAACAGACTTTGTCAACTGGGTCACCAAATGAGAAATACTGTAGCTGGGTTCCCTGCCTACAGCCTTGTACTGTTGCAACTATCAAAATTACATAAAAGAAAATGACTTTGATAATGAATTGTACACAAACCTTATCAGCATTGTTTGATGCTACAGCCAATTCCTTTTCTTTCCCCGCCAGCTCTGTTGCGAGTGCTGCCACTGAAACAGTAGCTTCCATAAGTTTGGCAAGACCTGAAGTAATACAGTTAGACTGGTTAAAATTTAGTGTGTACCTCACATAAAGTTCATAATGTATTGCATCTGTAGATTCAAGCCTCTTTAAACTTAGTATCTTTTTGATAACAGCCAATTCTATTTACTTGCCTCCCCTTGATTCTACTGCTGTTCTGACAAAATACCTATCAGACATTAAGTTCTATATGTGTTCTAACTTTCTACAGCTCAATGTCGACAATACTGAGGTTTTCATTGCTCAACAAATCTAATAAAAGTTCTTTGATGAACTAACCAATAGAAACGATGAAAGTAATGCCATAGATACGGTATACATGGATTTTCAGAAGATATTTGGTAAGATGCCATACAGGAGACTTTTAGAAAAACAAATTCATGGTGTAAATGAAAATATAGCAAAATGGATAGAAGTTGGTAAAAGAATAGGAAATAGGGGGAAGAGTACCAGAATTATTTTCAATGAAGATGTAAATAGTGGTGTCTCCCAGGGGTCAGTTTTAGGACCACTGCTTTTATATAGATGGTCTGGATTCTGGTATAAACGGGCCAATTTCTAAGTTTGCAGATAACACAAAAATAGCTGAGAACAAAGAAGATTGTAGGCAACTTCAGGGGGACATACAATACAAAATTACATTTGTAAAGCGCCTTTCACATCGGGAGAACACCCCAAGGCGCTGCCATAGACAGATTAGTTGATTGGGTGGAGAAATGGCGAATGAAATTTAATGCAGACAAATGTGAGGTTATATATTTTGGGAGAAAGCATAATGAGAGCAAATATATGTTAAGTATTAAAAGGAATGAAAAAGTAGAGGGATCTAGGAGTCAATGTACATAAATCCTTAAGGCAGGCGGACAAAGCTGTCAAGAAAGTAAATGGAATCCTCGCTTTCTTAAATAGGAGTATAAAATATAAAAATAATGTGAAATTTATATAAATCGTTATAGAATATTGTGTCCAGTTTTGGTCACCCCATTTTAGGAAAGATGTCAAGGTAATAGGGAGAAACATTGCTGAAAACTTTTAAATCAAAGTATGTACAGTAAGCCCTAGACAACTCAACCTGCCTTAACTAGTCACCAGCACTCACTTAAGTAACTATTAGTGTCAATATCCTGATACTTCCCATGCAAAATGTCACTTTACTTAACACGTAACTAGTTGCATTCTAGAAATTCTTGTAAGTACTTGGAAAATTGATCGGATAGCTCACCCTAGAAGATGGCATCTTGCATTGCAGAGGCTTCCCTCCCTATCCTGTGATTGGTACGGGCAATCAGTGGAGATTGGGCGCGCATTCTCAGATGTATCTTAGGGGCCTCTGGGCCATGGAGGTAGACGGGCTGTGGGTTCCCACCCCACCTCCACCCGATCCTGTGGGCGGGAGGTCACGGTCTCCCAATAGACCAGAGGCTGCTGCGATACATCTGAGCATGTGCGCCCAACCTCCACTGAGTGCCCATACCAGTCACAGAACCCATTGTGGCCCCAGATCACTGATGTCTAACTAGCCACTTCGGACAACTAGCTGCTGACCCTTTTTCCCTTGAAGTAAAAAGTTATCAGTAGTTTACTGTACGTGCAGATAACAGTTAGAACATTGCCTTAAAGGTCCTCAATTAAACAAAGCAACAGCAATTTGCATTTATACCCCATGACCCAGGATAGTGTCTCCAATTGCTGTACAGTGGTGAGGTTGGACTGTGGCAGGAGGAGGTAACCATAGGCCCAGTCAAAGAAGTAGGGGTTAAGGTGGGATTTAAATATAGATAAAGAGGGGGTGACTCTGGTTAGTCTCCACTGCTCTACAGTAGTTATAGAAGAGTTAAGTCACTCACCCATTTGCATGTGCTCTGCCAGATCATTGATGTTCATATGCTTTTCTGAATAAACAGCTTTATAACTGTTTATGAAGGACAAGAATGATTTTGGGGTTATGTGAGTTCTTCGCCGATACCTGAAAATTAAGCAGAAATATTTTTTTCTAGTACATACATTTATAACATTTGAACATATATTAGTCATTGATACATCAGCACAATGGGATATGTGGGAGTAGCACAACATATCTAGAAAACCCACTTATATCTTGGTGGGAAGAGGATTACAAACCCCCTATTTTGATATTAAGTGTCCAAACGTATCCTTGGTTTAGATCAACTTCCAAGATTAGCGTTTCAACTCGGGCTGCTGTGCAATATCAAGTGTACAGCAACATACCATGCATGAGTACATCAATTATCCATATGTCCACTTACATATTTTGGTTCCAATGCAAGTGTGTAACTGCCAAAAAGATTTCCAGGAACACAATTTTTTTCCCACGTAGCAAAACTGTGATCTGGCAACACAAGTTGAATGTGTTTATTCAGCAGTTTGCTTTTGTGCAATGCAGGATTGTACAGGGAGAGAATCTGAGTTACAGAGAGAAAGTCAAAGAGATGGAAAGATGGAAAGTTAGCAAGAGAAATGAATCACGCAGAGAGAGAAAGTTTCAGAAAAAGACAGACATAGAGAATGTCAGAGACAGAGATGATAAGATTGGTCTGGATGAAGAAAGCCTTTTGACCCATCTGATCTCATTCTTCCAGAATAGCAATCCTACTGCCCTATCACAGCATCAAGCTGCTTTTTAAATGAGTTCAGTATCTTGGCCTCAACCAACTTTCCTGGCAACCTGTTCCAGTTGTTGATTACCCTCTGAGTAAAGAACATCTTCCCTGGTATCTGTACTGAAATTGCCGTTCGCCACTCCAAACCTATATCCTCATATTCTGCTGTCTTGGTGCATCCTAAAGTATTGATCTGGGTTTACTTTTTCAAATCCATTTAATGTGTTATACACCTCTACAAGGTCCCCCTCAAGTCTTCGTCTCTCAAAACTGAACAGCTCTAGCTTGCCTAATTGTTGCTCATATCTCATTTCTCTAAAAGTAACTCTCCCTCGTTGCTCTCCTCTGCACTGCCTCTAAGGCTTGCCTAAGACAGTCTCCTGATCAAATGACTAAAATTGTGTAGTACTCCCAGTGTAGTATGACCACAGCACAATACATCATGAGTATGTCTTCAAGGATCTTCACTCAAGTGATTTAGCAATATAGCCCAGCATTGTATTTGCTCTGTTTATTGCTGCCTCACACTCTTAACATAGCAAGTGATGAGTCAATTAACTAGATCTCTTTCACCTTCCTTTTGAGTGTGTTACTGTTAGTAACCTATCCATGGAATACTTGTGTTTCCTATACTTGCATCCTATATGTAGGATGCAAGAATACCCTGCATTTATCTGTATTAAACTATAGAAAGTTAGATTCTGACAGGAAATCAAAATAACATAGAATGTCAAAGAGACTCAGAGAGAGAAAGAATGAGAAAATCAGGCAGACAAAGTTAAGGCACTCACGAGAGTGAAAGAAAGTCTTGGGAGTGAAACTGAGAGAGTGAGACAACAACAAATTACACTCGTATAGTGCCCTTCACGTCACAAAGACGTCCCGGGGCACTGGACAATCAGGGGTTTTGGAGCCGAGCTGAGAGTTGGGGTCAGAAGGCATGGTCGAAGAGGAAGGACTTCAAGCGGGACTTGAAGGGAGCAAGAGAGGGGGTAAGGTGGAGGGATGGAGGGATAAGAGTTCTAGAATGTGGGAGCAAAGAGAAATGGAGAGCCAGTGAAGCCGAACAAGAACAGGGGTGATAGGTTCCCGGAGCCTGGTGCGGGAGAGGACACGAGCTGCAGAGTTCTGAATAATCTGCAGCTTGTGGAGGGAAGAATTGGGAAGTCCAGTGACCAGGTAGTTGGGTAGTCAAGTCGGGATGTAATGAAACCGTGGATCAGGGTCTCAGTGGCCTGGGGTGAGTGGCCTGGGGTGAGAGGAAGTGGGGAGGCGGGTAAAGTCAAACAGATAATTATTTGGGGAGGACAAATTTGCAGGGCTATGGGGAGAGAGGGGATGTAGGATTGATTTGGGTAGCTCTTTTCAAAGAGCCGGCACAGATACGATGGGCCGAATGGCCTCCTTCTGTGCTGTATAATTCTATGTTTCTAGGTGTAAAAGGTGGAACTTGTCACGGCACGAATGTGGGGTTTGAAGGATAGCTGAGGGTTGAAAAGGACACCAAGATTTCAGATTGGCTCGGTGAGGTGAAGAGTTCAGCCACGAATGGTGATACGGTCAGCGACTGAAGTGAGGAGGCGCTGTTGGGAGTCAAACAGGAGGGCCTCTCTTGCCAACATTGAGCTGGAGGAAGTTAGCTCTTGTCCAGGACTTGGTGTCAGACAGATAATTAGCCAGGACATCAACGGTTCGGGAGTCGAGGGTGGAGGCAGCGAGATAGAGTTGGATGTCATTTGCATACATGTGGAAATTGACCCTATGCCTGCAGATGACATCGCCAAGCAGGAGCATGTAGATTGATGAGGGGTGGACCGAGGACAGAGCCCTGAGGGATGCTAGATGTGACAATGCGAGGGCTAGAGGAGAAGCCGTTGGTGGCCACAAAGTGCAGACGGTGGGAAAGGTGGGATTGGAACCAGGCAAGCACAGAACCATTGAGGTGGAGGTGAGAGGGGAAGCGTTGGAGAAGAATAGTGATCAATCAACATGAAAATCAAACAGAAATAGAAAATTAGAAGAAATCCAAGAGGGAATCAAAGACATAAAGAAAGTCCAAGAGAGAAAACATCAAACAGAAAGAGATGGAAAATTAGCATGTCAGAGAGAAAATGAGTACAAAAAAAGTCAAGAAAAAGCTGGAGAGACACACCCTAGACTCCCCAGAGAGAGAGAAGAGCTGACACAGTGTGATACCATGGTGACAGTAAACTCCAGATGGAAGAAGATACTGGTCAGCACTGTAACTGATTTGTATTTAGTGCGAATGCCAATATTCACATACGGATACATGAAAACTATCTCTTTCCATATCCACAAATAGGTCTGGACCCAATTAGTTTGTTCATTATGCCCTCTGTTGGAAATCAATACAAGAACAATAACAACAGCAGCTTGCATTTATATACGGCCCTTCACATAGCATAATATCTGGGAGACCTGTACAGTTGGTGGTGCTGGACACCAATCTTGGAAGTGGGAGCTGACCATAGGTGCAGTCAAACTGGCACATTAGGTGCTTCAATTGCAGGTTATTGAAAATTTTGTGATTGTCTGTGCGTGTGTCTCTATGTGAATGTGTCTGTGAGTGTGTCTATATCTCTTTTGTGTGTGTGTGTGTTTATGAGTGTCTCTGTGTGAATGTGTGCCTCTCTGTCTCTGTGTGTCTCTTTGTGTCTATGAGTGAATGTGTGTGTGTTTCTCTCTCTCTCTGAGACTGTATCTCTGTGTCTGTGAGTGTGTCTCTCTCTCCTTGTCTGTGTCTCTCTCTCTCTCTCTCTCTGTGGCTATGAGTGTATGTGTCTTTCCCTGTGCCTGTGAGTGTGTGTGTCTCCCTCTGTGTATGTGAATGTCTCACTCTCTGTGTCTCTGAATGACTGTGTCTCGCGATGTCTCTGAGTGTCTGTGTCTCTCTCTGTGCATGTGAGTGTGTGTGTGTCTCTCTCTGTCTGAGTGTGTGTTTCTTGCTCTGGGTCTCGGTGTTGTGCCGGCCTTGAGAGGCAGGAGGTGGTGAGCTCCTGTCGCCTCACTGGTGTCCCCCCTCCCAAAAGAAATGGCCACCCAGTTTTTGTTAAAGAAGCAATCAATATTTTTTTTGCAACAATCTGATATGTGTTATTTCATGTTTAGTTTTTAATCGATAAAGTGAAAAAATGTAGTAGTAAATTGTATCTCAATCGCACCAATCAACCACCGCAATCCTCCAAATCCAACAAAATCTGCTGCAATTTCCTGCAGCATTTGCAAAGCGCTCCACACTTTTTCAAACCAATGTCTGCACTTTTCTATTGGCCTAGGCGATAATCTATAAGTAGGAAATGTACGTGTAAGATTGTGAACTTCTGGGTAATATATTACTGTTATAACCAGCTATCAATTGTTCAGTTCCATGTCTTCAGAAACCCCAGTTAATTTCTTTTTTTGCTAAGAGTTAAACTAAATGACTGGTTAATTTTACCTATTTGGTATTGCTAACGTTTTCCAATAAACCAGCCAACAACCCACAACATACCTTTGGAAATAGTCCTCACACGTTTGAAATACCATGTCATTAAAGATGCTCATAGTTTCCTCCACATGTGTTTTGATCTCAGGTGAGCAGGCAATATAGAATTCACTAAGGAAATAGTGAGAAACAGCAACCAGGGCCTCTAAAGGCCAGCGACTAAACCAGTCCATAGTGCAGCCAGAAATCAGTCCAGGAAACTTAAGCGAGCGCGAGCGAAACTTCTCACCAACCTAACACCAGATAAAATAAAAGATTTAAACTGCAAATCTTTTCAAAGAAAGTTTAAAAATTCTAAATGGTTGTACTTAGGATTCTAGGAACATGCTCCTAAAGCTCTATTTAAATATATATACTAACTATACAAGAATGTAAAAATAATGGTCATAATTAATACAGATTTTTATCCTCATACACTAGGCTCCACGAACCTATCACTCGCCCGGCTCCACTGGCTTCCCAACTCCCTGTTGGGGCTTTCTGCCCCCACTTTCTGGAATTCCATCCTATAGAGATCCTTCACCTCACCTCTTCCCTCACCTCTTTGAAGATCCATCTGAACACCTTCCTCTTTGACCTTCACATGTGTTCCCCACCCCCCCTCAGCCCCCACCTCTCTCCAACCCCCCCCAACTCGGGTGCAAACCCTCAACTGTCCAGCGCCTTGGGATGTCCTCTCGACATGAAAGGTGCTATAATTTCTTATTGGTATTGTCATAAAAAGTGTGTGAGATTCTTTGAAAGGAACTTGTGAATAGTCCCCCCCCAATAAGATCAATTGCAGAGTACAGTAATTTATGGATACCTGCCAAGGCTAATGAGGTAGGGAAATCCAAAACAATGCAACCAGATCTGTGGTACAGTTTCAATTCTGATAATTTTGTCAGAAGTTTTATTCCTGTCATGATCACATAGAATCATAGAATTATACAGCACAGAAGGCCATTTGGCCCATCATATCTGTGCCGGCTCTTTGAAAAGAGCTACCCAAATCAATCCCACATCCCCTCTCTCCCCATAGCCCTGAAAACTTCTCCTCCCCAAATATCTATCTACCTCTCTCTTGAAAGTTGTTATCAAATTGGTTTCCACCACTCTTTCAGGCAATGCAACCAAATCTAAACAACTCACTGTGTGAAAAAAATTCTCTTCACCTTCCCTATTTTAAATCGGTGTCCTCGGGTTACCAACCTACCGGGCAGTGGAAATAGTTTCTCCTTGTTCACCCTATCGAATCCCCTCATAATTTTGAAAACTTATCTTAAGTCTCCTCTTAACCTATTCTGCTCCAAGGAGAATAATCCTAGCTTCTCTAGCCTCTCCTCATAACTGAAGTCCCTCATTCCTGGTAAATCTCCTTTGCACCCTCTCCAATGCCTTGACATCCTTCCTGTGGTGCCCAGAACTGAACACAGTACTCTAGCTGAGGCCTAACCAGTGCTTTATAACTTGCTGACTTTTGTATTCTCTCCCCCTATTTATAAAGCCTAGTATCCTGAATGCTTTTTCAGCAGCTTTATCTACCTAACCTGCCACCTTCAAAGATTTACTTATATGAACCCCCATGTCTCTCTCTGTTCCTTCAACCCCTTTAAGATTCTACCATCTAGCTTATATTGCCTCTCCACATTCTTCCTCCTAAAATGCTTCACTTTGCATTTCTCCACATTAAACTTCATTTGCCATGTGTCTGCCCATTTTACTAGTCTGTCTATGTCCTCCTGCAGTCTGCTATATCCTCCTCACTGTTTACCGCTTTTCCTACTTTAGTATCATCTGCAAACTTGGAAATTGTACTTCCTATATCCAAGTCCAGGTCATTTATATAGGCCAAAAACAGCAGTGATCCCAATACCGATCCCTGGGGGACACCACTGCACACTTCCTTCCAGTAAGAAAAAGAACTGTTCGCTGCCACTCTCTGCTTTCTGTCTCCCAACCAGTTCTGTATCCATGCTGCCACTGTCCCTTTAATACCTTGGTCTTCTATTTTGCTTACACGTCTCTTATGTGGCACATTATCAAACACCCTTTGAAAATCCATATAAGCTATGCCAACTGCACTACCTACATCCACCCTCTCCGTTACTTCATCAAAAAACTCTATTAGGTTTGTTAGACACAATTTGCCTTCAACAAATCTGTGTTGGCTGTCCTTTATTAATCCACATTTTTCTAAGTAAAAATTTATTTGTCCTGGATTATAGTCTCTAGAAGTTTCCCCATTACTGAGGTTAGGCTGACTGGCTTGTAGTTCCCAGGTTTATTCTTCTGCCCCCTTTTGTATAGGGGTATAACATTTGCTGTACAGGGGAGTAACATGATCCTGATATGGATGATAGCACTTTTATTCTCTTTTAACATCTCAAGTTCAGGGAGGCAGACCAAGCACAGCTGCACTAGGTGTTCCAGAGTAGAGGCTAATTCTTGCATTTGATATAGCACCTTATCAAGTTGTCAAGACATCTCAAAGCGTTTCCACAGATTTAACTTTATTTTCAGGCCAACGTGGCAGCCAAATTGCGCACCAATGTTCCGCAAATTTTACTTTGATCATGTAAGGTTTTTGATGCACTTTCTTTCTACCATTTGCAAAATATATTTAAATCAATCGAGTGTTAAACTGTTATGGTGAATTGACAGTGAGAAGGTACTGACCGGAGAGAAGCAGAGGACAACATGCAGATTCTTTTTGGCTTGGCTTATAAAGTAATCATACAGGTTGTCAAAAGTTGGAGGGTTGCGGGGTTGGTCCTTCTTCATTACTGGAATTAACTCTTGAGTAATCTCATCAAGTTCATCTCGTGCAAATAAATTAGACACCTATGGAAGGACAGTCAAAAATTATTTAAAAATCAATTATCCCAGGTAAGTTAATAGTTGGGATTTTGCTCCTTACTGATTTTAGTCAGTAATAATGCTACTGAATGAAACTGTACTAAAGCTAAAATGGGATTGGAGGTAGTTTCCTGTAGTGAAGGGGATGAGAGGGAAAAGAGCAAAAGTAATAATAATAATCCTTGCATTTGATATAGCGCTTTTCACGTCAGGAGGATGTCCCAAAGCACTTCACAGAACACACTGTAAAGTGAATTGACTGTATATTTGTGGGCGAATGCGGCAGCCAATTGAGCACAGCAATGTCCCACAAACAGTCATAGATTGAAAATGACCAATTTATTATTGTTTTTGTTTTTTGGAGGGATTATTATTAGGCGTGAGGAGTAAGGAAACTTGCCCAAGGTTTCGCTCGGCCTGGAATTGAACTCAGGTCTCTCGCTTGCAAAGCGAGTGCTCTAACCACTGAGCTACAGGACTCCAAAAAGTACTTTGACATAGTCAAACGTGTTCAAGCAATCACCTCCATTCAGCAACTGCTCCCTGTTAACAACCACCATGGAACAGGCCGGACATTTCAGTTTGCACACAATCCTTACTCAGAGGCCACCCTTACATGTGGAGTCCTGTAGCTCAGTGGTTAGAGTACTTGCTTTGCAAGTGAGAGACCTGAGTTCAATTCCAGGCACGTTGAAACCTTGGGCAAGTTTCCTTACTCCGCACGGCTAATAATAATCCCTCCAAAAAACAAAACAATAATAAATTAGTCATTTTCAATCCATGACTGTTTGTGGGACATTGCTGTGCACAATTGGCTGCCGCGTTCGCCCACAAATATACAGTCAATTCACTTTACAGTATATTCTGTGAAGCATTTTGGGACGTCTAGAAGACGTGAAAAGCGCTATAGTCCCAAAGCGCTATATCAAATGTAAGGAGTATTAGTATTATTATTACGTAAAGGCCACTTTGGCCCTGTTCCCTGAGCAGTTGTGTATCTTAATGTAACAGGCTCGCTCTGTTTATGAGTTGTGCGGCAACAACAGCACTTAATTTTGAGCTGAAGTAGGGTGGTGTAGCTAGATGGATTTTCTTTGGGCTGTAAAGAAAGTAAACCAGGTGTTGCATGTCCTTGCTTTTTTTTTGCTGGAATGGGAATTAAAGATTAAGTGTATTGTGGGATGTTCAGGGATTGTGTATCTGACAGTTAGGACTAACAGAGATAACACTCATACTAACTCGGTGGAGGGGGAGGTAGATTTTGTGGATGGTGGGTTAGATGGGTGATTGTTTACAATTCTGCATGTATTTTAGGGGCATGTTTATTCTGTCATACAATTTTAACCGAATAAGCTGCAGAGAAATAAATAATCGTTAAATCACACTTGTACTGTGGATTGCCAACGTGCATTCCGGAGTCCCCAGATTTGTCAATCTGTTCCTAATATACTCAGGAATTAGGAAAGAAGGCTCTACAAAGAGAATGTGCATTCCACTCCAGACGGGGAAACTTTCATGTGTAGGTGAAATACATACATGAAATTCTGTTTGGTTTGAATATCGTTAAGTATGGTGATGGGTTTACTGTTATGTCAGGTTGACCCTGGCTATCCAAATTATAAATAAATATGATTGGACTGGAACAGAGCTCAAAGTAGTATTGTACCTCTCCAGAAGACAGCACATTGTTGAGATACTCAAGGAAAGATTCATCTTTAATTTCATTATCTGTGAATATGAACGTGATTCCCTTCCTCTCTCCGCCAGCAGTTCTGTACAGTATCTTCAGATCATCCATCAGATTAGCAACATTATATGCTCTGTCACGAACAACAAAACATGAATTACATAAACAACAAAACAAAATGTGATAGTTAAATCTGAGTTTTCTTCACATAAGACATGGAAACCTATGTACTGGGATTTTATAGGTTTTAAAACAGGGATCCTATTGAAACATGTTCTCCCTGTTGTGAACATGACAACACAGTTCTTTAGATCTGCAAGACTCAAACAGTCATGAGGTAAATTACACATTAATCTGAAGGATTTTTGCCAGGAGCCCGGATGAACTTCTCTTCTCCAACAACTCTTCTTTTCCAACAGTATCATGGGATTTTTAACATCCAATTGAGGTAAAACCTAAGTTTAATGTTTCATTGAAGAACTGTGTAATGCTCCCCTAGAACTGTGCTGGAGTGCTGCATAGACTATGAGCTCAAGTCGCAATACCGGGTTTGAACCCACAATGATCTGATCCAGAGGTGACAAAGCTTCCAACCAGGCAAATTGCTATGTAACTTTGAGACATTGCACCTATAGGATTAGGTAAACTGAAGAAATACATCAAAAGATGGGGGGTGGATCTAACATCCAATGAGACTTCTATTGTGCATTACAACACAATGTTCATTACAGTTAGCAAACATGTGTTAAACTCCAAGATACATAGAGTATATTGGAGTCTTAAGCATTGAACTTGCCAGTAAAATTGACGATAGTTTTTTTATATTGTGTCTCAGTGGTTCTGAGGGCTGTCGATGAGGAGGAGGGTAATTTAACAACATGCACAAATAAAGTACGTCCAAAGCAAACCTGTAGGTTTTTGCGTACATTTCTAAAACTGCGGTAAATATTACGCGTACCTAGTTAAAGTGATTTGAAATATTTTGTATCCAGCAATGAAAGATGCCAGTTTTGTAAGGCTTTGTTTTCCAGAACCACCAACTCCAACCAGCAAAGCACATCCACCTGCTGTACGGATTATCCGAGATATCTGCAAAATAAGGATTTTCCAGTTAGTTGTTAATTATATTTTCTCTTCTCAATAATAACGTTACTACTGACAAAAGTTTACTTGAAGAAAAACGTTTAACATCTACAACACAATAATGAAGTACCATCATTTCACTTCAGGCATTTGAGCTCAAACAAAGCCATCAGAGAAGATGATAATTGTATTTTATAGCTATTAATAAAAGTTCTTAGAAACATGAATTTCAGTGCATTGAAAAACAATTCTGGTGGAAAGAAGTTTGACATACAGACAGACGTGCTCTGATAGTTGTTGCTTTTCTTCAGAAATCTTATTCAAGAAAGCTACAAAGATTATAGTAAAATATAGCCGACTCCCCAAAAAAACATTGTCGTCCTGATTTTCTAAATGAAAAGGCTGCTCCAACCACACTGAATCTAGAACCACGTACTGTACTCTACTGCCTCTTTCAAAGTGTGATTGTGAAACCAACCCTGCAATTTCCACCAAACCATATAAAAGCCTGCCATGTCAGAGCTGAAATTCCCTTTCCCATGCACTGAAAGCATAAGTGGTAACTTGCCTATTTCCATGTTCATGGGCCAATCATAGTAGTATAACGCAAGAATGAAGAGTCAGGCAAGCAATGATAGATTATGTGAATGACTTATCAATCTCACTGATAATCACTCTCAGTGGTTGTATATGCACAACTAAAATGAATGATTAAGATTTTCATAAATGTTTGTCTGAGTTTTACGCAAGTATTTACACATTATACCACAATGTTTAGATTTGAAGTGCCAAGTATTAAATTTGTACTTTGTAACAATTTTCTACAGTGCCTGCCAGGCTGCTCTGAGTCCATTGGGATAAGTATTTTTCTATGAATTTTTTATATAGAAGACAGCACACTTTTATTCCCACATTAATCATCTACTTCAATTGGACATTTATGGCTGTGGGTGCATTTGGCACATGATTCGTGTGGCGTCTCCCATTTGTTTAGCATTATCCATGGGATTTGGAGTTCTGGTCTGTATCTCAGCTATTTCCAACCAGCTGAGCTTTATAGGTACTGGTTCTGAACTATTTTTGAGGAATAAATTGGTACAGTATAACTGCTTTTCTTGGGAGCTTATTCCATATATACATTACTCAATGGAAAACATTCCTTTGAATTTCAGTCTTGCTTAATCACTTTCGCATTTCTATTCCTTTAAAAGTGATGCTAATTTGTTAAAGAAAGCAATGATTTGTGAGGCAGGAGAGGTAAAATGGACTTTTGCCTACTTTTGGGATGTGAAAGGCGCTATACAAATGTAATCTTGTTGTTGTTGTGTTCGAATATTCTCAAACTTATGAATAGGCCAAATTAAGAAGTTTGGGTTGGCCTGTGAATTAAACTGAAATAATTTAGCACAGTTATGGAAATTTATTGTAATGCTTGTTAAACTATTTGCCTGTGAACAACAACTTGTATTTATATAGTGCCCTTTGTCTCGGAGCACTTAACAGTGGCGGAGCCTGACTCTGAGCCAGGGGGAGGGAGGAAGTGACCATAAACACGTTCTTCAGTCATGATCTAAAAGAGGAAAAGGCGGGGAAAAAGGCAGAGGGATTGGAGGAGAGAGTTCCAAAGCTTTGAGGCATAATGGCTGAGTGGAGGGGATGAGGGACAAGCAGGAGGCGAGAGTCAGCCGAGTGGAGGCAATGGGTAGTGGAGTGGGGAGAAAGCAGGTCAGAAAGATAGGGAGGTACAAAGGCATGAAGGGATTTGTAGACAAACAACAACAATTTGCATTTACAACAACAACACAAAATTACATTTATAGAGAGCCTTTAACGTTGGGAGCACATCCCAAGGCGCTGGATAGCCAGGGGTCAGGACCCGAGCATGGGGGAGGGGTGAGGAAAGGCAGAGAGGTGGGAGGGCGACTGAAGGCACGATCGAAGAGGAGGGTCTTGAAGGAGGCAAGGGAGGAAGTGAGGCGAAGGGACTGTGGGATGGAGTTTCAGAGTGTGGTGGCAGAGAGATTGAAAGTCCGGCTACCGATGGTAGGGCGGGTCGGGCAGGAGACATGGAGCAGGCCAGAGCCCGCTGAACGGAGGGAGCAGCAGGCAGGTTGGTAGGGAGTCAGCAGGTCAGAGAGGTAGGAGGGGGCAAGGCCATGGATGACCTTAAAGGTGAGGACGAGGATCTTGAATTCAATCTTCTGAGGAATGGGGAGCCAGTGGAGTCGGGCGAGGGTGGGAGTGATGGGGTCACGGAGCCTGGTGCAGAGTTTTGGATGATATGCAGCTTGTGAAGGGAAGAGTTGGGAAGGTCGATGAGGAGGGAGTTTCCATAATCAAGCCTTGATATGATGAATGTGTGAGTGAGGGTTTCGGCAGCCTGAGGGGTGAGGCAGTGGCGGAGTCTGGCAATGTTGCGGAAGTGGTGGTAGGCAGTTCCGGTCATGGCGCGGACGTGGGGAAGGAAGGACAGTTCAGGGTCAAACAAAGACACCCAGGTTCCTGACTGGCTTAGTGAGGTTGAGTGTGCAGCCGTGGAGGTTGATGCTGCCAGCGCCTGAGGTGTGGAGGCGCTGGCGTGAGCCAATCAGGAAGGCCTCAGTCTTGCTGACGTTCAGTTGGAGAAAGTTATCCCTCGTCCAGGTCTTGATGTCGGACAGGCAGTCGGTCAGGACGCCAGTAGTCTTGGAGTTGAGGGTGGAGGCAGAGAGATAGAGTTGGGTGTCATCCGCATACATGTGGAAATTATATAGCGCCCCTCACACTGGGTAGCATCCCAGAGCGCTGAAGAGCTTGGATGTACTTAATTTTCCTTTTAAAAAAAGAATAAGAATCTTAAAAGCTTACTTTCATCAGATGTATCATTGCATCCTTGAAGAAAACCAAATCAAGGTAACCTGATCTAACACCTTCATTGTGCTGTCCCTGATAAAACTGCAACTTCTCAGTGAGGAAGTCAAAGTTTGGTATCTGAATTGCAAAAAGAAGCAACACTTTAGCAAACAAAGTAATTAAACCAACAGTTAAGAACTTGCATTTATAGAGGACCCGCCAGGTATGATGTCTTGGTGCGTTTTACAAAATAACAATAAATTGCATTTATATAGCGCCTTTCTCATCGGGAGGATGTCCCAAGGCGCTGGACAGTGAAGGATTTGTACCTGAGCTGGGGCTTGGAATCAGGAGTGGGGGTGGGAAGATGACTGAAGACACAGTTGAAGAGGAAGGTCTTGAGACGGGCCTTGAAGGAGCAATCGAGGGGTCGAGGCAGAGGAGCTCCGGGATGTAATAATAATAATTGCTGCATTTGCAACTTCTTAATCTGAATGCTGAGACCTTTGGTGGTACCCTTTGTGCTACCTCAGTGGTGATCAGCTAGTTCATAAGTTCTGAGATGTCGCCCGGTGTGGAGGGCGCTATATAAATCCAAGTTGTTGTTGTTCAGCACAGACTGGAGAGTTTCCCAGTCAGTATCACAGCATGTGCTTTATTTACCTACTGAGCCACAATGATAGTTTACTTTGCTGAGAGAATCTAATTAGTTTTGCTGTTTTCTGATTCTAATCGGTAAAAATGTGTATTATCTAGTTTCTTTAATCGAGGAAAATGAATTCCCATCATTAAATATATGTCTTTAAATAATGCTTTGAGTTGCAAAAATGGAAAATTCTGGGTTTTAAGGTGGCCATGAGCACCAGTTTCTATACACTACAGGTGCTTGTCTTACAGGAAATGATCCATAACACAGGAAGGATATCCATGATAACCTTATAACCCAGAAGTCGGAAATTTTTGTTGTCAAAGATTGCTAAAAATTGTTTTAAATTTGGTCAAATTAAAAGAAAATCAAAACCCGACAACCCTAAACAAAATTTACATAATGATTTTAAAATTGGGTGCATAAATTTAACAGAATGCCATTTTGTACAAATGTCATAGCAGAAGTTCTAGTACAGAGACATACTGGCTCATATATTTTTGGTGTCTCAAATACATGATCCTCGGGTTCGTCACCAGTTGGATCTGGCATTTCCCGTAGGAAATCCACAAAGAAGGTTTCCTTGGTAATCTTATCTGTAAGTAATTTATCCACATGCTCCTGAATAACACGAGTGAAAGCATCTTCAAACCACAGTTTATCATCTTCGCTTACAAATCTAAGGAAGAACATGAAACAGAATATTATTCTTTAGTAATTTTATCACAATTGAAAGATCTGAGTGTTGCAAATGGAAATATTACACTGGGGAGTCCCAAATTATGACCTGAGGCGGGAGGAGAATATACCATGCAAAGAAATAGAGAAAGAGAGGGGAAAAAAAACTGTTTTTCATAATATTTCCTTGTTACTATTATCATAAGATGTCCTGGTTACCAATTGGTTACCAGGTGTAGCTTGTGGAGTAGAGGACAGGTATTTGAGAGGTTTGTTTGAATACTGTCCATCATTTTTGTCTTTCTTCAATGATAGCAAAGTGTCTGTGCAGGATAAGCTTGTGGCATATAAGATGTGTCCTGGTTCCGAGCTCCTGGGAGTGAAGCAGTGAAGTGTCCTTCAGCACATCTGCAAAGTGCAGGACCACATAGTGAGGTGAATTTGTGGTAAAAAGGGGAAGTAGTTCCAGGGAGGGAAGGCCTCCACCTACATAGACTTGCTGGAGGCAGACATATCTTTAAGGCATACATAATAATCCTTAAATTTGGTATAGCACCTTTTATGTTGTGAGGACATCCAAACCCACATCACAGGATATACTGTAAACATATCTATTTGCCAAAGCCTCTTAAATGACGATCTGGATTAAGTAAGTTGTGTTAGTATGGAAAGAGGTAAACCGCTACTACTCAAACGCTTTACCACTTCCAACTGGTGGAACTAGCACTTAATGGATAGGAATGTGTATCTAAAATGTGGGCAGGACAATGCTCTCATAAATTTCATGGGGATTTCTGTTGCTCAACAGGAATTTTCTAATAACTGCAATCCACTCATGAAGTCTCAAACCTGCGCTTGTTGGAAGTCAAATGATCAGCTGGTGACTGTCTCCCATGGTGAGAAGATAAGCAGGTTCTCCTTGGGGCTGAGCTGGTAGATCCACAGTATTCTAAGTCTCAGCTGATGACAGATCAGACAGCCTGGCTTTATTAGCAGGACTTGGAGGTGTAGACTGGTCATTGGGGGCAGCAATTCTTCCCACTCAGCTCCTGTTATCCCTACAAGCCAAAGCCCTAATGGGTAGCATGGTATTTGTTGGACAAGCTTGCTAGAGAAGGCTTTCAATGGCAACCTATGCAATTTAGCTGGTTAAACTCCAGCAGCAATCCCAACACACACTCTTGCTCTCCAAGCCTTGGCTCTTGCGCCTAATACTTGGAATTAAATGAGCAGAGTGGGTCCCTTTGGGGAGAAAGTGTGTATTCCATTCCAGATGTGGCAATTTCCATGTGTAGATGTCATGCCAAAGAACTCTGTCTGATTTGGATACACATGGTAATGGGTTTCGCATGACCAAAATAAACTGGGGAGTATAGCAGATAGGTGTATATTTTAAGGTCAATGTTTCTATTGAAACATGTAAACTCTATTAGTTCTGATCCACTGAAACAGGTTTACAGAAACAGGTTTGCAATAATGCTTTCTCCTCTGTACTTAAAAGCGCTCACCTGTCTGCAATGACTCTGATGGATTCATGTTTGAATAATGCCAATAGAATCTCCACACGTGTGCATTCTTCAGCTTTCACTGTCAACATTCCTTGCCAAATTCGTGATAAATCTCTCAGATTGAAGACGTAGTGAAATTTAGATGGAGTCGGCAGCATTTTAATCTTAAAAAAAAGATATTTGACTCTGCTGTCAGAAAACAAATCTGATCTTTGGCTTTGGAGAGCTTCAAATCACAGTTTGTAGCTTTGCACAAGCAAACTTTAGGGAATAAGAGAGATGAGGACAGACATTCAACAACAACAACAATTTGGATTTATATAGTGCCCTCCACGCCAGACGGCGGTTCAGAGCGCTTCACAGTAACAGATCCCGGGCGGAGCCAGGGGGAGGGGGAGGAAGGTGACCAAAGACGCGGTCGAAAAGAGTAGTCTTCAGCAGAGACCTGAAAATAGGAAGAGAGGGGGCGAGGCGATGGGAGTGAGGAAGGGAGTTCCAGAGCTTCGGGGCATAGTGGCTGAAGGCACGACCGCCAAGGGTGGAGAGGAGGACTCGGGGGACAAGGAGGAGGACAGACCCGGTGGAACGAAGGCAATGGGCACTGTTTTGAGGAGAGAGAAGGTCAGAGAGGTAGGGGAGTGCAGAGGAGTGGAGGGATTTGAAGACAAGGGTGAGGATCTTGAAGTTGATCCTCTCTGGGATAGGCAGCCAGTGCAGTCTGGCAAGGACTGGGGTGATCGGGGAGCGGAGTTTGGTGCAGGTAAGAATGTGAGCGGCAGAGTTTTGTATGACCTGGATTTTATGGATGTTTAGTGGAGGGGAAACCGGCAAGGAGGGCATTTGAATAGTCCAGCCGAGAGGCGACAAAGGCATGGATCAGGGTTTCAGCGGCTTTCGGAGAGAGGTATTGGCGGAGACGGGTGATGCGTCGGAGGTGGAAGAAAGCAGTGCTGGTGAGGAACCGGATGTGGGGGAGGAAGGATAATTGGGGGTCGCCTAGGTTGAGTACGGGTTCAGAGAGTTTTAGGGGGAGATTGGGTAGGTGGAGGAGGTGAGAACTGTGTGATGTTAGACGGTGACGAGAGCTGAAGAGTATGGCTTCCATCTTGTCAACGTTCAGCTGAAGGAAATTTGCGCTCATCCAGCTCCTGAGGTCTGACAGAACATCAGGGGATTGGGGGTCACAAAGTAAGTTGGAAAAATAGAGTTGGGTGTCGTCCGCATACATGTGGAAGTGTACCCCATGCCTGCGGATGACATCCCCAAGAGGGAGCATATAGATCAGAAAGAGGAGGGGGCCAAGGATGGATTCCTTGGGGTACCCCGCAGATAACTGAGAAGCTGTTTGTGCAGATGTTCTGCTGGCGGTTTGTGAGGTAGGACTCGAACCAGGCAAGTGTGGTCCCACTGCGGTGGATGATGGAGGAAAGGCGGTGCAAGAGGATGGCGTGATCAACTGTATCGAACGCGGCGGAGAGGTCCAGGAGGACAAGGAGGCAGAGGGAGCCCTGGTCACAGATAGAGAGGATGTCATTTGTGACTTTCACAAGCACAGTCTCTGTACTGTGGACAGGGCGGAAACCGGAATGGAGGGGTTCGAAGAGGGAGTGGGAGGAGAGGTGTGGGCGGAGTTGGTTTGCAACAACGTGTTCTAGGACTTTTGCGAGGAAGGGCAGGTTTGAAATAGGGCGGTAGTGGCCGGGGTTTGAGGAATCTAGGGAAGGTTTTTTGAGGAGGGGGATGATGACATCAGTTTTGAGGGGGCAGGGACTGATCCAGAGGAGAGGGACTGGTTGATGACACCAGCCAGTAGTGGGCAGAGGAGGGGGAGCTGGGTGACCAGCAAGTTGGTGGGGAGGGGACAAGGCAGCAGGTGGTGGGTTTCATTGAGGTGATGGTGAGTGAGAGGGAGGAGGGAGAGATGGGGAGGAAGGAATGTAGGATGGGGGTCGTGGTAGGTCCTGATGATGGGGAGGGTGAGCGGGACAGTTTTTTTTGAAAGCAGTGATATATTCTTGAAAGCTAATATGGATCTTGCCTCAAAATAGGAATAGAGTAGGTCAATCAGCCCCTGAAGTCTGTTCCTTCATTCTATTGAATCATAGTTGATCTGAACCTATAACCATCCAGACATTCCACTTCCTAACAACTCTCTGCATAAAAAAAAACCCTCTTAATCCCCCCTTTTGTAATCTATCTTAAATTGATGCCCTCTAGTCACTAACAAATTAACTTTTTTCTTGCTTTGGGCTATTAAAAAGTACAAAAACTGTCACCAAGTTTGTCTGAGGGTTACATCAGTGGGCAAGTGCTTGTCTATGTCAACAACAACAACTTGCAATTATATAACGCTCTTCACATGGAGTAGTGTCTTGGCGTGCTTAACAGTTGCTTGATGCCGAAGAGCGGAGACTGTAGGTACAGTCAAAGAGAAAGGTCTGAAGACAGGCAAGGAGCAAGGGATTAGACAGAGTTCTAGAGTTCCAGAGTGTAGCAAATCAAAAACTGCAGAAAGTTGATTATAATAATATTAATATAATAATATTAATAATATTCATATTATTATTATTAGAAAGTTGATTGATATTAAAGCCAGCAGTAAAAGAAACCCAGAAGAAAAAGCCCAACTTAAATGATCATAAACTATGCAAAGAGTTGAATCCCTAATCCTCACGTGAAATTTTGAGGAAATCAGCTCAAGGACTTGTAGAAACATAATAAGCCTTGCATTTGATATAGTGCTTTATCACATCGTCGAGACGTCTCAAAGCGCCTCACAGAATATACTGTAAAGTGAATTGCCTGTATATTTGTGGGCGAAAGATGTGCTTGAAGGAAAAGTTTCTGATAAAACATTAGGCTACTTTAGTGTTTGCAAGTTCAGGTGGACATTAAAGATCCTATGACAATATTTGGAAAAGAAGTTTCTCCTGGTGTCCTGGCCAACAATCTCCCAGATAAAATTGGTCATTCACCTCACAGTTGTTTGTGAGACATTACTGTGTGCAAATTGGCTGTTGCATTCTCCTACAAATACACACACTCAGAAAAGATGCTATAATCTAGTAAGGATGCAAGGATTACAATTTATTATTAATACACATTTTAAATGAAAGTGTAGTTTCAATACCTTTGTCCACTGCCAGAGGATCCTGCTAGCAGCAACAAGTTTTGGAATCAAGTTGCAGAGGTTAGGAGAAAAATATCTAGCTGTATGAAAATAGCCATTTCCAATAATTCCTAGAAAAATCCAACAAACATTTAAAAGCTTCCATATCTACATTGATTGCAAATGTTAGATTTTTCATTCACAAAGATTGTGATTCACTTATGCAAGTAATGCAACAATAAAACACATTTTTAAAAAATTACGTGTATCCTCAACTAACATTTTTCAACGTTACAAGCAACGTGATCAAATTGTCCATGACTACAAATTAATTGACCCTTATGGCACCTTTATGTGAAGTCCTAATATCTCCATTTTATGTGAAGTTGCTTCAGTTCCACTAGTAAAGCAGTTTTATCCTGACTTCCTGTTTATTACAATGTCAGGGGCTATTATAAATACACCCTGCACATAGAACAATAAAGCTAAATTCACATTTTTTTTAATGGCATTAAAAAAGTTCCATAACTGTCATTAAAACAGCATCAATAGAAAGCTATTGGCCATTAATGGACTGCCCAAGAGCTTGTAAGACCTTGGTACAGATACACCCTGCTATGTTCAGAATGCATGCCCTCTTTACACTTTCCAGGGAAAATGCCACAAAACTAACAGTAATCATTCGCTGTTGCACATGCAATATATGAGAATGTAAATCGATTGAGAGGTTCAGGAAATTGCTGTCATTCTGGGCATTTTAAGCTCATGCACTATTATACTAAAATATAGGTTGATCTGGCTATAACATGCCTAGGTCTAGCATTGGATCTGCTTATATCACAAGTGTACTGGCGAGCAGATGCAGAAGATCTTCCAGCTTCCAGCAAAATCCTAGCATCTACTGAAAGTGTTCACAAAATCAGTTGTTAGCCTGTGTTGAAGTGACATTAGACAAAACCTGTTCTTCATTCCTTGAATATAAGGATACCTTTCAAATGCAGCAACAACATGGACCAAAGCACAGGAAAAAGCATGTTGACATCACATACATTAGCTCTTAATACTCCTCTAACGTTACCACATAAGAAGAGTATCTTACATGAACACTCCAGCGAGAAGAAACAATCAAGGCACGGTAAAATTTCAATGGGCAACGTTGTCAGCATGTGCGTATAATGAACAAAATCCCATTATAAATGCACAGGACTAAGGTTGATAAATTTAAGAACCAATGTGGGACGTATAGAAGCCTGGAGCCAGTTGAGCCAAGGGGGCGTGTGCTGGAGTGGGTGTAACCAGGTCAGAGGTAGAGTGAATTGATTTCTAAGAAAGTGTGAGGATCATGAAATCAATCTGTTCTGCAATAGAGAGCCAGGCAAGCATTGTGGTGATGGGGGTGCAAAGCTTGGTACAGGCAATGGAGTTTTGGATTTTGTCCATGGCGGAAGTAAAAAAAGAAGATTGAGGACGATATTAACATTTGCTGGATAATTAGAATATATATGAGAAATAAAGTGGGGTTGACACTGACCAAAGATCTTATCAATGGAAGCATTGGATGGGAGTGTACAGTTGAAGATTGTGAACTGCCTCTTTAGTCGCTGTGGAATATCATTACGTCCTCCTCCTGGATGGATCATTGCAGCCATTAGTTGCACGTCAACAATTGTGGTAAAGTCTCCTGGTTTATCCAGATTGTACATTCCACGCATTTCTATCATTTGACGCACTATTTCATTGGTAATCTAAAAGACAGAAAATAGTACAAACATTATATTTCAAGGATTTCAGATTCTAAACAGTCTTAAAAGAAAACTCATTACAGACAGAAAAAAGATGGCTATTTTTAAGAGATGTGTATATAATAAATAGGTTGGGTCTATTGTTAGATTAATTATAATAACAATATAATAATAACCACCTCTGGAATTCCATCCTCCAATGCGGCAACAACAGGGACCAAAGCACAGGGAAAAGCATGTTGACATCACATACATTATCTCTTGATACTCCTCTCACTTTACCACATAAGAAGGTGGTTAGCCTCCTTCAAGTCCCGCCTCAAATCCCTCCTCTTCGACCATGTCATCGATCACCCTCCTTCTCCTCCCCTCCCTTCTCCCCCCCACCCCAGCTCGGGTCTGAAATGCTGTACACTGTCCAGCGCCTTGGGACATCCTCCCGACGTGAAAGGGACTTTACAAATGTAACCTTGTTGTTGTTGTTGTTAATTGGGTTTTGGTCTCTGAGATGAAAACCATAATAATAATAAACCTTGCATTTGATACAGAGCCTTATCGACTCAAAGCGCTTCACAGAATATACCGTAAAGTAAACTGACTGTATAATTTGTGGGTGACGTGAGGACAGTATTTGAAGTTTTTTTTTTAAAAGATATGCTGTTGGTTCATTGAGTTTATTTCATAAGTAGCTGGATTTAGTCTGTGGAAGGAGCAATTTTTATTATTTATTTAAATTTGTTTTTCACTGGTGAAACAGAATTTTCAGGTAAGAAAAATTACTGCCAATTTACTTTTTCAGTTTATTGGAAACAGTAGCTTCAGTCTGAAAGGGTAAAGGGACAAGTGCCACTGTTATTTTTTCACTTTCATATCTTACTTTATGGATAATAAACAACTTAATAATGAAGAATAAAAGCTCTTCCAATAACAAAACTGTACCTGATCTCCCCACTCATTGATAATGGGCATGTTAATGTCATCAATAAATACAGTCATTTTCCGACCACTTGGAGGTCCATACGTACTCCCCATACGTTTCTCTACGTAGCTTTCAATAGTTCTCTGGAAACATATAGGTTCAGTGAGAAAATACAATATAAAATTACATTTGTATAGTGCCTTTTACGTCGGTAGGACTTCCCAAGGCATTACTGCAGATAGTAATCAGGATATTTTATTTCAAGGCAATTGAACTACTCTGACCTGGCAGAAACCCTGTGTCACAGGATCAGTCCCCTGTCCAGACATTCAAAGTCTGCCCTCTCAAGGGCTAGAGAACATTAATACACACCAATGAACAACAGTCAACTTAAACCACAAATCTAATGAAATTTCAAAAAGTTAACTGAAAGAAATCAAACAGAAATGTGGTCTGATGATATGGTAGCAATAAGAGAGTATTTCTATCACTAAGCACTGGATGTACCTGGAACATGAAAGGCTCTGTGGCAGAAGAGAAGTTCAAACTTTTGGACAGCTGATACTCAGGATTATATTTCTTCAAATATCCTTTAATCATGACTGTTTTTGCTGTTCCCTGTTCTCCAATTAGAAGCACTGCCTGTACCAATGTCAAAATGTCATCACATTTATAGTTCAGTAAAAAGGTATTCAGCTCATTAAACCATTATAAAGAATTGCTTAATTATATTAGATATTGTACCTACATGACCCTTGAAAATATGAAATATAAATCTGTTTATTTTCTAAAAATGATTATAAATGAAAGTATTAAGTATTGAAAGCTGACTGCTACCTGTATAGAAACTTAAAGTGCCTGTAAATTAAATACTTAAACAAACAACAATAACTTGTATTTATATGGCACCTGTCATGTGGGGAAGCGGCTCCAAGTGCTTCACTTTACAAAACTTTACTGAAATATATTTGATCAATTATCAATCAGACAACTGTAAGCTACAATACGATTGGCCTTTCAGAAAATGAGAAACCTGGTATTGCAGTCGATTTGCCACAAGTAGCAGTAAGACAACAACAGCTTGCATTTATATAGCGCCTCTCTCACAGGGTAGCATCCCAAAACGCTTGTTGTTATTGAGTCTACAGTAAAACTCCAACAAGTCATATCAGTTGGAACCAGAACATTTAATATGACTTACGCAAAGTCCAAGGTGCAGGCAAACTGTACGAATCTTATAAAATCCGATTTAATGAATAATCTAGACTACGCGTGCGTAATTCAATGCAGCCAGTAAGTGGGCATGTGGTCGTTCATCACTCAGCTGGTAAGTGTGCATGCAGTGACTGGTCAAAACTACATTTCCCGCAAATCAATGTGTCTTGACCGGTTGCTGCATTTGCACTTACTGGCAAGCATTGATATAGCATTGAAATGTGGGAAATTAATTTTTTCAACGCATGCATCGGTAGATTAATGCCACGTTTCCTGCCATTGAATCAGACGGCCTGTAAATGCGCATTCGTCGATGGGTCAGAGCGTCATTTCCCATGATTCAATGCAGCCGGTAAGTGCGGGAGTAATGAAGGATAGGGGAGTGGTGTTACAAGATGGAAGGTGATTAATACGATCAGTGCAAAGAAATCAAAGTGATTTTGATAGGAAACTGAATGGGACTTGGTGAACATACGGTGATTATACAATTTGTAAAAATAACAATTATGCAAGTTTTATTGTAATTCTGTAACGCTGTCTGTCCAGCGCCTTGGGATGTCCTCGCGACATGAAAGGCGCTATACAAATGTAATTTTGTTGTTGTAATTAGTGTTACTACTTATAAAACAATCAATATATCATTAGAACATATTTCTTAAAAAAGTTGATTTCTATATTGCCATATCACAACATGATGCAGTAATTATCTATCTAGCTCGTACTTTTCCCTTCACTCCTTGTTTGAGCCTCAGTTGACCAGTTTCCATCTTGTTTCCAGGCAGAGGGCGAAACCTTGGGCAAGTTTCCTTACTCCACACAGAGCCTAATAATAATCCCTCCAAAACTAAAAACAATAATAAATTGGTCATTTTCAATCTACGACTGTTTGTGGGACATTGCTGTGCGCAATTGGCTGCCGCGTTTGCCCACATATGTGCAGTCAATTCACTTTGCGGTGTGTTCTGTGAAGCGCTTTGGGACGTCCTCCCGACGTGAAAGCGCTATATCAAATGCAAGGATTATTATTATTATTATTATTATTGTTCACAGCAACAAGATAAGCATGATCAGAGTCACAAACATTCTCTCTGTTTGACCAGGGCTCCTTGCACCTCCTCAACCTCTTTGCTGCCTTTGACACCTTTGATTGCTCTATCATCCTTGATCGGCTCTCATCTCTCATCCAGCTCTGAGGGACTGCATTTTCCTATTCCAATCCTATCTGACGCATCGCCTCCACTTTGTGTTCTCCAAGGCTTTTTTTCCTCTCTCTCTCACAGTCCCCAAAAGTGTACCCCAGGGCACAATCTCTCCTCATCCACATGCTCCCCTTGGTGACTTACTCACAAACATGGAGTTAGTTTCCCCGTTCGTGTGGATAACAGCCAAATCTACCCAGCCCACTGAAGGACTGTCCGCTTATCACTTGGATATTGTGTCCTGGGTGAGCCTCAACTGTCTTCAGATAAACATAACTAAACAGAAGCCATTGGCTTTGATCATCTACTCTCTTTTCTTCCTCACATCTGATACCTGGCCAAGACCACTTTTCTGCATCTTTATCACATCACTCTTCTCTGTCCCGATCTTACACCCGAAGCTTCCGAAATCCTCATTTACAATTTTGTCACCTCCCAATTCAACCTCTGAATGTCCTCCCTAGCTCCACCATCCACAAGCTCCAGCTCATCCAAATCTTCGCCTCACGTATCTTTAACCGCACAAAACTGTCCACTAGCAGATTGACTTCAAGATCCTCACCTTCTCCAATCCTTTTGCACCCTCACCACTCTGACCCCATCCTTCTGCTCTCTCCTACCACTAAGCAAATTTGGGCCTGTTTGCATCCCCTGCTGCCCCACCATACCTAGCCAAACCTTCAACCACTGAGTCCCTGACCCTTTGGAACTCCTGCCTTCAACTCCGCCACCTCTCCCACTTCTCTACATTTTTAAAAGCCGGCTAAAAATCTAGTTCCTCGACAGCTTCTAGAAAATAAAGGTACTGCAAATGAACAAGGATATTATTATTATTAACAAATAACATCACAACACCACCACCTTCCATTTATATAGCTCCCTTCGTGCCAGGCGGAGTCCCAGAGCGCTTAACATTAATTTTCTGCTTGAATTTTTTCAAAACTCTCTGTAGAACTTAGTTGGACAACAGTGTAACATATAGAAGTGGAACATGTATATCATTTGTGAAAAGAAGTCTTAACTATGCACTTACCTTATTTTGTTTAGCTATAGTATCCAGTAGAAAGATGGTCCTTACATTGTCAACGTTTGGTACTAAAATGGAAGAATATTCTGGCACACTATCTGTAGGGTAGATGTACTCAAGCACCAATGTATTCCAATGGTCCCATTCACCTGAGTAAATAGAAAACATAGCAGGCTTCAAATAAGGAAGGCATATTGCTATTCTAACATATTGTTTAATAAATGCAACATTCAAAGTAAAATTCAAGCGAGAGGACCCGGGTTCGATTACCGGGCAGGGCAAAATGTTGGGTAAGTTTCCACAAGCCTGTTTACCTTGCAGCAAGTAGGAACCTGGTTGTTAGTCGATTGGGGGCTCACTTTTCCAGGTGAAAATATCCCTTTAAAAAAATAGTGGTCACTCAATCCATGACTGTTTGTGGGACTCAATCCACGACTGTTTGTGGGACACTGCTGTGCGCAATTGGCGGCCGTGTTTCACCCACAAAATATACAGTCAGTTCACTTTACAGTATATTCTGTGAAGCGTTTTGAGATATCTAGAAGACTTGATAAGGTGCTATATCATATGCTAGGATTATTATTATTATTATCTATCAAATGGATCAAATTACAAAAATGTAGAATTCTTATTGGAGTCACAGATTTGTTCAGATACAACATTTTACATATCAATGCAGTTTGAATCAAAGGAGTTCATTCACTTGACTTATTTAACTAATGATGGTATTCCTATGCAGAACTAGTAATTTTGGACTGAACTGGATGGTGGTGAAAGTTAGCATTGTAAATTAGCACACAAATGGAATGCACACAAACAGAAAAGACCATTAGAAATTATCTGGCTGCTGCTATTTTCTAAATGTTGCCATCTGCTAGCTCTCACACTCCCCAATGCATACTACCATCCTAAATTCATCTATTTCAAATTAAGAATCCTTGCATTTGATACAGGGTCTGTTAATGTTGTCAAGACATCTCAAAGCACTACGCAAGTTTTGCATCCTCACTACTCTGCAAACTGTCCGCTGTATTTGCCGACAAATATAAATTGTAATTGTAGGAAAATGCAACAGACAATTTCTGCACAGAAATGTCCCAAACAGCTACGAAGTGAGTGACCAATTTTATTTGGGAGATTGTTGACTGGGAGAAATCCAGTTCTCTTTTTGAATAGTGCCATCTTTAACATCCAGACTGCAGATCATCCAGAACTCTCACGCACCAGACTCAGTAACTCTATCAGCCCCATCCTTGCCCGGCTCCACTGGTTTCCCATCACCCAGAGAATACAGTTCAAGATCCTGGTCCTCACCTTCTCCACGGTCTTGCTACCCCTACTTCTGCGACCTCCTAACCCCCTACCATCCTGCTTGCTTCCTCCACTCAGCGGGCTCCGGCCTGCTTCACGTGCCCCGCCTCGCTTGCCCCACTATTGGTGGGCGGGCCTTCTGACACTCTGCCCCCATCCTCTGGAACTCCATACCGCAGTCCCTCTGCCTCACCCCCTCCCTTATCTCCTTCAAGATCCATCTCAAGATTCTCCTCTTCAACCATGCTTTCGATCTCCCTGCTTCCCCCACTTCCCCCCCCCCGCCTGTCACACTCCTCGACCCCCACCTCGGATCCAACTCTGTCTGTCCAGTGCCTTGAGACGTCCTCCCAACGTGAAAGGGGCTATACAAATGTAATTTGGTTGTTGTTATTGACGATTCAAAAGCAAGAGAGACCAACTGAGCAAGGCTGACATACCTTTACTCCATTCTAAGGCACAAAGTGTTTCAATAAAACACAATTGTGAAATCAGGAGTGCTTAGAATCCCAGATCTATTCAGGAAGATTTGATAAGGCATAGTTTTGAACCTCACAAGAGAAGGTTTGTCTGGAGCATCCCCTCCCCCCACTCCACAAGTAATGGTTCATGTTCTGAAGGGCAGCGGCATGTGGTTTTAAAAGAAAAATATAATTAACATTATATTGACATTATAATTCTAAAGTGGAAATGTGTGAAAGATCACTGCCCAACAGAGCTTATGACAATGGCAAAGTGAAAAGATTCCAATGGCCTAGACAAAGAAAGTGATGAGGAAGGTATCAAAGATATAGATGAATAATTTTATTGTTTGTAAAATGGTGCACCCTAAAATTGCAGTACTTTCTTTAGCCCCCCCAAATCTCCTTGCATCTTAGATTCAAGTAAATACAGCAGTTCCCTCTCAAGATTGCCACTATTCGCCTCGAGCAGCAATCCTCTCAACATACTCAACACCTCCTGCATAATATGAAATTTTCACCTTACTGCCTCTGAGCTTGAGACCATGCTAGTGATTCATCAGTGCTTATTTACACGAGACATGTTTTTAAATTATAAGTTGAAACAATATTTTTAATATTTCATTGTTCGTACACATACCTTGCGGATTAACAAGAAACTCAAAGATTGTTTGGTTGCTCCCTTCAGAAATTAAAGGTAGGTCAAGATGGCTGGTGTGGTTCCGGAGAAAATTCTCAAGTTTAGCTCTGTCTTCAAGCTCCAACAGGGCACCAAGACTCCACATCAGCACAAATATAAAAAGCCGCTCCAACTGATTTTCACTGGTAATCCCTCCTTCCTCCTTTGAAGGAATCAAACCGTCTAGCAGTTGAAGAGACTAAAAAGTAAGAAAATTGAGCATGATTAATTGATGCCTCTCCAGAATATAGACTCTGCATGGAATGTCCTTTACCACCCAAGATATTTTACCAGTGTAGGTGCCAATCAGACTTCTGTGTTTGCTGCAAGTGTGTTTTCAACTCCAATATCACATGGCTCATCATGTAGTAATAATAATATTAAAGTTAGATGCTGCTTTCAATAGAAACTGATGCTTATAACTACTGACTTAACTGTGAAAACTTTTTCTGTTTACAGTACCATTCACTCTCAGTTGTTTTATTTTTATAAAAATATCTCTTGTGGTTTATGTACATTAAACATGTTGTTTGGAACTTGGTTATTTCCTTCAAACGAGACATTAGGACAGTTTGATTATTTGTGAAATAAATTCCCAGCAAAACTGTGTAGTTGTGGAGCATTCCTGATCTGTTTCGAGCTGGCAGAGGCAGCTGCAGTTTGGAAGGGAAGATGAAGGACAAATTACTCCAGCCTTTTGCTGCACATTACAAACAACTGGTTATAGAATGAACTAGTAGCCATATCAGATATGTTACAGCATGCTAATGTAACAAGGGCAGAAATTAGCAATGCCCACCACTTACTGTAAAAAAATCTAAATGTACAGCAAAGTAGAAGTTTCCAACCTGTGCAATATAGTTACACTCCAGGATCTCCATTACTGGGGTGAGATTCAATTTTATGTAGGTATACGCATCTTCAAACACTCTGTGATATAACCCTTCTAAAATGTTTGCTTCTTGAGCAACGCGTTTATTCAACCAAGCCTGGAAATTGAAACAAAGAAAGTTTTCAAAGATTTTGTTATTTTAAAATTATTGGGGAAAAATAAAAAGTAATCAGGCCTTCAAATATTTGTTGCTCATACAAACTGGTTAAGATCAGAGGAATAAAGGAAGAAAGTAATTGAAAATAAAATCTCCAAAAGAACGGTCACCTCCACACAACATGATCAGATTCACCAGTGAAAATATGTGTATTTTCTCCTTTAATCTCACCATGAAGCTCCATAAATATACACTAATATTTTATGGTGATGGAAAAAGGTGAGATTTTATAAACAAATATGAATTACCTGTATGAAAATAATAACAAGATTAACTTGGATGAAGAAGACACATGTCCCATTTGATCTCATTCTTCCAAACTACCCACCCGTCCGTCCTCCCATCACAACATCAACTGGCGTTTTAAATGAATCACAATGTCCTTATTTATCTTTCCTGGCAACCTTGTTTACTTTCCTCTGGGGAAAGAAAACACTTCCTGGTTTCAGTCCTGAAATTGCTCTTTGCAACTCTAAACCCATGTCCCCATGTTTTACTGTCTTGGTATATCCTGAAGTATTGTTCTGAATTTATTTACTCAATCGCATTTAAATGTTTATCCCCCTAGCTTGTCTAATCATAGCTCAAAAGCTTGTCTAATTGTTGCTCAAAATCATTTGATATAGTGTCTTATCGCATTCTCCAGATGACCACCATCACTGATTTCATTTTGAAGTGAGGGCAAGTACTCTTGCAAATTGTAGCCTCTAGAGCAGTTTCTGATTATTTTTTATACTTACAGTCTAGTATAAATCTGTTGAGTATTAGCAAAATCTGTACTCTGCTCACGTTTTACTGACCTGGTATGAGGCTTCAGACCTTGGCAACCATAAAACGGTATTTTTTGCGCAAGTTTCACCCATCAGGAGCTACAAATTACAATGTACTTACTTCACTTCAAAACAAAATCAATGTTAATAGTAAAGAAAATTTTACTTTTCGAAACAGAAGGCGCAGGGTGTAAAATCAGAACAGTTACGGCAGGGAGAAGGGAGGTATTAAATAAATTAAGCAAGCTTAATTAATTCAGGAACAGGACCACTCCCAGAGGAGCCCAACGCACAGCCACATGTTAAAAGGGATTGGGTGACAATGTGACGGGGAAAGAAGAGGACTTGTGCAAGGCAGAGCACCCCCACCAGAGTACCGGTCTCGAATCAGTACTCAGCATTAGCAATTGAGAGAGTGGAAACCTCCCGTGAGGACAGCAGTGAACATTCTGTCCAACAGGACAGGGGCATGGATCACACGGGCAACACTGTTCTGATAGGGGATTCAAAAGTGCGAGGCTCTGACAGGATCTTCTGTCATAAGAATCGTGAGGCTAGGATGGTTTGCTGCCTTCCTGGTGCGAGGGTAGTGGACTTTACCCAGCGTGTGGACAAGATTCTTCAGGGGGAAGGAGATTGTCCAGAAGTCGTGGTCCATGTGGGGACCCACGATATTGGGAAGAAGAGGGCTGAGATACTCCAGGGCGAGTATCAAAAGTTGGGGAACAAACTCAAGGCCAGAACATCCAAGGTGATGATCTCCGGATTACTCCCGGTGCCTCAGGCAACGGGGCACCATAATGAAAGGATCAGGCGTATGAACGACTGGCTGGAAAAATGGTCCAGAAAAGAAGGTTTCCGTTTTGTGGACAATTGGGACCACTACTGGGGGAGGTGGGATCATTACCTTGCGGATGAGCGGCACTTAAGCAAGGCAGGGGTTAGCTTCCTGGCCAAGAGATTATCGAATGCTGGGGGGGCTAATTTAAACTAGTTGCGAGGGGAGATGGGTATCTCAGGATAAACGATAGGTTAGGGAATAGAGGAAAAAGACAAGTGGGAAATATAGAGCAGGTACATGTGGACAATTTCCTCAAATGCATGTACCTAAATGCACGTAGCTTAGGGAATAAGGTTGATGAGCTGCAGGTTCAACTGGCCGTAGGGGGTTACGAGATGGTAGCAGTAACTGAGACATGGCTCAAGCCAGGACAGGAATGGGAGATAAATATTCCAGGGTATAATGTGTTCAGGAAGGATAGAGAAGGAAGAAAGGGTGGCAATATTAGCTAAGGATACAATTGTAGCTGTAGAAAGGGACGAGACTCTAGAGGGCCCGACAACAGAATGATCTGGTTAGAGGTCAGAAATAGGAAAGGAGTGGTTACACTGATAGGGGTTTACTATAGACCATCAGATAGCGGGAAGGAGATAGAAGAGCAGATCTGCAACCAGATCACGGACAGATGTAGGGCGAACAGAGTTGTCATAATGGGGGATTTCAATTATCCCAATATAGATTGGCAAAATAGCAGCGTTAAGGGCAAGGCAGGAGAAAGATTCATCAACTGTGTACAGGAAAATTTTCTTGAGCAGTATGTCTCCAGTCCTACAAGGAAGGAAGCATTGCTGGATCTTGTCCTAGGGAATGAAGTAGGTCAGGTTGAACAAGGTTCAGTAGGGGAGCATCTGGGTAACAGTGACCATAATATTATTAGATTTAGATTACTCATGAACAAGGACAAAGTACAGTCAAGGGTGAAAATGCTTGACTGGAAAAAAGCTAATTTTGACCGGCTAAAGAGGGACCTAGAGTTGGTGGACTGGCAAGTAAGAATGGCAGGTAAAACCACTCATGAGCAATGGGAAATCTTCAAAGATACGATAGTTCAGGGTCTAAATAGATATATTCCCACAAAAGGGAAATATGCGAGAACCAAGCCTGCTTGGATGACCAGGGATATTCTGTTCAGGATAAAAAAGAAGATGGCGTACGACAATTGGCGGATGCAAGACACTGAGGATAGCAAAGCGCATTATAGTGAATGCAGGAGTGATCTTAAAAGAGCGATAAGATAGGCTAAAAGATTCCATGAGAAGAGGTTAGCGGGTAACATAAAGGGGAATCCTAAAATATTTTATAAGCACATAAAGGAAAAAATGTTAGTTAAAGGTAGGGTGGGGCCAATCAAAGACAATGACGGCAATCTTGTTGTGGAGGCAGAGGGCACGGCTGATGTACTAAACAAGTACTTTGCATCTGTTTTCACAACGGAAACGGATGCCCCAAATGCCACAGTATTAGGGTAGAGGACATAGATCAGATTACTATAGACAGAGAGGAAGTTCTGAAAAGATTGACTGGGCTCAAAATTGATAAGTCACCAGGACCAGATGGGTTGCTTTGGCCATTATATTTCAATCGTCATTGGACACAGGAGTGGTGCCAAGAGACTGGAGAGTAGCTAATGTTACCCCGCTCTACAAAAAGGGGCAGAAAGACAAGCCCGGAAATTACAGGCCAGTCAGCCTAACTTCGGTATAGGAAAGCTACTGGAGACCGTAATCCGGGACAAAATAAATCTCTACTTAGAGGAACACGAGGTTATTAGAGACAGCCAACATGGATTTGTTAAAGGCAAATCTTGCCTAACAAATCTAATAGAATTTTTTGAAGAGGTGACTGCGAGGGTTGATGAGGGAAATGCGGTGGACATTATTTACATGGATTTTAAAAAGGCTTTTGACACAGTACCACATAAGAGGTTAATAAAAAAACTGGAGGCCCATGGTATTAAGGGGACAGTAGCCGTTTGGATTAGGAACTGGCTGAGTGACAGAATGCAGAGGGTGATGGTTAATGGGTGTTTCTCGCAATGGAAGGAGGTGTGCAGCGGTGTCCCCCAGGGATCGGTATTGGGACCACTGCTCTTTCTAATATATATTAATGATCTGGACTTGGGCACAGGGAGCACTATTTCCAAGTTTGCAGATGATACCAAGTTAGGAGGGTAGTAAATAGTGAAGAAGATTGTGACGGACTGCAGGCAGACATACACAGAATGGTGGAATGGGCTGACATGTGGCAGATGGATTTCAATGTAGATAAGTGTGAGGTGATACACTTAGGTAGGAAAAATGATAGGAGGCAATATAGGCTTGGTAGCTCAATCTTAAGGGGGGTGAACGTACAGAGAGATCTGGGCGTTCAAGTAAGCGATTCATTGAAGGTGGCAGAGCAGGTAGATAGGGCAGTAAAAAAGGCATTTGGTGTACTGAGCTTCATTAGTAGGGGCATAGAGTAGGGAGGTTATGGTTAATCTGTACAAAACACTGGTTAGGCCTCAGTTTGAGTACTGCGTCCAGTTCTGGGCACCTTACCTCAGGAAGGATATTAAGGCACTGGAAAGGGTGCAGAGGAGATTCACGAGAATGATACCAGGAATGGGGAAGCTTAGCTATGAGGACAGGCTGGAAAAATTAGGACTTTTCCCATTAGAGCAGAGGTTACGCGGGGACCTGATAGAGGTCTTCAAGATCATGAAAGGTTTCGACAGGCTAGATAAGGAAAAGCTGTTTACGCTGGTAGGTGTGTCTGTGACTCGTGGTCACAGTCTTAAGATATCTACCAAAAGAAGCAGAGGGGAGGTTAGAAGAAATGTTTTCACTCAGCGAGTTGTTAGAATTTGGAATGATCTGCCTGAAAGGGCAGTGAGGTCCGATTCAATAACAGCTTTTAAGAGAGAACTGGATAGGTATCTGGAGAAGACAGGTTTGCAGGGTTATGGGGAGAAAGCCGGTGAGTGGGGTTAATAAAAGTCAGTTGCTCTGTCAAAGAGCCGGCACAGACTCGATGGGCCGAATGGCCTCCTTCTGTGCCGTAACATTCTATAATTCTTAAAGAGGAAAAGGCACCTGGCCCAGATGGATCCTTAGGGAAACTAGGTAAGCCAAATATCTGACACATATGGAAACCTGATGCCATAGTTAAGAGCATTGAAAGTGTCCATCTACATGTAGTAACTTCCCTTTTGAAAAGGTCTTAATATGAGGATACACACAGATTTATTTCAAAATAGAATTAATGAACAAATCACTACTTAATAGAAACTATTGAGAAATACCTTATTAAAAGATTTTGTTAAATAAGGAGGCTTTAGATATTACAAATACATACTGAATATCAAATAAATGTTCTCCATTAACTGAAGCTGATAAAACCGATATAATTCAATTTCTTACCTTCAGTATTGGCTTCCAATTGAGGGCAGAGGAACTGATGTAGACCATACCCATTCTGGAAACGGTAGCTGGAGATGCATTTTCAATGTTGTGTACCTCAAACAATAATTTGCATGAAGCGCCCATAGGAATACGGTCGCCATTAGCCAAAGTTAATGTCTTATTGTCATCCAGAACTGAATTTAAATTTTCTATCCAGATAGCATCCACTGGACCATCCAGAATTATCCAAATATTTTCCCCTGGAAACAAAATAACACAGTAACCAACTGATTTCCCATGAATTCAAAGGGGATTTATGGGCCCAGTCACTGTTGAATTAAATATTTTTGGAAGAATAGTTGCTAAAGGTTACATTTTGATCCCAATCGTCCAACCCCATCTGTGCATGTGCTAGATCTGTAAAACCACATTGAATGTCCCCCCTCCCCCATGGATGAAGAACATGAGCATTCCGAGGCTGTATACAGTACCTTTATCAGGGAACCCACTTCACTTTTGGTAATCCAGCATCCCTAACCTCAACCCATTTATTATTTTCACCCAATTACAATAATGCCAACTCTTAATGATGAAAACAACTACACTGACCCCAACAATCAAAGATAAGTATTATTACTGTATTACCATCTTTGGTAGTTGCTGATTAAGAATACGCAATACAAGATCAATATCATCTGTGTACAACTGATTCTATAAACTGAGGATGTCACTGAGTCTTAATGGTACCAGTAATTTCATTTTGTTAAATGTTTGTGGTCATTTTTTAGGCACATATACTCATTAACATCAATATACTTGGCTGCAATTATAGATAGAAAAGACGTAAATATTAATGCTTTCTGAAATACTCAATGCCTTGATCATTTTCTGCAGTGTGACAATTGGATGCTAAAATTACCAACACTCAAAAGGATCTAGCACAGAATGTTCATAAGAACTGCACCTTGTAAATTTACAAATACAATACAAAATTACATTTGTATAGTGCCTTTCACGTCGGGAGGATGTCCCATGGCGCTCGACAGTCAGGGATTTGGACCCGAGAAGGGGGTTGGGATCAGGGAGGGTGGAGGGCGGTGGCTGAAGGCGTGGTCAAAGAGGAGGATCTTGAGATGTGCCTTGAGGGAGGCAAGGGAGGGAGCGAGGCGAAGAGAATGTGGGATGGAGTTCCAAAGGGTGGGGGCAGAGAGGATGAAGGCCCAACTGCAGATGGTGGGGCAGGGCAGGGGACATGGAGCAGACTGCGGCCTGTTGAGCAGAGGGAGCGGACAGGTTGATATGGGGTTAGCAGGTCACAGAGGTAGGAAGGAGCAAGGCAGTGGAGGGCCTTGAAGGCCTGTTTGAAGTTACCTTTTTTGGACTTGAGAGATTTCCTCCAAAGTGTTGAAAAGATTCCATCCGTCCAGTCATTGGTTGCAGGATCCAGTCGGCCAAACATCTGTGGAGCAGTGATAGATTTGGGGTTCATGCGCATCTCACGATGAGGAGCTCCACATTCAGTCAGTGCCTTCATTAGGGTTCGAATAACACAAGTCTTTCCAGATCCACTGGGGCCCAGTGTCATCAGTCCATGACGAACTCTTGCAGTTTCATATAGCTTAAAATAGAAAGAATAGCAGAAAACTTTAAAATACCACTGAGATCCTCAAACTCAACCACTTTGCTGAGCTCCAACCCTCCTGATCTCAAACCCTAGGTTGGATGCAAATCCTTGATCATTCAGCTCTTTGGGACGTTCTCTGGAGGTGAAAGGCACTACAGTAATCCTCACATAAGTCACATCAGTAGGGACCATACATTTAATATGACTTATGAACAGTATGAGTTATGTCACACTTGCATAGAATATAAACTCTTGAATGGGACCTGGGTAAATGTACGATTTAGGCAATTATATGATTTGCAGATCAGACTTATACAAGTTTTACTGTGTACAAATGTAATTTGTTGTTGTTGTACTACAGTGGAACCTCATAATAAGGTTATTGGGATCCATAAAATCCCATAGCTTGCATGAAGTTGGCAGGCTTGTTCCCTGCATGCTAGCTAGTTACTGCATTAAAAATAAATGATCAGCTTTCATGTCTTTAGGCACTGCCAACATCACTGAGCAGGAAGTGACATCTGCAGTGGGCTGATGACCCAGAATTCGGCCATTTATTTTAGCACAGAAAAGTAAAGATCAAAGTTTGTGTCATCAGATCTCCACCAAAATCATTTCCTAATTTGCAAATGTGTGACTGATAGGAACAGATGTTAGTAGCGATCTAATCACCTGAAAGTCAGCCATTTTAGCAGTGAAGCTTGCTGGTGCACAAGAAGCAAGCAGCCGGTTACGCACATGCGCAGTGAACAGGGTCCACAGTACACTGCTTATGACCAAATTTGTGTTACAAAGTGTGTTATAACCAACACACATTGTACAATGTCCTACCCAGTGTGTCAGCCTGGCTCAGTCATTGGCACTTTTGCCTCTAAGTCAGATGGCTGTGGGGTTGGGCTCCACATTGGGACTTAAACTCACATAATCCTGGCTGACACTCCAAAGCAGTTTGGTGGGGGCGGGGGTTGTATTGTCCAAGGTGCACTGCTTGCAAATGAGGAAGGCAATTCTGATGTTGTACAACGTACCTATCTAAAATGTGCATATGGCCAAATTTACTGTGTTGCAGTATATCTAGACTTCCAAAAGGCATTTGACAAAGTACCACACTGAAGACTCCTTCACAAACTGGTCCCTGGGTATCAAAGGCAAGATACGGATATGGACTCAGAATTGTTGAAGAGGAGGAAATAGATGGACTTTGTTAGGGGAGCTAGCTCCAAATGGGGAGATGGGAAATAATCAGAATGCCTCAGGAGTCTGAACTGGGTCTCGTAAATATATACTATAGATACAGTCTTATATATACTAATGACTTGTAATGGCACACCCAGTGTAAAATAGCTATATCTTGCAGATGACACCGAGTTGGGGGGGTAACTGCAGAATCAGAGGAGGCAGTAAAGGTCCTATAAAGAGAGCTTGATAGAGAAATATACATGGGCTGACAACTGGCAAATGAAGTATAATACAGATAAACGATAGTACATATAGAATGTAAGAATAAGAAACACAAGTACTACGTGGATGCGATAGAACTTGCCATATACCTTCACTTGATCGAATAGGTTGTTCATATCTTTTAGAAGTTAAGCAGTTTACTTTACCTGAACTAGTTTGAGGTTCCAAGGTGGATGATTAACTAAACCTGCAAGTGCCACCTGGTTAGCTACAGCTGCCTGCAGTTGAACATAGGTGCTAATATCCAATGTTATCCCTGGGAACAAATCACCAATCAGACTCAGGAAAAGGGGCTCATCTTCATCTACCTGTTAAAAAATAATCATGGTGATTAACTGATTACTCAGATTTAGCAAACCATAAAATATACATTCATTATAGGAGGCAGTGTTTTCAGCTTTTTAAAGAGAACTTTCACTTCAGAAGACTACTCTCCAACAGCAGAGATATGCATAAAGATCTTTATTGGATAGTTTATTCCTTCCACTTGAGTGTGTATATTCTCCAAGTACCCACTAAACATTGCTAATATGGACATTTTTCATGTGCTAGTCTAGCTGAGCATTAGTAGCCTATTTTATCCCAATGTCCACACATGTGTACCTTTCATCAAGGTCTCTGGATAGTGATCAAGAGAGGAACCCTAGATACTGTCCCTTTAAGCTAAGTCTCCAAATTAAGCTGAGTCCAGATATAGCTGAGTCTCAGAATGCCACAATGCTAAGATAATCTAACTCATTGCAGAGCCAGAGTTTAAATCTGCAGCCTTTGAGACTGTACTGCCCAGTGCTGTGCCATTTGGTGTCTTTACTCACTAGATCATCTGAGGAGCTGAACTAGTTTTTAACATTTAAAAGTATCAATAATATCATGCTTCAGTAAAGACAGGGTAATTTTACTGCAGAGAAATATCAAGAAAACTAATTAACTATTAGCAGTTTTTTGCAGTTACCAATTTGGACAGATTCATGTCCCTCAGAACTCGCATGACAATTGTTGGCTCACTGTCTTCAGGCCGTGCTCTTTTTTGAGCTCCTAATGTCCTCAGTACAGACAGAATGTTTCTCAGGCCAAAATCATAGTGAACCTAGTGTTAAACAGTTGACCGGAAATAAATGCCAGAGGTTAGTTTGCAGTCATATTGTTTTGAATAAAACAAGTTCCACTTTCAAAAGGACAAATGCGGTTGTGAAGTACCAGTCTGGAGTTATTTGCTTGCTCTAATTTTTTTAAGGATACTTAGTAAAATGTCGTAAAATATTAATGTAGTGCAGTATTGGAATTCCTACTTTGTGAGCAGCCTCAATGGTGTGGTGTTGGCCCCAAAAAATCATAGAAATAACAAAATATAATAACATTAATAAATAATAAATAACATTAATAAATAGCATAATTTAGTAATACCATCAATCAAACATTTATTTTGTTGGCCAACTAAAGCGGTTTTGGTTTTTGACCAAGTGGCCAGCACAAACCAAGAGATATTGGTGAATATTGTGTTAGAGATAGAGTGGGGGGAATTCTCCTGTGGTGTAGACTTGATAATAATCCTTGCATTTAATATATTGGCTTATCACATCTTTAAGACGTATCAAAGTACTTCACAGAATATACTGTACATTTTGTGAGCGAAACACGCAGCCAATTGCGGACAACAGTGTCCGACAAACAGTAATAGATTGAAGTGCCCAAATCATTATTTTTTTTTGAAGGAATTATTACTCTGGAGTCCTGTAGCTCAGTGGTTAGAGCACTCGCTTTGCAAGCGAGAGACCTGAGTTCAATTCCAGGCAGGGCGAAACCTTGGGCAAGTTTCCTTACTCCACACGCCTAATAATAATCCCTTCAAAAAACAAAACAATAATAAATTAGTCATTTTCAATCTACGACTGTTTGTGGGACATTGCTGTGCGCAATTGGCTGCCGCGTTCGCCCACAAATATACAGTCAATTCACTTTACAGTGTGTTCTGTGAAGCGCTTTGGGACGTCCTCCCGACGTGAAAAGCGCTATATCAAATGCAAGGATTATTATTATTATTATTACTCTGGGAAAAGCGATCCGCCAATCGACTGACAACCGGGACCTAGGTAAACAGATGCGTGTGGAGTAAGAAAACTTGCCCAATGTTTTGCCCTGCCGGGAACAGAATCCAGGTCTTTCGCTTGTGAGGCGAATGCTCTAACCACTGAGCGACAGGACTCCATGTCTAAGCCTCTAGGCCTTTTTTATGTTCTTCACCATCTACTGATCTACTTACTCTCAAGGCACTTTGATCACAATTTTTTTTAGGTTCTTTTTAAATTGTTACATTTTTCGCTCACCAAATATACATACATTCATCGTAGTTTACTGTGTGAAGCACTTTGAGACGTCTCAAAGACGTGATAAGGCGCTATATCAAATGCAAGTATTATTAATATCTCTCTCCAACACATTAATTTTTGGTCTGTCAGCGATATTTATTTTTCTCTATTACTTTGAACATGACCCAAACGTTCATCTCTTCAAATAGTATTCAACTGATAAAGTAGTTAAACAAAATCCATGAAGATAAACATGTTGAAAAATAAATATATATTTTGGATTTTGAACTCCAACATTGTTTTTGAGGGGCATCAGTATTTCTAAAGTAACTGGTACATGAAAACTTGCCTCTTACTCTCGGGGCACTCTGATCACAATTTCTAGGTTCACTTTAAATTGTTACATACCTGTTTGGTGAGTTGTTCCTCACATAGTTTGTAAAGCACATAGAATTTCTGAGCTAGCAACACATTATCCTGGAATCCAACACTGGCAAGCTTCACCCTCATAATGATCTGAAACAATGATTTTTTTAAAAAATTATTATTATTGATTCCTCTTGGTAGAAGTTACATTCAAATTTCATCATCTTCTTTAATATTCACCCAGCTAACACAGATTATTTTTTCTCTCAAATACAATTACTCTTACAAACATTTCCCTTTGAACCTTCTCAAATAACTTGACTAATTTAATTCATAGATCAGTTGAACCAAAAATATGTTCTTTCAGGACAAACAAGAATAAAATAGTGTAGCTTTTTGAAGAACATATTAGTAATATATATAATAATAATAATCCTTGCATTTGATATAGCGCTTTTCACGTCGGGAGGACGTCCCAAAACAGAACACACTGTAAAGTGAATTGACTGTATATTTGTGGGCGAACGCGGCAGCCAATTGCGCACAGCAATGTCCCACAAACAGTCGTAGATTGAAAATGACCAATTTTATTATTGTTTTTGGTTTTGGAGGGATTATTATTAGGCGTGTGGAGTAAGGAAACTTGCCCAAGGTTTCGCCCTGACCTGCCTGGAATTGAACTCGGGTCTCTCGTTTGCAAAGTGAGTGCTCTAACCACTGAGCTGCAGGACTCCACGTATAAAATACATATAAAATAATATAAAATACTCCATATATAAAATACAGTAACGCACATTATATTTGGAGATGCACTTGTTTCAAGGCCAATTCAATATAAAAAAACTCCTAGAAGTTGCTTTACTTTTTAGTAAACTTGTAACTAAAACAGTAACTAAAAAATAAACAAAAAATAAGAAATGTATCATATTGTTTTGACTAGATATTTACTTGTAACTCTGGATTTAATGGAATTTAATTGGAACCTCATTTTTTTGTGTTCTCTTTCCAGGACTTATATAAACGTCTTAGAATTTGAACTGTTTCCCTTACCTGTCTGTCTGGCACCATCATGGCTACGGTTCTAAATTGAATCTTTAGATTTTCTGGCAGTTCTTGACGCCCTGCATATCCAGGATTCTGATAGGAAAACAAATGTTGGTTGAGATCTGTTACACTAATAAACAGAGATTTTGTTAATCTGATACCATCAGTAATTGACCCATTCCTAACCTGACTGAATTTGGGATCAATATTTCTCAGTTCATAACTAATGGCCTTAAAGCAGAATTAAAGTAAAATGCCACGAATAAAACTGCAGGAATACCTGCACGATATTTTGTCATCTAGCATCCCTAACTGACAGATGAAGAAATAAGATTTTGTTGACATAGTCACAATAATAATCCTTCTGTCCACTCACTCCACTCAGTGGGTCCCACCCCACCATCGGCAGTCGGGCCTTCAGCCTCTCTGTCCCCAACCTTTGGAACTCCATCCCAAAGTCCCTTCACCTTGCTCACTCCCTTGCCTCCTTCAAGACCCTCCTCTTTGACCGCGCCTTTGGTCATCCTCCTACCCCCACCCTTCCACCCCTACTGATCCCAACCCTTGGGACATCTCCCAACGTTTCTGTTGTTATATTTGATATGGCACCTTTCACATCAGGATATCTCAAACTGCTTTACAGAATATACTGTGAAGTGTGTTTTGTGGGTGAACGAGGAAGCGAACTTGCCCACAGCAACGTCCCAAAAACAACCATGAAGTGAATGGACAATTTTATTTGGGATTTTTGACCAGAACAATGGGAAAAAACTTTTTTTTTTTTTACGAATAGTGCCATGTGATTTTTAACTTCCACCTGAACAGGCAGATGGGGTCTCTGTTTAAAGTCTCATCTGAAAAATGGCATCTCCAACGATGCAGCACACCCCCAGAACTGCACTGGAGTGTCATCTTAGACTCTGTGAATTCCAAGTTCTGATGTGGGTGCTTGAATCCACAACCTTCTGATTTAAAGGTGAGAGTGTTACCTTCTGAGCCAACGGCCTAACCCAATGAGAAGGCATTTAAAATATTCAGAACCATGATGAAAGGCTGAAACTCACAGTGCAGGATATAACTAAAGTGGGGAGAGGGGAAATGGAACAAAAATGCCAACAAAACAGATATTTTCTGCACAGAAGGGCACCATTTGGTCGACGGACTCTGAGCCAATGCTAACTTTCTCTAATTAATCAAACTTTCTATCTCTTTCCATATTATTTAATATTTTTTGCTGTTCAGATGGTTATCCAACTCCCTTTTAAAGAATTCTACTGATCTAAGCTCAGCAGTCACTGGTCCTCCCAACATGGAGGAGTTGGAAGACCATTGTTCATTCTCACTGGTCAATTGGCCAGTTTGCACAAAAGCTACTCCCTTGCTCCTAAAGGCGCAGCATCCAGGTCCTCTGTGGCCTGAACAGTCTCCCAAGCCTGAAAAGTCTCATCCAGTCTCTAGGTGATGTTCACATTCCAACTAATTACAATATATACAGTATATTGTTTCACACCCGGTATCATCCTAGTGAATCTGTGCAGGACTCTGTCTATCTCTAGGACATTGTTTCTGAGCTCCTCATTATAGGAACAAACAAAATTATCCACATGCATTCTAATCAATGCCCTATACAATTCTAACATAACTTCACTATCTATATTCAATACCCTAGTTTATAAACCCCAGAACTCCATTTGCCTTCTTAACTCCTTATTGCTGTTCCACATTTAGTGATATATTCATTTACACCCCTAAGACTTGGTTGAATGATATCAATATTGATATAAATATCCTCTAAATTTTATAGAAAAAACAGAACTTTATTTTTACAAACACTACACAGGACCCAAGGTTGCTGCACTGCTGGGAAGGGAAATATTGCCTGTGGAAAGATGCAACCCAGGATTGAAAAAGGAGATATGAGAAAGGATGATACATTCTATGCTCAATTATTTTTGGGAATCAGGAGTATTCATGCAGAACTTTTTCTCAAAAGAACAGAGTGGATTCAGTGAGAGGACAAATTTGCATAGTCTATAGAAAACATGGGCTCGATGAAGTGATGGCTGTTTCTCATTTCTTACTCAAGTTCATAGTTCCCAATTGTGTTAATCAGTATTGTGTTAGCAATTTTGATTCACTGCATAATATCCACATAATAATAATCCTTGCATTTGATATAGAGCCTTATCACAATGTTGAGACGTCTCAAAGCGCTTCACAGAATATACTGTAAAGTAGACTGATTATGTACGTTGTGGGTGAAACGTGTATACAAACCATAGAAATATGTAACCAATTGTTTTGCAGTGCAAATCTTTTTTGCTTACTTACCATTGTGATAAAAATACCAAATTCTGGGTTTAGAGATACACAGTCACCGTCAGTAAAGATGAATTGTTTTTTCCGTTCTTTCCTTGCTTGAAGAACAATGTAGATCTGCTGTGCCGCTACAGATAATACAGGCAGATCGATGCGATTGAACTCATCAAAGCATCCCCAGGATCCAGACTGTGCCAGACCTCTCAGAAATGAAAGGAAAAGCCAAAATAATGATTTCAATAATTATTATTGGGGGGAAATTCCACCTAGATCTATATTAATTCAATTTATAAGTGCTCTGAGATGCTACCCAGCATGAAGTACGATCTAGGACTCCATCCTGCAGTCCCTGCGTCTCACTCCCTCCCAAACTTCAAGACCCACCTCAAAACTCTCCTCTTCGACTGTGCTTTCGATCTTCCTGTTTGCCCCCCTGCCCTCCCCCCTCCCCCAACCTGACCCTTTGCTCGAGTCCGTAACTCTATCTGTCCAGCGCCTTGGGACGTCCTCCCGACGTGAAAGGCGCTATGCAAATGTAATTTTGTTGTCGTTGTAGCATTTTAGACAATCCAGAATTTAGTAAATTATTAAACTTAATTTTGAAGCTTTTTTTGTATTATGGAATTTCTCTCACTTCATAAACGACATGAAACAAGTTAGTAACTATTTAACTAGCAGCATTAAATACAGATCAACCTTCAACCTAATCATTCAACATTACTTTTTGAGATTAAAAATGGCCACCATTTTTCAGTATTTCAGCAGTTGGATAAGCACTGAGTGATGGAGTTGGGTTCTAGCTTGCTGAGTTCATAAGTTCACTTGCTGACGTGATCAGGTGCTATATCAAATGCAAGGATTATTATTTATTTATTATTCATGATCTGTCACATGGAAAAATCCAGAATCAAGCAGTGAGGTGGATTTGTGCCAAACATGGGAAGTAGTTGCAGGGAGGCAGGGCTACTTGGAGTTGAACTAGCACCAAGATGACGTGTTTGGCAAAAGAATGTCAAAATCAAGCTAGACTTCTGTGGTTGTCTCGGTAATAGTCTAATAGTCTGCCTTAATAGCAGGTCTTTGAAGACTCTTCCCACTCAGCTCCCATTAACCCTCCAGCAAAGGTCTAGCTGGACATGCAGTGGGAAAGCTTGCAAGGACTTTCAATGGCGAGCTATGCGGTTTTAGCTGGTCAGAATCCAGCTTTTTCATCTCAGGCGCTGACATCATCAATCTACAAGGATGCACCACCTCACAGCCAGTGGAGCTTGTTCGAATCCCGAATGTCCTTCAAACCTCAAAACCGTGCTATGACCTGCTCAGTTTCCCTCACTTCCGTAATATTGCCCATCTCCTCTTGGGCCACTGAAACCCTAATCCACACATTTATCACGTCCAAGCTTGACTGCCAATTTCTTGCCTGCCAAATGACCTAACTCTTCCTTTCATAAGCTGCAAACTATCCAGAACTCTGCAGCTCATGTCCTTTCCCGCACTAAGCTCTGCAAGCCTATCACCCCCATCCTTACCAGGCTCCACTGACTCCCCATGTCCTAGACGATTGAGTTCAATATCCTTGTCCTTAAAACCCTCTATGGTCTTGCCCTACCCTACCTGTTACCTTCTCAACCATACAAATCTGGCCACTCCCTCCACTCATCTGACATCTGCTGCTTCATGTCCCTCATCCTACTCGCTTACCCCACCATTTAGCAGTCAGGCTTTCAGCCTTTCTGCCCTTACTCTCTGGAACTCCATCCCAGGATCTCTATGGCTTGCCCCTTCTCTTGCCTCCTTCAAAGCCCGTCTCAAGATCTCTCTCTTTGACAGTGCCTTTGGACATTTTTTCAGCCCCATCCTCAGGTGCAAACCCTTTCCAGCGTCCTGGGATGTCCTTCCAACATGAAAAGTGCTGTATAAAATTAAATTTGTTGTTGTAGTTCATTACATGACTATGTCCCTTTTAAATCCTTTTTCAGTGACCCTTGGTTCCACTAAGTTTAAAAGTCCTTGTATAGAATTGAATGATATCCATAATGATAGCACTCCTTTTGCCTTACCATAGTGGTTTTACTTTTGGACTTTCATCCTCTATTACCTTTGTAGATTCTCCCCAAACCCCTGAAATCCATCTGATCTGAACAGTTGAACACCACAACATATTTTCCAAGAGCTTTGCCCATGTCCTTCACCGACTCCGTTTTGCCAGTACCAGCTGGTCCTGCAGGTGCAGCTCCCATATTCATCCACAAAGCTTGAGCCAGAGTGATATAACACCTGCAAGCAGAATCACATCATCCAACACACTAACTACTATTAAAATCAACAATAAAAAAGGGTAATGTTTGCATATAACACTAATGTCATGGGCTCATATATGTACATATTTCAACTGCAATATGGCTCGGTAGTTTGTGCCCTAATACATTACAAATGTGGATAGGAGGCAATTATTGCTAGAGGATGAATTACCTCCCATTATTTCTGTAGCCTTGTGGTTAGCGCACTTACCTCGCAAGCAAGAGGACCCAGGTTCGACAGCATAAGGGTAAGCTCAAAGTCACAATGGTTTGACCCAGAGGTGAGTCCTACTGAGGCAACCTCTCATGGAGAATAAGAGCAAAAAAAAAATCCTTCACAAAACAACGAAGTATTCCCTCACCTGTCTGTCAGAGGTGTGATAACAAGCCGATCAGTGCAGCCAAGGAATTCATTCTGGTAGATGAAATCCACATCAGTGATGCCCACTAATACAGAATCAATTTCCTCTTTGAAATAAAATCTGCTTTGTTTCAGCCATTCAAAGTCAGATGTTGATTTGATGTGCAATTTTACCTAGAAAAACAGCAGACAATGAAAGATTCAGCAAATAAACATTTTTATAAGTACATCTAGCAGAAAGGTAAAGCAGGCACTAGAAGGGAAGGTATCTGAAGAGTAGGTACTAAAAAGTTTTGAGAATGAGAAGCAAAGGAATTTTGAAAAAGAGTTATAGAACTGGGTTAAAGCAGAAAGCTTAGTTGCTAAAGGTGGGTTGGGGGGAGTGAGGGACATGCAAAGGGCTCACGTTTGCAGTGTAGAGATGTAAAGGTCACTGTGAGAATCTTTACTTTGTGGACAGAGAGCCATTATAGCCTGTCAAGAATGGAAATGATAGGCAAGGAGAGCCTATTGCAGCAGAAGATTTGGGTTGAGTTACACCTGATGGCCGCGCCGCCTCCCAGTGGCGCTGTGGCATCGTGTGTCACATCCCAAAACCTGTACATCGTGGCCAAAGGAGAAAAAACTGCAAAGTTCATCTACACGGAAGCCTTGCACTAACTCGAGTACCTGTCGGATCACATGTCCTTCGGTTACCGTAGCTTTAATAGGATCTTCTATCATTCATGAACTATGACCCAAACAAGCTCATCGCACATGTATGGCAGTTTTGCTTAAGGTGTACACACAGTGTTTATGGCATGGTTTGTGAGTGGTATCACTGAAACCTACATTCCATATTGGATCCTTTGGTTGCAAGCGTAGCTGCAATGGGTACAGCTAATAGCTATATAAATAAAATAACCTGATCGTAACAGAAAAAGCAGAGTGTAATTTGCTTGTTGGCCTTTTGTCAGCAAAAAAGGTGTGAAAGCCACAAAACTGGATGTGATCTCATCCAGAAGTCACTACTGAGAATTTCGTTTTCAGACCTTTATTCCACCTTTTGTGGAGTTCCAAGATTCAAGTCAGATTTGATTTTTAATCCAAAATCTTGAATTGCAAACCATAAATTGTAAATCATGCAACAAATCCAGTTTGAAAATATTGCATTGGTTATCAAGTGATGAAACTACAAATATTTGGACTTATACAACACATCTACAATTTCATATCATAAAAATTCAAATAATTAACACGACAGGATACCAACACTTCCCCTTGCCCCCCACTCCCATCCTGAGCCGCCAAAAGGGATGAGTTCAAAAGCAAATAATAATAATAATAATAATCCTTGCATTTGATATAGCGCTTTTCACTTCGGGAGGACGTCCCAAAGGGCTTTACAGAACACACTGTAGAGTGAATTGACTGTATATTTGTGGGCGAACGCGGCAGCCAATTGCGCACAGCAATGTCCCACAAACAGTCATAGATTGAAAATGACCAATTTTTATTATTGTTTTTGGTTTTGGAGGGATTATTATTAGGCTCTGTGTGGAGTAAGGAAACTTGCCCAAGGTTTCACCCTGCCTGGAATTGAACTCAGGTCTCTCGCTTGCAAAGCGAGTGCTCTAACCACTGAGCTACAGGACTCCACACAAATGGGAATAAGTACATTTAAGGATTGATAGGATCACATAACACAAAACTACAATTGAAGGATCAATACAAATTTTTTCACTGTACCAGATCGTCAAAGATATCCCTCTGATGAACATGTATGGTAACAAGAGTTTCAAATTTAACTCTCTCAAACTTGCTTAGGTCGTGTGTTGTTTGATTGATGAGGCTGTTTAGTAGCTCCAAGAACTTCTGGTTGGTAGTCTGCATGATTTTCTTACTATCTTTTGCATGGTGCAGGGCATCCTCTGAATCACGTGTCCATATTATCTGGATTGCCAACAGTCCTACCTGTAATCACAAGGGGAACTATATTAATACTTTCATTTGCATGGCATATTAATTAAATCTGCACAAAAAAGTAACTGTCATACATCTGATTTCTAGTGTAATGTCGACAGAATTATTTTTGAAATTGTGCACATGCAATAGGTGGAAATTGTCTGAACACGACGACAGTGGAATGCTGTTAAGGGATATGTTGGGGATGGCCATTTTGTCCGCCTTAAGAGGTTTCCGAAGTTAACCGAAATACCATTCTCGCCCAGCAGAGGAGCACCCTGACACCATATAATATGTAATAATGTTGTTTCACTTGAAGCAATGTTAACTAACCAAACAGGACAGTATTTTAACCAAGGAGTTAAAGTTAAAATACTGTACAGTCACAGAATTCAGTAAAATATATTTCCTTTTGTTTGGCTGCAAAATACCTAGGAGAGCAGCGACACTTCCTCCCTCCCATCGCCGTTCCCATTGGACAGGAAGGGGACCAATTAGCAGTGGCGTTGAAGTGATTGACAGCGTTGGAGACACTTGTGAATGTTTGGGTTCCACCTATTCGCAAGCGGCTCCAGCTGTCAATCAATTGTGATTTGACTCCTCCCATTGCATCCCTTGTCCATCCCCATTCTTTTGCCCGCCCCCCAATGATTGACAGTCCAACACCAGCCGCTTATGAATGGCTGGAGTCCTCTGTCAATCAATCTTAAACTCCTACCATCTCCATCCTGGATCTCCTCGTGGCTGAATGGAGCCGATCAACAGTTGCTATGTGAGCATTGATGAAATTCACAAAGTTTTCCTTCCGATCTACACTGACAGTGATGTCAGCTCACTGGTGCCCCAACTTCTACAGGACGATCCTGTTGTAACTACCTAACTATTGTGCAAATCCATTAGAATGTGACAGTCAGTGGATCTGTGAAAGCAGTTGCTAATTTTTCTGTGTGCAAGGGTAGAGTGCAGCCAATGATGTCAGTGGTGACTGGTTCATATGAAGTGATGTCAGCACATCCATTTTCACAGGCAATAAAGGCCGAATAAATTTGACACCTCTTTACTAAGTTTCTCATCTGTACCACGGCAAATAAAGGAATTAAGAGTGAGGTATAATGTTAACAATAGATCATTGTACAGTAATAAAACCTTATGCATTTTTATTGCTTTACCTGACCAGGCGCTTCATGCAGGAAGGGCACTAACTTGAAATCTGGCTCACTAAAGTTGTAATAAGCTGCTCTAATTACGATGTGTAATGAGTGCTGTTGCAGTCGCAAAAGGTCACTTAACCATAGTTCCACAGGGCCCTTTGCAATCACGGCAGTAGTCAGCTGTAATAGCAAATCAAAAACAAAATAGATTATGTAAAAAGTGGCTAACATGCATTATAACTTGCACTAACGGGCAGTCACATAATATGTCAATTACTTTTTCTTCAAACAAAATTCTCCATGGACATTTCAGCAGCAGCAGCAACTACTTGCACTAATATAGCACCTTCCATGCAGGGTAGGTCTCAGAGCGCTTAAGATAACAATAATAACTCACTGACATCGTAAACCTCTCTCTGTCCTCTGGTACTGTTCCCATCCCATTAAAAACCTGTCATCAATCCTATCCTAAAAACTCCTCCATGGACCCTTCTCTACTCCCTAACTGCCACCCCATCTCCAACCTCCCCTTCCTCTCCAAGGCGCTGGAACAACTTGTTGCTTCTCAGCTTCGCTCCTTCCTCTCCCGCCACTCCCTTCTCAAACCTCTCAATCGGGTTCCCATGCCGCCCACAACACAGAAACAGCCCTGCTCAAAGTGACAAATGACATTCTGTCCATCGGTGACCAGGGCTCCTCGTCCCTGAACCTCTCGTCGACCACTCTATCCTCATCCATCGCCTCTCCTCTCACCTCAACAGCTCTGTCCTTGACTGGTTCAGATCGTACCTCTCACACCACCTGCACTTCATCTCCACAAGCGGCTTCTCCTCTAGTCCCCGGACTATCTCGTGCGGCGTTCCTCAGAGCTCTGTCCTTGGTCCCCTCCTCTTCAGTATCTATATGCTTCTTCTTGGTGACATCATCTGCAGACATGGGGTCTGTATGCGGTTGACACTCAACTCTACCTCTCTGCCTCCACCCTTGACTCCAGGACCACTGCTGTCCTGACAGAATGTCTGTCAGACATCAAGTCCCCTGCCACTCTGCCCCCACCCTCTGGAACTCCATCCTGATGAATGCTGAATGTTAACACGACCGAGGCTTTCCTGATTGGCTCCCGTCAGCTCCTCCTCACCTCAGACTAACAGAATCACCATCCATGGTTGCACACTCCACTTTGCTAAGCCAGTCCAGAACCTTGGGGTCTTGCTTGACCCTCAACTATCCTTTCTACCCCACATCTGCACCATGACCTTCTCTGCCTTCCCCCACCTCCACAACATTGCCCGGCACCACCACTGTCTCACATCACAGGCCACCGAAACCCTCATATATGCTTTCACTACATCGAGGCTCGACTATGCAAACTCATTGCTTGTCGGCCTGCCCAACTCCTCCCTCCACAGGCTGCAGATCATCCAGAACATATATTACGTGTTAATACAGACTGCATTGCGTTGATTTTACAGTTATATGTTTAGATCTAGGTATGATATTAGATAATAAAGTGACATTTATAGATATTATTAGTAATACAAATTGAAACTCTGAAACACCTCCCAAATCCACTAATTCAACCACAGCAGCCTATAAAATTTATAGGATTATGGACTTAATCTAAAAATATTTAAAATATAATTAATGATATAATTACGTCAATTTCTTCTCCTTCCCTAGAAATAACAGATAAAATTCGATCATAATCCTTTGCATGGAATGACACTTCAAATACGTTGTCAAACACTCCCACTAAATGGGCCTGCAAATAAAATTATAATTATTGTTAGCGTAAAAATTCATTTAGATAGAATAAAAAAACAAAATCACACATTTAGGCTTCTATCAGCCAATGTACATAGAATTAATCTGACATTGTTTTGTAAAATTTAACTCAGGCTACACACAATATACAATCTACAAGAATAGAATGATCAACATGATTAACAAATATAATAATAAAAACAAACGTCTTAGAATTGCACCGGCATAGCCCTGTCTGTGTCAACTTAACAAGGCGGAAATTAATCTCTCAATTCTGATCATGGAAGTAGTACAATTACACAGAACTCTGGTTAACTTGACCCCTTCATAACTTGTCACTACCATTTAAGTCACCATACTGTCAATATCCTGGCTGCTTCCCATGCAAAGCATTAATAAGGGGCTTTGCTTTACTGTCACTCTGCTTAACAAGGAACTTATCGCACTCTAAAGTTTCTTGTAAGTACTTACAATATAAAATTGATCAGATAACTCGTCCTAACAGTTGGCATCTTGCACTGCAAAGGCCTCCTGCCCTACCCTGCGACTGGTGCAAGCATGCGCACGCAACCTCCACCCAATCATCACTGAGTTATCCAGAACTTACTGATTATTTTTAATTGAAAACTTGCCTTCCCAAGGCAACTATTATCTATGAGATGGTAGCTTGATCGTGATCTAGTTATCACAGCATTAATAATATCCATTTGTAGTTTTACAAATACTGTGTTGTTTTACCATCAAATCTGAAACCAATTCAGTCCGTTCTTGTAAACAGACACGCAAACAGAAGCCAGAATCTATCCACTTTTATCATTCAAATCTTCTCTCCAGTTGAGTTTCCAGAAAAGTCTGAGAAATAGTTTTCAATATCAGGTGTCACTGGAACTACTTTATACATAAGTTTCTGGTCATCAAGGGAACGTTTTTTTGAGGGTAGGGGTGATGGAATTTTAGGTTTATTCTCATCAGATATTGTAATATTACAAAGTTATGTACATATGTAGGATTGGGCATCCTTTTCATCAACAATGAAAGAGATTGATGCATTGGAGAAGTTTCAAAGAAAAACCTCAAGGGTAATTCCAGAATTCAGGACTCTAAATTATGTGGAAAGGCTTTCAGCATTGAGCTTTATTTTATTAAATTTTTGCTCTGATTTTTTTCAGCAAACAAATACAAACTGAAATTTATAATAATAATAATCCTTGCATTTGATATTTCACTAATAATATATATTGCTTCAATTGACTTTTGTTTGCTTATTTGACTTTTGAATTTGTAAACTATTTAAACAAACCTGGATGGTGTGTGAATCACTTGCTTGTCCAAGGATTTCAAGCAAAGCTGGATCGGAGACAAAGAAGAATCTTGGAAACAGCAACCTTTTCTTTTCCAAATATCTGATAAAAAAACACATCTAAAAATAAATCTTACAAGGCCATTTTTCTAAACTCTATTTCCCTATATTATCAATTTTACTTATTATAATATAAATAATAATCCTCAAAGCACGTCACATAATATATTGTAAAGTGGATTGACTGAATTTTGTGGGTGAAACTCAGCAGCCAATTGCGCACAGCAGTGTCCCACAAACAGTCATGGATTGAGTGACCAATTCTTTTTGGGGGGGTGGGGGTGAAGGGATTATTACCCCTGGAAAGCAATCCATCAATGCACTGATAAATAGATTTCTACTGACTGCTAGGTAAACAACACAACTTACACTTGTATAGTGTCCTTCACATCAGAAAGAAGTCCCAGGGAGGAGGGCAGTGGGGGTGGGAGGGTGGCTGAAGGCATGATCGAAGAGGAAAGTCTTCAGACGGGACTTGAAGGAGGCAAGAGAGGAGGTGAAGCGGAGGGATTGCGGGATAGAGTTCCAGAGTGTGGGGGAGGACTGCTGAAGGCCTGACTGGGATGGGAAGTATGGATGACATGAAGCAGGCTGGTGTCCGCCGAGTGGAGGGAACAGACAGGCTGATATGGGGTTATGAAGTCTGAGAGGTGGAGGGAGCAAGACCGTGGAGAACCTTTAAGATAAGAACGAGAGTTTTGTACTCGACTCTCTGAGGAATGGGGAGCCAGTGAAGCCGGGCAAGAATGTGGGTGATAGGTTCCCGGAGCCTGGTGCGGGAGAGGACACGAGCTGCACAGTTCTGAATAATCTGCAGCTTGTGGAGAGAAGAGTTGGTAAGTCCAGTGAGCAGGCAGTTGGCGTTGTCAAGTTGGGACATAATGAAAGGGTGGATCAGGGTCTCGGCAGCCTGCAGTGAGAGGCAGTGGCGGAGGCAGGCAATGTTGTGGAAGTGTGGAAAGGCGGAACGGGTCACGGCACTAATATGGAGTTTGAAGGATAGCTGGAGGTCGAAAAGGTCACCAAGGTTTTGGATTGGCGAAGAATGCAGCCATGAATAGTGATAGTGTCAGCGGCTGAGGAGGCGCTGCTGGGAGCCAAGCAGGAGGGCATCTGTCTTGCCAACATTGATTTGGAGGAAGTTAGCTCTCGTCCAGGACTTGATGTCAGACAGACAATCAATGGTCCTGGAGTCGAGGGTGGAGGCAGCAAAAATAAAGTTGGGTGTTATCCGCATACATGGAAATTGACCCTATGTCTGCAGATGACATCGCCAAATGGGAGCATGTATAGATTAAAGAGGGGACCGAGGAAAGCCCTGCAAGACGCCACGCGTGACAGTGCGGGGGCTGTAGCAGAAGCTGGTCGCAGGCGGACAGAATGTCATTTGTCACTTTGACCAGGTCTGTCTATGTGCTGTAAGCAGCACGAAACACAGATTGGAGGAGTTCATGGAGGGAATGCTGGGAGAGGGAAGAGCGAAGTCACAACTTGTTCGCTTTGATAGAAATGGAAGGTTTGAAATGGGGCGGTAGTTGGGAGTGTGGAGATGGATCAAGGGAAGGTCTTTTGAGGGTTGGGGTGATGACGGCTGTCTTTAGGGGGATGGCTACATTGCCGGTGAACAGAAAGAGGTTAATGATATCTGTTATCAGGGGACAAGGAGGTGGGGCTGGGAGATAATGAGAGAGGTAGGGATGTGGGTCAAGGGAGCAAGTGGTGGGTTTCATACGGAAATGATGGAGGTGAGCGAAGAGGTGGGAGACAGGGTCAAAAGTGTGGAGGGAGGGATGGGGGGGGGCAGGGCTGGAAGAGGAGCGGAAAGTGGGGACAGGGCTAGAGGCAGAGAGCACTTCACAGGATATACTGTAAAGTGAATTGACTGTGTATTTTTGGGGCGAAACACGGTTTATATTTTGATTATAAACCAGTTTTATGAATTTGCCTATGACTGGAGGATAGGTGGGTGGATATTCTAGAAAGATGAAATCAAATGGAGCTTCATTTGAACCTGTTGTGTAACCTGGAATACTAAAACTGGCAGAGAGGATCGACTCAATTCCCATCCAACATTACCAGCCACGTTATTTTGGAGCCAGCTCAGCCCAGAGAGATAGCACTTACCTTCCATTACTCCTCCTCCCCACCCCACTCCCTCACCACCAACAACTAGGATACTCACTTGTTTGTTAACAGACGTCTGACAAATTTAGTTTTGAATTAGTTGAAATTAGTTCAAAATTAGTTTTGAACCCCTGCAAAGAGCAGATTCCAGGAACTCCTTGCAAGCTACATGGTAAGCAGTACAACTCAACATGAAATGTGTCCATCCCTTTTCTAACCAAAGCCCAGACACACAACACTTCCCACTGAGAGAAGTAAAAGAATGAAAGTCATGTGGAAATGAGAAATGACCAGCATGAGTGGAGAACCAAGAACCACAAAGAATTTCTGAATTGCTGAATTAGAAGGATTCAGCATTATTAGATTTAGAGATAGATATAACCATATAATTTCCCACAATATTCCTTCAATGCATCTATCTCCAAACTGGAGAATCAGATCTCGGCAATTGTAAAGCACTCCAAAATACATATGCCTGATATAAGTATTATATATTATCTGATTTTCTGTACGTACCCTGTGAGAGATTTCTGGCAGACCTCAAGCTGTTCTTGCAAATGTGGTAAAAGTTGCCCCATAATATCATCTCCCACACAGCATTGGACGACAACAGGAATTTCATGAGCTCGCTGCATAATTTTTACCCAAGACTTGTCAACATTTTGAAAACGTTTAGCTTCCTAGAGAATAAAACATGCTGTCATTCAAAAACATCACCAACTGCCATTTTTCTGAAAAAGAACATTGATGTATAAAGCTTATTTATTTGTATTATAATCGGTTCTGTGGACAGCTTAGACCCGAAATTCCACATCTCTCATGATGTGAAAATGTTTGCACAACAAAAAAAGGTGTGCATGATATGTATTTTATTTATTGACAATAAAATGTATTTTTGGTTGATTAGTAGTTGATTTTTTAAAATTCATATTCCTTTTTGAATTATTTCCTTTTAAACCACAATATTGACATTCATAAGGTACTAGTGTTACTGAATTATCTTAGCTATACCATCTCCTGTAATTGTAGCTATAATACTATCATCATAACTAAGTCGACAATAACAGACTTTCCCACTTGAAACATTTCACTTAAACCAATAGAACCAGGTTATGCTGCTTTCAAAATCTGTACCAATCAAAAGGTGGGAGAACTACTCTGGGTCTAGAATTATCTGTTTTCTTAGCATTCAGACTTGATTTCAGTCTTACTTTGAAGATGATTTTCTCTAGTTCTTAAACAAACATAAATCATATTCAAAATTAGCCTCTCTTTAAGAATTTGGAAAACTCTGAATTTTCTGAAATGGCTAAGAAAATAAATCTAGTCGAAACTGAACATTTTCCCCTCAAGAAACTGCAATGCAGATAGACTGAAGGACCATACAAACCTAGCTTGATCATAGATCAAAGGGGAAATTCAAATTAAGAAGGCCCTTCAACTCATTTGATCTCATCCTTTCAGAATGGCACCCTGGCCTTCTAATTACGACATCAAGCTGTTTGTCAAAGATCAGAAACTTGTTTTGCTGCTAATCATGGACAGTTGCTACCTCTCAATGGCGTAAGGTCTGGTATATTGAAACATTGTATCAAAATACAATCTCTTTATCTTTAAAGTATATCTTTGTTAGGATTAAAACTGTGACTAGAAAGACGTTAAGCATCTAGCAGTTTACTTGCAGAACATGTATAAATTACCTGTGGCAGCTGTTTGGCAATATCACCTCCAACAAAGACAGCCTCCAGATAAATCCACAAATTTTGTACCAAAAGCCACTGCTCTATGACAGTTGTGGATGTTGTTAGATTATGCACCCAAGTCTGAATATCCTTCTTATAGTGAGCATTATATCTACAAAAGAGCACAATTCCAGAAGTCAACATGATATACACTTCATCAGATAAATAAAATCATAAGATCACAGGAAAGAACTGAATTACTTTTGGGGTCAGCTAGGTGTCTGATACATGTGGAAATGCATCTGAATATCCAAATCAGACAGAGTTTAACATATGATAATCCTTGCATTTGATAGAGTCTTATCACGTCTTCCGAGACGGCTGAAAGCGCTTCACAGAATATATTGCAAAGTGACTATACAGCGGAAGCCGCTTAAACCGGGCACATTAGGACGGTGGCGCCTCCTCCCTCCCACTGCTATTCCCATTGGACATGAAGGGGACCAATTATCGACCAATTAGTGCCCATCCATGCTTGTGAATGTTTGGGCGCTCCACTCATTCACAAGCGGCTCCAGGGGTCAATCAATTGAATTTGGCTCATCCCATTCCCTCCATTGTTTCTTCCCCATTCCTCCGCCACCTCACTGATTGACAGCCCACCTCCAGCTGCTTGTGAATGGCTGGAGTCCACTGTCAATCAATAGCAATTTGACTCCTCCCATCTCCATCCCGGAGCCACACGTGGCTGAATGGAGCCGCTCGAGCCATGAGTGAGTAGGCACAGCACCGACTCGTGCAGCATTTTGACTGGATTAACCGCTTAGTCCAAATTAACCCGGCATTTTTAAAACAAGTAAGAATACAAATGAATCGGGGCCGAGCGTTTCGTCCGATTTACCTGGCGTCTAGGGTTAACGGCTTCTACTGTATATGTCACCTACACATAGAAATGTCCGTGTCTGGAATATAATGTGGACACAATCCCTGGAGAGATGCAACCTGCTTATTATAATCATAATTATCCTTACATTTGGAATAACACTATATCACATCATCCAGCAGTCTCAAAACGCTTCATAGGATTTCAGGGCAAACACAGCAGCCAATTTGCGCAACACAACATCCATGAAGTGAATGACAAATTTTATTTGAGGGATTGTTGGCCATTCTTGACCTGCAGAAACTCTCTTCTCTTTTCGAGTAGTGTTATGGGATCTTTAACGTCCACTTGAACAGACAGACAGGATCTCAGTTTAATGTTTCATCCAAAGATTGGCACCTCCAAAAGTGCAGCATACCCCAAGCCCTGCAGTGGAGTGTCATCCTGGATTGTGAGTTCATATTCCCAACATGGGCCTTGACCTACAATCTTCTGACTCAGAAGCAACTGAGCTAGACTGACATACCTACTTTCTGAGAGTATTAAGCTCAGGTTGGCAAGAGCCAAGACTTCGGAACTGCACAGTGTGGGTTCGGGTACTGCTGGAGTTAAACCAGCTAAAAATGTATAGCTTGCAATTAATAGCACTATAGCACTGTATAGCAAGCTTTCCCGCTGCTAGGATCAGCCTACCCATTAGGGTTCTGGCCTGCAAGGTTAACAGCTGAATGGGAAATGACTGGTCTGCCCTTTCAAATACTGTCCATGAGGCAGGCTGGCTTGTCTGTCATCAGGTGTATCTCAAACTAGCAGGATGTATCTAAGATTTGACAGGGGTCTGCACTGGGACGATGGCTCTTTACAATATACATCTGTGCCTTGCACGTGGAAACAGGAAGGGTTGCATCTAGATTTCTAGGTGATACGAAATTGAGTAGATTGGCAAATTTTGAGAATGACTCAAAATAAGACTTCAGATGGACATTGATAGACTGGAAAAATGGTTAGACAAGTGGCAGATGCAGTTTAATGCTGATGAAGTACTACATTTTGGGGGAAAAAGTGAGTGGAAATATATTCTGAAGGCCAAACAATCAATGTTGGGGGGAGAAATAGAGGAACCCAGAGACACAAAAACAAAAAACAACAAAGTGAAATTTCAATTATGAAACCAACAAACTGGTAGATTTTTAACCGTGAAAATATTTTTCTGGTAGATTATAGATCCTGATTAAATAGAGAAGTTACAATTTCATAACAGAAAATTTAGACATCACATCCGTAAAGTTAGAAAATAATTATAGCCAAGGAACAATTTTTGATGAAAATATCCATCTCATTACAAACCAATGATTTTCCTAAGGAAATTAAAGAGATTTCTGTTAATAGTAAAAACTGCATTAATATAATTTCATGTTTCTACCTATTGCTGAGTAAAGAGCTCAGGACCATTAAACTATCTTCCATCATCGATATAATTTCTGCCGTATCCAATCCTTTTAGGAGCAACTCGCCTCGATTTTTAAATGCCGAAAAACTAAGGGTCTGACTGACCCAGGTCTGCATCACCTGAGACAGTTTTGCCTCAATATCCTTTTCTTTCACGGAAGAGATACAAATATCCTGAAATAGATCACAAAATAAAATTTACTAACAATGGGTAAGTTCCATTAGACTGAATTTGGTTTTAGTAAGCCACATGCGAAACCCATCACCATGCATCCAAACCAAACTGAGAATTCCATGCGTCCCACCTACAGATTGAAATTTCAGAGACAGATCGTTGGAATGGAATGCACACTCTCTCCCTGGAGGGACACAATCTGCTTATTTAGTTCCAAATAGTATTAGGCGCAGGTTGGCAAGAGCCAAGGCTTGGGGAACCCAGAGTGTCTGTTGGGGTACTGCTGGAGTCTAACCAGCTCACCTGAAATTGTACTTAAGTGGTAAAGATCTACAAAGTAATTTTGTCTTTCAAATTAAGATGACAGAGAATTATGGAAAATTATTGCATTCAGTCTTAATTTGGAAGCCACTTATTTTAAAGAACTGCAGGAATCCAAATTAAGAGTGAATTTTCCAAATTTCTGTGCAAATAGCCTTAACTAAAATTTAATATCTTTTATAATCATTATGAGTCTTATCAAAAAGTCAAAGGTTAAAATTATTTCAGGGAACTAATTATTTTAGGTTTGTAAAACACAACCATGTTTTTCATAATAAAAGTTGCCAGAAGTGTTTTTTTCTTCTAAAATAGACAAATTAGCCTTCAGAGCTACCAACGGTAAGAGTGAGACATCAATAATACATTTTACCAATGAATGAAGAATCATCATTGAAAGGGTTACAGGTACTCGTAGTCATATGGCTGCTATTTTGCTATAAAGTGTAGCGACTGAGCAGATGAATGCGGCAGCCAATTTGCACACAGTAATATCCCACAAACAGCTAAGGAATGAATGACTAATTTCGTCAGGATATACCAGTGTACCTCAATATCCTCCTTGAATTGAAGAAGTGGTGCACCCATGACATTTTTTAAAGAGAATGTTTCTGAATCCACATTAAATGAGTAGCCTGTTACTGTAGATATCCGTTCCCAATGTCTCGGCTGTATTGACTTGCTGGACATCATTTCCAACAGAGGACACGACTCATTGAAATCATCTATTTTCTTCTTTAGATCTAGAAATGCTTGCCAGTCCTTCAAGCCTTTGGGCAATCTACGGCACCTGAAAAATGTGGATAAAATAGTTCATTTGAGAAAACTGAATTCACAATTGTGAATTAAAAGTTTAAATCTACAAATATCTTTAAGCATAACATATTGGCAGTATTAAAATGTACAAAATACTGTAATTTTCAAACTAGAAAATTGAAAAACACATAGTAAACAGTAAATCACAACAGGCTACAAAGAGAAATGAATGAAATTCCAAGGAAATTGTTTTAATTGTGGACCATCATTTAAAGAATGAGGACTTAAGAGGATAGTTCCCTTCGTCATCTGTTCAACCTTCCCTATCAGGGAGTAGCAGAAGGAGATGCATTCACAAACCAATTTGCCAGCCATTCATAGGGTTTATTAAAAATCCTATTACTGAATGATACAAGCAACTTTGAAAGTTATCATTCTAACGTATATAATAATAATCCTTGCATTTGATATAGTGCCTTATCAGATCTTCGAGACATCTCAACGAGCTTTACAGCACATACTGTAAAGTGAATTGACTATACATTTTGCGGGCAAAACACGGCAAACAATTGCGCACAGCAGTGTACAACAAACAATCGTGGATTGAATAGAGCAATTTATTAATTTGGGGGGGAAGGAATTATTACCCCTGGAAAAGCGATCTGCCAATCGACTAACTGGGTTCCTACTGCAAGGTAAACAGAGGCGTGTAGAGTAAGGAAACTTGCCCAACATTTCGCCCTGTTGGGAATCGAACCCAGGTCTCTCCCTTGCCTGGCGAGTGCTCTAACCACTGAGCTATAGGACTGTATACGACTTAATATATACTAATACTTAATGCTTCTTTCTAATGGAACCAAAAACCAGCTGGATGAATATATTCAAATATTTGAATTGAGGATTGTAAGCATAGAAGCAACTGAATGGTGGGGTGTGGAATTCAACAGCTTTGAGTTACCTGTTCTGAAACTCCAACAGCTCAGCGTTAATCTTTTCAATGTCTACATCACTCCACAGCAGGTCATAATAACCATTAATACTACTCATTACTGAATCATACAGACCATATAACTTCTGCAGCAGCCCCAGTTCCTTCCTAGGGTGAAAACAGCAGCAATCATTGAGATCAAAAACAAAACAAACATCTACTACTACTTGAACTAGCAATATATCTATTCTCAGTTTAACACTTTTATTTGCACCCATCTCAATCTCTGCCACTTCCCCATACTCTTACTCAGCGAAATAAACTCACCAACACCTTTAGTTGCACCTCATGTTTTGTGGGCACTAAGCGAAAAGGTGATTCACTATCCAGGGCACTTCCTCACAGTACATTTTGTTCCTATATTCTTTACTACAGTATTACATTATTAAATTGGTTGGTAGTGTGGGATTCTTCTTCCAGAATGTGCAAAGAAATACCAGCTCTGTACTTCCAGTTTCACTTGAATAGGATGTCTACAGTCCTAAATGTATCTCCTGAGGAGATCCTCACCATCAACAATAAAATGACTGAAGATGTACTCACAAGGAAATTAAATCAACTAACATACCTATTTTTTTGTAATATTTCATAATCTTGGACTGGCAGTCCAAATAATGCTTCCCCTGAAGAATAAGTAACGAACTTCCTCCACAGCTCATCAAACCAACTCTGCAACAAGTTAAATTTAAGATGAAGATCACAGGAGAACATTTATAATTACAAACATTTTTGTACTGATAAATACAGGATAAACAAAAAAAATGAACAAAAGCTAAAATATACAATACTGTATGTACCAGCTCCTTGCAATTTGTTTTGGAGTGCCATTTCCTCATATATTTTGTCAGTATCAAAAATGTGGGAGAATTTCGCTTACTGGGCTTTAAGAGGTTAATATAAAATCCAACTTGATAGCCAGTTTGTCTACAATCAGAGTTATACAAAAAGAGGAATATTGCACTCTTTTTTCTTATAGTTTCTTGTCCCAACCCTTCTGCTGATTGTGGGTGGGTGCAGTCGGTGGGAAGAGGTTAGGCTCGGCCATCACATCTTCTGAAGTGAAGTGGTTGTCAAGGCTGACAAATGAACAGCCATTTGGGTGGGGTACCAGCGAGCAACCAGTGCCCATGGGACTGCACCCCAGCATGAGGATGATTTGAACCAGGAGCAGCGGCATATGCCAATGGAGAGTAAATTAGAAAAAAACTGGACACACTAAATTTAAAGCAAAAAGCCTTGTGCATTTCTTATACTTTTTTGAAGCTATCAGCCTTGTTCTACAAATCTTCTACATGACAGAAAAGGGTAACTGAATTTCCATTTTCTAATCTTTAACCTTTAAAATATGTAATTACAATTATTTTCAACCAATAACCAATTTTCATTCTTTCCAGTCTGTAATTAGTGTTGATAAGGAACCTTATTCTTAAATTCTGTTCAAACTTCTAAAATATTTTCTTTTTAATTTAACTTTGTTGTTCTTAAAACAAATAATAAGATAATACAAAATCCCTATTTGATGTAGGGATGCCTTTTATCTCAAACCATACAACAGGTAACTGCTTTACCTGTTGTATGCTTTTAGGTGGAGTAATTGTGTACATGTAGAAAACTCTCCATACGTTATTCCAGTGTTCATATCATTAAGTTATTCATTATCCCTGCTTTAATTGTCACTTTCTTATTCTTATTTCTACTTTATGATTCTCCACAAAAAATAATTACAATTATAAACATAATAAAACAACAATTGATTAAAGCATTGGAACTGGAATATTAGATAATTTTTGTTTTCTCTACTTCAAGTTCAATGTGGTAATACAGTTTTCCAAATTAGTTATTTTGATACACGGTTACCTTTAACAGATAAAACTAATTCATGTAATGTTGCTACATTTTATTTAACTCTTACTTGGAAGATCTGCAACCTTGTGCTAGCTTCCACAGGTGCAATCCCTGGTACCATAGGACCTTCCTAACACAGAAAAGATATACAATGATTAGATAGGATTGGTGCCTTGAATTCAAATAGAGTTCATTATTATGTTACATGATATAAAAAACCCTTGTGCAGGAGCGGACGCGAGCTGCAGAATTCTGTTGCAGTGGGGAAGGTAGAGCGGGATATGGCACGGATGTGGGGTAGAAAGGATAGTTGAGTGTCAAACAAGATGCCGAGGTTCCGGACTGGCTTAATAAGGTGGAGTATCCTAATAGATGTGCCTTTAACATCGGGAGGAGCGCTCCACCTGGACAGCAAAATGGGATCTCATCCGAAGGGTGGCACCTCCACCAATGCAGCATCCCCGCAGCAATGCACTGAAGTGTCAGTTTAGTCTATATAAATTGGTTTGAGTAGGGAGTGGAGGGAGAGGTGTGAGCGAAGTTTGTTTGCAACCAATCATTCCAAAACTTTGGCCAGGAAGAGCAGGTTTGAGATGGGTCTGAAGTTTGTGAGGTTGGAGGAATCGAGGGTGTTTTTTTAAGAAGAAGAGTGATAACAGCGGTTTTGAGGGGGAGTAGGACAGAGCAAGAGGAAAGTGACTGGTTGATTGTGTCAGCCAGCAGTGGGCAGAGGAGGGGGAGTTGAGTGACCAGAAGCTGAGTGGGGATGGGGTCGAGGCAGCAGATGGTGGGGCTTCATCTGGGTAATGGTGGGAGAAAGGGAGGAGGGAGAGATGGGGGCAAAGAAGTGTGGGGTGGGGGCTGTGGTAGGAGAGGGTGATGAAGGAGGCATTGGGGAGGGATGGTAGACTACATGGGTGGAGAGGAGGAGGAGGCAGCCAGGCGGATGTTATCTATTTTAGAGATTAAGAAATCCAGGACCTCTGGACACAACTTTAGTCACAATTAAATCAGCTCCCTGATATTTCCTCATCCAATATCTTACAAAATTAACCCACAAAATACAGTCACTACACTTTACTTTAAATCCTGTGTCCAGCTTTGAGATGGCCTCTGACCATGAAAGATGTTATATCAAATGCAAGGATTAGTATCCACATTTCAGTGGGCTGTAGAGCAGTAACCGTCAGGAACAGGAACTTTGGCTAAATTTAGACTGGGCAAAGAACCTGTGAACTTCCTGGTTTGAATACTTTGTTACTCTTGGCCCCTGAGCTGTTGGGGGAAGGTTAGGTTTTCCTAATGTATTCAATAAACAATCGGTAAGAGATTATTTAAAATTACTTAATCAATATTGGCACTTTATTATCAAGTTACCCATGTTCTCTGATTTTAGATACAATATACATAATAATCCTGTGTAATAAATAGTTATGGGAAAAGGCTCGATAGACTTGAGCTTTTTTCTTTGGAGCTCAGAAGGCTGAGGGGATATGATGGAGGTATATCAGATGATAGGAGGCTTAGAGAGGATGGACAGGGAAAGATTATTTCCAGTGATCAGGGGTCCAAAGGGCATAGATTTAAAATTGTAACTTGAAGGTCCAGAACGGCGATTAGAAAGAAGTTTTTCCTTATATCCTAATCCTTACAGAGTGGTGGGAGTATGGATTTCACTGCCACAGTCAGAAGTTGGGATGGCAAACATGTGCACATTCAATAAAATGACTGGATACATGGTTGAGGGAGAATAAAGTTGAAGGATATGCGGAAAAGGCTGGAATATGGGTCTAGGGATAGGATCTAGGAAAGGCACTCGTGTGGAGCATAAGACTGGATGGGTCGAATGGCCTGTTTCTGAGCAGTACTTGACATGAATCGTTGCATTTGGTATAGCACCTTTCAGGAGGGAATCAAAAAGCGCTTCACAGAATTTATGAAATCAGAGGCAGAACGTCAATATATCTTCTCTAACAGATGAATCGCTTAAATGCAATCCCTTGCCTTCTCCTGTTCCTAATTTCCTATGTTCCTAATGTCTTATACTTTACCTTTTCATATTGCTTTCCATATTTTGACACCTCTTTCTGAAAAAAAGTCACTGAATGCAGCAAATTGGCTTTAAATTTAGGTTGGACTTTCACCAATTCATCCTGGGCATTTCTCTGTCAGCAAAAACAATAATTATAGTGCGTGAAACAAACACTACACTGTCTCAGCACATAACTAAAATGACTTACTTACAGACAAACAGATACAGTCTGTTCAGCTCTAATTTGAGCCACTAAAGATATTACCAAATGTTACTCATGTTCAATTACTACCAAGGCATTATTCTAATACACATTAATCCAAACTAATAACAAGTCTGAATTGACTTCAAGCAAGATTTAAAGGGGGAGCAAAGTCAGTTGAAGTTCCACCTGAAAATAATTGACCTATATTCTTTACGTGATGTCAGAATTCTGTCCAGTAAATCTGTTCGCAGGCCAGATGTATCTGAGATATGAAATTCCATTTAATCTTAGCCTGTAAAATTAAGACTTTGTCTTAAAAAATAAGATTACACAGAAATGTGAACATTTTGGAAATTCAGTCTCATTTGGAAGCAGTTTTTTTGCACTTCTTTAAAAAAAAGACATCCTCCTGACATGAAAGACAACTATATAAATGTAAATTGTATTATAATATGGCTACATATCAAGACTGAATTGAAGAATTTTCCACACCGCTGTACAATCTTAAACTTTAATTAAAAATCTTAGTATTACAGGATAAGACTAGATGTAATTCTGCACACCTGGAGAGTACTGTACAAAAACAACTATAAGATCAATTATTTGGACTCCTTCTTCAGGCAAACAAATGCCTCCACTGCAAAGGTAATTTCCAAAAACTTACCCTGCACCTGGAACATTCATAAATAAGAAATGGCAGACATTTTAAGATATATTCATTAAGAGCATGAAAAGCTTCTATTTAGAACCATATTAGTTGTGAGGCTTGTTACCAAACTCCATAGTTCAATCCACAACACTAAGTTCCTTCAAGAATGATTTAATATTAGAACAACTGCTTTACTACCACTAAACTAATATTTATTTACTACTGGGGCTGTGTAATTATAGTTTTCCCACACACTTGACATAAAGCCTCTGCTTTTCTTGAATTATTTGACGATAAAGTATAGTACTCACAGCTTTCACTTGCATTTTGTTGAAGAAATATCTTAGTGTGTCAACACCTTCTGCTTCCTCTTTCTCAACCTCCACATCATACTTGCTCAGAATACTATATGCTTCCTAAAGGAAAAAAATGTTAATAACACAGATAACACCTTGTTAAGAACATAGAGAAATCATTTGTTGTCTGTCCAACAAATGAAGAATTTATGATTTCCCAGACACAGCATTGACAGAAGAAAATGAGAGGTGATGAGGAGGGAAGAAGTCTATTTTTGTTTAAAGTTGCTTGAAAAATTTAGGGGAATATTTCCTCTGAAATAAACTCAATGCAAACAGGTTCTCATATTAGCAAGTAAAAATTATATTTTGATCATTGCTAATGAGCTTGTTTAATTAAATATCAATAAAATAGTACAGCTCTTTCCTCTGCCTTTATAGAGTATCGATTGATAATGGAGTTTAAGAATACAATACATTTTGCCCTCAATTGCTGAAGCATTTTTACTTTAAACTGGGGTGGGATCACCATCACAACATTAATCAGATAACCAGTAATATCACTTTATATATGCAGAGAAAATTAGCCAACTTTCTGCATTAAAAATGGCTGAATTACAAGTCATCAAGTTGATACCAACAACTTCCTGCACAATTCTGTGCATCCCCAGAAAGGATTGAGGGAGAGAGTTCCAAAGTTTGGGGACACAGTGGTTAAAAGCGCACAGCAGCCGGCAGTGGTCAGAGGGGTCAAGGGACAAGCAGGAGGCCAGAGCCAGCTGAGCGGAGGCAGCGGGAAGTAAGCCAGTCGTGTGTTCACAAATCATAAGCGAATCCATTTTTTAAAGGCTGCTTTAAAAAGCACCAGCATATTGTAGTTATTATGAAGTAACAATTTCTAAACATTTAACAGAATATCTATTTCCATTAAAGCAATGTTAAAGATGTGCTATGCTTTCGGTCATCTTTCTCCTCCCTGCTCCCTTTGCCCTCTACCCCATAGTTCAGGCATCCAGCATGGCCTCCCAATAGTGAAAGGCACTATAAAATGCAAACTGTATTGTACTGCTGAAATTTAACCAGCTAAAACTGCATAGATGGGTTATTTTGGTCAGTTAGTGAGTATGCATAACCTAGAACTCAAATGTTTATGTCTAGAAGACAAAGGTCAAATGAGAAGAATAGGTTTCCATACCTCAATGGGTCCCAAAGTCATATCCATGTAAATCTCATTTTTACGTATTTCAGATAACGATTCCATGGCAAACCTCACATCATCCAGATCACGAATCGGTCGAGACAAGTTTTTCAATTGTTCTTTTTCAAATGCCGTAATCTCTGCCAGTTTTGCCTTGTACTCTTCATTCAGGTAACGACACAGCAACAACTTCCAAGCTTTAGCCTCTACTGCAAGAGCCATTTTCATGGGTGCTGAAAAAGACAGTGAATTTCATTCACAATTAATCTCATTTTGATCCTGGGTATTTAGTATGGATAACTACTTTGTTTCAGAGCACAGGTTACATTTTTAAATCAAATCATCAGTCCATTGGGCTTCAAGTAGTGTCAGTTCTTCGTTCTGCAACTAAATCTTCTCTTTACTCTAAGACCATTAAAGAGGGAAAGTACAACCCCAATTCACTTTTTACTTCCACTCGGTATCCTGAACTCTGATACAACATGTGACGAGTTTCTAATGTTTCAAATATCAAGACGATCTGCCTCAGCTGTCTATCATTTCCACCCCTTCTCTTCCATGCCTCACATCTCCCTGGCTCAGTGGTAGCACTCTCGCCACTGAGTCAGCAGGTTGTGGGTTCAAGCCCTACGTCGGGACTTGGAATCACAGTCTAAGATGACACTCCAATGCAATGCTGGGGAGGAGAGGGATGTTGCATTGTTGGAGGTGCCGTCCGTCGGATGAGACGTTAAACCGAAGTCCCATCTGCCTATTCAGGTGGAAGTTAAAGATCCCATGGCACTGTTCAAAAAGAGAAGGGAGTTTCGCCCGCTGTCCTGCCAACAATCCCCCAAATAAAATTGGTCAATCACTCCATGGCTGTTTGTGGAACACTGCTGTGAGCAATTGGCTGCCTCGTTGCGCCCACAAAATACATAATCACTCCACTTTACAGTATGTCCTATGAAGCACTTTAATACGTCTCAACGACATGAAATGCACGGTATCAAATACATGTATTATTGTTATTATTGCGTTAATTCCCCTGTAGCTTTTTTCTTTCTTGCTATTCTGCCAAAGTTCCTCACCATGTTGTTGCCACCCAGCCACAAACTTGCCTCTTGCCATGCTGAAGCTCCTTTGAAGCTCTGCAAGTCAAGTTCCCACTGGTAAAAGATCTCATCACCCCCAGGCAAAATGGAAAATAATGTTCTAATTTAAATGAGAAAATTGAGCATTTGTTCCTACCTGTACTTAGTTCAATAAAATCTACAACTATGGTGGGGCTCAGTGCTTCAATATCTGCTTCAAAAGCTGCATAATGCTGAATTTCTGCTCGGAGTTCATACAAGCTGGGATGTTTAGCCATAAATTGCTGTATAGAAAGTATCAAAGAGATATCATAAAACTCACAAATATTATCAAATGTTACATTTTAAAACACAAAGGACAAAATGAAGATACATGAAAGATGTGATTTAAGAATATGGCTCAAACTATTTCACCTCGAGGGTGAGAAAGACATAATTTTTTAGAATGTACCATGTGATGCATGTGTTCGTCCTTTATTGTGCACAGGAGAGAAGTATCATTCATTATGTTATTGTGAACTAAAACATCCCAACTGGCAATTATAATGGTCAGAAATACTAACCCAGCACACAAAACAATGTCGACATTATTGTAGTTTTCCCATCTTAGGCTTACTCAGTGATGGGTGAACATAATATGAATAAAACATAACTAAGTGATGTGGGGTCATGTAATTCACAACCAAAAGGTTGTTTAATACTGAACTACTCATTACTGATAAGTTTGTTATTTAACCTAATACATTTTTGTTAATCTTCACGATTTAAAATTATTATTGAACACCATAGAGCACCATAGAACACCACCTGAGATCAAATGCTATCAGATCTAAGAAATTAGCAAACTATAACTGTTATGTTCTTTGTCGTACCTTGACTGTACTCTCTCGGTCTTCTGACCACAGAACCTTAAATTTTTGAAAGGTCTCCAGTGCACTATTGACAGTACTCCGTATTGTGTTCACTGAAGATGAGAGAACTGCTACTAATTTGGTTACATCTTTGTGTTCAGCCACGTTGTGATAAAAATTCTTCAGTTTCTTTTTAAATTCTGCTTCTGTTCCAGAAAACAAATGTCCAAAATAATAAGAGACAGAGCTACTAACATTATTACAAGTTGTTGTTGTACATGGTTAAGAATTTAGAAACGTAATGAGGGTTCTGGTTGAAACGCTCTCAAAGAAAATGGATATTTTGTGAAAATGCAATTTAATTAGCTATCACAACATGATTTAATTGGAGTAAATTAACCCACCTTTTTGTCCTCATTTTAGTTTGTTCATTTAACGCACTTAATTTTCTGGGCGGAAGATCACTTTGGAAGCTTATGTTTAATGCGCAAGAGGAAATGCATATTCTACCACTTTACCCCACAGAATGTTACTCCACCACTGGCTGTGCTACTGAAGAATTTAGCTTTTAGATGTGTCTCAAGCATAAATATGTCACCCAATTACAAATATTTGCAAACTGGCAAATCATTTTTAATTTATGATGGAAGTTGAAATTATGTAAATGACAGAATCCTGTGCTGTTGACAACAATATAGTGCTCTCAGACAGTGTAGTGTCTCAAGAGTACTTCACACAACAACAAAATTATATTTGTATAGCACCTTTCATGTTGAGCGGATGTCCCAAGACGCTGGACAATCAGCGTTTCCCGAGTTAATAATAATAATCCTTGCATTTGATATAGCGCTTTTCACGTCTTCTAGACGTCTCAAAGCACTTCACAGAATATATTGTAAAGTGAATTAACTGTATATTTGTGGGCGAACGCGGCAGCCAATTGCGCTCAGCAGTGTCCCACAAACAGTCGTAGATTGAAAATGACCAATTTATTATTGTTTTGTTTTGGAGGGATTATTATTGAGTTGGGGGTAGGGATCAGGGAAGGTGGAGAGCAGTGGGGGAAGGAGGGTGGCAATAGAGTCGTGGAGCCTAGTGCGGGAGAGGACACGGACTGCAGAGTTCTGGATAATCTGCAGCCTATGGAGGGAGGAGTTAGGGAGGCCGACAAGCAGGAAGCACACAGCTTGTAACAGTGGCACAGCTTGATGCCGAACTGGGAAGAGAGGGGAGGTGATCCTAGACTCAGTCAAAGAGGAAAGGCTTCATGTGCAAGCTGAAGATGAGAAAGGACGAGGCAAGGCAGGAAGTTCCAGGGCATAGTGGCTGAAAGCATAGCTGCCAATGGCAAAGTGGAGGGGCCGAGGGGCAGAGCCAGATGAGTAGGGGAGTGGGGTGTAGAGGAAACAGGTTGGAGTGGTAGGGAGGTTCTGGGTCTTGAAGTAATTTATGAGTGAGTTTGAGATTCTTTAAATCAATGCCTTTTACAATAGAAAGCCAATGGAGCTTGGCAAGAACTCGGGTGATAGGGTGCAGAGTTTGGTGTGAGGATACATATGGTGGTGGAGTTTTGAATTTCAGTATTTTATGAACGGTGCAACTGGGGAAGAGGGCATTGGAAAAGTGAAGCGCGAATGACAAAATTTGCATAAGGGTTTCATCTGTGATGGGCGTGAGGTAAAATCAGTGATGTGGTGGAGGCGGAGGAAAGCTATCCTGGTCAGGGACTGGTTGTGGGTTAGGAAGGACAATGGGTATCAAACCTTCTGCTGTTGACATACATACTGGACATAAAGTGTAGTGATTTCTAACAAGCTTCATTGAAATTTACTGAAATTTTATTTCCGCTTGAACATTTGTAAAATATAAATTCTTCAAAGCCGTAGAACACCTCACCTAATTGTGATGCTCAGAAATACTGACCCAGCAGACAAAACAATGTTGACAGCAATATGCAGCAATTATGTAAAAATAGACATGCATAAACACAGACTGAATTTGTATTTGAAATCTTTGAACTATTTCTTGATTATTATCTATCACATTGACTCAAGATTAATGCATTGTATTTACTTGTATGCATCAGAGGTTCATGATAACTTTCTTAAAGTCCTTACTTTCTTCTTTTTGGTTTCCCGAAGTCTCTTCTTCTTCAATAGAATTGGGATGGCCTTTCATCTGCCTCCACTGTGTTACATTACGACTCACCTCCAGTACCATTTGAATTAAGCGGTTAATAATATGCTGGATATCATCCAGACTTGGTACCATGACCTGCACACACACAAATTAGAGAAAAACTCACATATGTCATACCTTTATGAATTATATAATCACCTAAGTCTTACGTGCACCTGATTCCCATTTAGTTTCCTATCAAAAACTACTTAGATTTCTTTGTACAAGTCATACTAATAATCCTCTAACTTGTAATGACACTCCTCTTTCCCCATTACTCTGCACTTGAATCGTGGGAAGTGACCTCCACCCCAAGTACTCCAGATGGGGTCTGACCAAGGTTCTGTACAACTCTGTACATCATTTCCTCACCTTTTTATTCCAGGCCCCTCAAGATAAAGGCCAACATTCCATTAGCCCTTTTGATTACTTTTTGTACCTGTGAACTAGTTGTTAAGTAATTTGTGCACATAGACACCCAAGTTCAACTCACTTGTTTTATTTCTTATGCTACGTGAATTCATGTACAGAACTCTTATTCAGGTAATTGTCCCCACCTTTTTTTCCCCAGATTATTTGTTAATTTTTATCACTTTTTGTACTCTGATCTTTACTCGTAATCTTTCTTTTTCTTATCTTTAGGTTTCTATTATTTTCACCCAAACCCTTCCCTCCAACACTGGTTTTAAGTTGAAGTTCCCAAAGTTGAAAGTTGGGAAGTCCTATATACAAATATAATCTTGTTGTTGTTGTTAAGTTCTTTTTACAGTCCTATTTATTCTTTCCGCTAGGACCTTCGTCCCAGTCCGGTTCAGGGGCAGCCCATTTGTCCCATGGAAATGGAACCCTGCCTTCCGACACCACTGTTTCAGTCACGTGTTCACTTTTCTGTTGCTTATCCGTATGCTTTTTTGTACGTGTGGATTACCACCCTATTTTTTAATTAGCTCCTAGCTCCTGATATTTCATTAGCAGGATCTCCTTCCTGTTCTTTCCTATGTGGTTGGTTCCAGCATGGACTACGATAAGCAGTTCTTTCCTCTCGCTTTCCAAGTTCCTTTCCAGCCACTTCAAAACATCCCTTACCCTGGTACCCGGTAGTCAACACACCCTCCTGGATTCTCAATTGCAACTGCAGATACCCTCGTTCTCCTTAATTAGCGAATCCCCTATAACTACAACAATTCTATTCTGCTCCTTCCTCCTGCCCTCCCCCCACCCCTTGAACTGCTTCTTGCTCCACATCCTTCTTTCCTATACCCACAAATACATTGTACCTAAACGCAAAATACTGCAGATGCTGGAAATCTGAAACAAAAACAGAAGTCGCTGGGAACACTCAGCAGGTCAGGCAGCATCTATGGAGGAAGGAAAGTGAGTCAATATTTCGAGTCCACGAACCTTCACCAGTTCTGACGAAGGGTCATGGATCCGAAACGTTGACTCACTTTCCTTTCTCCATAGATGTTGCCTGACCTGCTGAGTGCTCCCAGCGACTTCTGTTGTTGTTTGTAGTACAATGTACCTGTTGGACAGGACCAGTTCTTGCAGTTCCTCCTTCTCTGCCTCCACTAGGCTGTCCCTGCCCTGTTAACTGTCAGTCACACACTCCTCTTCCTGTAACTCTTTATGTGGTGTGACTGTGTTCTGGAATAAACTAACCAGGCGTTCTTCTCTCTCCCTTCTGTGTATTGCGTGATCCCAAAACATAATCAATCAACTATACTAGAACTGGTAAATTCTATAAACCCCAAAGACTGAGAATTAAACTTCACTGAATTTCGCATAGATGTTATTCTCACAGCCTATCAGTTTAAATATACTAGGGGGAAAAAATAATAAAAAAAACTTACCACATTTGGAATTACCAAGTGAACTTCAGCTTTTAAAAAGGGTGCAAATTCTTCATTTGACTGGCTAAACAGTCTTCTGCCTGATGTGCTAAATCAGATAAATTATGCACATGCAAAAGAAATGCAATAATGAGGAAAGAAAACCACAAATATGTGTGTCAGCATTTACAGAATTTGGAAAACATGATATGAAATGAAAAAAAAATTAAATCAACAAAAATTGTGCAAAATGCAATATACATTTATATAGGACCTTTCACTTCGGAAGGACATCCCCAAATGCCTGACAATTGTGGCTGGGCACCAGATATGAGGGTAGGAGCTGAGGGGAGGGCAGGAGAGGATGTGAAAGATGACCCAAGGCAAGCTTAAAGTCCACTGACATTTCTGTGGAATGTTGCATTATTAAAGGTGCCATTCTTCGGTTGGGACATTAAAGACCGCAGTTTGGACAAAGCCTAAAGAAATTGCAGTGTTTCTAGTACAACATTGGTGAACTATATGCATAGTGATTAAGGAGACTATTTACTGGAGGAAGAAGCTATCGAAAATGGGAATAAAGAGGATGAAAACAAAGTCAGAGTAAAAGGTTGGAAGGGAAATTACACGTTTAAACTAATACTGATGAATAGGATTGAAAGTTAGAGAAGGGTTTCATATGAATTGTAGACTATTAGAGAATATTAGCTTCCAAGATTGAACTATAGATGAGAATAGAATGAGAAATGCCTTTATATTTTTTCAGAAACATAAAAGGGCAAACACATGAGAAATGTAATAAAAATAATAGAATATGTATTTTGAACATTATAAACATGTTTTATTTAAAATTCATTTTCTTCATTGAGGGAGGAGATAATGCGTTTCTTTTTTAATGGAAAATAGGCATCAAGAATTGAAAAGATTATTTTCAAATATATAATCATTTCTATTGAAGATTAATGGGTCTGTGGTGGTAGGACATGGCCTCTCTGTTTTCCTCTTTTATTTTCTTGTTCATCTTCTTAACCAATTGTTTGTGAATTTGATAATAGTGTGATCGGATACTTCATGTATTTTATAATTTATATTTACAATAAAAATTACAAAATTACATAATATATATTCATATTATATTATAATATATTCATATATTGATATATTATATATTGATATATTATATATTCACATGTTATATATTATATATTCATATATTATATATAGATGAACAAGAAAATAAGAGGAAAACAGAACCATATCCTGCAACTACAAACCCATCAGTCTTCAATGGAATTGATGCTCCGTGCTGCTGCGCTAGTGGAAAGCAATCAACCAACCACGGATGAAGGTGTAGAGAATGGACAGATATGTTCTGAAGATTTCACATAATTACATTCAGAAACAAAGTGTAGGGAACTTTACAGTAAGAAATCTGAATGAGGAGGCAGGGAAGAGAACCCCAAATGGAGAAACTGGGTGTAGATTCTTGGAAGAACCGGTTTAATGGATAAATACTCTCCTTTCTTACAATCTTAATCAGGTAAATAAACTCTTTGTTCTTGGATAATATATTTGGCTTTGTGACCTATAATACAAACTGAAATAATAAAAAAAGCTATCTTAAGACTTACTTAAAGATTCTTCTTTTAAGAAGATCGAATGACAGCTGAGTAGATTTCACCAAAGAATCCAGCATGTAATAACTAAAATATCCATAAAGTTCCTTAATCTCCTAAAGTCAAAAATAATAGAAAACATTTGATCTGCAGACCAGGTGCTCATTATCTATAACAATCATGTGATTTATCATTATGTTTTCTGTTACATGAAAACAAACGTGACAACAGCAATTGCTCCAGCTACAATGTCAGTAAGGCAATTAGTTTCAGCACCCTGGATTAGAGATGAAAAATAAATCAGTCAAAGTTCATAATCCTGATTGTTATCCATACTTATGCAAAGATCCATCTACTCCACAAGTGAAACAATTTGGACTTGCATTCCGCCAGAACCGGATTTACTATTTGAGCTATGAGCTTGTAGTGACTGAGCAGCACTTGACAGGCCGGCACTTGACAGACCACTGCCAAATCAGCAGCAGGAAGTGTGTACAAGGGTTCAGCCAACTTAAAATGGTCTGAAAACACAGATGACAGACATCAGAAATTACTTATACTTATGAACTGCTCCCAAAGGTGTATACCTTTGAAAGCAGTTCATAAGGAGAAACAAATGAGAAAGTATGTAAAACGTAATATCTGAAACTGTCACGCTCAGACTGAGGCAGGCAGGCAGGCATTGAAGATGTTGAACACCTTGATGCAAAGACTTAGCCAAAACATTGTGAAGTCCTCCTTAACCTCTGCTAACTGATGCCTTAAGTGGAAATGAAGGCCACTTTTTTTTTTAAAATTCTACCAGAATTTCTTGGAAATGTGCATAGCATATCCCAAAAGGTAAGGTACCAGTACCACATCATCATTGAAAGACAGCAAAGAAATGTATCTTTCTCATCAGATGTGGCCAGGTATGAAATATTGATTTCAATAATTAGATATCAGATGGAAGAGGATTAAGAGAGTTGCGTGCACAAATTTACGACTTCAATGGTTTCTACTCTAAATCACACATCAGTATCTTACTATTAGGTGGGCAGTAAAACTACCAACAGGTAGATTGTAATTTTGAATGCATATCTAAACAGCAAATAGTACAATAGCTTTTTTTCCCCTATGCTAGCTGGTCCATATTTGGAGGTAGTAATACCTTTTCAAACTCCTCATCCTTCTTTGATTGCTGAATGTCCTCTTTGTTAGGAGCTGGGGTGGCAAGCTTCATAGAACTTCCTTCAGAATCTCCTGTAAATGCTACCCGCCTACGTTCTACAACAAAAAAGTAAAAAATTGGTTGGATAATAATACAAATGTACTACATCATACTAATCTCTAAAAATATAACTATTCTGCAACCTTATACATTTTCACTCAGCATTTAAGTACTATAATAAATCAAATTCTTACATTTACAAATATTTAACTGGATTTGCTCACTTACAGTTTAAGAATGACAGGAATGCATTTTAATTTTTAAATCAATAATTATCTGAAAATTTGAACGCAATTATATTCAATCTTTCAGAATACAGTCGAATGCTAGTTATCCACACTCCAATTGTCCACATTTCCATTTATCCACATTGGGCTCCAATGTAGAAGTTGGATGTGGTTCTGGGGAAACGGTAGGAAAAAAAATCAAGTCACTCATTGTACAAGGTTGGCACACAAGTGCAAGGCTGCACACATAAGTGCACGTTGCTAATTAATATGATTCAATCCCTGATGTGCATGCCCACAACTTTGCAGATCTACACAGTGGAATGTTTTTGCTGTAGATGTGAATTTTTATATTCACAGTACAGTTCTACTCTCAAACTCACTTATATCAACATCCCACATAAGTCGACAAAAATTTGAAGCCCCAGGACCTTTCCCGTATAGGAACACGTTAAACGTATGGTGTATGCGCCTGGCTCTCCGAAGCGCACTCGTACATCAGTGATCAGAATGAAGCGCTAACACGCTCCACTTGAGCTTTGGGAGGTGCAGCACGTGCGTAGTCCCTCTAGAGTCACAGAGCATGACACTCAGGGTGAAACCAGCTACAACTCCCAGGGCGCACCTTGACTGCCAGTGACTGACAGCACTTGATTTGTTTGCTTATGTTGAAACCCACTTATGTTGACAGAATCTGCTCGGTCCCTGTGATGTTGACATAAATGAGTAGGATTCTACTCTATACAGTGTTGAGATACAGAAAGACAGACGGATATATGTATATATTCACATATAAAGAAAAAAGTTAAGAGAAAGACAAGAGCTGGCACAGTAGGGTACTACAGCGACAATACATAGAATGCCTGATAGAACAATTGTAGCCAACTTGTATTTTGTGCAATGTTGAATAGTGATAGTGACTGCTCGTCAGCAATGGGGTCTAACTCAAATTAATATAGGATAATCGTCTCTCTACTTTAATTAATGATTTCAACTTTTTGTTATGAATCAACGTGTCACTTAATTTCAAGACTGTAATCAAAACAGATTTCCAACATCATATTGGAATTTTGAAACTTCTACATCCAAAGAATAAAAATATTGAATACACAAATTTTGGTTTTCCAGTGGTATTACACTGTGGAAAAAAAAACAGTACTTTATTTAGAAACTTCTTCCTCCCCCCATATTATTTGAACTTAATTAATTATCCTTGAGAGTTAAACAGTTTGCATAAGATTATAATTAAGCTACAACTAATAGAATGATAGTCTTCAATAGAATGATCATCAGGTCTGTTAAAATGCTTTATTTTTACTTGTTAGTCTTATGCATAGCTTATTCCCTTACCAATGGCCTCACCATCAGCTCCTTTGTCTCTTTTATATGTGGTTGCTTCAGAGATTTCTGCAAATATATCTGCCAGTTTGTCCACAATTGTTTCAACATATCTGGTTTTTGGAGCTAAAATGTCTGCCCATTCCTTGCAGCAGGTCTGTAAAACATATAGCATAATGAAAACTCACCTTAAGATCATCCCACCAATGTGGTCAACACTCTAATGTGGTCAGTTTTTGTAGTCTTTTCAATTTCAATATGTATTAAGATAGTATTACAAATCACCTTACACCCTGCACGTAAGGGCATTGATCAGCAAACAAAACTTTCACTGTGACTTGGTAAACAGGCTGGAGCATTAAAGAGATTTACGTTAATAGTAAATCCCACTGGATGAAGTACTGAAGGACCAGCAAAATCATACATTAACACAAGGTGCCTTCTTAAAGAGCATATAAAAAAAACAAGATGTTCTTCTACATGAAAGGCAGTATATAAAATGTATCACTGTGGGCAGTTTCTTTAAGTTCCAATTCAGGTTGATGGCAATTATACTACACGTACGGCTTCTTCAATTCATGACTCATGAGTCGGGCCAATAGAAAAGTATGGAAACATTTGTCAAAAATTGCAGGCTATTTGACAAATTTTGCAGGAAAATGCAGCGGGTTGACTGGTGCTATTGAGAAACACATTTTGTGAAACAAGCTGGATTAAAACTATAGGCATATATTTCCTGAACATGTAATTATGTTTAGAATACTAAAAATGTTAATTTGAGTAGTACAGCACTCACCAAGAATTTGGCGCAGGAGCTCAATTTAGCCTGTTCCCACTCATGCCGCTTCCATCATCCCACCACTCCTCACACCCCGCATGCGCGACATGAGCCACTCCGCCCATAGTAGCAGCGTTGAGCAAACAGTATGCAAAGGCCCGAGCCTAGCACACTGTGTGTACAGATTTGTAGCGCGTTGTGGCAGTGAGCATTTATAGTGGGTTCCACGGAAATAGTGTGGCTGTACTTTTCTACTGGCCCAGGTTATGAGTGAGTTCAACTTGTGAAAGTGATCAAAATGGCTCAGTCTATTTGCTGATCCTGTTTGCTGAGTGAGTTTGTACTCTATTAACAATGATACTGGAACAAGCATTCTGAATGTCCTGGATATGTTTCGAACAACCTCATTCTGTGCTGAATAAGTTTAGGATTCTATGATGAATCAACATCATACCAGAATGGAGAACCACTTATCCATTTTTGGATCTTTTTAAAATATATACACCACAATTCTTGCCAGAAGAAACCTAATGATAAAATAAATTATAAAAATCTTAAATTGTACTCATGTAACACAATTTTAAAATGTAAATTCTGGACAATTTGTATTAACATTGTAACTGAAAGAAAGATAATTTTCCCTCAATCTTTCCTATGTCAGAGATAATTCTATACCAAGTTCACTTAAGAAACTTTAACAATGTATCAATCTATGTAATTTATCACATGACATGAAGTATATGCTATAAACAGAATGCATGCTAGCCTGCAGGAACTCTATTTTAACTTAGTCTACTTCTGGAGCAGATTTCCTGGGTCAAGATAGAGATGCAAATATAATAAAGGTGTGAAAGGTAATGAAAGGTTTGAGAGAATAAGTGATAAAGAACTCTCAGATGAATGTAAAATTATAACAACCAGTGTAAAACAGGAAATTAGGAAGATTGTTTACTTTCAGATTGTTTCTTATGATAATAATAATCTTTGCATTGATATAGCACCTTCTCACATCGTCAAGACATCCCAAAGCACTTAACAGGATTTACTGGAAAGTGTGCATTTTGTGGACAAAATGTTTTCATATTCATATTGTATTTATCAGAATATAAATACATCTGTCAGAATATGAAATGATTTGCTTTGGCGGTTGTTAGTGAAATAGGGTGTAAATTAGATCAATAAAAAGAAGAAGGTTATTAGCAACATTACAGGGAAAGAGCAAGGAACTGACATTGTTTTAGATGCCTTCATTGCCTTTATTGGAGGAAAAAGCACAGGTATTAATACTTGCTCAAATCTGTCACTAATTTATATAGTTCTATAGGTCAATATGAATCACACTGTTAAAAATACTTTAAATTAGATTTTCATAAACAAATTCAGATATCTATTGAGTACTCATAAGACAGACTTTGGACATTCCCATCTACCTGTAATTTCTTCTGAAGGTAGACAAAGGTTAATAACCATAACCATTTATCCGGCATAAAAAAGCTCAAAAACTTTACAAAATATAAACAATTAGAAATGTAATGGATATTTTTATAGACAAATGCAACAATTAATCTGCACCAGACACCTGTAAAAAAAACACTGATGTCAATTAATTTGGATTTGTTACCTCATTGAAGTTTATAATGTAGTCTACAGTCCAAGAACCATCCTCTGGCAACTGGATTATGATCTTTTTGGCTATTTCTTGCAATACTTTATCTATATGCATATCATGCAGATCAGATATCTGAAAACATCAGTAGACAATTATGTCATTATTTAATCTATCTTTTGCACTCAAGTTAATCATTAGACAAAATGAATTGTAAAGCAATTTGCATTAGTAAATTTAGCAAATATATTATAAATGTACATGGGATGCACCTGTTAAATCTTCTTAGGGATCAGAACACTGCCAGTTAGCAGTTAGGTGTAGTGATAATCATGAAGGCTGGGAATTCGGAGGGATGAGTTCAAACAGGGCGAAGGGCTGATTCAAAGAACCCATTCTTCATCCCAACCAATCTTTATCCTGTGCTGTGGGGTCTCTGATCCTTAAGTGATATAAGAATCTCAATGCAGGCTAAACTTGTGGGGAATAAGACATGTCCAAATTATTCTCCTTCATGCTGTTGAACTCCTGGGCAAGCAGGAGTTTCCTCCAACCCATTTATTGGGTTCAGGGACAAGCAGTGAGGTGAGGCAGATATCAACAAAAACAACTTGCATTTACATAGTGCCCTTTAGTGGAGGTATGTAGGATCTTCTTGGGACTGAGATGGCTCCAAGGTAACATGCTTAACAACAATCCTCTCGATTCCAACATTCCATTGTATTGACAGTCCTGGTTCTGAGCCACAGTACTCCAAGACATTACTGATAGATTAGACAGCCTGGCTCATCGACAAGATAAATGGAGGGGCAGACTAGTCACTGGCAGGGAATTCTTCCCATTTGGATACCATTAACTCTGCAAGCCAAAGCCCTCACAGGTAGGGTGGTCCTAGCAGCAGGATAGAATCCACAATGGCAAGCTTTGCAATTTAGATGTTAAACTCCAGCCGTACCACAATGCATGCTATGGTCTTGACCCTTACCAACTACTCAAATCTTATTTCAAGTTCCCTATTTATTGCATGGAATTTCAGTCCCGGAAGGAGTAGACCATTCAGTCCATTCTAATAGATCATGGAGATTGTTTAATCCAATCACCACCTTTTTAATATCCCTCAATACCCTTATTTCCCAAGTATTTGTCCAATATCACTTTGAAACATGTTGAATGTTTTGGTTCCCACATGTTGAATTTTCACTTTAACTATTTAAATAGACTTACTGTCGTTAATACGATAGTCAGGTCATTCAAAGATATGTCCACCTCTTTGAAGTAGCCTTCTATTCCTAAAGATGACCAATTCAGCAAAGTCAGACCTTGCTTCATAACTGTCTCAACCTAAAACAAGCAACAAATCATGAATGTGAGATTGTGAACATTTCTATCCTGCTCCCAAAATGTTTTTTTTAAATTTATTTTTATATCAAGAATGGACAGGATTTTGACCCCAAATCCTGGTAGCTTCCTATGGAAAAAATATCAAGTACTGAGCTGATCATGTTGCACAATATGTTGAGAAGAAACTATTTTCCAAAAATCCAAAGAGTTAACAGTAACATTTGAAATTAATTAAATCAAATAAACCAGACAAGCCAAACTGGAACAAGAACAAAAAATATACATTTCAGTTTGTCAATACATATTTCTATTTAGCTCCCCGCTTTTGGTTCAACATGCGCCTAAACTTTTCTGGAATTAGATAATCAGGATACGTCCATCCAGGGACAGAGTGCGCATTCCATTTCAATACACAGGAATTCTCATGTGTACGTGGGATGCTTGGAACTCTATTTCCAAGCATCCCGGATACACAGTTTGGATACTGAAGCATGGTTATGGTTTCCCCATGTGTCAGACACCTGGCTGACTCAAAAAAAAACTGCACAATACTAAGAATCATTCTTCGAATAATATTATTTGGTACTCACCTTTTTAACTTTAGGTGATAGCAGATCCAGAAACTCAGAAGGAATTTTTTGACAAGTAGACTCAAATTTCTGAAGAGCAGTCTGATCATAGGAATAGAATAGGAAATAAATGAAAATAAGTCTATTTCTCTTAACTATTTGGAATTTGAACATTACTCATTGTTGGCCAGGATACCAAGAGAACTTCCCCAAAGAGTGCTCTGGAATCTTTAAGGTCCACCTGAATAGGAAAACTGGAGCATGGTTTAATATCTCATTTAAAGGAGACCATCATACAAATATAATTTACCTCCAAACAATGACGGGTAGATTTCAACGCATGCTCAACCCTCAGCAAGCGTTTGGCCACTTCCGGCACCTCTAGATCCATTTTCAGAATGCATTTTGCCTCTCGAATAGCTTCAATAATTTTATGGTCAAAGTTCACATGCAATTTCTCAGTGTCTGGATCACGTATCAAGAGAGTTGATTGCAGTACTGTATAAAAATCACATTTAGAAAGCCCATGTTCATTATCCCCAATTGAAAAACTACAATATATTGATATTTTACTTATAAGAAATGTAATACATTGAAAGAAGTGCATTATTAAAAAATATACTTTTGGAAAACAATTCTACCTTAATACACTATATTTGAAAACCACAAAGGTTAAACACTTCAAGCAAACTCGAGAGACACAAAAGAAAACCGACTTCAATAGAATCACAAGGTATCCTCCACACACAGCTGGAGTGAAGGCCACTTGGGGGGAAAAAAGAGGCAAGCTACCTTTGAGATATTTTAATAACCTGACATTGCAAGGACTCCAAACATTCTGCTACTGCACTGTGTATAAAGCCTCTTCATTTTATTGTAAATCCAGAAGTAATAATATTAAGAAAGAAACAGCTTTTTATGGGGGGAGGGTTTAGCTGCTGATATTCACTTACCAGATTACACATTACTAATATCAATACAAAGTAAATTTGTGAGGGACATTGAAAGTTGTCCCTCACAAATTAAAAGGTATCCTAAAATTTTCAGACAAAGCAAGGTGTGCGTTCAACTTTGTGTTCTTGATTCTGCTTCAAATTGCGTCTTTGGGAGTTTCTAATGAAAGCAGCTGTAACGCGCAACATGATGCTATGGTCTGATAAAAAGTGTTCCAATGTGCAAGGGACGCGTTTTAAATTCCAAATCTTGCCACACCATATACAAAACTCTCCATTCTTTAACTTTTTTTATATGGAAGTTTTGTGGACTTCACAACATCAGTTGCTGCCTCTATGTCTAGCTAGCCACTGTCAAGGGCATTGTTTGTCTGGGTTTTCAATCTTCTATAATAGAAGATCTGCTAAGCCTAGCATGAGAAAAAATGAGCATCTGGTGTAGAAATGATGTTATTTCCATATACATTGGCCTTCGAAATCACCAAAACAGTACATCTATTTTATCTTTTCCAGATAGAACCCCTGAACTATTTGGTAGTCAAAAGAAGGCCCACTTCAACCTGTGCGCTCATATAAAAGGTCATTAAAATACACAATGCAAACAGATGCTTTTTACCACATAATTTTCAAAGTATTTTTGCTCCCTGCATAAACTTAGTAAGGTGCCAATTGGTGATGTTTACTCTGATTATGGGCTTTTTATTTATGGTTAAATACCAAGGGAATTTGGCATGTAAATTTATACTTCTTATTCATATTGTCTTCTTGTGCACCAAAAATTAAATAGTATGTTCTTCCAGAGAAGGCAGAATACTGACCCAATGCTTTATTATCTAGGAGTTGTGCTGCCTCCAAGTGGGAGATAATTAACAATAGTTTTGAAACACCATAAACCATACTTGAAAACCTTCCAATTTGATGTAGTTAGAATGAACTATGTATATATTACTATACTTACAACACACAAATAGTTATTACACACTAATAGTTACTACATACTATACTTACTATATCGCATGCCTGAAATCTCCTTTATCCAGGCTTTGTAATACAGTACTTCAAACTTTACCAGGACATAGGCAATCTTGTTGTATAGGTTCACAATAACCTTGCCTTGAGGGCTTTTTAAGATTTCAGAGTTTTTCTGAAATAAAAAGCAACATTTTCTAATATTCTGATAAATTGCTTCAACTGATTTTCTTTGGCAGCAAAAATAAAACAATATCTATTTAAAATGCTACAAATATTTTTTAAAAAAAGAATGCGTTGTGCACAACCGTAATGCATGATAAATACTTTTCTCTTTAGGATATATTGGGTCAAACCCACTGGACATGTGGAGGAATTTGTCATATACCATCCCTAAATACGACGACAACAAATTGCTTTTATATAGCAGATATGAAGTGGAGATGTAGAGAAGCAGTCGGCAGATATTAAGTTGGAACAGGTAAGAATGAAACCAGGAAAGGACAGAGCCATGAAGGTGAAACTAAAAGCAAAGACGGTAGAGAAGGATAGAATGGTCGAGAATGTCAAAAGCAGCTGAGAGGTCAGGAAGGACAAGAAGGCAGAGAGAGCCCTGGTTATGGATGGTGAGAATGTCGTTGGTGATCTTGGCCACGGCATTCTTGATACTGTGGGCAGTGCAGAAGTTGGATTGGAGGCATTCATGCAGGAAAAGTAAAAAGCGAAGCTGGGTAGCAACGACTCATTCCAATTGGAGAGGAAAGGCAGGTTGGAGATGGGATGGTAGTCAGAGAACAGGGATAGGTCGAGGGAAGATTTTTTGAGAAGGGTGATAACAACTGTTTTGAAGAGGGTGGACTGTGCCAGTGGACAAAGGTAGATTGATGATATCTGTTAGCAGAAAGGCAAGGAGGTGGAACTGGGAGATCGAGGGGGAAATGGAGTCAAAGGAGCATGTGGTGGGCTGCATTCAGGAATTGATGGAGGACAGGGAGGAGGGAGAGATGGGTTTGAAGATCTGGAGGGAGGGATACCTGGAGGTAGGAGGGGCTGTGAAGAAGGACCTGAGGAATTCCATCATCTACTTCCATTTGGAGTTGAAGGAGAGGACAGGTAGGGAATGGGAAGGTGTTGACGTAGCTGAATTGTGGGGAAGAGGAGCTTTGGGTTGTCCTTGGCTTCCAGGATGATCGTGAAGTAGAAAGATGATTTGGATGAGGCTAGGGCAGAGGGCTGGGTTTTCACATAATATAAATGATATAACCTCCATTTTAAATAAATTTCACCTTGTTTGGTGCTGTAATATCATTTTTGTATCACTGAGCTACAAGAGTCCTGTAATTCAGTGGTTAGAGCACTAGCCTCGCAAGCGAGAGCCCTGGGTTTTGCCTGGCAGGGCAAAACGTTGGGCAAGTTTCCTTACTCCACGTGCCTCTGTTTACCGAGCAGTTAATAGGAATCCAGTTGTTAGTCGATTAGTGGATCGCTTTTCCTGGGTTAATAATACCTAAAAAAAAATTAATAATTTGGTCACTCAATCCACGACTGTTTGTGGGACACTGCTATGCGCCATTGGCTGCCGTGTTTCACCCACAAATATACAGTCAATTCACTTTGCAGTATATTCTGTGAAGTGCTTTGAGACATCTAGAAGGCATGATAAAGCACTATATCAAATGGAAGGATTACTATTATTATAATCCATTCATTAGTAATACCATTATAGGGTGTACATTCTCCACATGCAGGAAATGAAGCAACACGCTCTTGACCTCATGCAGTGGCTGACTCAAGGGCAATATTGAAAGGTCACCTCTCCACTTGCTTAGCAGGAGAATGTAGTACTGTGAGCAGTCACATAAAGGGAGAAAAGGGGAGAATATTTATTTCTTTAATTTGCCCTTTCAAAGTGGCAAACTAATGAAATAACTATTTGGTTTTAAATTTAACTACTGCTATATATTCACTTTCTTATAAATGACTTACATGGAAATAGTCGATGGGTTCATGTATACGTCTAAACAGCTGCCTCACCCACAGTATCTTTCCAGCTATAGGAGGCATGTCTCTGGCAAGTGGTGGATCCTCTTTATAGGCTTGATAAAGCTGCAGGTTCAGGGTACGTTAGAAAATACGTTAGTTAACTAAAAATTTGGATGACTTGACAATTTTTTTTAAAAATGGGTTTTGCCAATTTTGCCCATTAATTATCTTCTCTTCTCTTATGAAAGCCTTTAGAAACTTTTTCTTTCCTCCTCCACTTTTTAACTTTACGCAGGTGTACAGTTTCTTCAATTACCTGTTGTAAACTATTTCACCATTATAGTTGTAGACAGATAATCCAAGGCAAATTTTCCAAGTCAAAGCATAAAGCAGCAATTGTGTCCATTCGTGATTTTAAATGGTTCTAATCACTTAACACAATGCAATTCTTTGTGACTTTTTAACCATAACAGTAAAACTCGCATAAGTCTCATTTTTATAAATCATATGATCACCTAAGTCGTACATGCACCCAAGTCCAATTCAGTTTCCTGTTAAAACCACTTAAGATTTCTTTGCACCAGACTTATTAATCATCTCCTAACGCTGTTCCCTTATCCTCCATTACTCCCGCACATACTGGCTGCATTGAATCGCAGGAATTGATGTCCTGACCTGTTGATGCTTGTGTACTTGCCCGCCAACTGCAATGAATATCGTGGGAAACGTGGTCTTGATCCATCGACGTATGTGCAGAAGATCTTCATTTCCCATGATTAAATGCGATGCCACTGCTTACCGGTAAGCAGGCATGTGGCCATGGGTCAAGACACATTGAATCATAGCAAACATAGTCTTGACCAGTCACCACATGCACACTTACTGGCTGCAATGATGAACTACCTGCCTCACGTGCACTGACTGACTGGCTGCATTGAATTACGAATCCGCAGTCTAGATTATTGATTAAATCAGATTTTTATACGATTTATAGTCTATTCTGCAACTTGGAGTTTTGCGCAAGTTCTATTAAACGTTATGGTCCCGACTGATATGATTTATGTGAGTTTTAACCACTTCGACTGTACTTATGGCCACTTCTCAACCTTCCCCCTCCAAGCGCCCCACACCCGACTCGGAATCAGGCTCAGCCACTTTTAAGCGTTCTGAGACGCTACCCTGCGTAGAGGGCGCTATATAAGTGCAAATTATTGTTTACTGTAGTATTGAATTCAGCATTGAAATTTGAAATTCTCGCTCAATTCCAGTCCAAACATTAATCTCAGTTAAGCAGAATCTTTCTTACCTTTTTAGTGGCTACTAACTCCTTCACATAGTTCTGAAGAATCTTTTCAATTGTAGATTCAATTTCTGACTGAAGGGATGAAATATTCAAATGCTGGAATCTATATAAGAAATGTAAAACATACAAATTATAATTTAGCATCCAAGGCTTCATTCATGCATGAATGATAGGGCACAGAAGAAACTGTCAACCATAACCATAGTTGGTCACAAACCACATATTATGCGTTCGCCAGCAAAGAACATGCCATTCCTGTTTCTCGACTTTCCTTTGGGTGCTTCTTATACTGCTCCCAAAGCACATACACAGGCTTTCCCTATGTAGGTGAGCATGAATTATTCCACTGGGATAGTGCTATCTCACCAATGTGTCCAGGTCCCAGCCAATTCCATTACGTTCTTGGCCATTCAGCAACAGGATGCTACCCCAGAACTCCCTGTTCATGAACCAGTTTCTCGCGACCTCGGAGAGAGTGTCTTCCAAACAACAACAAGATTACATTTGTATAGTGCCTTTCACGTCGGGAGGACGTCCCAAGGCGTTGGACAGAGTACAGCATTTCAGACCCGAGCTGGGGTCAGGGGGTGAGAAGGGAGGGGAGGGGAAGGGGGGGTGGCCAATGGTATGGTCAAAGAGGAGGGTCTTGAGGCAGGACTTGAAGGAGGCTATGAAGCGGGCGAGGCAGAGTGACTAGGGATGGAATTCCAGAGGTTGGGGGCAGAGTGGCTGAAGGCTCTTGCACCAATGGTGGGGCAGGTGGGTCGGGGGACGTGGAGCAGGCCAGAGCCGGTTGAGCGGAGGGAACGGGTGGGTTGGTAGGGGGTTAGGAGGTCGCAGAGGTAGGATGGGACGAGGCCATGGAGGGCTTTGTAGGTGAGGACCAGGATCTTGAATTGGATCCTCTGAAGGATAGGGAGCCAATGGAGTCGAGCGAGAGTGGGGGAGATGGGGTCGGGGAGATGGTGTCATGGAGTTTGGTGCGGGAGAGGACACGGGCTGCAGAGTTCTGGATTATTTGCAGCCTGTGGAGGGAGGAGTTGGGAAGGCCGACAAGCAGGGTGTTTGCAGTCGAGCCTGGAGGTGATGAAGGCATGAACAAGAGTTTCAGCGGCCTGAGGGGTGAGGTAGTGGCAGGGTCGGTCGATGTTATGGAGGTGAGGGAAGGCAGAGTGGGTCATGGCTTGAATGTGGGGGAGAAAAGACAGTTGAGGGTCAAACAAGAAACCTAGGTTCCTGACTGGGTTGGTGAGTTGAAGTGCGCAACCATGGAGGTTGATGCTGAGCCTGAGGTGCTGAGGCGCTGGTGCGAGCCAATCAGAAGGGCCTCAGTCATGTTCACATTCAACTATAGGAAATTTGCCTTCATCCAGGACTTGATGTCCAACAGGCAGTCTGTCAGGACAGCAGTGGTCCTGGAGTTGAGGGTGGAGGCAGAAAGATAGAGTTGAGTGTCATCCGCATACATGTGGAAGTTGACCAAGAGGGAGCATGTAGATATTAAAAAGGAGAGGGCCAAGGACAGAGCCCTGGGGGATGCCAGATGTGACAGTGCGGGGGCTGGAGGAGAATCCATTAGAAGCAACAAAGTGGAGACGGTGAGAGAGATAGAAATCGAACCAGGCAAGGGCAGGTCCGTGAAGATTGATTAAGCGGAGAGACCGTTTATGAGGATGGAGTGTCGAAGGCAGCAGAGAGGTCGAGGAGAACAAGGAGGCAGAGGGAGCCCTGATCACAGATGTTCAGAATGTCATTAGTGACTTTGACCGGGGCTGTTTCAGTGCTGTGGGCAGTGCAGAAGCCGGATTGGAGGGGTTCAAAGAGGGAATGGTGAGAAAGAAAGGGGCGGAGCTGGGATGCGATGACTTGTTCCAGGACCTTGGAGAAGAATGGAAGTTTAGAGATGGGGCGGTAGCTGGAGAGGAGGGATGGATCCAGGGAAGGTTTTTTCAAGATGGGGGTGATGACAGCTGCTTTTAGGGAGGTGGGAACTGAACCGGTGGACAAGGAGAGGTTGATGAATCGGACAGGAGAGGTGCCAGAAAGTGGAGCTGGGAGATGAGAGAGGTGGGGATGGGTTCAAGGGAGCAGGTGGTAAGTTTGAGTTTGCGGACAGTAGCGGTGAGGGAGGAGGTAGAGATAGGGTTGAAAGAGTATAGGGGGTGATGGGTGGTGGGTGGGTCATGAGGGAGAGGTGATGTGAGGGTGGCTGTGGACGGGGCTGAGGTGGCTGAATGTATCCTCTCGATTTTAGATTTGAGGAAGTCCAGCATCTCCTCACAGTTGGAGTTTGAGGAGAGGATGGGCAAGGTATGGGAAGGTGGATGGAGGAGACGGTTTGTGGTGGAAAAGAGAAGCCTGATACACTGATATACATTAATCTAAGGTCAAGAATTTCTTTTTGCACCCTTTATTATTCACTTGAATTTTTTTTGGTCAGCTGGATAAAAAAGTGAAATTTTAGCATGTCATTTTGAAAGTCAGCAAAGGAGTAACTCCTTTGACCTGCAGGTGGTGCTTGGTGACCCAATTGACCCAAGAATAACTTTTCTCTATATTTTGATACTGCTGACTTTCCAAACGGCATGTTAAAATTTTAACTGCATGTACAGAAAAGATCTTTTTGACATTCAAGGATTAATAAATTATAATTAATAATTATACCAATAGGCAATGTTACTTCTTCAGACACAATCTTCTCCAGTTACAAATATATCCACGAGAACAGATTAGACAGTTACATATACTGTATATCCACCAGGACATCAATATCTATCTTAATGATAATAATCCTTGCATTTGATATAGCGCTTTTCACGTCTTCTAAACGTCCCAAAGCGCTTCACAGAACATACTGTAAAGTGAATTGACTGTATATTTGTGGACGAACGCGGCAGCCAATTGCGCACAGCAATGTCCCACAAACAGTCATGGATTGAAAATTACTAATTTATCATTGTTTTGTTTTTTTGGAAGGATTATTAGGCGTGTGGAGTAAGGAAACTTGCCCAAGGTTTCGCCCTGCCTGGAATTGAACTCGGGTCTCTTGCTTGCAAAGCGAGTGCTCTAACCACTGAGCTACAGGACTCCACAATCTTCTTTTGTCACCTGCACGAGGGTGAAGATGTTTAATGTTTGGCTTAATATTATTTAGTGAATCCTGTCTTTGAGAGACACAACACTCAGCCCTGCTATAAAAAAAGTTTACATACACAAGCACAAATATCTTCTCTAATATTGTACAAGGCCTTGACATCTATGTGGCAATGGAAAATTTAGCCCCAGCACGTAACCTGAAAAGAGCTAACCGTTTCTGGAGCTTAATAGTCTCTCAATTTATACCTACCTCTTCAATAGTTGCAAAGCATGTTGTGAAGAAATAATTTTAACAAAACGATTATTCATGAAGTCATCAAGCATGTTCTAAAATATTCAAATGAAAGAGAATTATTTTAGTTATATTCACTATGCTGTATCAAATCATGGATTATTATTATTATGTTTATTTTTACACAGTTATGACATTTACAGGCTTCAGGCAATTATCTATTGCTTTACCCAGACTGGCAATGAAAACCGGGAAAGGTTACTAGGAAGGGTGATTGAGGCCAGGAGACTGGACTCAATTAAAAAAAAAACTTGATGCTCCAATGGTTGGATGGTAGTGTGGGTATTCTGGAAGGATGAGATCAAATGGGCTGAAGGGCTTTCTCTATCCAAATCTCTTTTGTGATTCCTATTCAATTGAAAACTCTATTATCTTTCAATCTATGTTTTTCTTAATCACACTCTTCTCTAGAAATTAGTAAGTCATGATAGATGTATTTACACGAGTTGTGAACCTCCAGTACAATGCCTCATGTATTCAACCTTGAAAAACCATCACAGCAGAGCCTAAAATTGTTCTCACACAAATGTATTCACATCAGGGATTGTTGGACACTGAATAGGTGCAGGAGGCAATCAAAAGCCATTTAGCAGAAAAAAAGGGAAGATTAAATTCAACCGAATTAGCTTCCACCCAAAAAATGGAAAATTTTCTCACTGATTTGCTTTTACCTCTAAGTCATAGACTTGTTTTGTAAATTCAGCGTAATCTGTATTGAATTCTTTCTTCCGTGGATCAAGCATGTCATAATTCTTCTTTTTTAGATTTGTATAGATATTCTGAAACCTGAATGCCAGCATCTCTATTCCTTCAATTGTGGAATTCTTCAATGCAGAAAATGTATTCACTATTTTAACCATTTCTGAAATCTAAAAATCAAATTAAACAATGAGAACTTTAGATATACTTTACTAAAATGTTTAAGTTGCTTATTTTATTAAATAATTGACAACTTTCCTCTTAAATCAGGTTGAAGCTCTTTGGTAAAAGTACAGAATTGCAAAATCTAAATATACTGCTCAGTGAAGATTTGAAAGAATTGTTATTTTCCACATACGAACAGAAAACAACAACAACTTGCATTTATATAGCCCCTCATGCAGGGTAGCACCCAGAGCACTTGAAAAGATAGTTTCTCCCAATATCCTGGCCAACAATCCAGATAAAATTGATTATTCACTTCATGGCTGGTTGTGGGACTTTATTGAATGCAAAATAGTTGATGCATCCCTGCATTTTACAGAAACCTTATGAAATGCTTTGATATGTTCAACATTATAGTCACTATATCAAATGGAACTGTTTTTATTTCTTTGTTTCCCCTCAATCACTTGAGCCTTAGAAGCAGACTGTACAGCACCAAAACACGCCTTTCAGCCCATCTAGTCCGTGCTTATCCTCCACAAGAGCCTCCACTCATCCTAATCTCTTTTGCTGATCTCCTTCGCATACCCCTTTATCCCTTCTCTCACATGTATGAATCAAGTTTCCTGCATCAATGATTTCTGCTTCAACCACTGTCTCTGGTTGTGAGTTTTATATTCTCACAACCCTCTGAATAAAGTTCCTCCTAAACTCTCTTCTAGATCTCCTAATGGCTATTTTAGATTTCACCTACAAATACAGTCACTAAATTTTACAGTAATTTCCATGAAGTGCTTTGAGACGTCCTCCCAATATAAAAGGCAAATACAAATATTATTCTTAGCATTATTATTTAAGATCATTTGTTAAGGACTCTAAAATAAGTATTTGTGTCTACCTTATTGAACCAACTGGGCATAAAACCCAAGACTCTATTTGCAAAAAAACAGTGCTGCTTGTCACTTTAAGTTGAGAAACACATAAATATGATTAAAAAAATTTAAGACATTTGTCAATAGCAACATTGCCTACAAAATAAATTTTACAGTATACACAAGTTTTTGTTATTCCCAGAACATCAGTCCTTTTTAAATGTATTACTAATTTAGGTTCCATTTGCCTTTGGATTCATGTGAATATGATATAATAATAATCCTTGCATTTGACATAGCGCTTTTCACGTCTTCAAGATGTCTCAAAGAGCTTCACAGAATATACTGTGAAGTGAATTGACTGTATATTTGTAGGCGAAAGACGGCAGCCATATAAAGGCACTGGTTTGCTGTTGTTAGTTCAAAGAAATAAGGAGTCCTTCTCTTGGTTATCCTGGTTTATATTCCCTTCTCTAAACAAACTGATAAATATTTTGCCAAACTCTTCAAAACATTTACTTATGCACTGGCAGCTCCATAAATGTAAGCTATTATTATTTGTAGTCAAATCAATACACTATTTTACAGTGTTAAAGACTTCTTTATAAAAGGACTTTTATTATATCAATTCATGATGTCAAAGTTTCACTGTACATTACAATTTTAAAGCAAGAGATTAATTTTCCAAAAAATGAAATCAGTTATACCCCAATTATTCAAAACTTTACAAAAATTTGCATTTATACAGCACCCTTCACATAGGATAATGTCTTGGAGTATTTTACAATGACGGTGTCGGGACATTACGTGAGGCAAGAGTGGGAAGGGGGAGGTGACCACAGGCGAGGGATAGGTGGGATTAAAACCCTCTTGCACAAAACTATACTTTATTTCTAATAGTACATTTAGTGGATAAAAATAACACTTCTTTCTTTACATATTTACATATTGTGTATAAAATTTAGGATAAAACCACATATCTAATTCAAAAACAGAAGTAGCTGGGAAGACTCAGCAGGCCAGGCAGCATCTATGGAGAAAGGAAAGTGAGTCAACGTTTCGCGTCCACGACCCTTCGTCAGAACTGGAGCATGTTGGGAGGAAGAGGCTTTTAAGGACTAACAGAGAGGTAGGAGGCAGGGCAAGGAAGACAAAGGAGAAAATAGGGTAGAGGGCAGGGGATGATGGGTTAAAGAGGTGTTAATGTATAACAAAGGGCAGAATTGCAACAAAACGGAGACCAGAGAGAGAAAAGGAGTGTCTGGGACCCAGATGATGTAATAGTTACAGAAGAGGGAGGGGGGAGGTGAGCTGTTATGGTCTGAAATTATTGAAATCAATATTGAGGCCAGAGGGCTGTACGGTCCCTAGCAGATAGATCACTGCCACATATCTAATTCTCCATATTAATTCTAAGATTGATCAATACTTTACCGTGAACTTTTTCAGGTACTAGTTTTTGGGCATTACTTAATTGTCAACTTTTGTTCACATGCATTTTTTTACATTAATTCAACTGAGCAGATTAGGTTGGCTGGATTTGTTAATGTACGGTGCAAGTATAAATGCATTAGTCACATAAATATTAAAAGCATTGAACTTTATCCTACACTTACCTTTCCCAGTCTCTTGCAGAAAACTTCAAGTTTACCAAAAATGTACATTTCTGATACATCAAATGGATGATCTCTCACTGTCTCAACTGACAGTTTCTTTGTGTTCTGGAAATATTTGCGATACTCCCCCAACAAATTTATACATTCCTGAAATAAAAGATAACAGAACAATCAAAATACTATATCTTTTTATTAATCCATGAAATTAATACATCCAACTTTACTTAATTTGTAAAGCTTTTTTGTACTGAAGCATTTCTCACATGCCACTGTGAGTAAATGTAAGTCACAACCAAAACAGTTAAAACTGACGTAAGGAAGCTTTTCTTTACAAAGAAGATTGTGAAGTTGTGGAATGTTCTACCCCAGACAGATGTAGAGGCAGAATTAATAAAGATGTTTAAACAAGAAAGACATATTGAATATAAGAGTTATGAAAGGATATTGTGAGAGCAGGATTAAAGGTTTAATAAACTGATGGTCCAAATCCCTGACTGTCCAGCGCCTTAGGACGTCCTCCCGATGTGAAAGGCCCTATACAAATAACATTTTGTAATAGTTTTATTTTTGTTCGCCAAGTGAAACATGTGGAAATCCATCACCATGCTTACAAATATACAAATCTAAATGAGAATTCGACATATGCATGCAACATACACATGGAAATTTTCCTTGGTCTGCAAAGGGGTGCTCACTCTTCCCAGAGGGATTTACCCTGCTTACCTAATTCATAGATATTAGATGCAGGCGGGCAAGAGCCAGACAGAATGTGTATTGGTTATTGCTGGATTTTAATCAGCTAAAATCATGAAGCTTGCCATTGCAAAGATTGGCAAACTTCCTGCTGCTTGACCAGCCTACTTGAAAACAGCTGAAGGAAACCCTTTGACTGCAAGCCTGGAAACTCATATCCTTGCAGTTGGTATAGCGCCTTATCAGATAGGAAGCCCATCTCAAAAGCACTTTACAAGATATACTGTAAAGGGGGTTGATGGATTGATTGTGTTTTTGCAAACCAAAAGCATAATTACACACAGCAATGTCCCACCAAGTTTCTCTCTCCTGGTGTCCCGGAAAACAATCCCCCAAATAAAATTGGTCACTCACTCCATGGCTGTTTGTGGAACACTGCTATGCGCAACTGTGCTGCCGCGTTTGCTCACAAATACAGTCAATCCATTTCAACTGTATCCTGTGAAGCATTTTAAGATGTCCTTCCAATGTGATAAGGCACTCTATTAAATGCGAAGACTCGCTGCCATTTAAATGGGCAAACAGCCAGGGATTCTGAACTAAGAAACATTTCTCAAATCATTTTCATAAAATTATTGAATGGAAGACTACATAAAAGAAAAAAGGGCATGGTTCCAAGAGAGGGTTATGTAAGGATTATTATTACATAATGTGTGATACAATGTGAAATGAGGCTTCCTGTAAGTAACTGTGTTAAAGGAAGGAATATGGGATTCTGTTCTTAAAAACAAATTGCTGGTCCTATTATAAAATCATCCTCCAAAACCAAAATGAACACTGCTACAATTCATTTACCTGCATCTTTTTGATAGCAATTTCAGAATCTTGGTCCCATACACGGGTGTTGCCGTTATCAGTGATGTACGCCTTGCATGCTGTAACCATTTGGTTTGTGACCTAATAGTTAACAAAACATAACACATAGCAGTCAGATCAACACTCAGATGGATTTGAAAATGAACCATGTTCAATTACGATACATACCTTAATAAAGAGGGATGTCATCTGCTCTGAGGTGTTGTAATATCGTGAAACATTGTGGATCATCTGAATTGCATTTATCAAATTTGGAACTCCTTTTGTCATTGTTACCTAAAAATGGCATTATTTATAGATGAGACAAAAATCATATAATAATGTTCCTTAAATTTGTTATAGAACCTTATAACTGCAAAACCCCTTCATATAATTTATTGTAGAATGTAGTGCCTGTGTATTTTGTAGGTGAACACAGAAGCCAATTTGCACACAGTAATGTCCCACAAACAACCATGAAGTGAATGACCAATGTTATCTGGAGTATCGATGGCAAGGACACTGAAACTCCTGTCTCTTTTCTAATAGTGCCATGGGATCTTTAACATACTAACAGACAGACAACACTTTGGTTTAACAATAAAAACAGAAGTCGCTGGGAACACTCAGCAGGTCAGGCAGCATCTATGGAGAACGGAAAGTGAATCAATGTTTCGGGTCCACGACCCTTTGTCAGAACATTTTGTTTTGTTTTCAGATTTCCAGCATCTGTAGGATTTTGCACTTTGGTTTAACATATGATCTGAAAGACAGCACTTCTGACCATGCAGCTCAACCCAAAAACTGGATTAGGATATCCATGACATATTATGGGGAGGTGTCAGAGCAACTCTTGTATTTAGGGAGCTATAGAACCTCCCCACCCCCAATTACGGAAGTGGCTAAATATTGCTGTAAACCCAGGAACTAGCTTTTCTGGGTCAAGCAGCTCTGGATCAACATTCTCGCTAGTTAACACCACAGCTGTTCTGGGAGTATGTTCACACAATCATAAGATCGGTCCATCCTCCTTAGGCAGGGGGAGGTGAGCGGGGTCTCCTTGGAGCTGAACTGGCTCCAAGGTGACATGCCTGGCAACTGGAGTGTCAGAATCAAGTCAGCTCTCTGTGGTGGTCTCAGTAGTCCGGTTCCGGAGTCAGGTGGGTCCACAGTATTCCAGGGCACTGCTGATGACAACACAGCCAGCCTGGCTCATCGGCAGGACTTGGAAGGGTAGACTAGTCACTGGATGGGAGTGGGAGTGATCCCACGCAGCTCCTGTTAACCCTGCAGGCCAAAGTCCTAATGGGTAGGAACAAGCATCGGGAAAGCTTTCCAGACAGCATTATCAATGGCAAGCGGTTTCAGCAGCACACCAACGCACACTCTAGGGTCACCAAGCCTTGGCACTTGCCAACCTGCACCAAATACTTTCCAGAATTAGGTAAGCAGAATGCATCCGTCCAGGGAGAGAGTGCGCATTCCATTCCACCAATCTATCTCTAGGATTTCCACGTGTAGGTGGGATGCATGGAAATCTCAGCTTGGTTTGGATACTATTTAGCCTGGTGATAGGTTTCTGCATGTGCCAGACATCCGGCTGATCAAAAAAAAATTGGTCTGAATGAAGAAAGCCCTTCGGCCCATCCAATCTCATTCCTCCAGAACACTCATCACCACATCAAGCTGCTTTTTAAATGAGTCTAGTGCCCTTGCCTCTACTAACTTTCCCAGCAACCTAATCCAGTCATTGATTGCCCTCTTTATGAAGAAAAACTTCCTGGTATCTGTCCTGAAATTGCGTTTAACAGCTCGAAACTATGTCCTTGTGCTCTACTGTCTTGATACATCTTAAACTACTGGCCTGGGTTTACTTCTTCAATCCCAATTACAATTCTGTACAGCTCTATGAGGTCCCAGCTGAGTCATCTTCTCTCCCTAGCTTGTCTAATCCTTGCTCAAAGTTGCTTCTGCCCATAACCTGTCACATACAGAGTCAGGAGGCAGCTCTTCAAGCAAAAATATTGTACGTCATATAAAAAAATGTTTTGGTGTTTTTTCTTCTATTTTCTAGTACTTTGAAAATAGATTATAGACAGATTACCACCCCTTTCAGCAGCATAAGAGTTTTACTGACCTCAGATTTTAGTTTTATCCCTGGCTTCTCAGCAATAATTAATAATAATCCTTACATTTGATTTACAGAAACAGCAAAAAGAACAGTGAAGATCTTGAGAGGTGACTCAGCCGGGACCAAATTTTAAATGGGATTGAAAAAGTAAACCCAGACCAATAGTTTAAGATGTATCAAGACAGAGAGCAAGAGGATATAGCTTAGATTTGTTACGGGTAATTTTCAGGACATATACCAGAAAGGTTTTCTTTATGCAGACAGAACACAAGGATAAAAGTTAGAGTTGTTAAGGAAATTTCAAGACCGATACCAAGAAGTTTTTCTTTACGCAGATAGTAGTCAACAATTGGAACAGGTAAACAACTAGAACAGGTTAGGAAAGTTAGTAGAGGCAAGGACACTAATCTCATTAGGCTTGCAGAGTTAACAGGAGCTGAATGGGATGATTCCCTGCTCCCAGTAACTCAACACGACTTTGGAGATCTTATACTGACTTACTGGATCAGAATTATAAAGTGGCTGACAGACTTTCTCCAGTGCCTGTAGGAACTTCACATTGTCCTTTGCTTCATTGGCTGCATCAGTGATTCGACCATCCAACTCCCGCCACATCTACACCAAAATGGGAAAGCTTCATTAGTTTACCTAATCCATATGCTCCTCCTGAAACTGAAATAAATCTTTCATTATCCTGCACTTAAAAGATAACATTGACAAACAAGGAGGATCAATATGCATAGATTCAAACCAAATTTCATCAAAATATGGAGCAAACGTGACCTTTAAAATAGCCACTTAAATAGTTTGCGTGAAATGTATTTATAAACTACAGATTATGTTGATCTTAATCTTGAGTTTGTTAAGGACTTTACCTTTAATATTTTGGAGTGGTTTGAAGATAGCACATTCAACACTGATTTGCAGCTTGATCCTTTCAGCTGTTCTATGATAGAGTTGAATCTAGCAGACATGCACTTCCAATGTTCAAGTTCAGTAAGTGGACCTGAATTTTCTGCCTCCTTTCTCACCTGATCACTCTGTGCCAGTACCTGCCCCAAACAAAGCAAAACAGATTTACACCATTTCTGTTTACATTTAATGTTTTATACATCAACAAAGGGGTCATCCCCACAGTAATAAGACAAATCTTGATCAACAAATAGTTGATTTTTTAAAAGGTAACTAATTCAGTAGATGATGGCGAACCAGTGGATTTTCCAAAGTTGTTTGGTAAAGTTCCACATATATTCACGGATAACAATGATCCTTATATTTGGTACAGCACCTTCTACATCAGGAAGACATCCCAAAGCGCTTCACAGAATGTACTGTAAAGTGCAATGACTGTGTATTTTGTGGATGAATGTGGCAGCCAAGTTGTGCACAGCAATATCCCACAAATAGCCATGAGGTGAATGACCAATTGTTCTTTAATTTGGGGGATTGTTGGCCAGGACACCGGGAGAAACTTCCTTCTCTTTTCAAATAGTGCCATGGTGTCTTGAGCATCCACCTGAACAGGCAGACAAAGCCTCAATTTAACATCTTATCTGGAGGGCAGCGCTTCCAGCAATGCAGCACATCCCCAGCACTGCACTGGAATGTCACCTTAGACAGTTTGAATTCCAAGTCCCAACATGCAACTTGAACCCACAACCTTGTGACTCAGAAGCAAGAGTGCTACTAACCGAGCCAGGCTGACACAAAGATGAGAGGATATAACTATTAAGAAGAAGTTAAATCCCTTTTGCTGTATTCTCTGGAACTGAGAAAATTAAAAGCAGATGTAATAAGTGTTCAAAATTATGAAAGAAAAGATTATTCTACTCATTGGTATGTCAGCCACAAGGGACCACAACATGGGATGAAACTAAAAAACAAATCATGTTACATTTATTATTTTTTGCAATGTTAATTAATTAACATAATCATCAAATGATACATTCTTTGATTCACAGACCTGTTCTAGTTGTTTGTACCAGACCATAAGTACATTCTCAAGCTGAAGAATTGTTTCAGGGTTAGATGACGCAGCCGTTACTTGTTCAAAAGACCGTAGCTTGGAAAGATCAATGTCTTTTGTTTGTGTAAGCAATACAGCCTTGTGAAGACTTGAATTCGCACCTGAACAGAAAAAAAAAGTTTTACAACAATAGACAATGTGGATTGTTCAAACTCCAATGGAAAAAATCACCTAGGAATGCTTCTTTATTTAAAAAAAATGCTGTCACATATTCTTCTCAAAAATAAAGTATAAGCTCATTTTTCTGCAAAATATAGCAGCAAGACCTACAAAACCAACAATACACTGAAGTAGACAGTAAAAATAGAACAAAATTAGTTACAACATAATAATCCCTGCATTCCATAAAGATATAATTAATTTTAGTTTAATTACAATTCAAGAGCTCCTGGACGCCACCCCGTGTGAAGGGCGCTATATAAATGCAAGTAGTTGAAGTTATCCTTACTGTGTAAGAAGGAGATATATCTGCTAATGGAATCTTTGAAGTCCTTCTTCTCCTTTTCCCCATGTACAGATCGATTAAGTGCTCCCCAGTTTTCCGAAATAGAAATAGCTGGTAAGAAAATCTTCTCCAACAAATTTTCAGTGCCAGTCAATATTCCCTCATTAGCATCTATGATACAGAAGAGTGCTTCCTGCAAACAGGCACAATGGTTGGTTAAACAAGTGCTTTGGAGAGAATGCAACACAATTCACAAGGCTAATACTACAGGTGAGGGTCTAAACTACAGGAAGAGGCTGAGTAGGTATTCTCTGGAGCTGAGGCTAAGGAGTGTTTTATTTGAGGTTCAAGATTATGAGAAAAAACAACAAAATAAGAGTGCAACATTTTCCCCAATGGATCAATCATTTACTAGAGAACATAACCTTAAAATGAAGGAACAGGTAAAGTAAGAATTTCTCTCACAGAGAAAGATATGATTCAGGAATGCACAACTGCAGGAAGTTAAAGATGAGAAATAAACTGAAGGATTCAAAAAGGAGACAGAGAGCTTCCGGAGAAGTAGAATTATTACTAAATGACACATCAAGAAGGCAAAGAAGCAGGATTAGGACAGGTGAATAAGTAGTGACTTGAAATGGTGAAATAGCATTTCCTGTTCCTAAATTCCTATCATCTCAAAGGCACGATCAGGCCTTTTTCCATGATCTTTCTACTCAGGCCAGTAGCACTGTACTACTCACAAGAGTAGTCCAAGCCACTCTTGATGGAGGGGGTGGCGGGGGGAGATGGCGGAATGAAGAAAGAGGTGGTACTTTAGGCACTATGAACCTTTTATCAAATTTGCAACTTGCAAAAGAATTTCTGTAGTACTCTATTACGATTTAATCTCAGTAATGCAACAATGCATACATTTTGAATGTTAATATTTAATATTAAACAAAAATATGGTCAGCACACCATCTTTTCAATTCTATTACTAGTCTGAATGTAGACAGATTGAAAATTTCCCTCTCTACTGTCTGTAAAATTCTAGTTGAAGACAATCTTAATTCAGTTTCAAAGTGAGTATACATTGATACAACCCTGCCATCAATTTGAAACAAATTTGCACAAAAATGTGCATGGTTTGTGCATCAGTAGTCTTTTCTTTGGGAAGGGATGAAGGAAAAGGAAGCAGGATGTTAATATGTGATATTATTTATTCCCAATGCATTTTGAAACTGAATCAATAACATTTAAAAAAAAGGAATTCAAGTATATACAATATACTTGAAAATATTACTGTGGGTGAAGGAGTAGATGGCTCCAGCGGGGGAGCTGGTATAATAAGCACCTTTTGCTGTAAAAAAAATTCTGATACTATAATTAGAGGGGAAGTGAAGGAGATTTACACTCCTTGTGATCATCCCATATTGACCCAAAAAATTTTGATGGAGCAGTTTAGAAAGATTTTTTCTCTTGTATCTAACCTGATGTAGGTACATGTTCTTTCTATTTTTTGATATCACTTATATCACTACTTACCTCATGAACATTTCTTATTGTAATAGCCACGTCATTTCTGTATCGGACGAAGAACAAGCACATACCCTCCAGACTGGTTTCTAATAAATTGGTCAAAAATAGTCTTGGAATTTTGGCCCCTTTAGTAATACCAGAAATTGTTCGGCCACTCTCTGAAAACAATCAACAAACCAGTTTTACATATTCTAGTGTACTCTGAAGGTTGGTAAATTTACAGCCCTTGTCTCTAAGTTTAAGATGTTTCTTATAAACTCACGTAACTAAGGTCTGTGAATTTTATTAGCAAAATATTTCTAACCAACTGTAAACTTTGGTGTCAACTTTCATTTAACGATCAGTGATGTAGGGCCTCCTGCCCACAGCTGATTCACCAATGGTCCCTATATAAAAAGCAACAGTTCAGGCATCAGTTCAGGCACCAATATCTGTATGTGGACTGAATAGCATTTGGAAGTGGGATCTCATGTCCAACATGGTATCCACACATTCTTACAATTAGTACTACTTTTAATTTTGTGTTTTTAATCATTCACTGGCTCCTGTCACAGTGTTCGTTTGTTTCACTGCGAAACGCATTCTTGAGGAATGCTTCTACAAACATACAATCACACTAGTGTGAGTTTGGAGAGGTCAGTGTCAGTACACCACAAACCCTTCAGCATATTCTTGTAGCTGACCATGTTTGGAGTACTAAAGAAAAGCAATAAAGAAAATTCAATTTGTTACAAAAGATCAAGCTAAAAAAGATTGTATGTAATAACATGCAATACGTTTGATAATGAAATAGTAAAAGGACTGTAAATAATTGTTTGCCAAACTATAATATAATAATAATAATAATCCTTGAATTTGATATAGCGCTTTTCACGTCGGGAGGACGTCCCAAAGCGCTTCACAGAACACACCGTAAAGTGAATTGACTGATATTTGGGGGCGAACGCGGCAGCCAATTGCGCACAGCAATGTCCCACAAATAGTCGTAGATTGAAAATGACCAATTTATTATTGTTGTTTTTTTTGGAGGGATTATTATTAGGCTCTGTGTGGAGTAAGGAAACTTGCCCAAGGTTTCGCCCTGCCTGGAATTGAACTCAGGTCTCTTGCTTGCAAAGCGAGTGCTCTAACCACTGAGCTACAGGACTCCACTATGATGTGAAATCTTCAAAGGAAAAGGACAAACTTAAATACAGACAAAATGATAATCTCAACAAGGTAGGACAGTTGAAGAGTGGCATACTGCTACTTCAGGGAAAATTAAGTGACTCACTAGCCCAGATAAGGTTCAGTTGGTGATCCTGCAACCTCAACTTTCGCCAGTGGTACAAGGAGCAATTCAAATGAGATGAAAGGTTATTCATAGACTTTCTCTGATCAACAATTTGAAATCATAAAGAGGATGGAGAAAGAGGCATCACTGAGCATAGATGCAAATCTCTTTATAACATTTAGGAATATGCGTAAATTCACCAAAGGCTGAGGATTCTGGGAGGATGAGATCAAATGAGCTAAAGTGCCTAGTTGATTCAAACCAATCTTGTGAACTATTTTTGTGAATCCTGGACCAGACATTTTGCAATAACATACACAGAGATGTTTTCATTTTTTTACTCTGAATATTTTGAGGAATGTGAACAATTTCTATGTAGAATGAGACTAAAATGCAAATTTGTGTCACATCATGGGGAGTCCATAAAAATACTGCTTTGTTGGCTCCCTCCACCTAGTAATTGAAATTTAATGCATCAGTATCAAATTGGCAAAGACGGGTCTGAATATCTTTCTTTGTAACATGTAAAAAGTGCAACTATATTCTTTCCATAAGAAGCATATTATTTATAGAAAATATTTTAATCCTAAACTTCAACTATATTTTTACCTACTGATGGTGGTTCTGCTTCTTGGTAAAAGAAAGTTAGTGCTTTGGTACCTCCTTTGGAAACGAAATCCTCAAAAGGTTTGAACTGTCACAAAATGTACATTAATGAACAGAAATGGTTCGTAAGTCACATTTGTATATATTTTATGTAAAACTATACTTTATCAAGTTGGTCTCCAAAATAAAATAAAACTCAAGTTGCTTAAGAAAAAAAACATGGCCAGGATGGTAAATGTCTAAATAGTGATAAACATTAGCATTGACCGACCTAGCAATAATTCATTCAAAATCTTGAATGAATGTCTACCAGCTTATGACAGCGTAATAGAATCATAGAATCTTACAGCACAGGAGGCCATCATGTCTCTTTGAAAGAACTCTTTGAAGGGAGTAAGGAATGGGTGGAGACTCATATGGAGTTTAAACAACAGCACGTACTGGTTGGGCCGAGTGGCCTATTTCTGTGCAGTATATTTTTTGCAAAATATTTTGATAGTAATAAAGAAAATACACCTTGAATTGTAACATTTTAAATCTAGTAAATAGGAACATAGTAACATAGGAACAGGAGTAGGCCATTCAGCCCCTCGAGTCTGTTCCCCATTCTATCAGATCATGGCTGATCTGTACCTCAACTCCAAATACCTGTCTTGCCCCATATCTTGCTTGCGAGATGAGTATTCTAAGCAACACGCTACAGGACTCCACTGTACCGTGGGAGGGTAGAAAAACATTTCTTTCCATAATTTAAATCTTCGTACAGTGAGATCCTAATATCAACATGGTTATTTAGGGGAGGTGTTACTCTCATTCCAAAAGTGACAAGTGAAAATTGGAGGAATAGTCAACATATGCTGCTATTATTTAATAGCAGATCAATAGTTAAGAATACTATTGATAAGTATATAGTAATGGACATTAGCAGTGATCCGAGTATAGTTCATTTATCTACACCTTTGGTTAGCAATGTGGATCAGTGCAGGGATAGATAGCCGGGGAACTGGAAAAACAGTTATTGTTCTTTGTCAGTGTAGGATATATTGCACAGGGACCTATGAAGGTGTAAGAAAAGGATTTAACAGATTGGAGATAAAGAATAAGTTTTAAAAATTCAGCCATATCAAATATTACTTACAGATAGAGCATCCAAAACAAATTCTTCCACATTGTGAAGATTCATTTCCAGTTTATTTGACAACACTTCAAAAATATATTGATGTATCGCGTCAATGCTCAATTTTCTGCTCTCTCTCGATTCTCTATACCTTGCCTAACAGATATAAAAACATGGAAGTAATTGTTTTGACATTGAAAAGTTACAAATAAAGGAAATGCAAGGATTATTATTATTAAGATTTACTAACCATCTTGATAGTTATCTATCCTTAAAAGAAAGAATCCTCAATATGTCACAGAAGTAAGAGATCAAGTTGCCAATAGCAAGAAGCATAATGGACACAGATTACATCATCACTTTGTCAAAGAAATGAGGTAATCATCCTTTCATGTGTCATATGAAGACACTTCTATGTTAATACTGTATAGCAGTTCATTACAGTCTCTCCACTCCACCAATTAATATCGCTTAATATCCCTTGCCCCCATCATCAAATCCAGCCTGTTCTTGCTCTTTGAAACTGTTTTGAAATCACTCTGCATAGCTCCCTTCCTCTCCACTTTCAACACCCGATCCCTTTGACTATGCTTTCAGCAACCACACCCCTCCCCCCTCTCAATCTCTGTAATGCACTTTGCAACTTTCTCTTATGTGAAATTGTCACAGTAGTCGATTATCTGCACTAATTGGAACAGCCACTTTGCAGCTAATTGGACATCACTCCAAATATAAACAAGTTACAGCGCCACAAGCACGTGTTGACTAATTTACTTGAATGTGCCTCATTAGCTTAGTCCTGCTACTATTTGAAAGACAACCAAAAGACATGGCTCCTGGTTGTCGGAGTCAGCATGAAGACAATTACACTTTTTCAAGACAATTTTCTGGTATCACATAAGTTTGGTGGGGGTTTGAAATTTGTGTATGCAAACATAAGCAGAGTTTGTGTATAAATGTATTTCTTATTTTACAAAGAAAAGTGTGGTAAAAAATTCCGCAATTATAAATTTAAGTAAGGAGCGCTTAGAAAATGATAGGCTCGAGAGGCAATCAGCTAAGTATCTCAACTGCCTTTTGATCTTTAGCAACAGACTTGTTCAGCCAAATATCACGGCTCTGATATCATAATAGGAACGCTCTTATTATGATGCCAGCATCACGCACAGTTCAGAACAATTGTTGGCCTCAATCTCTTTCTCCAGCTTCATGTTTGAGCCCTTATACTCAATGTCATGACATGCACATACTGAGAAACAAAAAGGCTTCCCCCATGCCACTTCGATATGAAGAAGTCAAGAAAATGTTGAACAAATGAAATATTTAATGTGCAAACAGTTATGAATGTAAATAAATTACTGGAAGCTTTTTATGATAGCAATGAACATACAATCTGCTCCTCCCAAAATAATCTGACAAGGAAGAGTCATTATTAACACATTTAAATGAAACAAACATTTAGCATGTGGTTATATAAATATTAGAAAACAATGTATGTGAGTTAGTAAGAATACATGCACCTGTACATGCACCCGAGTCCTTTAGTAAGGACTCAGATGCATGACGCTCAGTCCTTGAATACATTCAAGACTGAAAAAGATAGATTTCTTATTGCAAAAGGGATTAAGGGATATGGGGATAAGGCGGAGTTAGGTTATTAGCTGGAGTTAGATTAGAAGATCATGATTGAATGGCGGGGCAGGCTCGAAGGGCCAAATGACCTACTCCTGCTCCTACATGTTATGCTGTTATGCACATACGATTTGGGCAATTATCCGATTTATGAAGATAAGACTTATGCAAGTTTTACTGTATACACTGAAAAGAGAGGCCCCAACACAGATCCTTGTGGTACACCATTAACATCTTCCAAATGTCTCTGTAACAGTTTGAGGTTTTTCATGTGAGACTCTTGATGATATAAGACGCTATATCATAGGCAAAGATTATTATTCTAATAGAAGTTCAAGTTTTCTTGGGAGAAGTTTTGCTTCATTTTCCAATGATCATCAGACTCTTGAGTAATAATAGTCCTTGCATTTGATATAACTCTTTTCACGTCTTTAAGACGTCTCAAAGCACTTCACAGACTGTACTGTAAAGTGAATTGACTGTATATTTGTGGGCGAAACGCGGCAGACAATTACGCACAGCAGTGTCTCACAAACAGTCGTGGATTGAAGTGATCAATTTTANTTTTTTTCTTGAGGGATTATCATTAGGCATGTGGAGTAAGGAAACTTGCCAAAGGTTTCGCCCTGCCGGGAATCAAACCCAGGTCTCTCGCTTGAGAGGCGAGTGCTCTAACCACTGAGCAACAGGACTCCAAATGAGTAAGAATGATTACTTTATTCCAGGCCTCCTCTTGCAGCGAAGAAAAACTTTGAGGTTAAGTGTTGAGCCCCTGGGGAAGATCGTTAAGCCTTTGACACAGTGGACCACTCAATCTTCCTCCACCGCCTCTCCTCCCACCTCAACCTTGACTGGTTCAGGTCCTACCTTTCATATCGCCTCCACTTCGTCGCGGCAAACGGCTTTTCCTCCAGCCCCCGCACCATCTCGTGCGGTGTTCCTCAGGGCTCTGTCCTCAGTCCCCTCCTCTTCACCCTCTACATGCTCTCCCTTGGTGACATCATCCGCAGACATGGGGTAAATTTCCACACGTATGCGGATGACACCCAACTCTACCTCTCTGCCTCCACGCACAACTCCAGGACTGCTGGCGTCCTGACCGACTGCCTGTCCGACATCAAGTCCTGGACGAGGGACAACTTTCTCTAACTCAACGTCAGCAAGACTGAGGTCCTCCTGATTGACTCACGCCAGTGCCTCTGGACCTCAAGCGCTGGCAGCATCAGCCTCCACAGCTGCACACTCAACCTCACTAAGCCAGACTGGGTGCCTTGTTTGACCCTGAACTGTCCTTTCTCCCCCACATCCGCGCCATGACCGGCACTGCCTACCACTACCTCCGCAACATTGCCAGACTCCGCCACTGCCTCACCCCTCAGGCTGCCGAAACCCTCACCGACGAATTTGTCACATCAAGGCTCGATTACAGGAACTCCCTTCTCATCGGCCTTCCCAACTCTTCCCTTCACAAGTTGCAGATCATCCAAAACTCTGCAGCTCGTGTACTTTCACGCACCAGCCTCCGTGACCCCTTCACTCCCACTCTTGCCCAACTCCACTTGCTCCCCATCCCTCAGAGGATTGAGTTCAAGATCCTCGTCCTCACCTTTAAGGCCATCCATGGCCTTGCCCCCTCCTACCTCTCTGACCTGCTGACTCCCTACCAACCTGCCCGCTCCCTCCGTTATCAGGCTCCGGCCTGCTCCATGTCTCCCACCCGACCCGTCCTACCATCGGTAGCCGGGCTTTCAGCCTCTCTGACCCCACACTCTGGAACTCCATCCCACGGTCCCTTCGCTTCCTCTTTTGCCTCCTTCAAGCCGGTCTCAAGACCCTTCTCTTCGACCGTGCCTTTGGTCTCCCTCCCACCTCCCTACCTTCCCTCACCTCTACACCACCCCTCCCCCATGCTCGGGCCCTGACACCTGACTGTTCAACGCTTTGGGATGTCCTCCCGATGTGAAAGGCACTCTATAAATGTAATTTTGTTATTGTTGTTAATAATAATCCTTGCATTTGATGAGGCATCTTATCACGTCATTGAGACATCTCAAAGCAATTCACAGCATACAATGATCCTTCTGAATGGATGACACTGAAGAATTGAAAGGAAAAACATTGATAAGATCTGTACTTAGGTAAATCATTTTCAGCTTTAATCTCATCCACATGGCTGTTATTTCTCCACAGAGCTGAGATTCCCTGGGTTCTCTTGAATAGAGGAAGGTACTGATTGTTGGGATGCTGCTATTCATGTTTGACAGGTTCCCTACATCTCCTGGGCACTAGGCCATAAGCCTTCAGTTGTTCTTACATATTCAGCACAGGTACTAGAAAAGGCAGAGGTAGCACAGGTGCTATTTTTTCTTCATCATTTTATATCTGCATCACTGTTTCCAAATCACAAACTAGACAATTCAGCTTTCCAGGTTTAGGTTCCAAGCCCTTTTAAAGCTTGAAGTAGAAATGCTGTATCATCGTGAAAGTCATGAATGACAAAGTATCCTTTTGCAAATTTTCCCGATTTCTTCTACCTATTCGGCTTTGGTATTCCTTTGCAAACCTCTGCTACGAACTCCCTCATCCTAGGCGACTTCAACCTGCACTTCACCTCTCCTCTCCATCTCCGCTGACTTCTCCTCTCTCCTCTCTTACCCGGGGCCTCAGCATCTCGGACCTCACCATCACCGACAAAGCCATCTTGGACCATTACTTAATTCCCTTAACTCCTCAATTCCTCTCCCTACCGCCACCCAACCTACGTCCATCCCCTACCGCCCCTGGAAAAGAATCCCCCCCACTCCCACTCTGTTGCCTTTGGAGTCATCTGAACTCCTCCCCCTCTGGGCTTCCTCCCACAATGACTTACCCTCCTCGGTCACTCACCTTTTCAACTCCCTGTCCACCACTTTCGAAGCCCTTGCTCCCCTCACTTCCCGAACCGCCTCCTACTCACAGAAGGGACCATGGTACACCAGCCAACCCCGTTCCCTCAAGGCACAGGTGCCTGCCGCTGAACGCACCTGGCTCAAATCTAATTTAATAGTCCACCAGCAGATCTGGCTGGACATCATCAAAACTTACCACTCCACCCTCACCTCCGCTAAATTGTCGTTCTACTCCAAGACAATCTTGGAGGCCAATGACACCTCCAGGCTCTTCTTCTCCATCGGCTCCTCCACCCACTCTCTCACCCCTCACCCATCCTTAAGACCCTTCTCTTCGACCATGCCTTTGGTCTCCCTCCCACCTCTCCACCTTCCCTCCCCCTACACCACCCCTCCCCCATGCTAGCTGCGATGAGATGCTGGGCTTCCTCGAAACCAAAGTCGAGGTAATCCGCTTAGCTGCCTCTGCTCTTCCATCTACTACCCCCTCCCCATCTCCCCATCATACCCTGGCCTCCACCCATCCCTCCCTCCGCACCTTCAAACTTGTCTCCCACTCCTCTCTCACCACCACTATAACCCACACGAAACTGACCATCTGCTCCCTTGAACCCATCCCTTAACCTTCTCCTTATCTCCCAGCTCAACCTCCTTGACCCTCCCCAACCTACTCACAGACATCATAAACCTCTCCCTTTCCACTGGCACTGTTCCCACCTCTTTAAAAACGGCCGTCATCACTCCTATCCTTAAAAAGCCCTCTCTGGACCATCCCTGCTCTCAAGTTAATGCCCCATCTCCAACCTCCCTATCCTTTCCAAGGTCCTGGAATGAGTCAATGTTTCCCAGCTTCGCTGCTTCCTGTCCCAACACTCCCTTCACAAAGATCTCTAATCGTGTTTCTGTGCCGCCCACAGCACAGAAACAGCTGTGGTCGAAGTGACGAATAACATTTTGTCCATCTGCGACCAGGGCTCCCCCTGCCTTCTCATCCACTGCCTCTCCTCTCACCTCAACCTTCACGGTTCTGTCCTTGAATGGTTCAGATCCTACCTCTTACACCATCTCCACTTCATCTCCACAAATTTCTTCTCCTCTAGCCCCCACACCGTCTCGTGGGGCATTCCTCAGGGCTCTGTCCTTGGTCCCCTCCTCTTCAATATCTATATGTGCCCTCTTGGTGACATCATCCACAGACATGGGGTCGATTTCCACATGTATGTAGATGACCCCCAACTCTATCTCTGCCTCCAGCCTTGACTCCAGGACCATTGCTGTCCTGACAGAATGTCTGTCTGACATTACGTGCTGGTAGACTGCTAACTTTCTACAGTTGAACATCAACAAGACCGAGGCCCTCCTGCTTGGCTCCTGTCAGCGCCTCCACATTTCAAGCACTGACACCTTCACCATCCAAGGATGCACACTCCACTTCATTGAGCTGTCCGGAACCTTGGCAGCTTGTTTAACCCTCAATTATCCTATCTACCCCACATCTGTGCCATGAACCCACTCTGTCTTACCCCCACATCCGCAACATTACCTGGCTCCTCCACTGTCTCACACCGCAGACCGCCAAGACCCTCATCCACGCATTCATAACATCCAGGCTCGACTTTGCAAACTCCCTGCTGGTCGGCCTCCCCAACTCCTCCCTCCATAGGCTGCAGATTATCCAGAACTCTGCAGCCCATGTCCTTTCACACACCAGGCTGTGCGACCCTATCACCCTGATCCTTGCACGATTCCACTGGCTTCCCATCATACAGAGGATACAGTTCAAGATCCTGGTCCTCACCTTCAAAGCCCTCCATGGCTGTGCTCCCCACTACCTCTGCAACCTCCTAACCCCCTACCAACCTACCCACTCCCTCCGCCCAGCGTGCTCTGGCCTGCTTCACACCCCAACTTGCCCGCCCCACCATTGGCGATCAGGCCTTCAGCCACTCTGCCCCCACTCTCTCGAACTCCATCCCACTGTTGTGTCAGTCCCTCCGCCTAGCTGACTCCCTTACCTCCTTCAAGACTCGTCTCAAGATCCTCCTCTTCGATCGTACCTTCGGTCACCCTCCTTCATCCCCTCCACCCTCCCCAATTCTGACCCCCAGCTCTGGTCCGAAACACTGATTGTCCAGCACCTTGGGACATCCTCCCAATGTGAAAGGCACTATACAAATGTAATTTTGTTGTTGTTGTTGGTGGTGGTGGTCACCACCTGAAAATCCGGTGAATGGTCTCCAAGCCCCAGGCTGCACTCCAGCAATAGATACCGATTCTCAACAATATCCTGTCTTTGTGTCAGGTGGCCTTCACACTTCTGCATGGTTTCAGGGCTGGAGTCTGAGAGGGGGAGCTCTCTAAAGGGGAGCACTGGCACAGAGAGGGAGAAAGGAGACTGGCATGAAGACTGCTTGGGGAATCTGGTTTGGAAAATGGGAGACTGAAGAATTTGTAACTGTACTAAGAGTCAAAATAAAATCTAAAATATATATATTATTATATAAAGTAACATCTCCACTTGTAACAGTCATTCTCTTTGTTAAAAGAACTTGTATCACAGATGCAGACTGTAAACTCTCCAACTCTGTGAGTCTCTGTGGAAAATTCAGGTGAAAACGACAATTCAATCTTCATGATTACAATAGCCGTGAATTAGAATGGAACGACTTCTTCCTAAGAAGTCACTCAATCATCTAGCATTAATACCGTCCATGCAGGTGCCCGAGCTGAGCAAGAGTTCACAGTCTGAGGACATAGTTTGTTACATATGTATGGTCAGTGTATAGCGTAGACTACAAAATGGAGTCTGAAAATAATCTAATATCCCAAAACATTTTGAGCATGGTTATCAATGGAAGGTCGTACATTTATTATCTTTAATAAATGTATTATCCAAGCTCTGCGGCCCCATCACTCGCACCCTCGCCTGACTCCACTGGCTCCCCATCCCTCAGAGGATCGAGTTCAAGATCCTCGTCTTCACTTTCAAGGCCATCCATGGCCTTACCCCCTCCTACCTCTCTGAACTGCTGACTCCCTACCAACCTGCTCACTCCCTCCGTTCAGCGGGCTCCGGTCTGCTCCATGTATCCCGCTCGACCCACCCCACCATCGGTGGCCGGGCTTTCAGCCTCTCTGCCCCCACACTCTGGAACTCCATCCCACGGTCCCTTCGCCTCGTTTCTTCCCTCGCCTCCTTCAAGGCTGCTCTCAAAACCCTTCTCTTCGACTGTGCCTTTGGTCGCCCTTCCACCTCTGCCTTCCCTCACCCCGACACCACCTCTCCCCCATGCTCGGGCCCTGACACCTGACTGTTCAGCGCTTTGGGACGTCCTCCCGACGTGAAAGGCGCTCTATAAACATCATTTTGTTGTTGTTGTTGCATCTCTAGCAAGCTGAAAATATAGAAAATGAATATGCTCTCTGTATGCTCTGTTAAATTATTATAACGTTATGATAAAAAAGAAAAGCTATTTTTATGCAAAATCTAGTTTTATTATCCACCCACCTTAAACAAGCTTTTTAAGGAACCAAGTAATGAGTTATACCCTGCTTATGTCCCTGCTTTTTATATTAAAAAAATTCACATTTTTGCACCTGCAGTCTAATTGTGGGTCCAAAATTAAATACTATACTTTACTTAGGAATTAATGAATTATAGACTTCTGGGTAGCCAGGTAATTTTTCCTATTTCTCTACAAACAATGACTAAACACATTCACTGTTAGATCTTTATACTGTATTAACCTAATCTGGATTTCTGATCATTTATTTTGTTGCATATCTCTGAGAAATAAATGGTTTAAAAATCAACAGGTGAATAATAGATACAAGAAAATGACTAGAAGATAACAGAAAAGTTACAAAAACAAGCTATTTCCACGAAAACTTTTTTAAATGATCCATTTTGTGACCAAAACTTTGCTAGAGATGGAAATCAATTATAATTAATACCTGGAACAGAATTAAAGATTTCAAATGCATTTTCAATACTACAAATCTTTTAAAATAACTTGCGCAGTTCCTTCATCAACAAGTAGGATAATTAATTTTAAAGCAACTAAAAGATACTGTGTAATTAGGAGGTGAATTAAAAATGAATGACTGAAATACCTGTTTTTCCTTTATTGTTTCCTGCATGGCTAACATTCCAACAGTACTCCTGCGAAATTTACTAAGTTTTCTGTCCGAAGCAGAACTAGTTGGATCAATCAGACCTGATAAACTAGATTGTGGCAACGCGCCAAAACTTTGGTTACTCATGTTTCAAAGCCTGAAACAAACACAAAAGATACAAGGTAAAACAAGGTCATGAAATTTTTATCTGTTGAGAGCTAAATGGAAAGCCTTTCGGTTTCCAAATTTAAGTCTGAAAAAGGCAAGGAAATGTTAAGTCTCAATACAGTTTTTAAGCAAATTCACACCCAGTTTTTTTATTGTTAGATTCATAAATCCTATCAAATTCTGACAACAATTAGATATGGAAATCAATTATAAATGATATTTCTAAGAGAAATCAAAATCTACCTCTTTGACAATGCCAAGAGTTACTTCCCTTCTCATCCACCCTCCCTGCTACTGGTAAGATGCAATATCTCTGTAAGTGCTTTGAGACATTACCCAATGTGAAAGGTGATATATAATGCAAGTTGTCGTAGAGGGAGTACCCAAAAGCATTGCACTGTCTGATAATATTGGATATTATATGTTTGTATTCATATTTTCAATCAGAAGGTGGAGGAACTCTTGCAGGCCTTAAAGCACCACCCATAAATTATAGTATTTAGCATTGTAGGTCAGGTCAATTAGCCCAACTAAACTAACATTAGGTATGCCACCATTAAGTCTTTTTGTGGAAGCGGCTAAGGCACCTATACTCTGTACAGTCCACATTGCCATGCAACATTCTAGGTTTGCTTGGGTACATGTGGTTTTCCAGACTTGGTGTTCACCAATTATCACAAGACACATCACCAATCATCAACTCCCTGTTTCAACACAAAAACTGTTCTCTTGGGAAAATTGTTTGTGTGTGCATTTCCTCTTATTAAAATGTCAAAACCGAAGGACAAAGGTAATATTTGCAGGCTTCCTTGTATTGATCAATACATTACCAGATCATACTCTCCATTAGAAAGTAATGTCAGTCAGATCCTACACCCTAATCCAGCCACCCATACTGACAGCTTGGCTATTGAGGTGATCAGATTATTAAATGTCTTTAACAACAACTTGCATTGATATTGATGCACTTTATGCAGGGCAGCGTCTCGGAACACTTATAATAATCCTTGCATTCAATATAGTGCCATATCACATCGTCGAGACATCTCAAAGTGCTTCGTAGAATATACTGGAAAGGGCATTTTGTGGGTGAAACGTGGCAGCCAATTGCACACACCCAGTTTCACAAGGAGTTGTGAATTGAGTGACCAAATTATTTTTTAAAATGTATTTGTGTGTTTTTTAAGGGATTATTACTCCTGGAAAGCAATCCGCCAATCCACTACCCACCAATTTCTTAAGAGGAGTATAGAGTAAGACAACTTACCTAAGATTTTACCCTGCCCGGGATTTGAACCCGGGTCCTCTGTCTTGTGAGGTGAGTGCTCTAATTACTACACTGCAAGACTCTACTAACACCCTGTTGTGGCATAAGAAAAATACATTTACCTATGATTTGGAACTAAGATATATTTGAAGATGTTCCTCAGCAGCTCAGCCCTCTTTTCTAGTGTAATACAACCATCAATGTCTTCAGCTGTTTAATAGGCCTTTATTCCTTGTGATCTTGTGATGACACTCATCCACACCAAGCACTTTGACGTTTCGTTTTCTTATTCCACCTTCATTAAAGGAGTCAAAAGATCAACTTAATCAGGTTCCATGGGTCCATAATTTAGGTATCAATTTAGTATAGGACAAGGTATTATATGTCCCTTTTGCATTCTTTGTTCATTTTTGCTGACAATGATTTTGACTCACAAGTGAAGCTAGATAATAGTCATCAACTACCAACTAGCTAATCCGATCTGATAATTTTGTTATTAATAAAACACCTCTCTGGTTTCATTCAAGAGTCATAGCTAAGGACATCTCTGAATTCATCTGGGAATGGGCTAAAGCACTGTTATGTTTGCATAGTGCTCCAAATAAGACCAACATACCCATTCATGCTATGGGTTGCAAGTTTCAGAACATGCTTACATCTGCAAATTTCACTGAGGGTGATCAAATGTCTTGACGGCAATAAAGCTCTGTTTGACTTCACCAGGCATAGTTCCTTAAATCCTGCCTACCATTTACTTCTATATGAGAAATGGCTGTATCATACGGTTCTGCTCAATGCAACATCAAACATATATTTCAAGTTCTCTGGATTCAATAAATTCCTGTATGCCCTTACTTGGATCTTGGAACAAAATTGCAACACGCTGCAATTGAGATCTAGGATTCAATCATGTGCTATGCAGTGATAGTGAATAAAGCTCCATGGAATGCAGCAAATGGGACCTGTGGCTTTGGTGCATTCATCTTTAGATAGCAGGGACGAGCACAATGGATTATTTCGTGGTGACGTGCTTTTTAATACAATGTTGCTCCTTTGACTTTCAAAAATTCCAGGGATGTGATGCTGTATATAAGTAAACTTGCAGGAATCAATGCTTAAAACTTTCAAATGGAAGTTATACACATTCAAAGTGTCAGCCTAACTTACTCAGTAGCACTCTCTTCTCTGGTTCAGAAGACTGTCAGTTGAAGGCTTATGTCAGGAATTGACTTCACAGACTATGCTAATCCAAAACTCTGCCACCCGCATACTCACCCACATCAAACTTTGTATCCCTCACGCCAGTTCTAGCCAGGTTCCCAATGGCTCCCTATCACCGAACGGATCGATTTCGAGATAATCACACTCGTCTTCATGCACTAGCACCTCCCTATCTTTCCAACTTGCTTATTCCAACCCACTAGCCGCTAGCTCTTGTCCTTCGTGTCCTCTGTTCCACTATTGGTGACTGTGCTTTCAGCCACTACATCCTGAAACTCTGGAAGACTCTTCCTCTATCCCTCCGCCTCACCCCCTCTTTCCCTATTTCAGGTAATGTCTGAAGACCTTCCTCTTCGATCATGACCCCCCCGGCTCTGCCTCATGCTCCGTCACTGTCAAGCGTTCTGGGAAGCTACTCTGCGTGAGGGGCACTATATAAATACAAGTTGTTGTTGTTGTAGGTTGGCACCCCTATGCAGAACTGGGAGATGATGCACTGCATTGTAAGAGATCCCATTCTTTGTTTGAGCTATTAAACCAAGGTCCTGTCTGCCTGTTCAGATAGACAAATCCTGAAATACAATTGGAAAAGTGAACTCCTAGTATCCTGGCCAAAAATCCTCTCCACTCACTTCATGGCTGTGTGAAAATTGCCTACAAAAACAGTTACTACACTTGAAGCGCTGACAGCAATTATCTAATGAAGAACAGAGGTCACTTTAAATGTTATAGGCAACATTATCAAAGGGGAGGTATCGTGGAAGGCATTTTAGCCTTTTGTATTACATTGTAAACTAATACAATTAAATAGTAAATGAATAAATTAAAGAGTAGTCATGTAATACAATTACGATTTAATACGATGGCGAAAGTGCCTTCCATGACACCTTCCCTCGCATAATGTTGCCTAAGACCTGAAGTGCGGGTTGAGTTGAAGAAAAACATGAATGAACCCAAGGAAACAGACTCGTAGATTTCCCTACATTTCAGAGGGAAATCCACCAGGGATTTTTTTTTTAAATAATTCCCACCTAAACGGGGTTCGTTTCTGCCTTACTAACTAAACAGAGGGGGGGGTGGGGGTGGGGGAGAAAAGAATCAAAGAATCTAAATTTTGGGGGGAAAAAAAGACTATTTTTTTTAAAACAAGTTGGAAACACAAGTGGGGTTGTTTTTTTTTAAAAATCAATGAATCATTGGAAACGCCTTTATACTCACCGTCGGTGTTAAAATGACAACACAATTCCCGCCTGGATACTCGCGGCTCCTCACCGCCCCGTCAACTGACGCCTTACAATAGGTGCGCGAAGCCACGCAGTCCCGCGCACAAAATAGTCACACCACGTGAGCTTCGCGAGCACACCTTCGGCACAGGGAAATAACCACCTCGTGCTCTCCCTCAACCCCTCTCTCAGGTGGTCGTCCCTTCACGCGAGGGGAAAGTTGACCCGATTGCGGGCGGATACGTTTCGCGACTTATACAGTTGAGAAAGACATCGCTGGCCCTCCCCCCCGCGCGTGCGGTATCGTATGCGGAAGCGTACAGCTCACGTGCGCCACGCGGTTCGCCCCGCGGCGGCTAAATTTCAAACCGCTGCCCCGCCCGCCCACCCGCCCGCGCGCGCGTCGGATCAGTCCGCGTAACGGTTTTTTAACGGCCGCCGCTCGAGCCACGGTGAGCAACGGTGTTTTTCGATTTTTTTTCTCTCTCTCTCTCTCATTGAAGTCTGCAAAACACGTTTGCTTTCTCCCCGTCGGAAGACCTTTTCGCACGTGGTTTTCAAAGGCACTCACCTAAATGGGTCACTTTCACTGCTCACAATTCGGCGACGCGTACTACCGGGCTCCTTCAGGGCTAGTGATGGGTTGGCTTTGGCTACGAAGGGATTTCAGTTTCAGGCTAACTGCCCTTCTCAGTTAAGTCAGAGGATTTTCTCAGTCAGAGGGTTACATTTTCCTGCGAAACGCACCGTCGCTACACATCACATCCCTATGAAACACTTCAAGATGTGCTCCCGACGCGGAAAGGCGCTGTATCAAAAGTGAGGATAATTATTTATCGGCCTGGCTCAGGCGGTAGCACTCTCGCCACTTAGTCAGAAAGTTGTGGGTTCAAACCCCACATCATGACTTTGAGGTCATAGTACATGAGAGTGATGATGTTGTCCTTCAATTGAGACATTAAACTGAGGTCCTGTCTGTCTGTTTAGGTGGACGTGAAAGCTCCCAAGTTTTATCCACCAGGGTTTTCACAAAGCCCTGTTACCCCCCGTTTATTCCTCACAATTCATTTTTACTTTCTGTTGCAAATTAATTGAGTGCAACAATGTCTGATGACCAGGAACTTCCTCACCACTCCGTGTTACGGAAGATGTTACACCGAACATGGCAACGGATCGTTACCTGCCATGAAAACGAAGGGGCTCACACGCACCGATCCTCTGGTCATCTAAATACAATAACAACACCTACACTAAATACAATTAAGCACTTCTAAATACAATTATCATCATCTTTCCACATGCCCAGCGCCTTGGGACGTCCTCCCGACATGAAAGGTGCTATACAAATGTAATTTTGTTGTTGTTTCAGTTGTTGGTAAACAACAACAACTTGCATGTATATAATAATCTTGAACTTAATTTGTTGGGGGGGTGGGGAGCAAGAAAACCTAAGCAAGGATGGGGAGCCAGTAGACCCAAATGAAGACGGGGGTGATAGGCTCACGGAGCCTATTGTGGGAGAAGATCCAAGCTGCAGATTGCTGGATGATCCCAAGCTGGGGAGTATAGCATAGATGTAACAAGGATCTCAGTAGCTCCAGGGAGAGGTTGTGGCAGAGGCGACCGATGTTCCAGATTTGGGAAAATCTTGAGTGAGTGACAGCCCACTGTTCAAAAGGACAGTTGCGATTTTGCACTGGATCGATGTACAGCCATGCAGATTGACACAGTCAGTCCCAGAATTGCAGAGCCAAGCAGGCGAGCCTCGGTCTTGCTGACGTTTAGCTGAGAAAGTTAGAACTTATCCAGGATTTGATGTCTGACTGACCAGGCAGTTGTTCAGAACAGCAGTGGACCTGCATTAAGGGTAAGACAGAGGAGATAGAGTAGGATATCATCCACATGGAAGTGAACCCCATGTCCTCAGTTGATGTCACCAAGGGGGAGCATATAGACGATGAAAAGGAGAGAACTGAGGAACTCTGCAGGTGACGTGCAGGGCGGTAGGAGAAGGTGTTAGAGACAAAGCAAAGACTCTGAGATAGGTAAGGGTGAAACCAGGGTAGGACGTAACTGTGAAGATGGAGCAGAGAGGATACATGGTGTCAAAGGAAGCAGAGAGATCGAGGCCATTAAAGGGATTAATGAGATTAAAGGATCTAAAGACGAATAAAGATAAAAACTGTAAGGAAATGGAAGATACATAATATGAAATGATTGTATGGTCACAATATTGTGACTCCTATTTTGAGAATGGTGGACCATAAAATTCCACCTCGGAACCGTTTGGCAATTTTAGTCGCATCAACCAGCAGGTGGTGGTCTTAATTTGTAAGCCTTTTTTTTAAAACAACTGCAGAAAAGCAGATTCCAAAGTAAGATTGAATTTTAGAATCTTCCACAATTCTGCGCTATCGTAAATTTAAAGCCAAAAATGGCCTTATAGGCTAAGGCTAGGTTTAATTTTGGGCATGTTGGCTGTCGCGTTTGTGATTAAAAACTGGATCACCACGAATCACCATCGAGTGCCTCTAATATTTTGAGGGGATACGTTGCTGTAAAATAAAAGTGTGTTCGTTCTCGTGAGATCGTGGGTGGTTGAAAATTCAAAGGGAGTCATGATACTTATCACTTTTGGCATTTTGGAATAAAACAGCCTGCAAAATACCCTTCAAAGAGGCAACCACCACCACCACCACCACCACCACAACAACAACATTACATTTGTAAAAGCGCCTTTCACGTCGGGCGGACGTCCCGAGGCGCTGGACACCTGCCACGTAGAGGCAATGCCTTTCACAGGCCGGAGCTGCTTGGAGCTGTCAAGTTGACTTGAATTTTGCCCCTTTGCTGAGGTTTTATCGATCTTTCTGCGCATGGATTGCTGTTACTGTGACGATTGCTCTGGGGGTGTGCAGCTGCACAAACGCTGCTGTAAAAAAAAGAGATCGCTTCGAGATACCCTGAAAGAGGGAGGGGGTGGTGGGGGGGGGGGGGGGGGGTGTGGGGGGTGGGGGGGGGGGGGGGGGGAGGGGGAGAAATATGTCCAAACCTATTGCAAAATATCCCCTCCGCTGCATTGCATTCGCCCTCCGATGCATGAGCTGTTTTTTTTAAAAAAATAACAACAACCACCACCACAAGAGAGAAGATTTACTGAAAGCATTTCGGGGCTGAGGAGGAGAGGCAGCGCCTGACATCTTAAAGAGGAGACGCGGTGCCCATAGTAACGAGGCGGCTGGTCGAGGTGGCCACGCAGACGTGCGGGAGCGGCGGCTCCGGCTCCGGCTCCCGGGGGCGATGCTGTCCGGGTCCATCCAGATCTCCGGAGAGACGCTCTCCTCCGCCGAGGTGAAGGATATCTGCGACTCGCTGAAGGGGAACTCGGTGCGGCTGCTGTCGCTGAGAGGCTGTCACCTCTCCGACCGCGATTTCAGTCGCATCAGCCGTCATGTGGCGGAGTGCCAGTCCCTGGCACAGCTCAACCTCAACCTCGGGGTGGTCAACAACCTCAACCGGGTCAAACAGCTGGCAGAGGCACTCCAAAACAACAGGTCCATCCACTCCTTGTTGTGAGTAGACCCCTGACCCTTCCCGGGAGGACGTTCTCCCGAAGCGCTTCACAGAACGCACCGCAAAGTGAATTTGACCGTATATTTGTGGGCGAACGCGGCAGCCAATGGCGCACAGCAGTGCCCCACGAACCGCCGTGGATTGAAAATGACCAATTTTTAATTATTGGTTTGGGGGTTTTTGGAGGGATTATTATGAGGCTCTGTGTGGAGTAAGGAAACTTGCCCGAGGTTTCGCCCTCTGCCGGGAATTGAACTCAGGTCGCTCGCGTAAATTCCCCTTTTGCATTCGATGCGGCGCTTCCGAGGTAGAAATGTCTCAAAAGGGCTTCGCGGGTAATTGCTGTCAATTGCAACGACTGTACTCGTTCGTTGGCAAGCGCGGCAACGCACGGCAAAGTCCGACAGACGGTCAAAGAAGTGAATTTATCTGGAGGGTTGTTGGTACAGGGCACCAGGAGAAATTCCTTGTATCCACAATAGCATTGTGGGATCTTTAACAATCCCCTGACCATAATAATAGTAGTAATAACTATCCTTACATTTGATACAGTGCTTTTCACATCAGGAGGACGTGTCAAAGTGCTTCACAGGATTTACTGTAAATTATAGTGCCTGCATTTTGTTGGCAGCCAATGTGTAAAGCGGTGTCCCACAAACAGCTGTGACCAATATTGTTTGGGGTAATGTTGGCCAAGACAATAGGGGAAACAGTCTCCTCTTTTCAAATAGCGCCATGAGATCTTTAATGTCCATCTACTCTTAACATGCAGACGGGGGCTTGGTTTAACCCATCCAACAGCAAGTCCAACAATGCAGTTTAGCACTGTATTGGAGTGAGCCTAGACTAAGTGAGTTCAGTGTCTCAATGTGGGGTTTGAACCCACAACCTTCTGACTCAGAGGCGAAAATAATATCCACCGAGCCAGGCTGACCCTTGGACAAATGAGAGAGGGACACATAGAGATTCACAGAGAAAGCGAGACCCACACACTGTGGAGTCCTGTAGCTCAGTGGTTAGAGCACTCGCTTTGCAAGTGAGAGACCTGAGTTCAATTACGGGCAGAGGGCGAAACCTTGGGCAAGTTTCCTTACTCCACACAGAGCCTAATAATAATCCCTCCAAAACAAATAAAAATAATAAATTGGTCATTTTCAATCTACGACTGTTTGTGGGACATTACTGTGCGCAATTGGCTGCCGCATTCGCCCACAAATATACAGTCAATTCACTTTACAGTGTGTTCTGTGAAGCACTTTGGGATGTCCTCCCGACGTGAAAAGCGCTATATCAAATGCAAGGATTATTATTATTATTATTACAGGGACAGAAAGAGAAAGATTCACACACACAGGGACAAGAGCAAACGTGAAAGACACACAGACACATGGAGCTGACCACAATGAGCTGCTCTTTTTGATGCCCTTTCAATGGCTGACAAAGCAATTGTTCCATTTTATAACATTGGAGGCCTGAAATTCCAACCGGTCAGTCTCAAGAACCATCTTATCTTTAAAATTTGAAGTGGCACAGAATTGTGGAAAACCTTTAAAATCAGAATCCTGAATTTTCCTGAATTTTTTTTTAAAAAAAAGTTAGCAAATAAAGACTGAATTCAAAAGCATTTCACAGTCTTAGCCGCCTCGAATTTCAAGAAAAACTGCTACTAGAATTTTGGGCCTATTGTAGCTTGTAATTCAGTTGATAAACTTTATCTTAGAAACAAAAAAATTGCCAGGTTGGAGTAAATGCGTATGTTACTTCCTTGTTGCTACTTAAATACTAAAGTGGGTTTGCAATGGAGCGGGACGTTTTGCCACACACCACCTATCTTGTGTTCTAAGAATGTCGAACTATTTGCTTCCCACAGTCTCCATGGTAGCCCTCTCACTGATTCTGGATTAGCAGCTCTCAATCCCGCCCTTTCCCTGCATCCCTCCCTTGCATCACTGGACCTCGGAGATTGCATGCTGGGCGATGAAGGAATGAACCTCATCTGTGGACTTTTGCCACCTGATGGAGCAAAGTCAGGTAAGAGTTACATATAATAATCATTGCATTTGTTACAGCACCTGGAAGCTTAAAACGTTTCTAAGCACTTCAGAAGGAATTATTTTTAAGTGTGGTTACTGTGCATTTGTAGCAGGGAGGTGGCCAATATGCACACATCAAAGTTCTACAGAGAGCAATGAAGCAAATGATAATTTATTTTGAGGATTGTTGTCCCTTCTCTTTTCAAATAAAGCAACAGATTTTTTAACGCCCACCTGAACAGACAGATGGGACTTTGGCTTTAACATTTCAGCTGAAGGAAAGCACCTCTGACAGTGCAATTCTCTCTCAGTATTGCACCGAAGTGTCGGCCTGGTCTGTGAAGTAAAGTACTTGCCAGACCAGGCAGTATGGGAACAAGGTCCAAATATCTCACTAAATATCCTTGTACAGTCAGATAGCCAGTAATGTTTTGGAACCACTGTGAGAAGTGCTGAGCACTGATCTCTGCAAATTTCGGGGCTGATCATTCAGAGATAACTACAACGACCATTGTTGCTTTGTACAGACTGAGCTGCAGCTAAATTTATGAAGATTCCTTTATTTTAAACCATGCATAAGGTCACAATATTAGTTTGGATGAAGAAGGTCCATTTGATCTCATCTTTCTAGAACACCTACCCTATGGGTTTCCCATCACAGCATCAAGCTGTCTGGGCTTATCACATCTTCGAAACGTCTCAAAGCACTTCACAAAATATAGTGTAAAGTAAATTGAGTGTATATTTTGTGGGCAATACACAGCAGCCAATTGTGCCCTTAACAACCAGGTTCCTACTTATTGCTAGGTAACCAACAACAAAATTACATTTGTATAGTGCCTTTCACATCAGGTGGATGTCCCAAGGCAGAAGTGTGTGGAGTAAGGAAACTTGCCTCACATTTTGCACCGCCCGGGAATCGAACCCAGGTCCTCTCGCTTGTGAGGCGAGTGCTCTAACCAATAGAGGAACATAGGAACATAGGAATTAGGAGCAGGAGTAGGCCATTCGGCCCCTCTAGCCTGCCCCGCCATTCAATAAGATCATGGCTGGTCTCCACCTACCCGCCTTATTCCCATATCCCTTAATCCCTTTATCCACAAGAAATCTATCAATCTCAGTCTTGAATATGTTCAAGGACTGAACATCTACAGCCTTCTGGGGTAGAGAATTCCATAAATTCACTACCCTCTGAGTGAAGAAATATTTCCTCAACTCTGTTCGAAAAGGCTGACCCTTAATCTTAATCTTTTTGTGTCATCCTCAGAGCTTACTCTCCCACCTAGCTTAGTATCATCTGCGAATTTAGATATTTTAAGTTCTATGTCCTCGTCTAGATCATTGATATAGATTGTAAATAGTTGAGGCCCAGGCTCTGTTCCTTGTAGCACTCCACTAGTCACATCTTGCCAATCTGAGAAGGACCCGTTAATCCCTCTCTCTGTTTTCTTCCTACTATACTACAGGACTTCAATATTGACAATCAATGAGAATGACTTAGATCTGTATTTGGTCAACAGATGGTCTTTTCCCAATAATCTTTCTGTTGATCTAATCCCATGTAGGCTGCAGTGTTATTCCAGCATAATGGTGTAATCTATGTTCAGGGCTGCTCTTTTCAATCTACTCACTGGTGCAGCAGATACAGCAGAGGCCATTGGCTCTGATTCCATCCCCGCAGTCACACTCAAAACATGTGCATCAAAACTACCCACCCCTAGCCAAGCTGTTTCAGTACAGCTACAAACTAGTATCTGTGTAGAAAATCACACAGTTACATCCTGTCCCCAAAGAACATTACAAATCCATGCCAGCCTATTATCTCCCGAAAAGCCTCTGGGATGTTTTATAATCTCAGGATTAAACCTGGAAGAGTTAAAAGGGAGATAAGAAACAGTGTTTTCAGACAGCGGGGTTGTTAGTACATGGATCGCTTTGCCATAAGTGATGACTGAAGCTAAGAGCATGAGGACATTTAAAGGGAAATTGGGTAAATATTTAAGGAGGAACAATGGAAAAGGGGGTGGAGGAAAGTACAGGGAATTGGAATTAGAATGGATAGCTCCAGTGGAGGAGCTAATACCAGCAGAGGTTGTATGGTGCCTTTAGTGATGTAATTTCTATTACGTTGTGTCTCCTAACACTGTGCATTTGATTCCTCTCAGGGTTGAAGGAGTTAACATTGAGCGCTAACCCTGCTGTCACTGCAAAGGGATGGGCACGCCTGGCGATAGCAGTCGCACACAGCTCACAGCTGCGTGTACTTAATCTGGACTATAATCCTTTAGGTGAGAGTATCCAATTAAATTGTGAAAACTTTAAATTTAAAAGCCAGTTTCTCTTAGAAAGAAAACTTTTAGAAAGAAACAACTTCCAAGTGTCTCAAAGTGCTTCACATGTAATTGTTATTGAGTACAGTGACTGTGTTTTAGGCAATTTATCAGCCAATTTGTACACAGCAAAGTTCCACAAACAGCCATGAGTGAATTTATCTGGAGGATTGAAGTTCAGAACATCTGGAGAAATTCCTTTTTCTTTTCCAATGTTACCACAGGATCATTCATGTCTTCCTGAACTAGCAGACAGGACCTTGGTTTAACATCTCACCCAAAGGATGGAATCGCTGACAGTGCAGTACCCAATCCAATGCTGCATAACCTTCTGACTCAGAGAGAGAAACATTACTGACTGAGCCAAGCTGGTAAATGGGCATTAATGCCAGCCTTCAGGACAGACTTGTTGGAGAAATATTTTTTATGCGCAGAGGGTTATTTAGATGTGGAAGGCCCGACTATAAAAAGTAGTTTAAACAGAATCCATAATCGCCTTTAAAAGGAAATTAGACAAATATATGAAAACAAAAAATGTAAAGGGGATAAGAGGCAGGAGAGAGGGAAGGGCAGGGGATTGAGATTAAAAGAGCAGCTTTTCAGAGAGCTAGCTCAGGTACAATGGGCCGAATGGTCTTCCCGAATGGTAAAACTGTATGGTTCTATGAACTTGTCCCATTTGTTCCTACAGAGCAACACTTAGCTCATCAGTGTGTGAACATCCCCGTGACCTGGGGATATTAATATCAGACTCTGTAGGGCTGACCTGGTTCCTGTACCAATCACCTGACTCCGCTTCTCAAAGAGCTCATCTTATAGGCAGATTATTTTTAGGCTTTTAAATGTTTCCCAGGCCCATCTACAGATCTCATAACCTAGCAACGGAGTAGGACGTCTGGCAGTAGGTTACCGTGGCACCCTGCGAGCCTCATGCTGAATTCAGAAATACAGAAAGAAATTGGGGGCTGAGAGCAAGCTGGACCCCTAACCCAAACTGGAACCCTGGGATCATGTCCTTTGCAGCAGGCACACACTTTGAAATTTAAAAAATATATATTTCGTTCAGAAAATAGAGATAGAGCTACATTTTTCTAGGTTTGCAAATGTTACTGAATGCCTTGATTTGATATTGCAGCTCGAATTAATCATTCATCGTGCTGCACCATCACTGACAATCAAGCCAATAGAGACACAGATCCTGCTAGCACTGAATGTAAAACAAGCACAGCAAGGAGCTGCAGTGAGAGTAAATATGGATTAAAAGGCAGTGCAAGGAAGGAAGGAGAAAGTTAAGGGAAGGAATGAATTATATTTTGTGGAGTCCTGTAGTGTATTGATTAGAGCACTTGTCTCGCGAGCGAGAGGACCTGGGTTCGATTACCGGGCAGGTCGAAACGTTAAGCAAGTTTCCTTATTCTACACGACTCTGTTTACTGAGCAGTAAGTAGGAACTCAGTTGTTTGTCGATTGGCAGATCGCTTTTCCGGGGGTGATAATCCCTCCCCCCAAAAATTATTTGGTCACTCAATCCACGACTGTTTGTGGGACACTGCTGTGCGCAATTGGCTGCTGCGTTTCACCCATAAAATATACAGTCAATTAATTTACAGCATATTGTGTGAAATGCTTTGAGACGTCTCGAAGATATAAGGCGCTATATCAAATGCAAGGATTATTATTTTATACCACCTTATTCAAACATTTGCTTCACAGGGAATTACAGTCAGGTGTAGTGACTGTATTTGTAGCCAAGCACAGCAGTGATTTTGCATTGAACAAGGTTACCCGCAACCATGACTGATTAAGATAGGGAATTGTTGTCCAGAAGGCAAACTGCCTTCTCTATGCCCAGGATCAATAATGTACATTCACGGGGCATTGGTTTAACGTCTGATCGGAAGGATGGCTTTTAAAGCAGGTGATACAAAATAATAATAACCCTTGCATTTGATACAAGGGAGTACATGTTGCCTTTCATGTCGGGAGCATATCTCAAAGCGCTTCACAAAATATATTGTAAAATGGATTTACTGAGTATTTTGTGGGCAAAAATAGTTTTAATGTGGTAGAAAACGCAAATAGTTTTATTTCCTATACGATATAGTAACAGCATTTTATAGGGAAACATTACTGTTGAGCAAGTGGGCATTGTGATATCTGGAGTCTGTGACACAAAAATCGCTGGCACTTGGTGATCCTTTCACTCTCTGCTTTAATTGGAAATTGCATATTAAAGACACAAACTTTGCTGATATTAGTAGTGCCTGAGCCTGCCGATATGTAACTGGAAGCTACATGTGCACTCAGCCATGCCTCCGACAATGGCAATTTGATGCATTTTTAATCAGTTAAGAATTCAGGGAAGTTGGTCTACAGACCTAGTTTGCTGAGTGTAACCCGAACAGCATGTTCTGTAAAATAGTTAAAACTTCACTGCACATGGTGAGTAAAGTGTCTATTAATTATTGAAGATTTCTTACACAAACCTTTCAAACCCATCCCGTCTGCTCAGGGTATTCACGCATCAGGGGAATCCATTTCTTTTGGGTCTCTACAGTGATCGGATACATCCTTCGGTAACAAGAAAAATTCATTTGATACGGTGCCTGTAATGTGGAAACAATACAAAGTGCGTCACAGGAAATTGTTGTCAAGTGTAGTGTCTGTGTATTTGTCGGCAAACACGACAGTCTGTTTGCACAAAGCAAGGTCCCACAAACAGCCATGAAGTAAATGACAAACTTATCTGGAGGACTATTGACCTGGACACAGGGAGAACTTCCTCTTTTTCAAGTGCCGCAGAATTCTTAAAATCGAACTGGACAGGAATACAAGACTTTGCATTTTACAACTCATCTAACTGACAGCACTTTCAAGAATGCAGCACACCCCCCACAGCAGTGCTACCTTAGACCGTGAGTTCAAAATGTCAACATGGTGCTTGAACCCACCACCTTCTGACCCAGAGGCATAATCAACTGACCTCTGGAACTCCCTGGCTCAATCCCTCCACTTTGCCCCCTCTTTGCCAGGCTTCAGATTACACCTGAAGACTGAAGGCTAAAATTAGAATTGTGGACTCTGGACAAAGTAAAAACTATATGATTGTATTCTCTCTCTCTCATAACCCTCAGTCCATTTTACAATTTATTTTACGGTTTCTAATCTACTGGTGATATTTACCAGTTGAGATGCTCAGCAACAGAACCTATGTGCCCTGTCCCACACACGCCTTTCCTCTGTTTTTTATTATTGTCGATATTATTACCATTCCAAGTAATTCTAGATTAGCTGCCAAATTTCCCTCAATAAACAAATTTCATTTATTTGAAATCAACTTATTATGCCAGAGGCATCAAGCACTTTGTGATGTCCTCCCGACATAAAAGTCATAATATAAATGTTTGGTAACTTTATTTGGCAAAACACTTTGAGTCATTCATTCTTCTTAAAAGTGACTACATGAATGCAAGTGTCAGGCCAACCCTGCTATAACACTCTTTGATATAGTGTGGGTTTACTTATAGTGCAGCTACACCATGTCGTACACTTCCGCGACTTGGGCCATTGTCCTAAAGTGAAAGGCACTATACAAACGTAATTTATTATTGTGTTCGGGCTTCCAGCACTGACTGATTGGCTAACTGATGCCAGTTACACTTCCTGCGTATAGCATTCATGTGTGCAGGAAATTACATCAGCAGTGACCTGAAAGCCCAGAAGCACCGATCGTGTTGTTGTACGTTATATTATTTGAGTTTATGTACAGAGCAGGGTCAGCCTGTATTATTCACACAGAGGATACAGTTCAAGATCCTGGTCCTCACTTGCAAAGCCCTCTCCATGGCCTTGCCCCTCTTACTCTGCAACCCACTAACCTCCTACCAACTTGCCTGCTCCCTCCGCTCAGCAGGCTCCAGCCTGCTTCACGTCCTCCGCCTCCACCACCCCACCATTGGCAGGCGGGCCTTCAGCCACTGTGCTCCCACCCTCTGGAACTCCATCCCACAGTCCCTCTGTCTCACCCCCTCCCTTACCTCCTTCAAGACCTGTTTCACGACCCTCCTCTTCAACCATGCCTTTGGTCACCCTTCTTCCCCCTCCACACTCCCTGACCCCGACCCCCAGCTCGAGTCCAAAACACTGATTTTCCAGCGCCTTGGGACATCCTCCCAATGTGAAAAGCGCTATACAAATGTAATTTTTTTGTCGTTGTTGTTAATTATTACTTCTACTACAATTGGACATCATTATAAAATCAGACGCCAACTTACAATGGAACGAGTTATAAAAATGGTCAGTTCATCAGCTTGCCACTGACACCACTTCCAAGGACTGTGCACATTATGAGCATTTTCAGCGGTTCCTGGGACACCGGTAAACTTCCCACCCCAGCACTTCGTTGACCTGCTTGTGCCCTACTCCTCTGCCTGCCCCTTCGTTCAGCTAACACAGGCATCCCCCAACCCCTCATCGCCACATCACTGGCTGTGTCTTCAATCCCTCCACCTCACCCTCTCTTATCCATGCTTAAATCCCAATTTAAGACCTACCGCTTCAACTGCACCTATGGTTACCTCTCCCCACCACTTGCTCAGCATCAGTTAATAATAATAATCCTTGCATTTGATACAGCGCCTTATCATGTCATCGAGACGTTGTAAAGTGGATCGACTGTGTTTGTGGGTGAAACACAGCAGCCAATTGCACAGAGCAGTGTCCCACAAACATTTTTTATTTGGGGTTTGTTGGCCAAGATCCAGGAGGGAAAGAAATTTGCTTTTCTTTTCGAATAGTACCGAGGGAGATCTTTAACGTCCACGTGAAAAAAGAGACAGGAGCTCGCCTCTTCCCGCCACTGTATAGCATTCCAACACCCTGTATGAAGGGCTTTATATAAGCGCAAGTTGTTGTGACTGTGTATTACAAACAAACCGCACAAATAGATGGTCTTCTGTGCTGAAAGTTTTTATGTTTCTCCTCCTGCTGCAGGTGACCACATTGCTGGAATGCTGGCGGTTGCTGTGGCCTCCAGTCGGACCTTGGAGGTGCTGGACCTGGAGGGGACGGGCCTCACTAATCAGTCTGCTCAGGTAATGCTGCCCTCGGTCAACTCCTTCCAGCCATTCCCCTCAAACTCCACATAATAATCTGCTCTGCACTTCTTCAACACTTCTCACTACAATCTTCTGCCACCCACTGCACAAACTGTGGTCTACTACATCTCCCTCATGACCTCTAACTCACCATCGGTAGTTTAGCTTTCAACCATTATGCGCTGCTGCCTAGAACTCTCCCATAGTCCTCTGCCTCCCATCTGCTTTCCCCATCATCCAAACATGACTTACCTCTTGGACTGTGCCTTTTGGTACCTAGGTTCGATTTCTGGGTGGGGTGAAACTTTAGGCAATTTTCCTGACTCCACACGTCTCTGTTTACCTAGGAGTAAACAGGAACCCATTTGTTAGTCGATTGGCAGATCGCTTTCCAGAGATAATAATTTCTTGAAAAAAATTGGTCACTCAATCCACAACACTGCTGTGCGCAATTAACTGTCCCATTTTGCCCACACATAGTGAATCCACTTCATGATATATTCTGTGAAGCGCTTTGAGATGTCTCAAAGACGTGATAATAACAACTTGCACTTATATAATGCCCTCCATGCAGGACAGCGTCTCAGAGCACTAAACAGTGGTGGAGTCTGACTGTGAGCACGGTCGAAGAGGAAGATTTTGAGGCAGGAAATTATTACTTCAGAAAGTGATCTGGGGCAAGGTGGAGGAATTGAGAGAGAGTGTTCCAGAGTTTTGGGGCATAGTGGCTGAAAATACGACCTCCGATGGTGGGGTGGAGGGTGTGAGGGACGAGCAAGAGGCTGGTGTCAGTTGAGCGGAGGTGGATTGGGAAGTGAGGACCATTTCCCCCCTGCTCGGGTCATGACCCAACTGTGCAGCGCCTTGGGACGTCCTCCTGACGTGAAAGGCGCTTTATAAATGGAATCTTGTTGTTGTTGTTGAGGAGGTTGGAGAGGTAGGGAGGTGCCAGAGCATGAAGGGATTTGAACACGAGTGTGAGGACTTGTCTCAACAACGTGATAAGGTGGTCCTCACTTTCAAAGCCCTTCATGCCCATGCCCTACCTCTGTGACCTCCTAACTCCCTATTAATCTGTCCGCACCCTCCAGTTAATTAGCTACGGTCTGCTTCACTTCCCCCATCTCACCCATCCCAATAGCGGGGGACGTGAAGCAGGCACGAAACAAATATAATTTTGTTGTTGTTTTGTTGATCAGATAAACTAAATTTGGTCACTCACTCCACGACTGTTTGTGGGACACTGCTGTACACAATTGGCTGTCGCGTTTTGCCCACAAAATATAGTCAATTCACTTTACAACATATTCTGTAAAGCGCTTTGTGACATCTCAACCACGTGATAAGGTGCTATATCAAATGCAAGGATTATTATTGTATTCTTATTTCTTCCCTCCTTGCTTGGTGATCTGCTCAGTCTCTGCAAAGCGCTTAGATGTTTTGGCTATCAGACATCAAGTCCTGGATGAGCTTTAACTTTCTTCAGTTAAACATAGACAAGCCTGAGACTCCTGCTTAGCTTGTCAGCACATTCTTACCACCGGCACTTATAAGATCAACCTGCATGGATACTTACTCAACTCACAGAGCTGGTGTAGAACCTTTATGTCTAGTGTGACACCAGTTGACTCTTAAACCTCATATTTGGGCTCCTACTCACTCAGCCTTCCCTCATCTCTTTACTCTTCGCCACGACCTCTCCCCTCCGGGATATAGAGACACTCAAATAACAACTTGCATTTATATAACATCCCACACGCAGGTTTAGCGTCCCAGTGCTCTTGCTCACTCATCACATCGAGGTTTGCCGATGCCAGTGTTCTGGTCGCTGGATTTGGGGACCTCAGAGTGTGCATTGGGGTAACTGATGAAATCTAACCAGTTGAAACCACATAGCTTATCATTGAGAGCAATGTCAGACAAGCTTCCCACTCTTCCCTACATAAGCTGCAGATTCTTCAGAAACTCTGCAGCTCATGTCCTCTTCCCATCTAACACCCCATCGCCCAGTGGATCAAATTCAAGATCCTCATTCTCACCTTCGAATCGCTCCATGGCATCACCCCACAATCTCCACAACCCCATTAATCTGGACACTCCATTCATTCAGTGATCACTGGCTTGCTTCATATCACCCCGGCCTATCCACTACCTACGAAATACACAGTCAATTCACTTTACAGTAAACATTTTGAAATGTTAATAACATGATGAGATTCCATATCAAATACCAGGATATCATGTATTATCTAGACCATCCTGTAGCTGATCTTAGAGCCCTAGAAGGAGCTAGAGTTTCGGTAATTAATTATGTTTTGGAAATGTTAGTGAACTCTCATCAGTGGTTTGAGGTTGCATTTCTTTCAGATATTCCTGGAAATGGTGGAAAACTATCCCACGTCCATGCGGAACCTAATCATAGCAGAGAATAACATCAGCTCCGAGCTGCAGCAACAAATCTCAGATCTGTTGTCTGAGGGCGAGGAGGAGGAGACGGAGAATGAAGGAACAGAGGATGGTGGTGGCGAGAAGGAAATCTGGATCTCCCAAGGCAGTGAGTCCTGTCTCAGTCAATCAGACATTCTGAAATCCTGACTGCTTTTAGCCTGAAAACTATTTCAGACCCAGCAGAATTATGGAAAATTCTTATAAGCATCCCCAAGTCCATCCGCCTAGCCCCTCTCTCCCTCCATTAAAGCCTGTTTCAAGACCTTCCTCTTTGACTGCACCTCTCGTCACCCTCCTATCCCCACCCTCCCTCCCTCCTGATCCCAATCCCCAGCTTGGGTCCAAACCCTCGACTGTCCAGCGCCTTGGGATGTTCTCCCAATGTGAAAGGCACTTTACAAATGTCATTTGTTGTTGTTCATTTGAAAGTTGAATCCTTAAAAAAAACTATGGAAAATGGGCTTCCAAATGAAGACTGAATTTGGAATTTTTCATAATTCTGCACCAACTTAAATTTTAATATGAAATAGTCTTAATGTTAAACCCAGGTGATTTCTGGCCACTATGGGATGCAAGGGTTTACCATCAGTGCCATGGGGATGGATGGGAGTTTAGTGTCAGAAAGAGGGAGAGTAATGGAGCTCAGTGTCAGAGAGGGGGAGAGTGGTGGAGTTCAGTGTTGGGGTGTAGGTTACAATGTAATTTAACATATGTGTAACATGTAAAACAATACCTGGTTTGGTGCAGTGCCTGTGACCTCTGACTCCCTTCTCTATTCAGATGCAGGATCACAGACTCTGCTCGTCACGTCAGGATTCGAAGACTCCTTACTCGCAGAGACAGAAATGTGACCACACACTTACTGGCACCCCAGGCTGCGTCTATTCCAATACCACCAGCACCTACCCCCACCCGCCCCCACCCACCCAATACCCCCCCAATATCTACCCCCGCCCCTCAAATACCCACCAGCATCCACATCCACCAGCTGGCAACTAGAACCTTCCCCAATACCCACTGGCATTCACAGCCTCCAGTATCCAAGTCGTAAGTCCTCACCCCATGATCTCCTTCACCCTCTATCCCGTCACTTTGTGTTGTGCTGAATGAGCTTTTTTCTGTGTTAATTTAATTATGTTTAATGAGCTGGCCACAAGGTGACACAGGTCAGTCAGCTAGGCCCAGACAAAGGGAGACACTCACTCTGAGCAGCTTAAGCTGCAAGCAGGAGCGCTCAAAAGAATGACAGCTGTCTATAAGATAATGTCTCAACGTGCTTCACAAGTAGACATTTTCTGCACAGAAGGGGGAGCCATCGAGTCTGTGCCAGACATGATAGAGCATTGAGCAGCAAGATTCAGAGATGAATTAGAACAAGCCAGATTAGAGTCAGAAACAGTAATGATGTGGGCTGCAGTAACAGAGCAAATCATGGACTTAATTCACAGAGTGAATCATTGAGGAAATCACAGAGGAAAAGCTGGTCCCAACACCTTGAAATTGTATTGGGCACCAATGGGAATGGAAATGTCTCCTGGAGCTGGGATCCCTCACTCCGCAGGGGGGTAGAGACCAGGAAGAATTTTTCTTGAATGAAAAAGCAATCAGGAGCTCATGGTAGCCCTGTTGCTACTTTTGAAACATTTCAACAAAGTGACAAGGCTCTATATCAAATGCAAGGAATAATATTAACTATTACATACTACACAGCCGACAAACACACACATAAACACACAAAATGGACTCCCCACAAAAAAGATACATACACACACACACACTAATAAACCCAAACAGCAGGTACTCACACATCCAATCAATAGCCTCACACAACACCTGCCAGAGTAGCCCTAAAACTTGACATGTGGCTCGGGCTGAGGACATATCCACACTTTCACACTTCATCAACAAGCCAGACTGGTCAACCACACACCTGCCTAGCTGTGCCACAATCGGCTCCTCTGAGAAAGTTCTGAGAACCCACCACCCCCACGTTACCTCTGCTTTCCCTCGTCAACGCACATCCCCTTCCCACAACCCCCGCCCTTGTGGTTTTGCCGGTTCCTCTTTGGGGGAGAGGCTTTGGCACTGCTGTACACTGGCAGGGGGGGGAGAAACAGCATTGGAAAGCCAGTTATAAGCTATTTGTGCACTAGCACTGTTAAAACACTGGAGATTGTTTGCTTGTTTGCTATTTAAACAATAAGTGTTAATAAACAAACGTTGTGCAAACTGGAGCGATTCCTGGTTGGGAATGAGTGGTTGGGATTGGATGGAGCAATAACCTCATAGACTGCAACAGTCAACTTGTCAGGATTGATTAAGTTTTGTTATCACACACATACTTTCATCTCTTCCTCAGAACAAAACATTGTGGAGTCCTGTAGTCTAGTAGTTAGAGCACTCGCCTTGCCGGGAAAGGATCTGGGTTCAATTCCCGGGTAAGGTGAAACCATAGGCAAGTTTCGTTACTCCCCACGTCTCTGTTTAGCTAGCAGTAAGTAGAAACCCGGTTGTTAGTCGATTGGCAGATCGCATTCTGGGGATAATAATCCCTTCAAAAAACATTTTGGTCACTCAACCCATAACTATTTGTGGGACACTGCTGTAATCGGCTGTGCGTTTCACCCACAAAATATAGTCAATTCACTTTATAGTATATTCTGTGAAGCGCTTTGAGACGTCTCAACAACGTGATAAGGTGCTATATCAAATGCAAGGATTATTATTTTAAAGTTACGTTGATATAATTGGGGTATTTTCTATTGTGTCAGTGGAGATGGGGAGAGGTCTTTATGATTTGGGGCATGATGAAATAAAAGGGGAAAATATTTCCTTCAGTTGGGGAAACCAGAGAAATGGAGACGCAGTCTCAGGATTGTTAGCAAAGTATCAGTGGAGATGTTAGAATACATTTCTTCAATCTGGGGGACGGTAAGAACTATAAGAGATGTGGGGAGAGCGCTGGAAATTGGATCTATAATAAAGCTGATAATAGGGAGAAGCACTGGGCCAAATGCCTCTCTCCCGCACTGGCAATGTCTGATTCTGTCCTCTATTCTTCGTGTGTGAGATTTGACAGTAAATAGTGTGGACTGCACTGATCCCAAATCCTAGCCTCATCTGGATAAGAGGGGATTCGCTAAGTGGTTTGTATTAAAATAACTCCTGAACTGCAGGGAAAGAAACATTGCTGATAGTGGAAACTACCCAGGAGTTACTTTAACGCAAACCAGTTAGCGAATCCCCTCTTATCCAGATGAGGCTAGGATTGGGATCAGCACAGTCCATCCTACCCACTGTCAAATCTCACACATGAAGAATGGTTGCTTTGGTTACGTACTAGAGAACAGAATCAGACATTAGAGGCATTTGGCCCAGTGCTTCTCCCTGTATTATCAGCTTTATTACTGATCCTATTTCCAGCGCTCTCCACACTCACTCTTGAAGCTCTGTGACTGAGCAGCACAGCATCCGATTCTAACTGACGCATGATTTACAACAGAATTTATTTATACTCTGTTAATCCCCAACGTAATCTCTCTAGGTGTCTGACCCTGGCCGAGGCATTTGCAATTGTAAAGCAGGATTTGTGTCATTATTTCCCCTCAAGGAACAATTTGCAGCAGGTGGCAGGCACACAGAGGAGGCTGTGAACCTTGGAGCCCAGAGTTGTAAGACAGAAGCATTCTATATCTATGCAGAAATGTCAGTTTGGCTTCCATGGTTAGTCTCACTTCTGGATCAGAAGATTACGGGTTCAAGCTACATATCAGGGACTCTGAGCTCACAGAACAGACAGGCCCTCCAGCGCGTTAGTAATTTTAAAAAATCCTTAAAATTTGGATTTTAATAAGGATTTAAAAAATTCTTTATCCCCAAAATTTGGTCAGGATGATGTCCCAAAGCACTTCACAGGATATTCCATTAAGTGGTGAACGTGTGTTTTGTGTACATTTTGTAATAAATAAATAAATAAAAATTTGTGCACAGCAACATCACATAAACAAGCCAAGAAGCCACAAATTCTATTTTAATAATAATAATAATAATCCTTGCATTTGATATAGCGCTTTTCATGTCAGGAGGACATCCCAAAGCGCTTCACAGAACACACTGTAAAGTGAATTGACTGTATATTTGTGGGCGAACACGGCAGCCAATTGCGCACAGCAATGTCCCACAAATAGTCGTAGATTGAAAATGACCAATTTATTATTGTTTTTGGTTTTGGAGGGATTATTATTAGGTGTGTGGAGTAAGGAAAGTTGCCCAAGGTTTCGCCCTCTGCCCGGAATTGAACTCAGGTCTCTCGCTTGCAAAGCGAGTGCTCTAATCACTGAGCTACAGGACTCCACATTTTGGGAGACTGTTGGCTAGACCACCAGGAAAAACTCCTTTCTCTTTCTGAGTAGTGCCATCAGATTTTTAATGACTATCTAAACAAGCAGATGGGGGCCCAAGTTTAATGTCTCACCTGAAGGATGGTACCTCCAACAAAGCAGCAACTCTCAATACTGCATTGGTGTCATCTTAGATCAGGGCCTTGAACCCACAATCTTCTAACTAAGAGGCTAGAGTGAGTCAGGCTGACTCTTTGGAGGGAAGGAGCTCTGTTCCATCGTCGGAGGTGCCGTCCTTTAGATGACATATGAAATGAGGTCCCATCTGCTTGTTCAGATTGATGTTAAACATCCCACAACGTTATTGAAAAAGAGAAGGAAGTTTCTCCTGGCATCTTTGTAAAATGGGCTGTCATATTTACCACTAAATACATTTTTTTTGGTCAGCCAAGCGGAAACCCATCAGTATCTAAATCAAACAGAGAATTCTATGCATCCCACCTATACATGGCAATTCTTGAGGGTGAAAGGCGCTATACAAATGAAATTTGTTGTTGTATTTGTTGGAATCAAATGCGCACTCTCTCCCTGGAGGAACGTATCCTGCTTACCTAATGTCAAGACATTATTAGGTGCAGAAATAAGGCTTGGGGACTTCAGAGTGTGTGTTGGGGTGCTGCTGGAGTTTAACCATCTAAAACCACATAGCTTGCCATTGAAAGTATCGTCTAGCAAGCTTTCCATCTAGGACTACCCTAACTTTTAGAGCTTTGGCCTACAGGATTAACAGGAGCCGAGTGGAAATTGTCTCTGCCCCCAGTGACTGGTCTGCTCCTCCAAGAAGGCTGAGGAGGCAGCCTGGCTGTGCTGCCATCAGCAATGCCCTGGAAAACTGCAGACTCACAGGAGCTGGCTAGGGAACGGGACTAGAGACCGTCACAGAGGGCTGGCTTGATTCTGACATTCCATTGCCAAACATGTCATCTTGGAACCAGTTTGTGGAGTCCTGTAGCTCAGTGGTTAGAGCACTCGCTTTGCAAGCGAGAGACCCGAGTTCAATTCCAGTCAGGGCGAAACCTTGGGCAAGTTTCCTTACTCCACACAGAGCCTAATAATAATCCCTCCAAAACCCAAAACAATAATAAATTGGTCATTTTCAATCTACGACGGTTTGTGAGACATTGCTGTGCGCAATTGGCTGCCGCGTTCGCCCACAAATATACAGCCAATTCACTTTACAGTGTGTTCTGTGAAGCGCTTTGGAACGTCCTCCCGACGTGAAAAGCGCTATATCAAATGCAAGGATTATTATTATTATTCAGCTCCAAGGAGACCCCAAAGGAGGATAGTTATTAGTTGGCCATTTGGCATCCGACAAGCGTGGGTTTGAGCCCTCATTAGATGAATGGTAGGTACTAGGAGCTCCATGCAAACTTCCTGATGAGCAACACAGCTCAGTATGAAGTGTGAGAACATTGCCACCTTCCTGCCCACAACTCGGACACAGCTGTTGAATGATGGTTTCATGCGTTGGAGTCACAGAGTTTAAGCAGAGGCAGCTTACCTCTCTGCAAGCCAATCAAGGTGGATTCC